ACTGGGCACTCCTGTGGCCGGGCTGCCAGCAGTTGTAGCAGGGTTTCCCGCCGGGCATCCTCGCAGCGTCCACCTCCATGGGCGTAGCACCCGATGTGGCGGCCACCGCAGGAGGGGCAACAGTGGTGTTAACCACAACAGGGTTTCGGGGAGCGACGTGGTTACCTGCGTAACGATTCCCGCTCGTGTGGGCACGGTTACCCGAAGACGTGTGCCTACGGGCTTCCGCTTGGTCTTCGTACCGACGACATTCCATCTGGAACTCCGCCAGCGTCATATGCTCCTGGTTGGGCATAGGGATAATAGCGTCCTGAAAGGCCTGGTTCAGGTTGGCGCGGAAGAACGACCGTTTGCCGTACTCGTTGAGGTTTGGGAGGAGGGCGGCGAGGTCGTTGAACTCGGTGATGTACGTACTCAAGCTCTTGTTACCCTGCTTCAGAGAGTAGTACTCCTTCTCCGTAGCAAGGATGTTCCTTCCACCTCCGTACATCTCCACGAGCAACGCCTCGAACTCCCGCCAGGTGACCTGAGTTCGCCCCGACGAGTACTCCCTTGCCCATGCCTGGGCCTGCCCATCCATGTACGACTCCGCGTACATAATCTTGTAAAGGTCGGTGTACAACCCCGGCTTGACTTGGAACTCCCGGTTGCATTGGTCCAGGAATCCCCTAACCTTCTCTTTCTTGCTACCATCGAACCTGTCCGGCGTACCGAACTTGAACAGCTTCGCTCTCGCTTCCTCCGTGGCCGTCGCCGATCGAGTGTCCCTCGACATCGCCAACTCCATCATCTGGCTATGCATGTTCGCCATCATGGAGAGCAGGGCGGAAACGTCCGGACTGGTAGGAGGCGCAGCGGCCGGAGCAGGGTTAGCTGCTGGGGGTGTTGACTGCATTTGTGGGGGAGTCTGCCCCATGTTGTTGGCCGGTGCGGCCTGCGTGGAAGCGGTAGGTACCCCCGTGGCACCTACCTCCGGTTGCTGGTGGGCAAAGACGCACTGGTCGTTTACCAGCGTCTCCCCAGTTGGGTTCCTCCACATGAACCTTCCTTGTCCATCCATCATCTGCATGTTCCCGTCTTCGCTCAAGACCGGGATCGCATCCGCAGGGATGGGGTGGACAGCCCTATCCGGTCCGTAACACTGCGTGAACGTATTCATCGTATACGGGGTCTCCTAGTCGGGGTGTTTGGGTGATCCGTTATTCTATAAGGTTTGCCAGCAAACCTGAATAGTAACACACGGGACTAGAAGGTACGGGTAGGGTAATGACTGTAATAACGGATGTCTAACTACTACAAGGTGCTAGTTAGACATCTTCGAACACATCTCCTAATAGGTCCCCGAGAGAGTCTCCGAGAGAGTCTCCGAACGGACCTCCGTACGAGGTGAAAACCTACATCCCGCGTGTGTACGACATGCGTACCGCGGATGCCTATAATACCACCTCACCGATTTGAGTGGGTACCCGGTGGTACTAGGTATCCCTTGGCTGCGGAGACACAACCCGCATATCCAATGGGACTCCAACGCGGTGACGTTCGGGGATGTCTGCATCAGCACGGGATGCCTCAAGAGGCCCGAGACGGTGTATGCTCCGGACGAAGTAGAAGTGGAGACACGAGGGATCGACCCGTTCAAGAAGATGAAGGGGTCGATCACGGAGGATTTGGTCGTCGCGCAGATGCAGATGACCCGGGAGGACGACGAGCGGGCGAGGCGCCCGGACCTGTGGGATTGGGACGTCAAACCCACGGACTCGTTCCAGGACGATCTGGATCCTCCTGAGTATATGGAGAAGCTGAGGGACATGGTACCGGAGAAGTATCATGAACATCTTGGAGCGTTCTCCAAGACGAAGGCAGATACACTGCCCCCGACGCGATCGATCGACCATGCGATCGAACTCAAGCCCGGTACGTCGCCGACGTACCAGAAGCTCTACAACCACTCCCAGCGGGAAAGCGAGGAGCTAAAGAAGTGGTTGAAAGAAAATTTGGAGAAGGGGTTCATCAGGCCGTCGAAGTCGCCCTGTTCGAGCCCGGTACTGTTCGTACCGAAGAAAGGCGGCGAGATGCGTATGTGCATCGATTACCGTCGCCTTAACGACATTACGGTGAAGGATAGGACGCCCCTACCCCTCATCTCAGAGACGCTAGACAGGTTGAAGGGCGCGAAGGTCTACACGAAGATGGACCTCCGAGGCGCGTACAACCTGCTACGCGTAAAAGAAGAAGACATTTGGAAGACCGCGTTTACTACACGTTTCGGTCTGTTCGAATGTTTGGTCATGCCGTTCGGCTTGACCAACGCCCCCGCTACCTTTCAGCGGTGGATGAACGAGGTTTTCCAGGACCTTTTGGATGTGTGCGTCGTCGTTTACCTCGACGACATACTTATTTACTCCTCCGACCAGGAGACCCATGACGGTCAGGTCAAGGAGGTTATGAAGAGGCTGCAGGCAAATGGCCTGTATGCGAAGGCGGAGAAGTGTGAGTTCGATACGGTGGCTACCGAATTCTTGGGGTACGATATTGCCCCGACGGGGGTCAGTATGAACCCCTCCAAGGTCAAGTCCGTTTTGGACTGGGCCCCCCCGAAGAACATTCGGGGACTGCAGTCCTTTTTAGGATTTGCAAACTATTATCGGAGGTTCATCCAGAACTACTCCAAGAAGATTCAGGGAATGACGGCCCTGACGAAGAAAGGGGTGAAGTACTCCTGGACGGCAGCCGCTGACGCTGCGTTCCGGGAATTGAAGGAGTCCTTCACCCAGGCGCCTATATTGGCGCACTACAACGAGGAGCGCCAAGTGGTGCTCGAGACCGACGCTTCCTCTGGAGCGATCGGCGCGGTGATGTCCCAGGTAGGGGACGATGGGAAGCTCCACCCGGTAGCGTTCATGTCAAAGAGTCTGACGCCCGCCGAGAGGAACTACGATGTGCACGACAGGGAACTGTTGGCCATCGTCTATTGCAGTCGGATATGGCGACATTATCTCGACAACAAGTACCCCGTTCGGATTCTCACGGATCACAAGAACTTGGAGTATTTCAAGAGGGACAAGGTATTGTCCCAACGGCAGGCGCGATGGTCGCAGCTGTTGAACCAGATCTCCTACACCCTGGAGTACAAGCCGGGAACGGAGAACGGGAAGGCCGACGCGTTGAGTCGTCGGGAAGAGTTGATGGAGGAGACAGAACCGAAGCGAGCGGAGACTCTGCTCCGGCCTGTCGAAGACGCACCCCCTGAAGGGTGTAGTCCGGTTGAACGACCGCCTTTGCGGTTGAATGGCACCATCCCCGCACTGGGCGATTGGATGGTGAAAGCGCTGATACCGGCGGCGCAGGACGACCCGGTGGCGAAAGAGCTCGTAGCGCAGCTCAAGGCGGGGACCTTGGCGAATGAGCGATACAGCTTGAGCCCCACTGGGGTTCTCCTGTACAACGGGTTGGTGTATGTTCCTAACGCGGGGAACATCAAGGTAGAGCTGATGAAGCGCCTACATGACGGGAAGGCCGCCGGCCATTGGGGGCGGGACAAGACCGTGGAGCTAACCAGTAGGGACTTCTACTGGCCTGGGATGGCGAAGTGGATCGGGGAGTACGTCGCTAGCTGCAGCATATGTCAGCGCAACCGGCGACCCCGAATGAAGCCTGTCGGCGAACTAGCGCCGCTGCCGGTACCGGCGGGACCATACGAATCGATCACTTGGGATCACATCACGGACCTGCCCGAGTCTATGGGGTCCAATTCGATCCTGGTGATCGTCGATCGGTTCAGCAAGCGAGCGCACTTCGTCGCTTGTCGAAAGGATAACGACGCCACATTCTTGGCGCGGTTATTCCTTGACCGATGGGTGTGTTTGCATGGGTTCCCGAAGCAGATCATTTCGGATCGAGGTACGTTGTTCACCTCGCGCTTCTGGAAAGATCTGTGCCGCATGGCGAACGTGGAGAATAGTTACTCCACGGCGTTCCACCCGGAGACGGACGGACAGACCGAGCGAAGTAACTCCACCTTGGAGCAGTACTTGCGGTCGTACGTCAACTTCCTCCAGGACGATTGGGCGGAGTTACTCTCCATGGCGGAGTTCGCGTACAACAACGCGAAGCACTCTGCCATCGGGATGTCGCCATTCATGGCGTCCGAGGGAAGGGAACATACCTTCTCCCTGCCAGTGCCCGGCACTAGGGAAGAGGCGGTGGAATCGGCGGGAGAGTACCGAGACCGACTCGACGGGATCTACAAGTCGGTGAAGGAGGCGCTGGAACAGGCGCGGAAAGACATGGCGAAGTACGCAAATCGGAAGCGTACCGCCGTCCCTGACGAGGGTTACAATGTAGGGGACCTGGTAATGTTATCTACCAAGAACTTGACGTCGGTGCGCCCCAGCCAGAAGCTCTCGATGAAGACGCTGGGGCCCTTCCGAATCACGGAAGTCATCGGCCAGAGCAAGATGGCGAGGAGGCTGGAACTCCCCGCGCAGTTACACCGGGTGCATCCCGTCTTCCACGTGTCGTTGCTCATCCCCTATCGGGCCAACGAGCTGGAAGGAAGAGAGGTGGTTGAACCGCCTACCCCCGAAGTCCTCGACAACGGTGACTTGGGGTATGTCGTGTCCGAGATCGTACACTCGAAAGCGTTGCGATCCGGGAGGTCCGGGAAGAAGACCCAGTACCTAGTGCGATTCGAAGGGTACGGGGACGAATCGAACGAGTGGGTTAGCCCCGCCGAATTCGATCACGACGACAAGGTCGTCGCAGCGTTTCACAAGCGCTACCCTCATCTACCGCAGCCTGGTCGACAAGAGTACGCCGACGCTTGATGCGTTCGGAGACCGCATCTAGGGGGGGGATCCTGTTATAGCGGTCACGTGACGCGTCGGACACGCCGTACGCGACTCCCGTATGCGACTCCCGTCGGGGGTACTTTTCGGTGTTGTTGTTTGGATGTAGAACTAGTACCTCTGTAATAGCTCTACATCCGTTATTACATCTAGATGTCTACCCATACCTTGCCTCATTCCTGCGTCCCGTCAGCCTGTCCAGGGGGACCCCCATCGGGGGCCGCTCCCGGGCCTTACAATGCTCTTCGGTTTGCACGGGACCACTTGAAGGATAGGAAATCGACGATTGACACGTGGACGCGGGAAGGTATTGCTCGCGTTGAAGAAATCCTTGGGGAAGGATGGAACCCGGCAGAATGGGTCAAGATCACAGCGTTGGCTGGCGCAGATGGACGTCCGAAAGCAGCACGTCTTTGCGACTTCTACGAGATATGCTGGGACTCTGGAGTCTACGACGGCGCATTTAGCGGTGGCGGACAGTACCGGCCGGGTGGCGACTTTGGGCTTGACGTTGAGGAGAACCAGGCGCTTGGCATGGCGATACAAGTCATCGAAGCCGAGGACGACTACTGGCGTGGAGTATCGGAGCGGGAACTGTTGAAGAGAGCCGGTGGACTTGCGGGAATGGATTTATCCGTTCTCGACCGTGCTTGCGAGCTGCTCAGCGAGATCGAGCGTATTGAGGACCAAGCCGCTGAAGCCGTAGACGAATTGTTGGGCAACTCTCCCATCGAAACACGCGGTCAACTTGGCATCGACGGCTTACCGATCGCTTGCGACACGCCGGAGAAGAAGAAACTTTGGCTGCATTCGAGGTCTCTGCTTCAAAGAGCCCGCGATTCAAGGGTCGCAGCGGGATTGGAGATTCGGCAGTTTGGTTGGGAGCAAGGGTACTTCATGGGACGGGAATGGATGCGAGGCGCAAGTCCCGCATTCATTATGACCATTGCTGGAATCATCTCGACGATCTTTGCCACCCGGGCGGGATACAAGGCAGAGTCGTCCCTTCCAGGGGAACTGCATTATCTCCGTCGACTCATAGGATCGGGGCGATTTTATGAGAGCGAATGGATCCCCGTGCTGGATATGTTTCGTCGTACCGATGGAGTAAGGCTCGCAACTACCTTGTCAAAATTGCAAGATGCAAAACGCCTACCGGAGGCAAGACATAGGTGGGCGGACATCGCTTCCCGCGCTCGAGAATTGTGGACGGGAAAAGGAGGAGCGGTATCAATGCCAGTAGCCTTCGACTCCAGCATCGCCAACGCCGATCCCGAGGTAGCGCTGCGCGGTCTTCGCAACTTAGCTTCGAGACCGCTGATCAGCGCTGGAAGGGAAGCTCTGCGGGCCCATATCGGGGAGAAGCTCGATATCGTTGTCCATACCGAAACTTGGGCGGCATACCTCAGCGAGCTTTGGCAACTTCGGCTCGGTACAATGGATGGCCGGACTTTTGGATCACGCTGTCGTCTACGCGAGAAGGTCCTAGCACGGGTGATTGGGAAGATGTTCAGTGCGCGGGAGGTGGGGACTTACGTCTGCCAGTTTCACTATCCTACCCTGGATAGTCAAATCGGAGAGCAAGTTGTTGAGTGCGAATCTCAAATCTTGGAAGAGAGATTCCGGTGGTCGAAACCGGCCTTGACGGAAGAGATCGACCTCGACAACGATGCACTGCGCAAGGAAGCCCTGGAAGCGGAGCAACGGGTGGACAGGGAGCTACGGGGAGGCAACAAGTGAGTGTCTGCACTGCGAATGTATCATCAGTTTCCCTTACTGATGAATACGATATTTGCAGAGATGTTCGTAAAGCTGACCGACAAAGTGCGGATGTCGAGAGTCAGAGCGACAGTGATGTTGATATGGGGGGTATCGGTACCGGCGGGAATGGAAAAACAGACCGCGGGAACGAAACCCCATCCATCAAGGATGTCGCCGACATAGAGTAAGTGCGCTCGCGGGTCTGTCACGACTGCGGGTTGACTTAGAGCTTTGTTATAGCATGGGAGATGTGGACACCGACGTCGCGGATGGCCCGACCGGCGACGACGACTTGCCAGCTGTGAATGAGTGAGTCATATTGTGGAACTTGACATGAAAGAATGGGCTATTAACGCGAGAACTCATGTCTAATATGAAACAGAGAATGGGTTCCAGAAGCGAGCGATTTCGTCTACGAATTAGATGATCCCAAAACCCTTTATGCGGGTCTCTCGAGGAAGGAGAAGCGGGATATGCCCGTGTGGAACTCGATGGCAGACCCGGACTGGCTTCCTGAAGCTTTTGTGGGACCGGGCAGCCTTCCGAAAGGATCGAACGCCCAGCGCAATGTTCAGCAAGCTGCTCACGAGCGAACAAAACAGGTCGGGCACTACGTCGAGATGCAGAAGAGCAAGCACGTCGAGATTGCTGAACGGACGGGAAGATTCTCCGTGACTTTCACAACGGGCGCTTTCTCGGAGGGAACATCGTCTATCCTGATTTTCGAATCGCCGGGAATAAACGCCGGACGGAAATATCTGCAGCGGATGGGAGACATCTTCGCGAGAGCTGTTTATCCTGCAGCGCGGGATATGGATCGTCGAATTCGAGAAGTAGAAGAGCCCGGTTCGACAGCTGGGATGACATCGCCCTGGGAAGACGTAGCGGGAACCGAGTCGGAAGGTCAGAAGGACTCCGAAGACGACAAAGACTCTGACGATGATGACGAGATCGCAAAGGATACGGTCGACAACCGAAAGAGTGAGACAGCGAGTGAAAGCGGGAAGGAAGAAAGAAAGGTCGGGGCTCACGGGAAGGGAGGAAGGCCGAAGCCCAAAAAGAACAAGAAGTAGGGATAAGGTGAAGTGTATGCGATGTTGTCCTTATGTTGTATGTATTCTGCTCTACTACTGTATGTTACTGTCGAGTGTGTCACAACAATCAGTATAATATCCATTGTACATGCAATCTTGGTATAATCGATTAATTTTGGAACTGGTAAAATGCAGATTGAAAAGAGAGAGTGAAAGAAATAGAGAGAGACGACACAAATGACTGGGCGGGAAAGCGACAAGTTCGCACGGGAACATTCTTGTGGAAATGATATTATAGGCGGGAACGATTTTTTTTTTGTTTTGCTAAGGTCTCGAACGTACGCAGGATTTGTGTTGTCGCGCGACTCGTCGCGCGACGCATTTAGAAGGGCGGCCAGCATAGAATTAAGCTGGCGCGTGGTAGATTTATCAGCACTGCCTGTGCTGTCACGCAGCCAGGGACAGGTGAACCTCGAGCCCGCTCCATCCGGCGGTCTGACAGCGAGCAGCGACGACGAACGACTTGGACTTGGACGTCTTCTCTTTGTCGAGTTGAATTCCATAAATCGCCTGCCAATCCATTCATCCTGAACCTTACGAGTAGCTACCACCAATTCAAGTACAATGGGTCTCTTTACCGATGATGCGTCTCATATCGAGGTCAAGGCGGTCTTCCCGGACAACAACCCGTTGGGAGGTGAGTCGTTAGGTTTCTGGCTGCGAACGACACGCCGTTCTCCCTCCTGAGCCCAGTTCGTCTCCGTTACTAATATGTCCTCCTCCTACCTTGTGTGCATGTGCAGTCGTTGTAAACGGCCAACAGAACCAGAGTAGGCGCAACCATCTGTTGTCTGTCGTAATACGCGACGCTCACCAGTGCTTTCATCCTCCCATGTCATAGTGATCCTCAAGTTCATCAACTCGGGAACCGGTAACTACACGATCGTCAACGCTGCTGCCAGTTATCACGATGTCGAGAAGAACTGGGCTTTGGTCAGGAACACGACGGCCTTGAAGTACAACGTGCCTCTTCCCGCTGGATCCAACTTTTCGGTGCCCTTCAACGTTCACTCTGAGTGAGTCCGTCGTGTGACCTGCCAGTATCGCTTGACTGACATTGTTTGAGCTGTTGTGCGATACGCAGGTTCCGGCCTCGTGATATCGGTCTGACCGTCTGGGCCAACCTGAACGACGTGCAGAAAGATACGCACAGGTTCGTCGCTTTCAACTCGACCGTCGGCGTCGTGGAACCCCAGGGAAGCTGGTTCGACTTGCAAGCGTGAGTCCGGGGTTTGTATACTTTGACCGCGACGCAGTATAGGCTGAAATGATTCATTGATCCGCCTCGTCTCGACAGACTGTTCATGTACATCGTCGTCCTGGCCACCCTGGGTGGGCTCGGATACTTTGCGTACAACGCCTTGATGGAGTACTACTACCCTCAACAAAAACGAACCCGATCTTCCAAGCGCGCCGGCGGGAACGCTGCCACCGCCGACCTCAAGGTCGTACCCGCCGAGAGCGGTAAACCCTACCCGGCCAGTGTCAAGCCTTACGAGGAAGACTGGGTGCCTTCGCATCACTTGAAGCCCGCCAGTGGAGCTGCGAGGAAGAGGAAGGGGGTCAAGGTCGATGGAGGTGCTAGCAGTGCGGCCGAGGTGACGAGCGGTGGGGAAGGGTTTACCAGTGGTGGGGAGAGTGCCTCGGAAAAGAAGAAGGGTGGAAAGAAGGGAAAGAGGAACTGAAGTGGTCGCATAACGGCTTGACTAGGGGAGTTGGATTCCTGAGGTAAAACGGGTGCGAGCCTGTAATTATGGCTGGACATATGAGGGCGGCTCGTCCTTGCCAGACTTGATGCATAATACCCAAAGTTCAATTTCTTCAGTTCGGGACACACGAATCCGCGAACACAGCTGAAAAATTTCTTTGATACTCGCTTGTTGCACGATCGCCATAAGTATGGGCCAGACAGGCGAAAGCTTGCGTCCGGTATGACTTTGTACGCTCACGGGGTTGTGGAAAATATCACTGGTTCAGAAACGAAGGCAGGGGCTCGAAAGCGAGTGCCGAACGCTACATGATGTGGTGTGAAGCTACATGATCACCCGTCACAACTGAAATCGCATCAAATCCTCGGTCCACGTCGCCGCCTCCTGGCCTTGCGTTCGGTGCGGATCTCTTAGTTGGCTGAATCGTATCGCTGGCCCGTGCGAGGTCGTGCGTGACGCAGAGCCATATCGAGGTCAATGTCGTCGCGAGCGCGAGCCGGAGGATTAAACGCTCTGGCGTTGTCCATGATTTCCCCAGGCAGACCCAAGCCAGGGCCAGGCGGTTGGCTATCGCCTCGCATACGAATGTCAACTTCTGGTGCCGTCAAGACCGGTGTCGCGTCCCTCCGAGCCCTACGTCGATCCGAGTCGGAGTGATGACGACCACCGATGATGACGGTACCAGTGATGGCGATCTCACCAGGCTCGGGCTCACGTGCGTTGCACCTGCTCAATGTTTGTATTAGCAACATGCACAAATTGGAACTGTCACGCACGCGTTCAGGTCATGCTCACCAGAACCTATGCCCCTCTTGCCAAGCTTTGCTCTGACACTCCTTGCTGCAGTATTTCGCTTTGCGACACCGTCTACACTTGGCAAACTCTCGAGTAATCTTCTCCCACTTGCCGCAATTCACGTTGGCGCATTGACGGATCCCTCCGTGAGCGTCGTCTTTGCGGCATGCGTTCCTCATGATTACGCCTGCCCAGTATTGAATATCGGCAGGCAGCTTTTGCATCTCGGGATCAGGCCCGGAAGGACGGAAAGTGAATCTCTCGACGAGGGAAAACATGTTATTTGAGCGAGATAGCGCCGGTCGTTCGGGTAGATCGATGCCATCCGGAATATCGCAGTCGGGATGCATCGGTCGCCGAGGATGGTGAAACGCTGCCCGTACGTGGGGGTATTTGGAAAGATAGGCGAGCAGTTGCAAACATAACAAGATCGTGTCGTCGTTGTAGGTCACTTCGCCTGTCGGTGTCGTAGTTTCGATCACATTGACGAGGTCACTTAAATCTGAAAAGCCTCGAGGTGCCCCTGCAGCGATGACGGCGGCGAAAGCGGTCGTCTCATGTCGATCTTCCATACCAGTCATGTCTGTGCCGGCGATTGTTGTTGCTGGTAACGTATTGTTCCGGTGAGTCTGGCGAGGTGTCATCTCGGCGATACGAGGGGTCTGGGTCGCACCAGGTGCACCTGGAGGCGCGCCCATGGCCAGATCCACCTCTGCCTGTGTCCGCGCCTCTACATCGACCTCGACCAGACCATTCAAAGCTTCTACGGCTTCGTCGTCCATAGTCCCAACAATGCTAACCTCCTGTTCCGCGAGCTGAGGAGGCTCCTCTCCTACTGCAGACTCGTCATCTTCCGTCCCCGCCCGGCTGGTGGAACGAATATCGTTGTTCTGAATCGATATCCTGGCCACATCCCCGGCGTTGATAGCGATTGGCTGATGTAAACGGGAATTGGTGATGGTACCACTCCGCTGCCTCATGGCCGATTGAGGCGGGGTATCGATGCCAGGCGAGGATGCTCCGCTTCCGGCATCAAAGATCGCACGGGTGCTCGGCCGTCTTAGCGATAGCATCGGACGTTCCCGAGTCCTCGATTCACTCGGTGTCAGGCTCGGGCCTGCAAACGGACCGGCCTGATCGTTGAGCGAAGACAAGGTAGAATTCGATCCCGAGGCGAAAGGCGATCCGCCAGCCTCCTCCTGTAACGCACGCATGGATGTCTCGTGGCTAGGCGTACGGATCGACCGTGGCCTGATGTTGATACCCATCGCCGGTAGTGTAGGGATGGCAGCTCGGGGTGTAGGCTGCTCGATAACGATCGGTTGCTCTCCTTGTCGGGGTGGTGGTACATCCCGACGTTCAGGCGACGTAATTGTTCCGCTCCGACTGAGCACCATGGGAACTACCGGTGCCGGTTCCGTCTGTTCCCCTGAGCTGTCCATAGAGACATCATCCTCCCCTTCAGCCACCGATTCTGGTGTCATCGACATGGCTCGCAGTTGCTCTTCCGGTCGGATCTCGGGAACAGGCACGCGAGTCGGTCTGACAGGCATCTCGCGTGGTGGTAGTCTTGAGGAAGGCCTCTCCTCGACGAAGATGAAGCCTGAAGGTACCAATCCGCCGTCAAGATTACCTCCCTCCAGAGCCAAAAGAACGTTGAGATCCAGCCCAAAGGAACGGAAGAGCGTTCTTAGCCCATGGCTCTGATCGTTCGGCTGTATTACCGCGCGTCGAATGAAACCTCTATCGATGCCGGTCAAGCGAGCCACAGCGTTGATCCTCGTGATCGATGCCCGCTGCTCGAGCGTGAGCATGTTTACAATGATGTCGGTCGGAGAGGGTTCATCCTGCGGTACCATCGACCGTTCGAGGGACTCTTTGGTGATGACCCGACCGGGAGGTAGTCCATGTGCTGAGCTGCCCATAGGTTGACGAGTATGTGAACGGTGTTCAGGGAAGAGCGGTGGGCTGTTTCTGGACCGACTCGCTTCAGCACCGCTCGTGTGCCTGGTCTCCCGATACCGTTCCCTCTCCCTTTCTCTTTCCCTGTGACGATCTCGGCTCCGTGACGATTGATACCATGGGTGTTGCAACCCCGCAGCAGCTCTATCCACCGCGATCTGGCTACCGAGGGGGCCAGAATGTATCGACATCCCCTTGCCCTGCAGCCACACCTCCATAATCTGGGCGACCACGTCGAGCGCCCCACTCTGAACGACCCTCGTCCTGACCATCTCCGAACCCCTGACGCCGATATTCACGACGCATTGGAACGCAAGCGAATGTCGTAGCGAGATCTGTTGTTGATGATTGATCACCGCGGCCGTATGAGGTCCTCGTAGCGAATACCAATCAGCGATGGGAGAGGTCGCCGAACGAGGTAATGCTGATTCTTGTAGAATCTCGAGCAAGCGTTCTAGACCGCCATCGATGACGAGTATATCACGAATCCGTGGCGAAGTCGAGGTCAGGTAGGTAAGATGAGTAAGCGAATGTAGCAGTGGTAGCATAGAAGCCGTATCTAGAGCTATTGGACGCCAATCAACCAGGGAACAGGGGTCAGCTCTTTTAAAAGATACTCTTCGCACGGGGCCGCTCGTGTACCCACCTCTTCTGTCGTAGAGCTGTGCCGTGATGCTCACGCAAACCCTGTTCTGGGCAGGAAACGAGTAATTCGAGTCCCGCATGATGTCGCCTAATCAGCTCGTTCCGGGTTGCCTTGACGGTGTTTCTAATCTGTAGAGAGGTCAACTTCTAATGGTCTAGATGAGGAGAGCTTGAAGATCCAGTTGGTGTTTAGTTGCAATGCACCCGAGCTCAAGGAAGAGCAGAACAAGTTGTAGCGGACGAGCTTTACGCCGACGTTAATCCTTGACGAGCTCGGTATCGACCGCCACCACCGTGCGAGCAACACCAGCAACACCCGTAGGTTGTATAGATATTCCAGTAGTGAGGCGATGGCTCGTATGTGCAGTAGGTAGGATCCCCTTGTCCGAGAACGCAACAAAGGAGTGTTTGTTGATCTACCCCGGTTCCGCCAAGACGTCGAGAGGTCGAAATGGCTGCCAGGCGCGTTCTTCACAGGCTAGCGTGTACACTTGGTACTCTGCTCGATTTATATGTAGTGAAAAAGGTGGTCAGAGTGACGGTTTGTGGCACCTTGCCTGACCCACAGACTGTCAAAGATTGAGCGAGTTTGTGATAGAAGTTGATGATCAATCGCGACAGCTGCAAGCTCTGACTGAGGGGATCGTCACGCGAGAGGAAGCTAATTACTTGCTTTACTTGAGATCCCCGGGTCCGAGGATACGTATACGAGGGACTCTGCGAGCAAGTTCTCGACGGGCGAATCTAGGAAGCTCAGACGGTCTCAATTTTATGGTGATAGCAAGGGACTATATGGCGCATTCGTATGATACAGAGCTTTGTCGGCTTCACGGTTTTTTGCTGGTCAACCAAGCTCATACCCGCTTGGGTCCAGAAGGCGTGACTTCTCCCCAGACGATCTTGTCTTGTGCCGCACTCTCCTGCTCGTCCGGATAGCATCAAGGGCACCAAGGCATAGGACAACGTTAAGCATTTGCAAATGTCAGCGACTCGCATGTAACCGTGGTCTGGAGGAAGGATATGGAGGATGATGAACTCACGGCCAACTTGGTCCTCATCTCCTCCGAAGTGGCCCGCTGAGCTCGAATCTGATCGACCTTTCGCTTGAGATCAGGTGCAAGGGCCTGTAGAAAAGGTTTCAAGCCACCTCAAGTCAACATATGTCCGGCTTCCCAGCGGCGGGGTTTGCGGCGTCTCGACAGGACGACCTGAGGGTGGATGCGTACATTGTAGAACTGCTCGTCCGATGGTGTGGCGACTTTTGAACAGAAGAGGACTCGGTATCAATATCTCTCTTGACCCTTGAATGAGCATTGAATATGCTGCTACTCACTTTTCATCACTCCGTATCCAGCTCCCATCACTGTTCCGACCGTGGAACGGTATCCATTCGAGGCAACGAGGAGGATATGGAGTAACCGCATGAGCCAATTTCTCCTTCTTTCCTCGCCCGTACGGCTTGCCCAGACATACCTCCTACGGTGAACAAGACGAATCTACCCATCGGCAACGAAAGTATGTCAATATTGAATTCCTGATTGCGAGATTGACTGTCGGGTATCTCCACCGTCTGGAACAGCGTACGTTGCACGACCGGTACTCACTTTCCCCAGGCGATCTGCGACATTATGAGCTATGTATTTCCGTGTGCTGTGCTGTTACAAGGACCTCTTGGATCTGGCAGGACGTACTTACATGAACTTCTGAGTAGCCAGTTTGGCCACTCGGGATCTCGAGGGTCGAGGTTAAGGGCGCTGATCGATCGATTGGATCTGCTTCCGCTCTTATGTGCCGAGAGCGCTCGAGCAACTCTAGCGACATCGCTCATAGCCTGTCCATCAGAGCGATCAGGGCACAGAACACGGTTACATGGTCATAATATCGTTGTAAGAAACACACTGCCTCATCCTACATTCACTCTCACACTCTCTCTGAATTCCACTTCAACACGACCATTGTCTACTGATGACCCGATTCAGTAGACCCGGCTCCCGAATCGACACCACCCGCACCTCCGGTCTGAACAAGCGAAGGGTCCCTGCCCAATCCAGCGGCGGTCTGAGCGACGGCGGCGGTCCGGTTACGTTTGCGCTCGGCTTCGGCCTCCTTTTCGGCCTCGATCGATTTGACAATTTCCTCGATCTCTTCGTTCTTGAGTTCCTGTGCATTTACAAGAAACGGATGTACCGACATGAGCAGCATGAGCTTCTTGTAATATAGCAACGGTACGTTCTGAGATCCAAATACCACTTACCGTGATCTTTCCGTAACTCTCCATCACGGTGATCTCAATGTTCTTTGCTCCAGTCTGTACGACCTCGAGCAGACTCTTGATGGTCAACCTAATCGTATCGTCCCTCGACTGGTCCTCCTTGTAGTTCTTTTCCAAAAACTCTCGGACGGTCTTGGATGATCGGCCGACAGCGGTGGCCTAAGGGATTACAAAGACGCCCCGTCAGCAGGCGGTCAAACGTAGAGGTAAGGATCGTTTTGAAGCTCACCTTCCATGCCGAGTAGATACCGCTAGGTTCGGTCTGGTATAGTCGGGGCTTGACGTCGTTGGGATCGAATCCTACTACCAACGTCGATACACCGAAAGGTCGAACACCTCCCGATTGAGTGTATTTCTGGGCCAACAAATCCAAGTCGAAATTTAGTTACGCTGCTCAAGTCGTATGGTCTAGATCCGTATTCATTCCACTGACCTGCTGGATGCCGGCAATGTGCTTGGTAATATATTCGATCGTCACGGGATCCTCCACCGTCAGCCTGTGCGATTGACATTCCACCCTCGCCTTGTCGATCAGGATCCTTCCGTCTGCCGTCAGACCTGCATCACATAGGAAAGAAAAGGCGGAACATGTCAGTATACCAGCAATACTTGAAGGCTGAGGTTTCAGTGGAACTGAAATAAGGAGAGCTGCACACAGTTGCAGACTTACCGGCGAACGCAAGACAAACATGGTCGTCCAGCTTGGCCACCTTTCTCACGGTCCTAGGGTCTTGCAATTGAAGAGCCGACTTCTTCTCGACTCCCAGAACCACTACGTCTTTTCCTCGGGTACCAACCTGTTTTGTGACCAGGAATAACGAAGCAGTGATCAGTTTCGATAGTAGAAAGTAAAGCATGACGAGAAAGGACGAAAGGGAGCTTACAGCACAGGTACCGCGTCGGACTGCTTCCATCGCATAATCGACCTGTGCAGCAATTGTCAACATTCATTCACAGTGTGGAATGGTGTATTTCGAACGTAAGCCATACTTGGAAGAGATGCCCATCCGGAGAAAAGACGGTAAGAGCTGTGATCGGTATACAGGTCAGCGTACGCAACATGTAGTCTCGACTCCGACATGCTCACCTCTATCGTATGATCTCGACATTTCTCGTGCTAGTTTGACTCGATCGATCTAGTCTAATCCGAAATTGTAGAAGCTCAGTAGGAATAAACAGGACTTGCTGAACAGCTATCAGTCTCTATGATTCATGATGCAAAGGGGTTTGATGTGATGAGCGCTTCGTTGTCGTTGGAACCTCGAGGGGTGAGATCCAGAGCGTAGACTCGTGGTCGACCGAGTGGGCAAGGGGAAGATGACGAAGATGACGAAGCGTCGAGACCCGTCCATGGTAATTAGTAACCTACACTACACATCTATAATTCAACGACTCTACCGCTCTAGCTAATCTACAAATTCACAACCTGCGACTTGGGATCTGGTCTGCTCGTTCTGGCTGCCCGAGAAACCGACAAAATGGACCTACTTCACGTACTCGGCGTGCCTCCACCTGAGAACAGCAAACCAAAATAAAGCCGTTAGCGGTGCATTCCGGTTAACCACTTCGACTCGGCCTGGCACATGCAAGATGCAAGAACAAGGCGCTCTGAATCGCTCCTCTTACCTCAACATTTCGTAGACCGCAGGCAGGATAAGAATAGCCGCAGCGAGACAGACCCAATTCGAACTTCCGATAGACACTCGTACGCCTCCTTCAGATAGGTCTTTCACTGAACTCACCCCTCTCGTCTGAGACGCGGAACTTGATACAGCAATTAGCAAGATGAAGGATCTGAATTGCTCCTTGGGTGTTAGTGATATGTATTACACTCATGCCAAGAGTACGCCCCGACTCACAGCCAGACCAATGCCGCCGAAGTCAACGTCAGGACCAGGTGGATGGTGACGAGGGTATAGACCTTGTCCTGGTAGTGAGACTTTTTGTGGTGGTAGCGTGTCGCATACGCCTGCCACAGGATAGTCAGCAACAAGACCGAGAAGGCTTGAAGGATCATTGCAGGACATGTCAGCTCGGGATTAAGAGGAGAAGGAAACTCTGCGACTACGCACTCGGAATCAAGATGACGGCCGCTTTGCTCAACGTAGTTGTGACTGCGCCCGGGATCTCTATACCGAGCGAGTCTGGGAAAACCTGGTAAGACCACCCAGCAGCTACACAGCCGGCCCCTCGAACCTGTTGCGTACCACCATCCGCGATGGTGATGTTGTACCGGCAGTAATCCTTGGGCCCGAACCGGATCTCTTGGGTCATCGATTTGACGGCGACAAACCAGACTCCACTCGCTGTTGTCCAGGTCGGGATGGCGATGAGGACCCAGACGATGAAAGGGTATATGAGGTGCCAGGTAGCACCGGTCTTTCTCTCGCCCATGTTGTAGTCGATGTGTTCAGGAGATGGTCAGGCAGTCTATCCTGCTTCCACTGATCATGTGATTTGTACTGAAGACGGCTCAACCGTAACGTATCTATTCAATGATATGCATGCTTTCCATCTGGGAACCAACTAGAAGCGTCAGTATATATCACGTTCGAGTCTCTTCACGCGGCGGAGTTCTCTGTAGAGCTGTACGACCTTGCTATCGGCCCGGAATGTCCCGTTCTTTTCAGGTCCGACTCTCCTTTAACGCGACCTCACTGGTACTCAAGGAGAAAGGAAGCGAAAGTTGGGCGACGAACGTGACCTCTGGGAACACCGGTCGGGTGACTCTTGATCCTGCTGCCTTTGGGCGGCGCAAAGTCCGGTCGGCTGGGTATGGAACGATAACCAATAATCACAGTGCGGTGGCGCGGTGGAGTCGAGGGCTACATACAATGCTGGCGGACGAGTCCTTTAAAGGGACTATAATGGCCTTCTATGCGCCGTCATTGATAATACCCCGCCATCGCTTCCTCGTCTGCCCGATGCGATTTCACTCCATCCGACGCTGCTAATGCTGCTTCTATGTGACGAGTCGTTAGACACGCGATTGTGCATGAGGTCTTCTCGCCTCAACGGGGATGCGGTGGGGCTTGGCGCGCCGTGGCCACCAGATTGGTTGATTACAGGTAGGGGTATTCGTGAGGCCTGTCCAAAACCCCATTTCGCTTCGGTGAGCGAGACCAAGCGATTTCTGAGCCAACCAGCAAAGCCTGGGCTCTTGCAAAAGGCCGTGTAGAATTCGGTTTCTACTTTGCCTTTCGTGGTAAGACCTTTTGATCGGAATTGTAATGGATTCGGTGCCATGGCCTTGAGATGATGCAGGAATGCTGTAAGGGCAAACGGCTTGATGCCTTCCGGCGAACTATCCACATCAGGACTATGATAAGCGCCATGATGCCCCCGATCAAAGGAGCAACTCCACACGTACCCGACGGGTGGGATAAGCGATGACACGTATCGGTTCAGCGGAGCGAGCATCTTTTCGGTCAGCTGGATGAAGAATGTCCGGAGCGTCTCGTTCCCCGCAGCGTCTGAGGGTCCAAGGGAGTTCAGCACGTAGTATCGAGAACCTTTCTCACTCCTGGATTGCTCACCATCAAGTTTACCGGCAGCTACTAGATCCTCGAGCTTCTTTAACAGTATCCGATCCTTCGAGACGTGGCGTTTTCGGGCACTCAAAAAGCCCTGTGGATGCTCTACGGAACTATTCGGGCCTGTTGACGGTCGTGGCTTAGACCTATGCGAACAGCGACAAGGTATCAGAACTTGTTTTGAGACTCGAAATCAAGGTTGCTTCTGGAACTCACGAGCTCCCGCCCACGCTAATAACATTCGGCCAGTGGCCAGCAGCGTTCCGGAAGAATGGATTCTATAGGATTTGCAGGACCGATCAGCTACCGATCACCCGACATATGCACTCGAAAGAGAAGTTGCTCACCGTCACCCCGACGACTACACCCGGTTGCGGCTTGTTCGAATTTACGAGCAACCTGAAATCCAAATCATGGATATGCAGGTAAGGCCGCAGATCGGCGCTCTCGGTCGGGATCGGTTTCATGAGGTCTCCCAACCACCAGACGATAGTCGAACATGTCTGGGGGTCAGGTGCGATGACGAGAAGCGGTTCCCCTAGGATCATGCATTCCCACACATGCCAAAGAGCGGGAAGGAGCGTGCCGAAGACCCGTAGAGGTTGTATTGGTGGCAATGATGCCAGAACCTGAAGCCAATGTGGGATTGCTCAGCTGATGATGAAATAGTCATTGCCATTTCGGCGACGGATACTTACGACCGATTTGACTTCTGCATCGGCTCTTATCCGTGGAGGCAAGGTCAACTGAGGATCTTCCGTCAGATCGGGTAATCGGATCGACAAAAGATCCGTCAACAAGGGCAATTGGAGCTCGGCTCCAGGTACGGGATCAGGCCTGTGCGACGGGTTTCGGGAGCCATCAGTTCCGCGTTCTCTTCCATAATGAGCTAGACAAGACTCACCAGCTTGCGAAACCGTAGCACACCGCTTCCAGAGCGGGGTATCCGTAATCAGATTACATCGGAGCGACCTTGTCCAAGACCGCCAAGAAGAGCGATGGAAACGGCAAGTGGGTCAAGATGACGATACTGCGCTGGAAAAACACATCACACCAATATCATCAGCACACGACGGAGAACGCATCGAGGACGTGAAGGCGGACCTACCTGCATGTAACCCCTCGCCAGGCTCCGATCCTTCTTCTGACAGAACCACACGAACCCGTACAACCACTCTCTCCCCCGTTCATCCCACTTTCGATAATCCTCTGCCGTCTGAACCTGGGTAGGCAGAACCTTTTTCGCCAGCGGAGTCTCCGGCAACTCGGTCTTGGGTCCGAAGAAGCCTTCCTTGTTATGCAGTGGTTGAGGTGTACGAGGTAGAGGGACGAGCTGGTCCTCGAGCTCCTCCGAGACCGTTATATCGACCTGTGAGCCTGATGCTAAGGGAGTCTGCTCGCCCCCGTTGCCAGTTGGGCTTGAAAGTTCGGAGGGCGTACTTGAACGGGAAGCTTCCCCGTTACTACTAGACTGGAAATAAGATTCCGATGGTTCACGGGCGAGCGGGGCGGGAGTTCGACCGTTTGAAGTCTCTCCGACCGATTGACGGATCTTGAAGGAATACGAGATGGATCCTTCGGCGAACAAGCTCGTGTCCGGAAATGCCGAGAATGCCCTGCAGTTCAGAGGTAGCAATCACTTTCAGCTGCGAAACCTCACCGTCAGCGAATAGAACTGAGGCGGAGAACTCACACGTTCGCTCGTTCTCCCTTTCCCCAGGGCCGTCCGATCATCCGTCTCTCCACGATCGGACCCCTGTCGATATCGAAATTGCAGACGACCACCTCTTGCACCCATCTCTGCATCTTTCCGGCCACATCTTGTGGTAGAAAGTCGGCGGTATGATTCTGTAAGTGATGCCGAGTCGTCTGTCTATGATGAAGATGATGCTGGTGTGGATGATCACTGCCGCCTGGAGCCTGGTCGTGCCTGGTCTTGGTCGGTGAAGGGGTGAAAGAGTATTGTTGCGGCTGAAACTGCGAGCCCGTCGGCGTGGAGGGCGATACATGGGAAGAAGGATAAGCGCTATTCCCCGGAGCGCTATATGGGATAGGATCTCCCGTCCTGTCCGTAGGTACGGATGCGACAGGCAAGCCTCGAGTGTCCACGTTGAGCGGGACACCTCGGGAAGAGGTCCGGCGAGAGGATTCACGAAGAGTGGATGTGCCTCGTCGGATGGTCTGTTCGTCATCGTAACGGGATCCTCCAGGACCAAGGGAGAGGATCCCGAACTCGTCCGTCTCCCTGCTCGAACGGTCTTCGAGGCCAGCTCCTCGCGCACGGATCATCGTCCGGCTCCGGCCGATGTTATTGACATTGCCCGCCAGCGGGGTTTCCAGATCAGGCCTTGCTCCGTCGTTGGGTTTGCCTAACGGTGTCCTCGTCGCTGTCGTGTTGTGATACGATTCGTCAGGCGATCGAGCTAACGGGGTATCCAAAGGACTATTCAGATTCAGATCACCATCCTCTTGTGGAGATGCTGACGACAAGCTCAGAGAACGCAAGTTTGGAGTAGATGGAGATGAAGGGATCCGACGAGGATGAGGTCTCTCGGTGGAGGAAATCCCTTGACGAGCGCTGGTGATGTCGATATCGACCCCGGGTTTCATGGAGGATTGTAACCTGGTCCGTCCACCGCTTTGACCGTGTCCCGCACGTTCGGCGTCGAACTCCATGATGTCGCGGTTGGATGGAGATACTACAGAACGTGAATTTGTTAGGCTTATCTCTTCATGTTCGCTTTGTAAATGTGACTTTGAGCTTCTTGATCAATGAGTTGACAGGGACATGTATTTATTTGGTAAAGACCGGTCCTTGAAACAGAACATGAACACCTCCAAAGGTCGAGTGCGAAAGGTGATCGAGGTGATGGACAAGGTGCAAGCTGCTCCCGGCGGCGACGATCGCGGGACAGGCGGAAGTAAATTCAACGAGTATGAGGTCGATGCCGTAAGTTATTCCGTCATATGATCGAACGGAACCAATTGCCCTCGGTCAACGCCTAGGGCCGAGGGGACCGGGGAGGAGGGGGAGTTTCCATGGATCATCAAACTCAATCATCATTTCAGACATTCTTCTTGCATCTTGTTTGATCAAATTCCCTAGGGAAGAGGAGCGCTCCGTGTTGATGATCTTCGAACCCCGTAAACAAATAACAAGAAGCAGAGCAAGAGAGAAAGACACCTAGACATGTCGTCACAATCACTACGATCGATACTCAGCTTGCCCTCGGAACCTGGTAAAGCAGGACTATCACATGCGAGACGACGACCACCTCGACATGATCAAACGAACGATGACCGAGTTCACCTTGAAAAGATAGAGCGACGTCCGGGATCATGAACAACAACGTGTCTTCAATCAACAGGTGAGCAACAAGACGCCAGCCTTTCACCTGTTGCAGGGCAGTGCCATCCTGCTGACACCTTTACCGCCCTTGTAGCGGCACTTGGCTTCCTCTCAAAGATGCCGTCCGTGGCAGGGTAGTACGAAACTTGATCACCACCGAAGCAACCAGGAGCATCAACCCATACTTGGTAGACTTGTGGTACGGAAGCGAGGTCTTTGCGGTAGAGGTCCTTCGAGTTGCATCGAGCAATGGTCTTGCCCAGGAAACTTGGCTGAGAGGGTGAGCCGGGTCGAAGTGGTTCACAAGGACATCGTGCGTACGCTAAGACTGCCTCCCTGTACGTAGCTACGTCGTGGGCAACCCTTCAATTCGTTTTGAGCAAATCAAAAAGATCGACCCATCCTCCTCGAAACCCGAACCATCCGTTCAGACCGGCGTATTTCCTGCTGGTCATGTACAATGGGATCATCAACCTGACAATCCGGGTGGTCCAACATTTGGACCCTGCGATACCCAAACCCACTCCCGAGGTACAGTCGAACTTCCCGTCCTGGAATCTCTCTCCATCGCGAGGTCGTCGTCGGGAACAGACACTATCATATCTTGCATCCAAGATTCCATCCAAGACTGGTCCAACCGACTGCCCGTCTACCTGGCAATTCGGCAATACAAGCTCTTTGATGGCGTGACAAAGGAGATTCAGTTGTTGGCTTCCTACCGGCTTCAACTTGACTCGGGGATCCTCACGAAAAAACAGGATAATCGGGTACGGGTCGAGGTGTTGAAAACCTTGAGCAGGGGGAACGCGCTGCAAGGACTGGATCTGGTGGTCAGGCATCCCGGGACGGGGGAACAGCCTGTAGTCAACGAGGGTAATCAAGGAGAATGGATCGTCACTCCGCTCCGATTGTACCTGGCTCAACTCGCTACGGCCTCTCTGAATGCGCCAAAGATCTCTCCAGAGGAAACGAGGCTGTCCAACCTCTACCTGACGCATCAAGGAAAAGGGATCCCGGCCCTCCAGGATGTAAGGTCAGCCATCCGGAACCCATCAAATCCGGCCGAGGCTTCGAAATATCTAGTAGCCGAAGTCAAGGCTATCATCATCCGCACGGACCCCGGAGAATCCTTAGAGCTCTACCTGTCCATCTACGATAATACGCCGACGAAGAAGGCGTTCATCACAGAGGAATTCCTTTCCCAAGCCATCAAGGGGGGGCATATCACAGAAAAGTCCAGTGTGGCCTTTGAAATAGGTGGTAACAATGGTACCATCACCTCGCTGTACCTGGTGGTCAAGGTCGTCAGGGTCGTGATTGGGGGCATGGACGGGTCGTACCGTCGGTACCCGTTTGGGGTGTCCGTGACCCCGTTGTCGGGCCTGTTGGATACTTCAAGCGAAAAGGTCTTGCAGGTGGAGCCTTGGGTGAAAGGGTCGGTGTTTTCGAGCATGCACGAGGAGCTGGTAGAGAGGAAGAATACCGCTAGTGCTAGCAAGTGCGTGGGCCCAAAATGACTCTGACTCCATGTAGCTCGTTTTGTCTGATGCTGATATCTACGTGTGATGCCTTCGCAGGCACAGAATCGTCGTCGGCATGCAAATGAGCCCGACCAACCGAATCGTCCGTAATGCAGCGCTATGCCGATCTCTTAGCGGATCGAGCCCGGTACAGGGCGTAGCTGACGCCGACGTATACATCAAGCTCTGGTCGGCCGTCTTGCCCGATCCGATCCCCGACGAGGTGTACGTCAAGATGACCCTCTATTCGACGGACCAGCATCGGCTTGTGGATTGCATCTTTCCTGGGGGTTCTGGATCTGGCATGTCCAGCGAGGGGGCGTTGGAGTACAAGTCGGTGGTCTGGCAAAAGACGCCTTCGACCTCGACGCCCGTATTTGGCGATCTCGTCCGCTTTCGGATTTCTCGTCAGCATCTGCAGAGCGGCTACGTGCAGTTCTCGATCATGGCTGCGGACCGGGCGGCAGAAACGAACGCCCCTCAAGGGTCGAACGAATGGGTAGCTTTCAGTGTGGAGATGCCCCTAGCGAGCAATCCCGGTAGCGAGCTTTGGGTGCAGGATGGGGAACATACCCTCGTCTCCCCAAACCCCGCTTGCGCCCTGACGGTACGTGCTCTGTCTTTGGTGCCTTTTGGTTTCAAAGACGTCAATATTGCGTATGCCTTGACACAACCGCCGGGTGATATCTCGGTTGATCGGATCTCGTTGCTACGGTATGCACCTGTGGACGAACTCAAGAGGCATGCTGGGAAGCTGCTGGACTATCTTTTCTCTGCCATGCTAGCGGATACTACGAACTTTCCGCTACACGCTGCGGTCCTGGACGTCTTGGCTACCTTTCTTGAGGAGGAGGAGTTGCAGGCTTCCTGTGCGGTCTGCACCCTAGAGCCAGGCGCAAAACGACAAGCGGTTCAATTGCTGTTGGAGGCTGTCAGCTTGGCTTTGAGCGATCGGTCTAGAAGGAACAGCACCATCAAGTGTCTGAGCATGGTGTGCAGGCTCATTCGGTTGATGCTCGATGCGTCTTTCGATGGGCAAGAGGCAATCGAGGAGACCCTTTCGGCGATAAGGAGCCAGCTCGTGACCATAGCTTCGAGCAAGGACGATCATGTGGGACAGACATTGGCACTGAGGCACTGGCCCTTTGCTACATTTGGGGATCCTGAAGACATCATCAAGTTGATGGACAATATCCGACCCAATACCGTTAGCGAACATAAGAGCAAGATGCGGTTCGTCATCCAGGTCTTGGAAGAGCTAGCACTGGACGAATCACTCGTGGCGGCCCTTTGGCGGAACATTAAGAATTCGCTTAGCAAGGCCGATGATCAGGCTCTAGATGTGATTCATCTTGCGACCAGTGCCTGCGGGCGGATCATCGACGCTTCATGCAGAGTTGATATCCAGCTGGACGATGTGCTAGAATATATCGGAGCAGATGTGCTTCAGGTTCTGCTCAAGAGTCACAGCAAGGTGGCAAATGGTCTTGATGGTCTCAACGGCAATGGATCGTCCAACATTATACATGCTCTGCCTTCACAGAGTATCCAAACGACTTGTCCAGCCGGCGCGGAAATCGTTATCAGGGATATTCGGGCATGTATCGTCTGTGTCGTCAGTCGCCTCTCGCCTGGACTCGGACAGTTGCTCAGGGACCTGGACGGAGGTGTCTTGGCGGATTTGCAGGATCTGACCTGGGCATTTCTACACTCAGTTGCCAGGCTGGCCACCAGTCGCTCGACAATGGCCTCTTACGCAGCCTTCGAGGCTAGGATGTGGTTACGCCTGTGTCGAGCCATGTGTGAGACAGTCGTGTCAGGCCACGTTGCATCGCATGAGCATCTTGCAACAGTAGTGGCTCTGGTCAGACATTCTCAGCCCCAATCGAGCGCGAACGGAGGCTTTGATAGCGATGACGATGCGATTCATTGTCTAAGGATCTTGTGTCGCTTGGCGGCAGGGCCCGAGTCGTTCTCGAAGATTGTGGATCTGGCACTCGATGCTGGGTCGGCCAAGATACGTAACGTATGCCACGAGGTCCTCTTCACCATTAGTGCCGGTGCGCCAAACGTTGTGAGCCATGTTCTGGTTGGGACGCGCGAAGCGAATACTCATCTGCAAACCCCGTTACTTGTTCCAGGAGATTGAAGCTTTCCTATTTTTACTGGTCCATGCAGTAAGCGCTTTTTCGTCTCGACTTCTTCGACACGCAAACCTGACCGGATGCCTCATAGTTCGTCGAAGGGTCTCATAGGGTGATGCGAATCACTATGCTCATTCAGGAGGCATCGGCCATCTGGCTGACACCTGAGAATGGGTGGAGCGCTGCATTGGAAATATTGCCGAGACTCTACGGCGCCTTGGAGAACCAGCATTGGACCCATCCTCGCCATGGGACGGCCTTTATCGCCCTGCTCGAGCTGGTCATGCCTTTTCCCTCTGTACGGAAAGCGCTGATCCTGCAGCTCTACAACCATATATTCGACGCCGAAGGCACGTCCACAGCCAACTTGCTACTCGAGCTGGCGGTGCTCTGCGAGGATCCCGAAGACAACCTGTCTTTACGTTTACACGGTCATGTCGCACCGCGCAGCCTGAGGGTCAGCGAGCTGCACGAGGCGGCGATCAACGAGGCTATCTTTATGTGTGACCTCGGCTTGGCGGGGAGAATCCTGGCCTCGTTGACTGTTCTAGCCGAACGAGAAGGAGATTAGTGCGTGCGTTCACTTCAGGTATCGTATCCCAAGCTGATGCTAGCCCATCGTATAGCCGACGAGTAAGCGATATTCTAACCTACCGGTCCAGGCTCGCCCGGATGATGCAAGAAGGTAGTCCCGTATGGCGGTACTTTTACGTTGTGAGTGGAAGTTCAGCTTTTCACGGACAGGTCTGAGTGCAAGCTGACCGATCGGAGCTTTTGGCGCCGTAGCGATTGGTCGATGGGGAGATGATCGAGCTGATCTGGCGAGCGCGGCATTGCGAAGACCTGTGAGTTCCGCAGCAGGCTACCGATGATTACGCTCGGTTTACCGGAACTCCCTACTCGCTACTTGGCAGATTGCACCAAGTTCAGCGGGCGTATCCTGAGCAAACGATCGCCCTGCGCGAACGTGCCGATCGTACCCCCGTCCCTCCCGAGACCGACATCCTCCTGGTCGAGGTCGACATCGAGCCCAGTCAACCTCCTAAACCCTTCTGGGCGAAACACGACAATGTCTGCCACTTTACGCTCGACCTGGTCGAAGGCGATCTAGCGGTATACGAGGTGGACTCTCCCTTGCCTGGTTTCTTGCCGTTTGCGAGCGTAAAGAACACGACCAGGGTGGTCCAGACGGAAGAAGAGGTGATCGCGAGAAAGATGAGGGGGACGATTGAGATGCTTGCCTATACGCTGAACGGGATGGGTACGACCGAGTAAGCTTGTGCAGAGTTGGGTCGATGGGTTGTTGGAAGTCAGTAGGCTGATGACGACCAACCGTTTGTGTCGATTCGTTCCGACTCTAGCTCGAATGGGCTGAGCAACTTACTAGACGCTGCGATCGAAGACGTCTTGATAACTACCAACGTCAACGCCGGGCACGACGACCTTCTCGTGGACTACCTCTCGCTCCTCCTCAAGGGACTAGATATGCATAGCAGGATGACCCGCGGGACGCCGATGGAAACTTTCCACAAGTCGCTCGTCGTGAACTATGAGTCGCGGTATCCGCTGGCGGTGAGGGAAAAGGCTGAGCTAGATTTCTCGGCCAAGAATGGGAGCAAGGCGGGGATGGACCTGTTGGCGCTCGCTTTCGGGTCGGCAGGATCGAGTGAAAAGCGGAACCACCCCGATAGACCTTCAGAGGATACGCTCGTCCACGGTCGATCTGCGTATTCAGACGCGCTTTCGCCAGTCTCTACGACTGATGGAATGCCGTACGTGAACGTACACCAGTCGCAGTCGCCACAATTCTTCTCCAACCCGTTCAGTCCCAAGACGACTTCTCGTAACGGTTCATTCTCTCCGTACCCCATGTCGGACAGGGGTTCTCTGATGGACCGATCGGACTTGGTCGTCTCGCCCGTGACGAGGAGCCCGTCGGTGGCTTCGAGGAGGATCCCGATGGGAGTGAGGAGGTTGGGATCGTTGCTCTCCAAGTCCAGGAGCGGGAGTACTTCTTCAGGGGTTGTATAGTGCGATACTAGGCAGGTCGATGATCTTGATATGGTGATTAGCTGTGAAACTTTGGGGCGTGTTTCATGATGTCGAGTCGATTGTGAAACCCCGATCTGCGATCCTGCGATACATTCCGTTGCTTTCGGGTAAAGTCGGACGATGGGAGCACCTCGATGTTGCTTGTCGGAAGCAAAAGTGTGAGGGCGAGGTGGCCTATGAGACGTCGCCCGTTTTGATGCGCGAGCAGCGAGCACAGTCCCCACCTTCCCTCGCCCCTGCCCTGCCCCCTGCCCCGCCGATCGACCGACCTCTGCTCGCATCGAACATCGAAGCATCCCACATCCCATCCTCGTCGTCGACGACATCACCGCCACCACACCTCGAGTTCCGATCTTGTGACTCATATAACCTCGAGGGAATCTTTAATCTTGCCGTCGTCGCTTCTACCTAGTCCTCGTCCCCCCAACAACTCTCGACTCTCGATCGGACTTTTCGCTCGTCCCGAATCTATTTTCCTCTCAAACAACCACTAGAACTTCTCGATCGCGATCCTACGGAACTTTGCTGCGATGCTCCGTCAGTTCTCCAAGAGCATCTCTAGGAGCCAGGCGGCTTCCAAGTCTATCCAAAAGCGAGGGTTGGCTTTTGCCTCGCCGTCTCACCGTGCCAAGGAGGCTACCGTGAGTTTGGAACGCGCGATCTATTCTCGATCCATAGGGATGTAGGAAGACTGATCTCCACTCTATCGGTATCCTTCGTCCGACAGAACTTTGGCCAGCACAAGGGTTACCCCGTCATCGACCATGAGTGAGTACATCGTTCGACCACTCGCTTGTTGCGGCAGCGCGGGACGGCGATCTCGATCGAACACTTTATTCACCCCCTATCCCTATGATCGCCTTGCGGTACAGGTTCGATGCCATCGTAGTCGGAGCTGGAGGTGCCGGTCTCCGAGCCGCTTTCGGTCTTGGTGAGCACAACGTTTTTCAGGCCATCGATGTCGTCGACCTGGCTGCTTATACCTTGATCGATCTGGTCGTGTTGTCCTTCTGCAGCCGAGGGTGGATTCAAGACTGCTTGTATCACTAAGCTTTTCCCTACTCGATCGCACACCGTTGCCGCTCAGGGAGGAATCAACGCAGGTGAGACAAGACAAATCCACGACCCTGCCACTTGTCGTACGGGGCTGCAAGCTAACTGAGATCCGCCGTGTTTCGACATTCCAGCCCTTGGAAACATGACCGAGGACGACTGGAGGTGGCACATGTATGACACCGTCAAGGGATCCGACTGGCTCGGTGACCAGGACGCCATTCACTACATGTGCAAGGAGGCTCCCAACGCCGTCATCGAGCTCGAGCACTACGGTCTCCCCTTCTCCCGTACCAAGGAGGGAAAGATCTACCAGCGAGCTTTCGGTGGTCAATCGCTCAACTACGGAAAGGGAGGACAGGCTTACCGATGTGCTGCCGCCGCTGACAGGACTGGTGAGAGCGAGACCATCTCGATGTTGTTGGTGGCCTGTGCCTGACCAGACATTTCGTTCTCGAAACGTAGGTCATGCCATGTTGCACACCCTGTACGGTCAATCGCTCCGACACAACACCAACTTCTTCATCGAGTACTTTGCTCTCGATCTCTTGATGGAGGACGGCGCCTGTGTTGGTGTCATCGCCTTGAACATGGAGGACGGTACCTTGCACAGGTTCCGGGCTCACAACACCGTGCTCGCCACCGGAGGATACGGACGTGCCTACTTTTCGTGTACCTCGGCCCACACTTGTACCGGAGACGGTAACGCCATGGTCGCCAGGGCTGGGCTTCCTCTGCAGGATCTGGAGTTTGTCCAGTTCCACCCTACCGGTATCTACGGTGCCGGTTGTCTGATTACCGAGGGATCGCGAGGTGAGGGTGGATACCTCTTGAACTCGGAGGGAGAGCGTTTCATGGAGCGATACGCTCCTACCGCCAAGGACTTGGCTTCCCGAGACGTCGTCTCGCGATCCATGACTTTGGAGATCCGAGAGGGACGAGGTGTCGGTCCGGAGAAGGACCACGTCTACTTGCAACTCTCGCACTTGCCCGCCGAGGTCTTGCACGAGCGATTGCCTGGTATTTCGGAGACTGCCGCCATTTTCGCCGGTGTGGATGTTACCAAGGAGCCCATCCCCGTCCTGCCCACCGTGCACTACAAGTGAGTGTTCAAAGCCATGAACAGCGGTCTCGATCGAGTCTGACGTGTTTTCTATTCTTCGTTCTCGCAGCATGGGAGGTATCCCTACCCGATACACCGGAGAGGTCGTCACCGTCGACAAGGACGGCAAGGACCAGATTGTCAAGGGTCTTTACGCCGCCGGTGAAGCCAGTTGCGCCTCCGTTCACGGAGCCAACCGATTGGGAGCCAACTCGTTACTCGACATTGTCGTGTTCGGTCGTGCTGCCGCCAACCACATCCGAGAGAACCACAAGCCCAACACACCCCACAAGCCTTTGGAGGACCTTGGAAAGGCCAGTATCGCCGAGTTGGACCGACTGCGAAACTCGAACGGACCTTTGCACACCTCGGCCGTCAGGTTGAACATGCAAAAGGCCATGCAGAGCGATGCCGCCGTTTTCCGAACGCAAAAGTCTTTGGACGAGGGAGTTGAGAAGATGACCGACGTCTTCCGATCATACGATAATGTCGGAATCAAGGGTGAGTTTGGGTTGTTGTCGGTTGGATTGGCGCATACCTTGCTCGACAGTCGCTGATGCTTGAATGCCATTCGTAGACCGATCGATGATCTGGAACTCTGACTTGATCGAGACTTGGGAGTTGAGCAACTTGTTGACCAACGCTCAGCAGACCATCGTATCCGCTGCCGCAAGAAAGGAGTCCCGAGGTGCCCACGCACGGTTAGTACTGCTACGCCTGCGCTTTCATAGTCCGCTCGCGTTACTAATATCCGATCTCGATATTGCAGAGAGGACTTCCCCGACCGTGATGACGACGAGTGGATGAAGCACAGTTTGACCTTCCACCGAGATATCACCAAGCCCGATATCGAGTTGAGCTACAGGAAGGTCATTGGCACGACCATGGACGAGAACGACTGCAAGGCGTGAGTAGATCGATAGACGTCCTTGTTTCGCTTGCAGTCTGCTGACACGCCCGATATTTCCTTTGATGTCACAGCGTCCCCCCTGCCAAGCGTGTGTATTAAGCAGTGTGTTTTGTAGATTTCGAGGGCTACCCAATGACATGAATGAACTAGCATGATGACGTCTACCGCTGTTCAGACGCTGCAATATCTTGCGCATCGATTTCTCATGAACCTCGAGGCGCGTGTGAGATTGATGAATACCGACTGACTTTGACAACCAGTGTTTTGGCTCGCTGCTGAACATTCAGTCATACTGTGAACATTCAATGGACCGCGACGCTACGGCCTTCAGTTGAAACGATGGTGTCGACAATGAGACTCGATTTGTCCGATCTCGACCGTTTGGAAAGATTGTCCTGAGTCTCAAAGCACGAGGACTAAGAGACGTAGTCTTGAGAGTCCCCAAGTTGGCGTGCGCAATGACCTGAATCGAACCAGGTCGGTAAAAGGAGGTAACTCATACCTGAGTATGTCGTTCCAATGTCAATCCGCTGATCCCTGCTCCTCCACCAAGTTGGCAATATACCGAGGAAAGGAAAAGAGCGTGAACGGCTCACTCTGATCAACTGGATCCACCTCGACCAAATCATCATGAACGTATGACTTAGCAAGCGCAAAGCCAGATCAAAGGATGAAGCTGGGAAAAGTGTACGCAATCCCGACTGGAAGTCTCCGCCGCCGGCTCTACATCTAGATCTCAAGAGAGCTTTTGGCATCACCTCAGAACAAATGAGGGAACTTGTTCTCCTTGAGGATTTCACCTCTCAGCACCTTTTTGGAAGGCTATTTACAAGCCTTTTAGGAGACCGACTTGACAAAATCGGTTGCTGGCCTGGCGTGGACGCGCCAAGCTCTGACGATCGCCTCAGCTTCGTATATGAAACAGGCATATCCCGGTCGCGAGTTTATTTAGCGCCTCGGCGACGGGCGTCGAGGTGTTTATGAGATCCATGGTTCTCTGTCAGATCTTGTCACTTGCTTACAGTCTGAACATAATGGAACATCAGGAACGGGCCTAAGGTAGTCGCGGATGCATGACAAGTGGGTCCCTCGACGGGGAGGTTATCACTTGCCCAATCGCCAGTAATCGGTACGCACTGTTGCACACAGGCTGTGACGGCTACCTGCCGTCACATTCGTTTTCGTCCCGCCAATCATGGATGCCTGTGACTTCATCCTTACAACAGCTTGACTTCCCATCAGTCGAAAATGTAGTCAATAGTCCTTCGCCCTGGGGTGCCGAGTGACCCTATCGATTGATCGAACATGTACGGAGAAGCAGGTCAATGCGGGCGCAATAGAAATAAATGTCGGATCGGTTCGCAACTTTACCATCGCGATAGAGACTAATCTGTCAGGCAACAGCCACGTGCCTCTCATGTTATGACGGCTTGATGGCCCAGCATCTGGTCATCACACATGTCAACCCATGCATCATGTGAGACTACTTTGAGCGCGTATCTGAGAAATCAGCTGATTATCTGTACGCCAAGGGAAGTCGAAATCTGGAGCATATGATAGAAGGACACCATGTTTTTGCTGGTATTGGAAGGCCATCCTGGAAATCCTTCAGATGAAAGATCGTTAGGATTGGCCTTCGCTAAAAGTAGTTTATCATGCCAAGATGATGAAGTTGTAAAAAAAGGCAAAAATCATAGCCCATTGTGGGGATCGAACCCACGACCTGCCGATCGCAATGGCTGTGAAGCTATTAAGAGTCGGCTGCTCTACCAACGGAGCTCAACGGGCTAAACCGTCTTGGTTGTGATGGGTTTGTTAACTGTCGATACCATGGTAATTCGCATTGCTCCCCAGCATAATCTTATGTCAGATCAAGAGACCTAAGAAAGCCGCAGCCTTGTCTTGACGCATCTCTAGTCGATGTGCGACTCTCTTCTCGTCATCCATGCCCTACAAACGACAAGAGCGGTACCAGGATCCAGGAGCGGGTCGTCCGATTCAGCAGAAAATAGACACTTGTTTTTCGAGTCTGAGGGGATACAATCATTTGACATCGATCTAATCTTCTTCTAGCAAACTTGACAGAGGACCTGCTCCTACCGAGTCAGAGGCAGGTCGGCTTCGGGGCGCGATACCTAGAAGTCTTTGGTGGGAGCGTTGGTACCCGAGCCGTGCTTGACGACAGGCTTCTCGGGAAGATCGTCCTCCTATAACAGTGACGGCTGATCAGCGTCCTGTCTAGCAATCGTGCAGCAGGCCGAGACCAACCTTGAAGAAGTGAACAGGAGAATCTTTGTCCAAGAAGAGTTTGGGAACGATGTCGGCCTGGCCCTTTTTCAAGATGAAGCCGATACCTGCAAGATGGTACGGATATCAGGTTCGAGACCGTTTGCGGCTTTGTCAGCAATATAGGCGTTGTCAGCAATATAGGCGGGAGAGACTTACCTCCGTGGCTGTAGTCCCTGCGAACGTCAAGGTCCATTCGTGTCAGCTGACAAGCTCTGAGACAGGATTCTGAGGAGGTAGACTTACTTCTCATTCTGTGCGATCGCATCAGATATGATGAAGAATCTCACGATCAGTAACTCGACACTGTCATGGTTGTAGAGTTCGATTCCTATTTACCGCTTGATCCTTGTGGTAGGTCTGGCCGATCATCAAAAGGATTATCAGTAAGCAGAGAGCCTTTCACCAGCAGACCAATCGGATTCGGACTGGGACAGATACTGACGATGAGAGGAAAGTCAGAGTCCGAAGTAGCCGGGTCGAGCGAGAGGCTGACGAGCGCGTTGATGGTAATAGGCTTGAGGCTGCCGACGCCCAAGAGCTCCCAAGTCTATCGGGTGGAAGAGGCTACCGAATCAGCTTGTCGTTCGGGAAGAGGCTGCTTTTCAAAGGTATCGTACCTGTTCATTCTTGAACCTAACGACCGGTCCGTAGACTACCATAAGCGTATGTCCCGCAAATATGGCTTAGTTTTCGACTCACTGGATCAAGTTTTGAGAGTTGTGGATGATCTCGTATCCTTCGTTTCGGCTAGCAGCGAACAATTTGGGCAGAGCTGTGGGCATGCCAACTGATGTCAGTAGGTGCGCATACAGGCGAAGTAGTTCAGGCTTGCGACTCACCGAACCTGCGTTGCCATAAAGGAAGGAACACAGGAATCAGTCGTGTAGTCCGGAATGCTAGTAAAGATGAAAGAGAAGGCTTACCACTGGCACGCCATCTTGTATCGGTTGTTAGCGTAGACAAACTGGTCATCTGGGATTCGATCGGTAGCAAATTTGAGCCACAAGGATTGCGGGAACTGGAATTTGGAGGTTGGTAGGCGTACCATAGACCTGGGGATAGGACATTGGAATGCGTTCAGCTTGACGTTTCGAGAGAAGTCAGAGTGGATCCGAATCACTCACACAGCTGGGGGCGTATCGGGAGACACGCTCGACAGTAGGCTCCCTGCGTCAAATGAAAGCACTCGTATCAGTTTCAGAACGACTTTTGAGGCGTGATACGCTGGCGGATCAGCACTAACATCGAGCTAGAGAATGTGGCCCACCAGCGAGATTGTCAATAAATCATGCTTTGACAAGTTGATCCCGCAGTCAAACTCACTAGAGGGCAATCACATCGTCAATGAGTTTCTGCCTGTTGGGGGGCAGCTTGATGCTCTTGGAAGGATCGGGATGCATGTCCTCGGTGGTGGTGACCTGCCTGACCTCGGCCGTTTCGCCAGGTTGGCCCGAGGCGGCCTGACGGGTCTTGATCACGATTTCGGGAACGGACATGTTTGTGTGGAAGTGTGGAGTGCTAGTAGTTAGGCTGAATGTGTTGTCAAGTGAGGTAGGAAGGGTTGTAGATCGATGGATCGAACGATGTGTGTACGTGTTATATACTTCAGCTGCTCCCGATTCCCTTTGCCCTCGGCGATCGAGCTGTCGTCATCACTGCTCTCGGCCCGCCCGCCGCGATGCCCGCGCCCGTGCCAGGTCAATCATATGCCACACCCTTGCACCCCGCGCACCTCGTCGATCGCGATCGGAGAGACCAGCGGCCCCAGGTCGTCAGGGTTCGAAAGGGACTTCGTCGAGCTGTGGATGAAAAGGTCAGTGCCGGATGAGCCATCTTAGCTCTGGCATATGCTCTTCTCCTCTGCTGTTTCGGCCGACATCGTCGCGAAGGCCAAGGCTCGAACGTCATGCCACGTAATCAACAACATGCGCTCGTTTTCAAGCTCCACAAGTTATGCGTCGGACCATACATGTATGCTAGGTAGAAATCGAATGCAGAAGAAATGATAGAGGAAGGGATACATAGATAAGAACATCTCGCGACGGTCGCTTTCGTTAGATTCGTAGATGCGAATAATAGTAATATAGCGTGGTGTTTTGGTGGTCGTCGATGGCGGTGATAATCGTAGCAACGGAGAGGGCGACGTTTCTTGTTAATCCTCCTCCTCGGAGAACGGCCAAGCGATCGTAAGTCGAGGCGGCGCGCTGTCCTGCCTTCCTGGCCCGTCCTCGGCCCACCATTCTTCGTACTGAGGGGGTCAATGAAGAATGTCGAAATTAGCAAACCAAACACTCCGTCAGGAGAAGTCTGTAGGAAAGCAACGCTCGACGTACCTCTCTCTGCACGTCCTCCAGCTCGGCCAACATTCTGATCGCATAAGGGTGTAAACGCTTCTCGTACCCGGGGGGTTCGGGCACAGTAGCCAAACTCCGCCGGAAAGACGGGCTCGCCGGCCCTTCCAATACTCCCGCGGCAACGGGGTGTAACAGGCTGGACCGTTTCGAGAACGATCTCGACATCGAGGGGGACGCTGGCATCCGTTGAGGGTGACTTTGGTTCGGGTTATTGAGATTGTTGGCGTTGTTCCTCGATCCGTTGGCGGCTGGGCTGGACAAGAGGTTCCCACGGGGTCGTTTATCAAAGGCGTCACTCCTAGGGGAGGCGGTTGGAAGTTCGAATTCGAACTGGACTCTGCTAGGCGACCGAGGTGACGCTGGTGGTTCGGGTGTGCTGAATCGCAGCGCCGGAGTGGTCGAGATGGTCGGGACCACAGGACCACGGGGCTGAAGCGCCGAAGCGTCTCCCTCGAACGAATCGGTGCTTTCCGCGCCGACCGATTTCTGCGACAAGGCGGCGGGCGATGTCGGTTGGACGTCTTGAGCGTCCATCGAGGTCTTGAGACGAGCAGGCCTTCCAACAGGGGCTTGGAAAGACTGCCCAGCGATCTTGGCTGGCTTGACTCCCGAATCGGAATCGCTCTCGCTTTCGGTACTCGGTTTGCGTTTCTTTTGCTTGCCAAACGGTTTCTTGAACCAGCTCGAGGCCTTGTTGCCTCCAACCTTGCCCTTGCCGGCAATGTATTCGGGTTCAGTGGTCTCGTTGCTCATGTTGGGCGATTCCACTCCGGCGAGCCCCAAGAGCCTCTCGGCTCGAGTCGCAGGTGAGGCCTCTTCCGGTCGATCTATGGGCTCAACCATGGTAATAGTGGACTTGCTTCTAGGTAGCTCTTCGACCTCGTCCAAAGGCTCCAATTGCATAGTCTGCATGGGAGGTGTGACCATCGGATCCCTGGGTTCCAGCTCGTCATGACGACGCCGTATCCGCTCGAGCCGAGTGTGAACCATCTGCACGGTAGCGACTTCCATCTCATGATTGACCAAGTCGGTCGGGGCGGTCGAGACGTGTCCCAGTCTGAACACTACCAGTCGCAGGATGTAGCTACGCACGCTCTGCGACCAGAACAGTACTAGCCGTTCGAAGACTTTGGGGTCGAGCAAGAGGTTCATGCAGAGCGCTTCCCTGTGCTCGACCTGGGCGCACAGAGTCTCGTAATGCGTCCAGATGAAGGCTACGCATTTGGCCAGCGTGAGATGGTGGTCGGTCTCGGTGAGAACAAGTCTGAGGACCGATATCAGGTGCGGTATGTCGACAAGAGAAGCTTTGAATGTTGGCTGTCCATCCGCAGTCGGTGAAGCAAGCGAATCGTACGAAGGCGCTACGACCCCGTCGAGTAGGTCGAAGAGGCAAAACACCCCTCGTGGTGAGTAGAGACTTGTTCGTGAGACGAGGTACTTGACCCAGACGTCGACCATGCTGCCCCACATCTCAGCTCCGTCGCATTCCATGACCTGACCTGACCTGGTCTGGACAAAGATCCTCGAATTGGCCATGTTGAGGATGATCTCCGTGAGACGGCGGTTAGCGGTTTCCAAGACCGGAGGCTTCGCGTTTCCTCGAAGACCAGCAGATTCGTCCGCATTGAAGTTGGACGTTGTTGAAGTGGTCGTGACCGCATTGACAGCCCCAACAATATAGCTATGCGTCTTGGTGGCATAGACAGCTGCAAGATGCGCATAGCCTGGCGCACTCATAAGGACTGCGGCCGGTATCGTTGTGTGATCGCCTTCAGCCATCTCGATAGCGTCTGCCAAGTAGACTGCGAGGTTCCGGTGGTAGGCCTTGTAGAAGGACGGGAACAACTCTGAATCATCCGACTGCCAACGACGTAGCCAGTTGCCCGATTTGTCAAAGTGGAAAGCTTCGTCCTCTTCCACCTCGAAGTAGTCTGGAATGTGCGAATTGACGCGCTCCATATAGTCTCGAGCGTTGTCGAACTGTAACGACTGCAGGTGAGGCGGGTATTCGATGTCGAGAGTCTTGCTGCCAACGAAAGAGTATTCTTTGGCTGCGTGAGCAAATCGCATCAACACGGTAGGTCTCGTAGGTAGCGCTGCGAGAAGCTGGAAAGCGATGCCCTCTATCCGGAAGAAGGCGAATGCCAGCATCCTTCCCGAGAATAGTAGCGTGTTGTGAAAGATGCCCTTGCTTGAAAGTTTCCCAAGGACATATGACATTATGCGGACCATCAAGACTCTGAAAATGAGCTCGTCACCTTGTTGTCCCTTGAGGGCCTTCATCGACATTGTGGCACTGATGGTACGCCAGGATAAGCAAAGACTTCCATCGGGCTCGCGGGAACAGGCTCACCTCTCCATTATAGCGGATAAGGCCTCTAGACACGCTCCACGCTCATTGGCTGCTTGTTCTTTTTGTAGTTCCTCGAGCAATATATTTACCCTACACGGATTCTCAGGTCAGCAAGTGCCTGGAGTCCACCGATAGTCGATATGGTACATACCATTCAACACAGACCGTCCGAACAGCCGCATTTCCAGCCTTGTCGGAAGTGCTATAACCCCGCTTCTCGCCCTCAACCAATGTTTCCAAGAGTTCGTTGCGAAGGAGACCGGCTTTATCGATGTTTCTCATGGAGGCCCCGAGGCGGAACCTATCAAGCGCATGTCAGCTCGATCCATATCAGTGATATTTTGGCAGGGGTACTCACATGTTCAATATCCGCCGCAGGTTATCAGCGAGAGACATATTGTCCACCTTAGAGCTCACGGGCCGAGCTCGCCGCCGGAGGGGGATCTTTCGAATCTTGCTGACGATTTGAGGTGCTGCCGGCCGATCTTCTACCGTCACCGGCTTGACAATATCCAAAGACGGCTCTAGCTTGGCAGTTTGAGGAGGGGAGAACGCAGACTTGCCGGCCTCGGATCCGCTCTCATCTTGCTCGACGATCGTCGCGGAAGACGAGTTGGTCTCTGCTAGCTGTAACAGCCTTGGCCGTACCGTCTTTTGCGACTTGTCGGATACCGTATTCGTCCAAGCCTTGCCCACAATGGCCATGTCGGCCGAATCTACTGAATTCGATGCGTGCATGCCATCGATGGAGCACGAGCTGCTCGAGCCGGCGATGTTCACCTGCACAGTATCAGCCGACCCTGGCGTGCGTGGAGGAGAGTTGTCCATGATCTGCGATGACGCCGACGACGTAGTCCTGCCGTGATCTGAAGATAGCGATGGAACGGTCGGCTCCGAGCTATCGAGGTTCTTGACCGTCTCAAGTTGACTGTAAGCCACAAGATCGGCAACAAGACTCGCGTTACTCTCCACGCTCGGAAGGTGAGATACAGACGCCGCCAAGGGGGGCGAGAGCACAGGCTTGGAAAACTCGCTGAAACTCCGAGATCGCCGCCGAGCGTGCAAGGGATTCGCGGGGACCTCGGCTGGGGAGACTTTGCCGTCCAAAGATGTGAACATGCTGTCGAAAGTGGATCCAAGGCTGAAATCCAGGGTGGGCAACTGGGGCAAAGGTAAAGTTAGGACAGGAGATAATGTTGCCCCCTCCCGGATCGTCGAATTGCTCTCCGTCGACTCGAGCGTTTGGGTGGAAGCCGGACTCTTGACGCTCGATCCCCGGCCCAGACTGGCTGACGACGGCGATGCATTTCGTTCATCTCGGGGTGTCGACTCTGGAGGCTGTCTCTGCTGCATCGGTTCGGTTACTCGTCTCACGAAGAGTCCCGGCTCAGGCGTCGCCGTCTTTCTCACGGGCAGCGAGGACATCTCGTCCTGATGCCGCTTTGTCCTGAGCATGTCTTCGCTCGCTCGTCGCCTAATGGGTGGAGCAAAGTCTACCGGCGCAGCCTGAGCAGAAGGTGGAGGATTCTTGACCACCTTGTCTTTGTCCTTCTTGTTCCGACTGAACAGCCCTCGCAAGCCTCCTGAGCTCTTTCGAGGCTGAACGACAGGCTTCGTTGGTTCGGGTGTAACAGTCCCACGACCCATCAAAGAGCCCGGATCTTCCGACCGCCGACCGTTCATCGAAGAGTAGTCCTGCCGTTTCGAAAAGCTGTCGTCCATCATCTGTACCAAAGGCGAGATGCTCCATTTCTTCCCAGTCGCAGCTGGCCACGAGCCGTTCATCTGTGGCGATTGCCCTGGCAAGACGTTCCTGTCCTGTTCCCCGCTCTTTCTTGTCGAAGTAGAGGTATTTGGCTGAGCAGGCTTTGATTGCTGGACCTTGGGCGGGCTAGGCGGTTTCTGTCTAGGCTGAGGTGGCGGTCCGACCGCAGCGATTCCTAAACCTCTCAATTGCGCCTGTCTCGAGGACTCCGCCTGGACCTGCCTATCCATCTCCAACGAACCCCTCGCACGACCGTATGATTCCGCTGGTCCCGCTTGCCACCCATCTTCAGCTTCGGGGGCCAGACTGACCTTGGCTAGCGGTTCTGGCGTTTTCGTCCGGGGGACAGGAGGCCGCGAATTTGTCGTCATCGTCCTTACAGCGTCCATTGAGCTCTTTCGACTCCTCGGTTCCGAGGCAGGATCTACCACTCGCCCGACTTCCGTCGATGACTTGCGCGGCCGCTCGTCACTCAGTACACCCCCACTCATGCTCCTATCCTGTTGCGATTGTGGTAATTGGCGTTCCCGACTCGTCAGAGACAACTCTGACCCCGCGTTTGATCGAGAGGTCCCACCCAGACGACTGGGCAACGAAGCCTGTCTCATCTGGTACGAATCGTCCTTGACCGCCTCGCCCCTCCCTTTGACTCCTAGACTACCGTAATCCTTCCCGACCCGTTCTTCCTGCCTCAAACTGCTCGAACTGCTCGCGCCCATCAATTGAGCGCTTCTGGAGGAACTCGACTGAGCGATCCCACCGGGTATATTTGTCGGCAAAGGAGGTAAAGGAACGTCCCGAGGAGGAGGAGCTGGTGGAGGAGGAGGACTGTTGAATTTGGCACTCCCCGAACCGTTCGAAGCGGTAGTCGACCCCGTAGCTGACCGTCTGATCGGGGTCTCAGTCGATACAGACCCATTCTGGCTCGTGCCTTGCAAAGACTGCGAAGAAGGTTGTCGCTGCTGCTGGTGTTGTTGCATCTTGACGACCTGTTGATGCTGGGGAGGGAGAGCGGGAAGAGGAGGTAACGGCTGATGAGGTGGTCTAGGTGGAGTAGGTCGTTGTCGTAATGGATGCAGAGGCCCGTTCCCGCTCATCGAACGTTCGGCAACGGTAGGTGGGCTTGGAAGAGGAGGCGGAAGGGGTGTCTGACGGCCTTTGAGGAGAGCGTTCGTTGTCGGTCCAGCGTGAGCGAGGTAGGGTAGCCCGCTGGTTTCAGGAGGACCGGGAGAGGCCGAACGTGACGAGTGCTGTGATGGGCCTGGCGATGGAGCTCTCAACGAAGGTTGTCCTCGAGGTTGCAACTCGGCGCCCAGCGAGACCGGAGCCTGATTTACGATACATCACCCGGTAGATCAGCATGCATGCCGACGATACCGTTCTCCGGAACTACAATTCCCATTCGGGACTTACCTGCAATCCAACATTCCCACTCAAGATCCTCGACCCATAACTACTCTCCCTCTGTCTACTAGATCCTGCACCTGCTCTCGAGCTCTGCCGAGGCGGCCGTGGTCGAGCCGTTCCGTCTGACATGATCAGGAGCGCGAGCCGAGGTTATGTGACCTCCCCTTTCTCTTCTATACGCTCGGCTGAAGCTCCTATATGATCCTGATGAAGGCGAGGCTCGGCTCTGCCACTGAGATACTATATGGACGGTCCTGATACCTTTGTGCGGGTCCGGGGTGGTTCCAGTCTATCTTGGTCCTATAGGTAGGTCAGGAGGTATATCGTCCTGCCTTGATGGACTAAACGTTCAAGTTCTCCCGGTGAATTCGCCAGAAAGCTCAGCTTGTCTCGACAAAGGGTCTTCCCGAGCTCGGCCCGTACAGAGGTAGAGGAGTCCTTTGCCTATTCAAAGTTACCGGATTGAGGTCCTTTCGAGAGTGACGGGCGAGGGGGTCGAGAGACCGCAAGTTAGAGTCGAGCTGCAGATCTCGGTTTGATGGGGTGAGCCCTTTGAATGGGGGATAGTGACCCGCGAATGGAGGTGGTCGAGCCAGGTTCAGATTTCGGCTAGACGTGATCTTGTGGTCTACTATCTCGTTAGCTTGTTAGTCTCCATCCGGGATGCCACTGTAGCTCGATGTCGTCGAGGATGAACATCCGACCTTGCCCTTTGCAAGTTCACGTCACATTCTCGCATTCCCATCAAAAGTCACAGTCGAGCGGCAGGTAAACGCGTTGGCTCTAGCGCGACAAACAAAAGACTCCGAGAACCATATAGCGTCAAGACATCAGACGACTCTGGCTGATGGGAAAGGTATGACCTCTTTCCAGTATGAAGTCAGATCCGTTTCTCTTCAAGGGAGAAATGACCTCAACAGGACTGGCTGGTGTGAGGGACCCCAGGAAACCGTGATATTCCGAAATCCGGGGTATATAATATGATCGTTAATCTTTCGTCGTGAATACAGGGGGATCCGGCAAGACGGCTGCATCCGCCCTGAAATCTCATGGGAGTCGTTGTCTTGTACGAGCAGTGCAATGTCGTGTAGCGTCTTCCCTACTAGTGCTTCGGCCTTTCAAAAGCAGACGTGTTGTATTCGCGCCCACCTGTAAGCCTATTCTGGCAAGACCGTAGCCGTGACGATCGGTTCCGGACTATTCTCCAATTGCCAAATCCAGATCCAAGTGGAAATTGAAATTGTAAAGTGAGAAAGATTGTCAGGGCCTGATGATCAACTTGAAAATTCGCAACTATCGAGACCTCAGCGTAAACTTACCGGAGGGCGAAGACGACCTTTTTCCGGACGACACCGACGACCTTGTACTCCCTCGTTCGACTACTACTCATCTCCCTCAAGCTGTCCCGTTCGTCCTTGTTCGTCCGATCTCCGGATATCTTGTCCATATCCACATCTACATCCGTTCCGTTCCCCACCTCAGCCCGTGTATCGATATCGACGTCAATCTCTCCAGGCTCAACAGGTTCCCTCTCCTCGACCGTCCCCAACCCCGCAATAGCACCTCCATCTCCTTTCCGTCGCCTAGCTCGCCCGACAAACGGTCTAACAGGCGAAGAGAGGTCTGAAGAATAATCCCTGTTCTTGTTCTGTCTTGACGGAGGTGAGATGGGCGGGGAGGATTCTCCTGCTCGGGGGTAGGATGGGAAAGAGGTTGGATCTGTTGACGTGACGAATGGGTCGAGGGAAGTCGATAAATTGCTCGTCATTCCTGCTGAGTGAGCGGATGTAGCATTGGCCGTCGTCGTGGAATGTCGAGATTTGGGGTTCAGGCGTGGTCTTTTGGTTGAGGGACCCGGTTGCGTTTCCATCTCCAGCTCTGGTGCGTCGTCCTCTTGCTCTCCAAATGTCTCTCTATTCTCATCATCGACTCCGCCCACTACGCGTGACTTGGACGAGCCAGCTTCACAGTCCCTAGAATCTGCTCGACGGATGATGGCAAGCGGGCGGGGCAGGTTGACGATTTTGCCGTGTAGCAGATGATGTTTCCCAAGATGCAACGTCGGTTTATCCTAATCTCCAACATAAAAGATCCTCGATCAGCTTGACAACGCGGCTTGAACTTTTAAATCCGGCTCGACGACTTACCATCCTCTCCAGCCCCAACAGACCGATGACTTTCCCTCCCGGTTCTCCTTCAAACGTCAGGTCGCCTTGGAGTTCCATGATGACCATCTCTCCCCCGATCTGGACGAGCGGGGGAGCCGAGGCTGGCGGAGCAGGGCGTTTGATGAGGGATGGAGGAATTTCGATTTGGATACGCATGGTTGGATACTGAAAGCTTGTTGATACTCGGTGGTAGTCAGGACGATTGCCCGGATATCTTATCAGTGATCAGTGATCTAGCGAAGTATCAGTTTCGATGTCGAGCTCGAAGAACGTAGGGAATCCTCGACGCGTCGACAAATGAACTGATCCACGCGACGCGTTTGAACACGCGTTTGGTGTGATGATGATATGATGATCGATGAAGCGTTATGTTCCACATTTCATGTTTGGTATCATGTAGGGTGGGGGTAACCTCTCAAAAGATTACAAAGCGGCAAAGCTCGGATCTTGAATCCAGGTTGGTTCAATTCATGCTAAGACGGAATGCGATCCTAGCGAGTACACCTTTCCGTCCGACTCTCGTTCAAGATTTGTATGAAATGCAATCCGAGAGCACGACAGTCTAGAAACCAGGCGCAAGGTTATGGTTTGCGTGGGACGTACGCCCATGCTTTTGTGATGTACATCTGAACTCCGAGTATTAAGGCGAGCAATGATCAGAATGCCGGACCTTGCAGATGCCTAGTCGTAAGATAGTTATAGTGATAGGGATAGCGGCGAGTACACGAGTAGCGCATATGTTATTGTCTTTAACGAGGTGCCCGTGTATATGGAATTCGTATATCGTAGTCCGATTCTAAGGACTGAAGTGCTCCGTAATTTTCGTGTCTATGAGAAGTTGGAGATAGGTTATATATCCGAATTTAATGATCCCGGTCGATTCGTACTATAGAACCATTGTCATGTTCAGACGTTGTCGGTCGTGTGCGTTCTAGAGGGGTCATGACTTACCGCTCAGACCTTCTCGTAGATACTCAAAGCGCGCTCAAGGAACGAGAGGAACTCATCACCCTTCTGAGCCGGGGCTGCCTTCTCCACCGGTACGACGCTTGGAGAAGGAGAAAACTCGGTCGGTGTATCTTTCTTGGACTCGGAGTCGTCGGTCCCTCCAGTGGTCACAAACCGTCGGTATCTGCCGCTTTGATTGAGCTGTTTGCCGATACAGTTGACGACGATTTCGGGCTGCTCCTCAAGCTGGTCTACGGTGTCATGCTCGGGAGTACTATCGCCCTGAGCAGACATCGAGTGGGGTTCATGCAAGGATGCAGAGGCTGCAGACCCAGGTGTATGACGGGGCTCCGCTTGATTGGTCGCGCTGAGCGTCTTGTCGAACGAAGTGAGAGCTTTCACGACATTGTCTCCGGCTGGGTGGCCGAGCACGATGCCTTTTTCGACTAAATCTTCCCCAATAATCTCGGTCCAGAAAGGGTTCTGGCTCCAAAACAGATCATCGGTGACGAAGACATAGAAGATGGGTTGTTCCTTTCTAGAAATGGCTGAGAAGGACACGATATTGATTAATGTCACCAGATGCCTCCGTATTATCAAATGACATAGGACGACATAACTTACTAGCGCGGAGCAGCTCAGCTGAGCCCGGTTGGACCGGATGGAATGTCGGTTCCAGAGAAATGCGACGAGGTGTCGGTTCCAGAAAACTGTTATAGAGGTTAAGACGACTTCCCCAGCACATGTCTTGCAGGCCTGGAACCAGGACGTGGACATCGGAAATGTAGCTCGATCCACCCGTAGCGGTGCCCAGATGATCGGAAACCACCTTCAACACAGCTTTATACCATGATGAAAGCGATACATTCTGCCTTTCAAAATGTTCCTGTGCTTTGTTTTCGAGTGAGAGAGATGCATGTTCATCGGTAAGGACAGGACTCAAGGTCCAGCTGAGAAGCTGAAGAACGACTGTCAGAGCCGTTCCACCTTTTTTCGCTTTCGGAGGGCGGTCTGCGAGAGTTGTCGAGGATTCTGGCATGTTGACAGCTGCAAGACGTTCGTTAATGTCAGCCTTCATGACCTTCAAGTGCGTCCGACCCATCACTTACGCTCCTAGTTAAAAATCGCGTTAAAAATCGAGATTTCTGCCCCTAGTGAACAAGTAGACTCGTGATATCTTCGAAGGGTCTTGTATATTGAGACACGATATCTGACTGCTTATATACCCCTCCGACAGTATGAGCTTTGAGGCTCATCGACGAGTAGGGTCTCGGGCAACAAGGAGCTTTGCCGCGTTAACGCCAACCAGTACCCAAAGGAACAAAGCAACAAGGGGTTCTACGAAAGAAGTGTTCGATGGTGGATCGCGATCGCCGCGAACCCTAAAACTTTGTTGTTCCTCTTGTCGTCAATGAGCGACTGCGCAATCGCGGGTCTCTCCGTAGTATGACAGCGACAACGAATCCTCGACCGTTGTCCACTGCCGAAGGTCTCAGAGCTAGAAGAGAACTACTACGGCTGACGCGTTGTACCGAGCGCAACTTACGTTATGGCCTACGGGTCAGGGGATCCTACCCGATTAGCTCACAATATGGTGATTGACCGTCTAGCGACCACAACGGCGCTGGCTTGAACTAGCTGTCATCGCACGCAAAACAACCTTTCAAAAAGGACGGGGGCGTTCCGATCACGATACTCCTGTATCGACATAAAGTATTCGTAGGGTGTACAACGTCGCCCAAAGAGATAGCGCGTGTAGATTCATAAAAAAGAAACTGCCCGTATTGTGGTGTGCTCAGTACGCTCGCCACGACTTCCTCTGCATGCGTATATCTACTCCTCCCTCGAAACCCGCAATCCGTGATATTCCAGGTAAGCGCAACTAAACTGGCCCATGGACCTGTCCGGAACGAGAAAAGCATTAGATGTTGCGGGCCGTATGATCCGAAAGAGAGGGGGCTCACCGCTCAGTCCAGATCATCGAGGTTCAGAGCGCGCTTGAAAGCCGAGGCTACGTCGCCGTCATCGTTCTCTTGACTCTCCGCATCCTTCTCAACTGGGACGCGACATCTGCAGGGTGCACCTCCGGTCTGTACATCCTTTTCGTTCGCACTCAAGTAGGTATCGCCTTTGAGCGTCACCATAGCGTTCCTATCAGGGAAATGCCAGCAGATCTCCGGTTTGTTCGTATAGATGGGGTCCAGAAGTTGCGTGATCGAAGACGGTTTGCTCTTCAAAAGACAATCAGAGCAGATGGGTCGATAGTGAATTGTGTGGCCCTGGTTGTTATGCTTAGCCATCTTTCTCCAGAAGCCATCGGTATCCCAGTGCACATCATTGGTAACCAAGATGTAGGAAACGGGGTCATCCATATGGGGCCACTCGGCGATCCAGGCTGCGCAGTTTAACTGATATTAGCTACAGGTTCCTGCTCAAAAAAGGAGGGCATACCTTGACGAAAAGCCAACTGGCAGGCCATGACATAACCCCACGGTTTCTGCATATCCGTCAACCTCCAGACTTTGAACTTTTTGCTGACTTTCCTGAGTATCTCTCCCAACGTTTTCTCCGTTTCCTTCGTCCCCTCCACTGCCACAAACACGTTCTTAACGGTGCGGTCGATATTGTGGGCAGACTTGAGATATTGGTAGACGTTTCTCATCACGCAGTTACACCACGAGGTGAGTCGATCGGGATAGTAGTGCTCGGCTTCCTGATCGATGGAATGTACCAATTAGTTAGCGGACATCGTATTGAAGAGTGGCAGATTACTAACATCCCAGCCCTGAAGCCTGATTACTACGATGATATCCTCGGGTCGGCCTGACATCTCTGCAGCGGCGTCGGGCGTGATTTGCGGCTGAAAATCGTGACCTCGTATCAGCTGCAATATGCTATAGCAAGTCTGATTCGTCTCACCTACCTGTACGGTTTAGGTAGGGTGCTGCCGAGTATAGTCGTTTCTTCGCAGAGATGATAGAAGTGTCGAAATACTGGACACGAATCACACGAACATGATCAAAGCAGTTCTCGAAGACCGGTCGACTTCCTCTTTGACCATCGCAATTTTTCCACAAATCAGGTAATCCTCTCACCCGAAAAATAAGGCAGAGCGGATGAAGTTCGCCGTCATCTAAGCGAGAGTCGCTGATCGCATTGTTCCGCCGACGCCTTGTCAACAAGCAACAAGCGACAACTTGAAACGCGCGCTCGATCCACCGCTTAGGCCGCTTGAGTGAGTACCTTTAAGGTTTAGCGCCCAAAGGGAGACAACAGTAAAAACATCTTTCGGTTCGATCATTCCCCCTTTCGGGCTCGTGGATCGATGCCCACATCTTTGCTCAGCTGCTGTAGGAGCGTCAAATTTGAGAGAGATAGGTGGATGGACAGACAGGTGTCGCTTCGGTAGGGTATCAGAGTACTGTACGTATATGTATCCGTCATCGAGAAATCTCTTGCAATGAAGACAGCTTTTGTCAAGTGAACGTCGTAAGGTAGTCATGGAATGAGAGCGAGACCGGTACAAAGACATGTCCGGCCAGAATATATAGGCGATTGGCTGTTTGCAAAGCAGGGATTCTCGTATTGTAATGGCAATATGTGGCTCTAGCATCTGCGCATGTTTGTTGTGATGGGGAGCTCCAACTTTAGGCTCCGACGTATCTTCGTCGTCAGGCGCACGAGGAAGAACTGTGTGCGGCATATCTTTGCACGATCGGAGAGAAGATAATACAGTCATCAACAGCCTGCCGACCGCTTGGTACTGACAAAGATCGATGACGGGAATACCTTGTTGGGTTTCTGCGAGGGTTTTGACGACCGCTAGAATATTCTTGTCCTTTATGTGCTTCAACATATCTTCTACAGCGAGAACTCAACGCGTATTAGCATGACGGCATTTGACCGGTATCTTCGAGCGTGCTTACGAATAGTCTCGATCTCGTCCTTATCATCCGAAACCTGACGTTCAGCGACGTGTTCCTGTGTCCCTTTCGCCGCCGGAACGGCTGCTCTCTCGGTTTCCTGAGCAGACGAAGCAGCGCCACCGATGCTGTAGATCAAAGGCTCTTGAATAAAGATCCGTTCGTTGTTGAGATGAATCGTATCTTCGTGGTTGTAGCGATGAACGAGCGAGGTGCGAAGGTTCTCTAAGGTGTAGATTTGGTGCCAGAAAGGGTTGTGGCTCCATTCATCGTCGTCCGTGACGAACACGTAAGCGATGCTATCAGTGCAGACTGTTTTGGAATCAAGGGTTCAGCATGCGCGCAGTAAATCGCAGTACGGCGATAAAAATCTGCCAGTACTCACGCCTCCGGAAGTGGTCGGCTGACTGAAGTGGATGAAGCCCTTCTTGATCCCAGAACGTGGGAGGCCTCTTCCATCCCAAAGTTTGAATCAGTTGCTCCATGCGCCGAACGCCACTACCTTCTTGACACGTGAAGTGGATGTCGATAAAGTTCACCGGTAGACCGCGAGCTTCGAGCGAAGCCCAGATCTTATCAATCATCAGTCTGAACCATTGAGGTCGGATTTCTTGTACATGCTGGGTCGCACCGAGTAGCAGAGCGATGATCAGTATACTGCTTCATATGTCGCGAAGAGTGGCGAATTGACTTACTTCCCACGCCTTGAGCTCGATCATCACGATGGCCTCATTCAAGCCTCCGACTTGCATTTGGCTTGCGTACCTGCTCTCATCCTTGTTGTCCGTGCGGTGGGTAGTCAAGGTTTGCCTGTTAAAAATTGATTGTGCCATTCATTGTGCTGTACAAGACGGCACATGTACGACCTGACAACTCACTGCGAGCACGTGATCGGAGGTACAATCGAAGTTGATTGCACTGCGCTTAGGGCCTCGCCTTTGGTCGACCTTTGCGGCTCGTCAGCTCCCGTCCTCATCCCTTTGGCGCAATCGCCTTCGGCAGGATTGTGCACTTGAGATCCGCTGGAAGTAGTCGTGGCAGTAGAGATTTCCGAAGGGCTCGTTGATGTCGGCATCAAAGTGCCTCGAGTCAAGGGTGACTCGTGGCGTCCCGATTTGTGCCTTTCGTAAATGCCCACAGCACGTTCCAAGAAGGAGAGGAAATCGTCGTTGATCCCTCCTGCCGAATTGTCCTTGGCTTCCCTGTCGAAGTCCTTGTCGTCTGTCTCGTTAGTGTCGGTACGAGTTTCGAGCGGTTCGATTTTACATTTCGACGAGTTCTCCGAGGATAACGAGGCAGTCTCAACGGATTTTTGCAGGGGTCCGGACGATTGTGAAGGCTTTCCTTGCGGTTTGTTGGTGGTTGCAACAGGGTCTTGCGTGTCGGACCAAGGCAAGGCCCGGTATTGGGTGACTGCCGGTTCTTTCCCGTAAATATCTCGCACGTCCACATAAAACTCAACGGGCTTCCAAGGATCCAGGCGCAAATGGGCCTTGGTATATTGCCAAAGGTGGGCAAATCCCGAGGACTTCAAAGAAGCTGATCCTGTCCAGAAGGGTGATCTTTCTGGGTTATCGCTGTCAGATATGTAGAAGTAGTTTGTCGAACAAGTACTCTCGCTGATTCGTAAAGCTATAATCGAAAACATCAGTCCGCGAAGGGGGCCCAGTAGCTGGACAAAGTTACGTACAATCAAAGAATGACCTCGCACAAACGGCTTCTTCACTGCCCCTCCCATCCCAAGCCCAAATCACTGCTGCTCGTGATTTCCATGGATTCACTACGGCTGTTTCGATAACATCACTACCACCCTTCTCAACATAGTATCGCCATGAAATATTAACTGAGTTGTCGGGAATGGTGTCGCGGATCCTTTGTATGATCCTGGACCACCAGTGTTGAATCGGAAACGCGCTCCCTTTCACCGACTGTACATCACAAATGCGGTGACTCGATGTGAGCATACAAGATTGAGCGTAATAGCATCGTAATCTCACCTTCCACGCTTCCATTCGAAAGACAACAATAACCTGATCATCGTTACTGGAAACCATGGAGACAGGCCACTCAGGCTGCTTGAGAGTCGACTGGTCAGTCTCGGCTACCATCGTTGGGACTGCGACGGAAGACAAGGTCCATCAGTTACGGCGAAAAGAGATGGAGCGATCTGTATCACATTGTATAACGATATGACTGCTTACTCGGTCTTGTATGCAGGCTAACTTGAATAATTGCTGTCGAAGATGATCCGCTGAACCGCCGCGAAGTCGAGGAGGGTGAAATGAGTCGACCAGGTATACCGATTGTATAAATCGTTCACGCAGATAGCCGGTAGCTTGAAAGCAGGCAAAGAGCTGCTATGTAACGAGAAGTTCGGAGAGGATAGTCATGAGCAAGGTCTTAAATGTCCTTTGGATTTATCACTTCTCGCGTTTTTCAAGTCTCTTTGTCACCTACAGCTCGTAGCTTGTTGCGTTGCATGTGTTGTATGCCGTACGCGTCCTGCCGAGTACGGGGTCAAGCAGCGAGCAGCAAGTAGTTAGTGAGACCCGCAAACCCGAATCGTCGACAAGCTCTGCACGCTATCGAAGAAAAGGGGCTATCGATCTATCGAGCGACATAGTATATAGTGTCAGGCATGACAGGCCGACCGACGACACGGCGTCAGCCACGAGAGCGACGCGCAGTCACGCACCCTTCTATTGTCCGGAAGCGGTGGCTTTTTCTCTGTGATCGTCGTAACGTTTCAGCCGATGGCGCCAAATCGACCGGGTGGATCGGACGACCGAATGATCGAGTGGATCGAGTGAGACATCGGTCGTCGTTTTCTTTCGACCTCGCTTATAGAAGCCAAAGGAACTACAAAGATTGGCGATTGATGCGACTCGCCGTGGAACGTGGATCTGTCTGTTGCGCCGAAGTAGCGGATGGATCGGATGGAAGAATCGAAGAGTGCCATTGCGATTGCGCATTACGACAATCCGATGGGATCGACGTCCTGGACGCGATATTGTTGTTTGCTTTTTGTTTGCTGGAATTCCTCGGCTCACAAGATCACAAGCTGTCCAGCATTGTTTTATGTCCAGGAAACCTGCTCGTGATTTTTCTTGCGATCCTGCCAAGATCTTTTTCGTGGTCTTGTTCGTCGTGTTTTACGATTCAGCCACCTGGCAAAGTCCCTGCGCTTCCTGCTCGGACGATAGCCTCAGTTTGCAACAAAATTTGAGCAGAATAACATATATTTGGTGACATGTCGATCGGGCAGCTTATGAGACGATGAGCTAAGATGCCTAAAGAACACGGACGATGACAGTAACGTGAAATACAGGACGAGAGGTATAGAATGCGTGCAATAGGGATTGTCAGAAACCAGATCGCTTAGATCGTATTGCAAACTCCGTGCAGTAGGACCGAAGTAGCTTTAAATTGCGAAGTTCGAGACCGATCAGTGAAGATCATCCTGATCAATCGCGTGAGGGGACCCACCCAGCTCAGGCGTTGCTGTTGCAGAGATCCTTATAAACTTTGGCAGTATCTTTAAGGAAAGCCACAAATCCGGCCGCTTTGTCTTGTTTGAGCTCCTTCGGCTCGGTATCATTGGATGATTGGCCGTCGGTCTCAGCATCTTTGTCGTTCGTGCGCTGCAAGTAATAGTGGAGATCTGGGTGTTGGTACGGATATACATCCCTAGGGTAGCGATGATGGTGGGCAGTGATGACCCCTTCCCTTTCGGATATTTGGGTCCATAAGGGATGCAATTCCGAATGATCATCGTCCGTAATAAAGACATAGACGAAATTGTGGTAAGTTTCCTGCGAACCTGTTCGTCGAATCTGCTCAGCTGAACGCTTGTCATTCCTGGTCAGAATGTCTTGCACTTACTTTTGTAAGATGATTCAGCCCATTCCCACATAGTAGAGCCCTCCTGATACCAGACACTGCCGCCAATACCTTTCCACCAGTTGTAGAGTTTAGATGACGTCGTATCATCGCATTTAAGAAAGATTTGCATCCCGCTGATACGGTCTCCGGTGATTGTCAAACCGCGCCAGGCCTGCTCGATGATCGAATCGTATGTTTCTCTCAGTGACACGTATTCCTCATCTGCCATGTTCTATAGTAGCAGATATCAGCGATACATCCGAGCGAGTATGGTCTGTCAACTTACCGACCAATGATCCATGTGAATTACAACTACCGCTTCGGTTTGGGGACACCCTAGCTCTGAATCTGAGCCCGTTCTGACCGTAACCTTCTTGAAATCGGCTGAGACGAGCCCATTGTGACAGGAGTCATTAGTTGTCGGGCATCGATGGAATGAGATCTACCTGACTCACGAAGTACCACAACCATTCTCGTGATCGTTCACCAAGCAGAAGTGGTAATCGGATATGCTGCGATTGCGATGGAATCGCGTAACGGTATAGTCGATGGGAGTCGTTGAGGTCGGGACTTCGCTATCTCAACGTTGAATTAAGTGAGCTCAGTCATCGCAAACGGCATTTTTTTTTGCGAAGTTCGATCACTTGTATCTTATATCTTACCTGCATGTCGTCCAAGTCTGAGGACGAGCGAGATGCTGAATCACTACCGCCATCAATGGGCTGATCGTGATCGCGATGCTGTGTAGCACAGCAATTGGCAATTGGTAATTGGCAATCGGCCGAAACAAAGGCTCGAGTGCGATCAGTGCAACGACACGACAGTAGCGTAAGCGAGATCGATTTGAAAGGAGGGCCCGTCTGTGCGCGCGTTTCAGGTGAAGCGTCGACCCGATCAAATACGGAATGGTATCAGATCGATCGATCGACCCCGGCAAGCCCGTCGTCTTTGCTTTGATCGCTGCTTTGAGAAATCTGATTCAAAATTGACCTATCCTACGGAATGACAAGCGATAGCAGCTCTCGGAGACATACTGCATGGCATATACAGTGATAGGCGAGCGGTAGAGAGCGTGAAGCGAAGTACGTAAGATAGAACAGATATCCATGTAAAGCTTGAGGCGACGAGATTACTGTTGAATAGAAGGCGAGAACATCAATAGCGTTTCGGGAGCATGAAGCATGCGATCTACTCACTCGCTACCCCTGCCATAAAGCGATCAAGTCACTCGCTCATAGACATCAGCTGCCTTCTCCAAGAAATGGATGAAGTCGTCCGCCTTGCGCTTGTCTTGGATGACTTGTCCGATCTGCTCCAAGGTCTTCTCGTTAGCGACACGCTTTTCCTTCTCTTCTTCCCCAGCGGCGTGTTTCGCAGCGACGGATTGGGCAGGAAAGCATTTCGCATCGGCGGGTTGTGCAGGCAAGGGTTTCGCACTGATGGTTTGCGCGGCAACGGGTTTCGGAGTAACGAGAGTGGGCTCAGGATGACCTCGATACCTGTAGAAGTGCTGTGTGGGAGGGTTTCGATAGATGTCGAATAGCTTATCCTCAAAGGTCAAAGTCGGAAGGGAAGGAGTATCCTTGGCCCGGTTGTAGCGGAGATGATGAGCTGCGAGGATGTTGGCTTTCTGACCCAGAGACCACATGGGTTCCTGTTCGCTTTTCTTGTTATCGGTGATCAACATGAAGACGGCGGATTTATAGGGTCGAAGGTATCCTATGAACCCGGTCGTACATCAGTTTCAACGGCCAAGGGAACTCTGTCATTTCACTTACTCTTGTAGAACTTCTCGACAAGATCCTTCGGTCGTTCATATCCATCTCCGACTTCTTCCGGCCAGATGGGTTTGATCTCCTCGTGGCCGCTGAGCCACGCATCGACACAGTCGGTCATCCAAATGCCGCATTCGTGGTCTAAGACAATGTAGATCTTCATTTCCTTGACCTGATGACCCGCGGCAATGAGGGACATCCAGGCTCGATCGATGATCATATTATACCAATGATCGAATATCTGTTCTTCCATGTCGAGATTCTATTTGCAAAGCAGGAAAGCGGTGGCTCTTAGAGTCATTAGACAGCGGGGTTAAGTCTATGGCAAGAACGTACCCTCCAGTCGTAAAACTCCATAACGACTACTGCCGTGGTCTCGCTTTCGAAGTAAGCCCGACTACCTTCGCTAGTCCCTCCCTTGACTGTCTGGAAAGGTAAAGCTAGAGTCTGCTTCATCGTCGATGAGACTGCCAGCCGAGCACCAACAGGTCGAGATCTATCAAGATTAACGCGAAGCTAAAGCTGATTCTCTCGGCGTCCGAACTCACGAGGAATGGTAGTCGCGACGGGAGACGGGTGGCGATCGGGTACCATAACGATACCGGGGAATATGGCAGACATGACAGATCTGGGTTCGGTTGATGTACTGGCGTATGAAGCTCTGGTGTAAATCAGGTATAAGTAAGTGACGATACGGATGAACTACACTACAGCGTGACTTGAAGCTTATAGCCTGTGGGATTCGTCTGATTGGCTAGTCAGCTAGCCGCATCCCGTGATCACACCTGATCGGATCCAAGAAATGCTGTGCACATGGTGCACAGCAATGAGAGCGACTAAATCATCAGAATGATCGGAACGAGCCAGCCGACCCGGATCGGGATACTTTGATGGGCAACAAGATAGACTCGAAGCGTAAGCGAGAAGGATCGAAAGGAGGGTCCGTGCGCGTGTTTCAGGTGTGACGTCGTATGTTTACCCCGGGTTATCATTTTTCTAGATCAATTCCGAATCGATTGATCAATTGGGTCGACATATGACATGGCTACATGTGGTGGCCAAGTAACGATCAGATCGACGGTGTACAGCAGCAATCGGACGTGCGACACGGGGAATACAAAGAGAGCTGGCGAAAGCAGCGAAGACATCACCTGAGTTCGAAATGTGAATGCTGGAGGAGGGAATAGTGTGGTGATCTTTCGCAGCCGATATGGCGATATGGTCGTGAAGCTGATGTGACAATCCATGCTGGGTGTCCTGCCGCCAAGTATAGTTACGCGTTAACGTCCGGTCCGTCCCCGCGATAAAGATCGGACGTACCAGCAAAACGTACCATTTCGATTTTGCAAGTCAGATCGATTGACTCGAGAATAGACGTCCGCGGCCCTCTCGAGGAACGAAAGGAAGTTGCTAGCGGTATGTTCGCCGTCCAGCTTCTTCTGGATGACATTTGCGACGATAGCTTCAGGCGTATCTTTGGTGGGCTCGGGCTGTTTCTCGTCTACTACAGCAATCTCCTCGCTGAGTTCCGGAACCGGGACGACTTCAGGGCTAGACTTGTTGCGTAGTTTAAAGGACTGGTGCTTCGGCGCCTGCTGGTAGATGTGGTGAAGCTGTCTCTTCAGACTGGTAGAGAAGGCGACTTCTGGATCCTCGCTTTGTTGTGCGTAGGTGAGTCGATGGTTGGCTACGACGTTGTCTTTGCATCCGAGATTAAAAAAGATCTCTTGATCACTCCCTGCCAGATTGTCGTCGATGTAGATGAAGATGGCAGAGGGCAATTTCTTGAGGAACTCTGGTACGAGGTCCTCGTATGAGCAGCTATTCATCATCGTCACCCCCATGTGAAAGCATACGCACTCTTATTGAACCTATCGGTATGACCCTTGATATCTTCTCGCTCATCATTCCTGAAGATCGGCTCAATGTCCTCTCGGCTAAGTACCCAATCCATCAGATAATCGTGCTCGCAGTCAGGGTCTTCTTCAATCGTGAGGTAGACGTTCATATCCTTGACCAGATTCCCTCCTGCGATCAGGGAGATCCAAGCCCTTTGAATGATACGGGTGTACCATTGATCGAGGACTTCCGGGGTTGGCTCCGCGTTCTAGACCGACGTACCCGAGCAGTGATATCAGCGATCGGCAAGCTGATACTGTATCTGATAAATGAGACTAACCTTCCAAGCTTGCAAGTCGATGACAACGACGGCGGTGGTGTCGCTCTGAACAGGTTGAGGCTCAGATGGAGGCTTGTTGGATGCAGCTAATGACGCGAAAATGAAATCGGTCGGCGGATGGGTGCGAGAAGTTGAGGTCAGATCGGCTTACGTTGAGCGTTCTTCATGATGGCGAATACCTGTTGTCCGGCTGAAATTTGGAAAGATGGGCTGGTTGGAATGATAGTCCTGAGCAAGAAAAAGGGAATCTTGAAGATCTCGAACCGGATTGTAGATCGACATCTGGTCGTCGAGCGCGAAACCAAGAACAAGGCGACTTCGAGGGCGGGTACTGACGTACTGATGTACTGACTTGATCGCTCGCTCGCTCGATCCCGATTTCCGCTTTCGATGATGATCAGATTGCACAACATTCATCAAACTCGTCAAAAGCCCATGATCCACCCGATAATCTCCCGATTTCTAAGCGACTGAGACAACTTAAAGGATCAAAGGAGGGGACTGGGGATGTGCGCCGCGGTCGTCGGATCCACCATAAGCGCGCGAATCAGTCTGAGACACTTCGCGACGATCAGGAGAAGTGCTTCCGCTTTAACCGAGCAAGACCCCAGATCTCAAACCCCGTTTCATCTCCCTAAGACTTCCGGTGAGAAGCTGTATATCAATTATATCAATTGTTGGTAGCGCTCCTGATCCCTGAATCCATAAAGAACGTCAAGAACATCAAGGTCGGCTACCTTCATCTTTTCTTGCTAGATTGCTCTTCATCCGGATCCTCCAGAAGTCACATCATGGCAACGATCCTTCCCATTCACAATCCCTCTTGCGAGAACTCCGTATGCGAGAATTACCTGCACACGTCCACGACCGCAATCGTGGTTATCAACCTCGCAAGTCTGCAGGTAAGCCTTCCGATTTTTGTTATAAGTGTCCTTGCTAACCATTTACTGAGATACGTACATATTGTTTGTTGCCAGTCTCCGTACGTGGATCCACAAGGAGCCATGAAGGCTTTCCACCACATTTCTCAACGAGCCATGTTCAGTCTTACGGCAGGAGCTGAACCGATCGGACAAGCTATATTTCTGTTCCTCGATCACAACAAGAGGATGAAGAAGAACGTCAGGAAAGTTCTAGATGACATGCATAATGTTTGGGTGTCGCGTAAGGTCGTGGACACGTTGGCATTTCTAAACGGTAAGTCGAGGCCTAAGATCTTGGCCACATTGATCTCAACCTCCTGTTTGGGTGATAGTCACGATGAACTCCACGGTACCTAAGCATACTGTAGCGGTCATCGCCACCGATCAGATTGACCATACAGACGGGAGCATGATCAAGGACCCTATCTACGCCTGCATACGAATTACCGACACAATTAAAGCCTTCCATTCGCTACTGTACGACCCTATCTGCGAACACCTCAGACCTGCCACTATGGCGGAGAGGGAACGCGTCTTCACTTCGTGTCCCAGGGTCGGCAGTATCGAGCAACACGACCACGGACCGATCCCGGAGGACGACGATTCTGCCAAGTCGTCAGTCGATGTCAAGGACGAGGATATGGAGTAGCGATGATTTCCTTCTCGAACATGCTGTGAGTTTCACTATTCGGCTTTCCTCTCGGAATCGCTTAGTGGAGTGCGCTGATGTGTGACACAATTTCAGAGCTTTCTGATCAGAGCTCTCGAATGATATAACATAGGTACAAGCCTATACATGGTTTTCGACGAAATATTAGACGCCGCCGCAAGGATGATTTCAGCCCTTCCGAGATGTTGTGTTGTATAATTCTTTTGAGAACGTTCTTGTCAGGCTGTTTGATCTATAATAAAATGTCTATGTAACGCTTGCGCTGTTTCTGAGATTCGAGAGCAGAATCCTTGCATGTCGGAACACCGAAACGCTTCCAGAAATGTTGAGGTTCGGCAAAATCAGGGTTGACATCGTAAGTGTCATTGTCATTATTGTTAATTATCGCCGCAGTACCCTGGAATTTGAAATGGATGAGCGAGGAAAGTTTACTCCTTTGCTTTGTAATAACGACAAAGAAGCGCTGATCACTGGATCACTGTTTTCGTGCGACGATCGGAGACGAGCTTGATCCACCAAACCTTCTTGTCGTCTTCTCGCTTAGAGATGCGTCACAACAACAAGAAAAATGCCTTTGTTGTTGTTGCGCTTCGGTCTAGGCCTAGAGCGGCTGAACTGATATATCAAAGGCGCCTTCCTCGGGAAGCTTAGTGTACTTGTGCACTCGACTTGATTTGACATTCGTGCTAGATCCATCGACTTAGCACCGACATCTTCAAGGTGGTCCATCAATCATGTCTGGTGAGCGTGCGGAGAGTCTACCCTTCTTGCTGGTTGTGATCAGTTTGGAGGGATGGCAGGTAAGCGTTATGTCGCGCTCCGTCCCAACGTATCGCTCGCTTTCTTACCGTGCGAATGATCCATTGCAGAAGCACCCATTTACCCCGAAGGTCGCCACTAAGGCCTTCAATGAGGTGATGAGGAAGGTTTATTATGCTCTCGGTACTTGCGGAAATGCGACGCACCGGCGAGCCATCTTGATCGACCTTCCGTACATGGATGCTGCGTCCGATGCGGGAGATGAACGACTGGAGGATTTCGAAGGCGTTCAGCTTGTTGGAGAGGGGAGGGCAGTGGGATCGCTTGCCACAGCGATCGAATGTAAGCCTGATCATCTCTTAAGTAGTGCGATATTGGTGTGAACTGGACTGAATAACTCGCATACATCTGCAGATGCCGGCCGGAGCCATCTTGTTCATGGACGTCAGATCCTGGGCGTATTGCTCGCTGATAGTGAAGGTGACCGATCGACTGCACTACATGCAGCCTTCAGGTCTATCCCCAGGTTGACGGCGGTTCAATCCCTGTATGGCAACTCCTCCAGGTTCCATTCCGGACTCGGGACGGCATCGCCACAAATCCTTAACCAGCCGGCCATTGTCCCAGTCGGAGAGACAGACGAACAGCCGCAGCCAGAGGAGCATCGAGAAGATACGGCGATAGTATTATACCGGTCTCAGAAGGCTGAAATGCAGTCACCCGTATTTCCGGGTGCTTTTGTGGCGGAAGATATCTCAGTAGGACAAGGCTACAGCCTTGACATTGCAGCGGCGAACAGCTGGTCTTTGGAACGTAGTCCCTCAGTTATAGCTCTGTCTTCGCCGGCTCAAGGGCGCCTGTCGCCCACCTTTGACGGTCCGCAAGCGCAAAGTCGCTTCAATTCGATTTCTCCAGAAGGGATTCGTGCCCCAGAAGCGCCGCAGATGCCTTCTCCAAAACCAAGCGGGCCTCAACGCGGTTCTTCTTGGCTGAATAGCAAATTCAGGAAGGAACACGGGGGCGATGCATGCGCAGCGTTTCATCTGCAGGGCACATGCCGGGATCGAGGTTGTCAGCGCCTACACGGGGAAATTCAACTGTCCCGTAAGGCGGCGAAGAGGTTCCGCACATTTATTGCGGGTTCACCTTGTCAACATGGACAACATTGTGTTGAGGATGACTGTATTTGGGAACATCCGATAGGCCGCTCTAATGAGGAGCCGTATCGTGTGAAGATCAAAAGCGTCCCTGGCCATATTGATCAGACCGTCCATCCGGTTAAAGACTATAGTAAGTAATATTCTTTCTATCTTGTATCTCGAACACTCTATCGACGCCGATGCTGTTCCTTGTTACAGCGAACGGATTTCAGAGCGTGATGCCTAGACCCCGGTAGATACTGTGATCTATACCACTCGAACAGCTCGTAGGCTGATCAGAATCTCTCCTCTACAGTACCCCAAACGAAGCTGGCTTGAGGCTGGACGTGTTTCAGCCTCTGATCGAGGCGATCATTGACACGGCCGGCAGCGCGCGAAACAAATGGGTCGAACGCACGCTTGTTTCGGATCAGCTACGAAGGACAGGGAAATGGCCAGTGGAGCCTTTCAGCACTTTCAAAGACTATACTCGAGCTGCAGCCGAGCAGGGCTATGTCTTTCTGACGCCATTGGCTATCGGAGGCGGACCCAATTATATTGCTCTAGCCTAACCTCCGCATATCCGGTTACAATAATCAGGTAAGCTACCGCTGAGCATCGTTGAGATTCCGGGACTTGTCTGAAACTACACTCCGTTTGGTCGAATTCAGGTTTATCGAACCATCTCAACGCGTCTCAGACGCCTTTGTCGAGCAGAGCGTAGGACAGTGCAGACACATAGTTGAGAAGGAGAATTGGCCTGTATGGCCGTTACTTTATCACTATAGGAACGCGCCCCATCGATATGAATATCCATCTTACGCTCTACCAGATACCAGTCTTGAATCAACGGAAAGAGAAACGTCGATTGTCAATCGCGGTCGAGACATATGTGCCAGCCAAATGCGCAGATCCGCTTGTTGCAGTCGCTGATAGAGCGGCTTGGCACAAACTGCCTCATTGTTCTTTGATCACTGAGTAGCCATTTGCCACGTAGTTTTCTTCGGAAGGTTACCATCTGTAAATCCGTGGCGATGTTCCTTTTGTTTCGAGCTTCGCGCGCAACAAGGTTGAGCAGGGAAAATACATATATAAACCTAGATGCATTAGCGGTTGCAGGCGAAAAGGTCAAGAAGCAAGCAAACGCAAGCGAACATCTCGATTGTACATCTTGTGGACAGCAAGATCGTTCCTACACTACACAAAATGGTTAAACAGGAGGACAATACCTCATTTCGCTTGCTATTGGTGGTTGATATGGATTGCTGGCAGGTCCGTGTCTCAGGGGTCTAATCAGCGAAATACATCAATCACTGACATCACCTTCTATGACCACATAGGCGGGACAACTCAATATTAAAAACGCTATCAAAGCGCTTGATGCAGTCTTGCGACAGGTCTATCATATCCTCGGGAAGACAGGTACAGAGGTCGACAGGCGCTGCATCATCGTCAAATCGACGGGAAACAAGGAAGAGGTTGACGAACTGCTGGAGCGTTTCGAAGGTCTTCAATTGGTCGGACCCGGTCGAGCAGTCAGCGATACAGAACTTGCTCTGCTCGGTGAGCTTGCAAATTATTTACCAGCTATTACACTTTCCTTCTTATAAGTGATTCTTTTGACTTTCATCTAACAGTCGCCAGTAAGAGTCAAGTACTCGCCAGCCACAGGATCGTTGCAATCGTCGCGGCGGACCACAAAATCGACGTTGACGCCCTCGTCTATCGTCGGATCGGTAGTCTCTTGAACTTCGCTGCTGGCCACTCTCTAACCTGGACCCAGAAACAAGGCAGAGAGACCGTCGAAGTCTCTCTAAATTCGATCAAAAAGATTGGAGACTTTTGCGCTTCTTCGGAGCCGCTTATTCGAGAGAACAATGTATCCGAGGTCGCCATCCAGGATCCTTCGGCTATTAACAACGTATTGCTAGGAGAGAGCAACAACATGCAAGCTCCTCCAAAGTCACCGTGTCATGTGCCGGCTACCGCTGAGAAGCTGCCCAAAGATGTAAGCTTTGTGGCAACCTTCGATCGGCAGATGAAAATTGATGTCAGTAAGGGTCGCTACGTTTCCTGCGATCGTAGACTCCTCGCACGTATGAGGAGAATTTGATCTTCTGCCTAGAAGATGAAGGACACAACGCTAAGTGAGTTATGGCGCGTTGGAGCGCACAGAGTAAATACAATGCTGAAACGCCGCGCCGATTCAGTATCCTGGACTTCATCCCGTTGATCAAGTCCATACGACTCGCCGGAATCAGTTCGGGACGCAAGAAAAAGCCTCTCCGAAGCCAAGTAGGACAGGAACTCAGAGCGATCTCTACTTGGCCAATCGGAAAAGAAGGTTACACGACGTTCCGAAGCTACGCAGAGGCAGCAGAGGTGGTCGGTCTAGTGCTAGGAGATACTTACACCGGCACGATCGGCTCCACAGGCGAACTCGAGAAGATCTTGGATAGTAAGTGTTCTGAGTCGCTCTCATCCTGATCGTTCCAGTATCTGATTGCTGCGACCCTAGTCAATCCTTCGGAGAACTACACCCGTGGATGGCCCAACATTCACTGAGGGTGATGTCATTCGTACCGACAGTCGATATAGACCGCTCGGAGATAAAGTGCGCTCCGGAGAAGAAGGAAACGCTTTTGTCCCCGTATCTTCATGTGTCCGTTCCGTCCTCGACCGCAAAGGTGCTGTATCAAGTTGGAAAGACTATATACGTAGGGGAGATCCCCAAGCTATCTATGCCAATCACCTGCTTCATCGATAGTGAACAGTCAACTCGTCCACGTTGCAGAGGATGACGCCACCTGGTCGCGGGCGCTATTGTGGCGATGGTGCGAGAAGCGGACAAAGCTGATTCAACCGCTGCAAAGATTAATGCTGATGCGATCACCTGCACATATAAAGTGATCAGATCACCTCCCGATGAACAAGTGACGATTGCATGCAAGTGTGGCTGATCCTCTTGCTGATAGTCATTTTCAACGCACGCTTTCGAACACTCGACACTGAGGATGAGCGGGCAAGACTCGCCTCATCTGATTCTGGTGATTTGGGACGATGGTGGTGGGGAGGTCAGTACATACTGTAGGACGCGAATTCGTACAAATCAAGTCTGACCTACTCTTTCGATGGTCCTAGGTGAAAAACACCAGTCCAGGATGGGAGGCAAGAGAAGTTAAAGCGATCAAGCGTCAAGTCGAGCATAGCTTGTCACTGCCCGATCTGGAAATGGGCCACATCGATATCATGCTCAATTCGGAGACGGTAGTTGCGGAGTATTTCCGTTACATGGAGCCTTTTACCAATGTACGAGTGTTGTCCTGGAGAACTTTACTACCAGGATATTTACTACCTGTCTTCCAGGGTGAGCCCCGTTCAAGAGCGCGTCGAGTCAATTGACATCCACTGAGCTGCTTTGACGCAGAAACGGTCAAACACAGATCCTCTAGCGGACGACAGGTCATCGCATGCATACTGTCGTACTTACCGCTTGAAGATCAGCACCCTTCAACCTACGAAGCCTTGAAGTCGAACCCAGACATCCACTCTATCCACTTTTGGCATAAAAAGCATGCTTGGACACGCCAATCGTTCAACCTACAAGATTCGCAAATCGGTCTCAGAACTTCTGCGTCTCAAAGACTCCATACACCGAGCTCGCATGGCGATGCAGTTGAGACACCCGAGTCAGTCAAGGTTGCTTCGACGAGCACTGTTGTGGCGGAGAATGATGATTGGACCGCTGAGGGAGAACTGCGCAAGAGGTAAATACACCGAAAAAAAGAACGAGCCAGATTCAGATCTAAACGTTCTAGGGGCTTTCCTCGCAGATGGAAAGTGTTTGTACCGCTGATTGAGACAATCAACCTGTTGAACAAGTCCCAAGGGACTCCATCTCACTGGCAGATTTCAATTGAGGACACGATCCTACGTAGATATTCGTGGCCGATTGGAGGGTACAAATCAGTTACAGACTATATCGAGGCAGCCGCGAAAGAGGGCTTAGTCGATGTCGTCGATCATTGGCATCCTATTCAGCTGTCGCCGGGACGTCGCTTGGAAACGATCTTCAATGGTAGACATACAGCTCTTTCTTTCAGAACTCGAGTGATCGTGCTGACATCCATTTGCGATTGCAGTGAAACCTGACGAGACGGGCCACTATACTCAAGGATGGCCGCAAGTAAACCGCCTCTGTGGCCGTGAAGGAGTAGCGTCTGGAACCAACCTTCCAATCGCCTAGCCTTTAGTGACAGACGTCTCGTCGACCTCGGGATTCGATGTGATAATGCGAGATGTAAACATGAGCGCGAGCGTCTGACCTGATATACAATGGACTCAAAATCATCTACACAAAAGTAAACTTGCTCTCATCATCCGTGATCATGCGCTTGGCATTTTCCGTCCCCACAATCCGCTCGAGTTTCAAGTAATCAAACTTCGAATAGGCCACCCGGCTCGTCACCTCAGCTTCGTCGATATCGATCGTCTGCTTGCCCGTGGCCGAGGGCAAGAAGGGCGAGGCCATGAACTCGGCGTAGAAATCGGCATGTTCGGGTAGGGCGTAGAAGACGATGGTCTTGGCTCCTCTCAGTCGGTACCTACAGCGGTGTCAAGTTTAGCATAACGCCTTTGAACGTTTGATCATTCAGTGAATCGACTCACCTTCGGTAGAAGTGGAATCGCTCGGTAATGACCAAGAACGATTTCTTCCCCTTGAAGAACCCGGTCCTCGCAGCCGAGATCTCCTGGTTAGACGAGTATCTACCCCAAGCGCAATCTCATCAGCAAGTCACTCCACTCCATCAACCCCACTCTATGACTGCACTCACTCGGAAATGGCGGCAAACGAGATCTTGTCCATCTTTCGCATATGACCCGTCACCCGTACGAAGTCGAAGTACGAAGGGACGACGATCAACGTGTTCGAGCTGGACACTGCCGATTTCATTAACGCCGGTAATGTCGTCTCGGTGAACAGCTTGAACCTGATCTCCAGCTCTTCCAAGGCGTCTTCCCCGCGAAGACGGGTGAAGACTTGTTTGACCCCCTTGCGGACGTGCCCGAGGACGCCGTCAAAGTCTGTGCGTTCTACACGGATCTTGCCCTGGACGTTGAGGAGCGATTTGTTGAAGAGAGATCGGAACTCCGGGGTATCGTACCGCGAGATGAGGATGGATTGGCGGAGGAATTTGGCTCTGCGCGATGAACGATAGCGAGATCAGTTGCGCTGGACATGATGTTATGCATAACGAGTCTTGCTCACTGGTTGTCGAGGTACCACGGCTTGACACGGGAGAAATCACATCCGTGCGGATTGTTCGGGATCTTGTTCATGTTCTGGAAGACGAACTACAGAATTCCCATGGAAAACCCATTGTCAGCTCGCCCGTCTTCGTCCATCACTACCAGCGCGATCCGACTCACCTGCACATGCTCCCAATTCTGCATAGCCATCACATCCAGCCCGTCCGCCACGACGACCTCGATACTACTCAGACTATCCACCCCGCCCTCTTTATCACTCGCCATCCTCAAAGCCAACGGCGAAGCCACGATAATATCACACCCGATCAATTTATCCTCCCCACAAGGAGGAAGGACGACCCTCCATGCTTTCCTGGTAAACTTGATCCCGAACCTGAAGTTGTCGTCCGAGTTACCTGAAAAGGTCTTGACGTGGTCCCTAGGGTAACTCTTCCCTTTCTCCCCGTCCAACAACGGGTCTTCCACCCCCTCTGGCAGAGAGAATGAAGAGACGAACGGACGGAGGTTTTCGATCTGGTTTTCTTTCGGGGCGAGGGGGAAGAGGTGGTCGACGAGGTAGTGTAGGGCCCAGGAACGGAAGGGGAGGAGGAGGAGGACCTTGGGTCGGGTGAATGATTGGTCACGCGGGTCGAAAGAGGCGGGGAGGGGGGTCGAGTTGGATTGAGCGTGGGCGAGTTTTTCGTTGTTACGGATGATCTTTCGACGGGACCTGCGAGGCGAACAAGAGGGCGAGCATCAGCTTTTGATCCCATAGCCTCCTCATTCTCCACCAATTCCACAGCTCGACACTCACTTCAGAACATGATTCACAGCATGTAACATTGCCGCCCCCCTAACGCCCTCAATATCCTCGTCCCTCTCCATTCCATGCAAGTACATATCCTTGTACCCACCCATCGTTCGGAGCGCAGCGTTCTCTAGGTCGGTCGGGTTTGGGGAGTTGGATTTGTAGGTAGGGAGGAGAGAGGGAGTTATCTGCAAGATGAAACGGTATTCGAAATGAATCAGAACCACAATCCACTGGAAGAAACCTTCAAAACACTGGACAGCTTCCGGATCCTGATACTCACTCTGCTACTCCCCGAACTCTCTCCCTCTACATCCTCGGCGAAACCTTTCGGCAGACACTCGACGACCCTCCCTAACCCGCCCAAGACTCTCCGTCGGCTCGTCCATTCGTGCGCCTCGGCAGCTTCCCGCGTAGGTTCGGTGAGGATAGGAGGGTTGATCGAGAAGTGGGATGTGAATGCGTCTGATGTTGATGACGTGGTCGTAGTGGATTTGGAGGTGGTCGTTTCGGCCTCGTCGGAGGAAGAGTCGGATTCGGGCTCCAAGGCGAATGCGGAGGTAGATGCTTCGGCAGAAGCTGAAGCGGTAGGAGCCTCGGCGTCGACCTCGACAGCCTTTTCAGACTTTTTGTTCTTCTTGCTCTTCTTCCCGGACTTGCTGGCTTCACCGTCCTTGATCGTGCTCCCGCTAGGCCCGATCACACCCCCAAAGATGACCCCCTTCTTCTTCTTCTTTGGTGGTTCCCCATCAGCTCCTCTTGAAGACGAAGACGAGCTTCCGTTCGCTTCGATAGTTGAAGGTTGAGGAGGTTGTTGGGGCGTAAGACTGGTCTCACGGGACAAGGTCGGGGAAGATCGATGGCCGCCTGGGACGTCCAGGTCGAAAGGGCGCTTGATGGCCGAGACGTTGAGGAGGGTGAGGAGTTTGAGTTGAACAGCGGATGACATGATAGAATAGCTTCGATATGTGGCAAGAATGCAAATAAGGAGGCTATCGATACTTGTCGAGACAGACTAGAACTGCAGCAGATTAGACCAACTAGACCTGCTTGCAGCTCGTATCCTCTGACTTTGTCGTTTCGAAAATCCCAAAGTATCAGTTGTTTACTTTTTCGCCACGAGGGAAGTATTATTAGATCGACACGTCATGTCATCTTCGGTGGAACATATAACTTATCAAAATAATCTCTCACCTTCTAACTCGAGAAGCTCGATTCATGCTCGATCATCTTCTTCTACATCGTCGTCGTTCTCTATCGCCACCTACCTCAAGCCACCGCAGTACACGTCTCAAGAATAATCTAGTAAAGCAACTCATATCAAAATGTCCGAGGAGAACAACGAAGCGCCCCCTACCGCTCCTCCCGCCGGCGAGGTCAAGCCCGAGCAGCGTGAGTCGAGCCTGAGGGTTGAGTCACCCCTCGTCGCCTTGGTGCAACTGGGGATAATGCATTCGGGAAGGATGGCAGCTGATCTGGAGGATGCTTTATTGTTGGACAACAGAGTCTATGAACATCAAGGTACATCCTCTATCTAGCTCTGCAGCTGTTCGGAAGCGAGAAGCTCTGGATAAGAAGATGCTGCTGGGAGGGACGCAAGATTGCTGACGTTCTCCCTCGATCTGCTCTTCTCACCACTGTTGGATGGCCCGGTGTCATAATGCGGACTATAGGTCACTTCGACCGGTACGTGCTTTATCCTCATCTCCGTGATCATCCTCAAAATCTTGCGTATGCAAGGTGATTCGGCACAAACTGACATCTGCTCAACGTCTTTTTGTTTTCTTTCCACCGCTTCCATCTATCAACCTCGACGCCAATGATCGAAATTCTGACTGGAATGCATCGTCTCAATCCATATCACTTGCTATGATTTACGATCACGACCGCAATCTTCAATATCGCGAACATGATCACGCTCACGCTTTCGATCACAACATCACCTACAAACCTATCTTCTCCGACCACAATACGATAACGAAACAGACGGTAACGAGGTGAGTTCCACTCTCTTCCTTCATCCCCATCATTCCTACTCGAAATGGAGAACCGCATGGCTGACCTTTACAACCTTGACCTTCTTGCTCTTCTTGCTCTTCATCTTTCTTTTTATTTATTTTTCCTCTATACTTACCTTTGCCACGAAAAAGGTCTTCTTCAAGATCAAGCGTACGACCAGGTTGAACAAGCTCAAGGTGAGGATCAGGATTCTTCTTTTTAGGACGGCTTGAGGGTCGGGGTCGACACGTGGTCTCGTCTGGAGAATTTCGGGTTATGGTCACGAAATTCGAACGTTCTTGAGGCTGAGGCAGAGAGGGGGATCTTGATGAGGGCGCCGGAGAATCGGTGGAGAGGTAGCTTACCTACATCCCGCCGGACCACCGCGTCAGCCTTCGCGGCGATAGGCGAGATCGAATGGGGTTTCACAACGTGCACAAGTCTAGATGTCTCAGGGGAATGAGAGCAACGGGAATCCTTGGCTTGGTACGGCTCGATTTGACGAGACTGTGAGGAATAAAGACAGCCACCGGAGCGGCATTTGCTCTCCACGTCGGGAAGCTGGAGTCGAGGATTCCAAGGCGGAAGTCTGCCTAGCAAGTACGCAGGAAATTAAACGAGAAGCGATAAAACAGCGGGTTCTGGATTGGTACGACACGATTCGAGCTAGTAGTGACAACGGATCCGAGTCGAACGGGGTTTCTGATAGCAGAGCAATAACTCAGTCCAAGCCGTACTGACTACCTGTCCTGTTCTTCGGCATGAAGAACGCCTATGCCGAGCGAGTCGGAAAGAACGTTGCTGCCATCCGGTAAGCACGGTGCTCTCTCCTTTGACCAGCAGTCATCATCAGGATCCTGACAGTCAGGCATTTGATCGATTCGACGCGCAGATTCTTCTACGACGGAAACAGGGTGAACGACGACGACACCCCGGACAGCTTGGATCTCGAGGAGGGAGACTCGATCGAGGTCGCTTTGGAGCGTAAGTCGCGGTTGTTGATGTCGTACAACTCGGTCAACGTGGGGGCTGACAGCTGATCTGGATTGGATGGGTTCTCACAGAGGTCGGAGGTTGTTAATTCGGGAGGCGTCGAACGGGGAATGGGGTGTTCGACGGTTTACAGGTCGCAGGCAAGCGAGGTCAACTCTTCTTGCTTCGTCCGCTTCGGTCGAGCTCGTGCGGCACTTCTGTTTCCCTATCGGTAGCGAACTTGTCATGGGTTATTTCGAAAGTCGTCTGTATAAATTTGGCGTGTGTAATCTTGGTTGGGGTGACAAGATCGATGGCCTCTTTCTGAAACACTTCATTCTTCGCGCGAAAGATGTCAGCTTGGATATTCTGCGCTTCCTTCTTCGCGCTTTCTCACGCGCAATGACTCCCAAACTTTTCCGTCGAGTTCTCCCTTCCTCGCGCGACCTCACCGGAACCCTGTCTATATCGACATCGATCTTGTAACCCGTTCACGATCACAGCTCTCGCACGCTTGTCCTTCCTCTTCTCTCTCACCAAAAGTCTTTGCAAACAGTCACCGCTGTCGCCTTTCCCACAACCGCAACAAGTCGCTATCACTGCAAACAAAATGGCCACCAAGGAGGATTACGAGAAGACCGGTGCTACCGCTGGTGCCAAGGTCCACAAGATCAGGATCACCTTGACTTCCAGGAACGTCAAGAACCTCGAGAAGTGTGGGTATCAGCTTGATCGATGAGAGGGGTCAGTTTGGTGGATCAGGAGGCTGATGGGATTGAATGTCTGGGTGACTTGTTTGGGTGGGATAGTCTCGACCGACCTCGTCAACAGGGCCAAGGACAAGGACCTCCGAGTCAAGGGACCCGTCAGGTTGCCTACCAAGCACTTGAAGATCACCACCAGGAAGTCGTGAGTACCGTCTTCCCCCTAACTTCACCTCGTTGCTCTTTACAACGGCTGACCCCGCCATCGATTTCTTGTTCGCGTAACGCAGTCCCTGTGGTGAGGGTTCCAAGACCTGGGACCGATTCGAGATGAGGATCCACAAGCGTCTCATCGACTTGCACACCACCGCCGAGGTCGTCAAGCAGATCGTACGTCATTCCCTTCCTCCCCTTTTCGTCTCCTCAAACGTCGATCTCTTTCTGGACATTCGCTAACCTTCTGCTTGCCTCCCTCTCGCGTCGAACAGACTTCGATCCAGCTCGAGACCGGTGTCGAGGTCGAGGTCACCCTCGCCGAGTAAACTTGTCGACGTTGACATTGGAGCCTTTCCGTATCTGGTTCCCTTGATTGGATCAACTGGATATACATGCGGGAAGGTCTAGAAGTTGCATTTACGTTGGATCGGGAGAGGACTGATGAAGAGGGGTCTTGTGGGGATCGAGGAGGATCGGGTTGGATGAAGCATTGGGGTTCTCTAGCTCCGGATGTAATTTCGAGTTGATCCGATACGATCTTTATACCTCTCGAGTTTCCGCTTACGAGTTTGCTGTATCACGTCAAACGGCCAGCGCAAGTATTAAAGGACGACGTGATGTCGATCACTTAATCTTTGAGCCACACCGCGATTTCGCAGATGGGGTCGAAGCCCACCCTGATCCCGCCCCTCCTCCTACAGATGACCAAATTGAAGTGATCAAGGCACACCTTAGACTCAAAAACAGGATCCGAAACAGCATACTCATTGGCGCCCGTGGTTTCAGCGCAAATCCACCCTACATGTACGGCCACACTCGGACGGAACGTGCACCTAGCAAATTGCTCACAAAGTGTTCCGTACGTGCGTACATGTGACCTCGATGCGATCAGCGGACGACCGGACCGGGTGTTTGACGACAACTCACCGTGCGACCACCAAGCCTTTGCGCTGTACGAGTTAATTTACCCTCGTCTTGGTGGACCCGATGTCATCGAAGTGAGTGCTCAATACCGGGACGCAGATTAGGGTCCCCCAGCGGCACAGCCGGTGGGGCGGGCTAGGCAGGTGGGACTGTGAGATGCTCAAATGGGGGGCACTTCCAGCCGAAACATACATTTTTCTTTTGCGCTTTGGCAGCTGGTACCTTGTAGCTGAAGAACCAATCGAGCTATGAAGTGTCGACTGTAATCGACTTGGAGGAGACCAAACTCTTGCCTGCACTTGACGTGGATGATGCTGGCCCCGGTGTCCGACTTGGATGCAGATGAAACAGCGGGATTAACAGGATTTGTGTTCATGGGAAGTGCGAGAGCGACGAGAGAGGATTCAGAATCAAGGTCTGGACGTATCCTCCAGCCCACCTCATGGCCCCGTCTTCGACAGATAAGAGTTGATCAGGAAAGCGGAAAAGTTTCGGTCTGATCGCACTTCATGCAGCTTAGCCCATAATTACGCACCGGTAGGACTTGTGATGGCAACGAAACTGAACCACACACCGGTTTCAATCCTTAGCTCTATGCGGAATCGACCTCACAAGTCTCTCTTCCATGATCGACCATCGCAGCAAAGAGAATTTTGACTCGGTGTTGGTGTTGGGGCAATCGCTCGGACACGCTGCGAGTGATATGCACCTGAAGCTCTCAATCGCCGTGGCTCCCGGTTATGAACCCGAATGAGAGAAGGCCTGATCGAAGACCACCCTTTGGCCCCCTACCGGTAAGACCCCGGAGGGCTGATGCAGTGCGCGGCAACGAAGGCTCCGGGGCGACTTGGAAACATTTTGATACTAATGCATAGTTTGGTACAACCTTGTAAGAACTCAGACTGGCGAAACGTGAAGCGCCTATTCTCCTATCCTATAGTACCCCGTGACGTGATGAGGGTATGAGCCTACATCTTGGCAAGCTTTTGTTCGGTCGAATTGTAAGCGTTCGACTTGTCCTGTCCGTCGACCTTGGCTTGCTCTCGGAGCTGTCGTCTGAGGATCTTGCCGGCGGGACTGTAGCGTATATTGGTCGAATCAGCTCGAGGCGCCTATCGCAAAGGTGTTCGCGTGAAGCTTACCTCTTGGGGATCGCCTCGATGAAGACGACACCTCCTCGCAGACGCTTATGATTCGCCACCTGATCAAAGTCAGAATCAGTTTCCCGGCCGCATATGGTTCTTTGTAACAAACACAGACGCTCACCTGCCCGGCGACCCATTTCACGATCTCCTCCTCCAACCGCTTCCTAGCGGCCCCATCTTGCCACTTGGCCAGTCCGCCCTGCGGTACTACGTAAGCTCGGGGCAACTCGGTGGCCTGTTCCTCGGACATGATCCCGATCACACCGACGTCGTCGACCTTGGGGTGAGTGAGCAGGAGTGCTTCTAGGTCGGCGGGAGGAACTGCCAGTGAAGAAAAGCCATATGGATTGATTATTAGATCTATCAGGACCGAAAGGTCATAGCATCTAGACGAGGCTCACCTTGGAACCCCTTGTATTTGATCAGCTCCTTTAGCCTATCGACGATGCTGTTAATGAGGATATATATCAGCTCGGGCCGGCCAACTAGATTCCAGATTATCTCGCCTACGCACAAGAAGGACCCGTCCTGATCGACCTCGGCGATATCCCCTGTCCTATACCAACCCCCTTCCAAAAACGTCCCCTTGGTCGCCTCGGGGTTGTTCCAGTACCCCTTCATGACCGTCGTACCCCTCAGACAAAACTCTCCCGCCTGACTCCGTTTGGACGGCCTGTCAAAGTCGATGGGGATGGCGTTCCCGTCAATATCGACCAGTTTGGCTTCTGTGCCGGGGATGAGCTGTCCGGCAGATCCGATCTTGGTCAAGCCGTGTTCGACCTTGGTAGCCATACACGGGGCCGTGGTCTCGGTGAGTCCGTAACCCTGGACGATCATCAGGTCCGGGTTCCCTGGACCCTTCTTGCCTCCCTTTCGGAGCCGGGCGAGGGCTTTCCTCGTGAGTCCCTCGCCGAGGGGTGCGGCTCCGCTCATCAAGCTTCGTAGGGAGGAGAGGTCGTAATCGTCCACCATGGGCAGGTTGGCGAGGATGACCAGGATAGGGGGCACAATCAAGGCCCAGGTGATTCGGTACTTTTCGACGGTTTGAAGGAAGAGGACGGGTTCGAACTTGGGCAGTGTGACGCAGGGGATCTTGACAACCAGGGGGAAGCAAACAAGGCTGCGAAGGTGACGAGTAAGGTCAGGATTTCGATTTCGGATCTCGTGTAGCTTGGAAACTCACTTGACCATCCCGTAGATATCTACCTCGCCACGCCCAGTCCAAACACATAAGATCAAATTAGCAAAACAACTTCCCACTCTGTTTCGACCCGAAACACCTCTTCTAATCGACACTCACGGAACATGGGCAAGACCCCGATCACCTTGTCGACCCCCGGTTCGAGCTTCATCAACAGCGTCATAGCCTTGACGGATACGTGCGAGAGGTTCCGGTGGGTCGTCTCTACGCCCTTGGGGGCGGCGGTCTGGTAGAGCATAGCGACAGGTTGAGATCGACGTTAAAAATTGAGCAAACGGGACACGAAAAAAAGGCAAGAAAGAGAAAGAAAACTGACCGTCCCGCTGCTATAACAAAGCACGGCCGTCTCGTCATCGCCGCTCTCTTCTGGCAATGCATCCCCATCCCAATCTTTGACCTCGGACTCGTCCACATAGAGATCCTCAAACGACTTGATCCCGCCGCTCTCTTTGGGTACCTCTTTCTTGGGTACGGTATAGAACACCTTGATCTCCCTGACCCAACCTGCCTCGGCGGATTCACCAGAGAGGATCTTCAAGGCTTCTTTCGCCGTCGGCCAGAGCGCCGGGTGGACGAACAAGATCGAAGGTTTCCCATCCCGTAACTGATGGCAGAGTTCTTTGGGGGTATAAGAAGCGTTCGCCAGGCTCGCTATGGTCAGGGAAGATTGGAGTGCGAAGAAGAGGAGCGGGTAGTGGATCGAGTTGGGGGAGAAGACGAGGGCGAGACGTTTCTTTCCCTTTCCCTTGGGAGAAGAAGGCGAGGGCGAGGAGGAGAGGTTCTTGATACCAGCACCTAGGCGGAGAGCGTTCGTACGGAATTGTTGGCGGGTGTAAGAGACGCCCGTGTCTGCTGCGACAAAGGCGTGGTCGGATGGGCGGTCGAGGTTCCGGGGGAGGAAAAAGTGGAAGAGGGAGGTGGTGCGTGGGGGGAGAGGGGGGGTGGGGTAGGAGGAGGTGAGGATGGTCTGGGTCATTGTGAGGTCGTGGTTGCTCCTGCTTGGAGTGGTTCGTAGAATGTGACAAGAGTGCGATGTTGTATGACTATTGCATGTATCATATGTTCTTGTTGGATGATGTCGAATAGGGGTAGAGTAGAGGTCCTGGACAACCTGAAGAGAGAGTAACCGGCATCTCTCGGCCGATGATGACCTCCCCGGTTAATGGGCTGAGAAGGGGTTGCCGGAGAACATCACGTGATTGACAGTATACGTCATAGACAGTTTGTTTACGTGATTTTGGGGAATTTACATCCGGATGAGTGAGCTTTAGCTTCCGGGGAGCGTCCAAGGCGGTATGGGGGTTCCCTGTTAAACTCGACAACTTCAAGCTGAAGCAGCTATATTATTATGAGTACATCTCTAGTCTAGCTGGTCTATTCGCATTATCGTTTTTAGCATCAGCTCTTCATATCTGCCTGAGAGTGGAGCGTTCATACACTATCATGCCACGCCCACCAATACGTTATCGCCCATCGTCGTCGATGACGTCCGAACGACCGGCACACCTCCCCCATCCGTCGGCCCCGTTCCATCCTTTGGCGGATACGACGACGTACAAGGACTTGTTGCTCTTTGAAGAGAGGTTGAAGATGAACGCGCAGATGCTGAATAGGAGGCGGAGGAGGTATGAAGGTTAGTCATGCTTCTGGAGCTTGTTGTGCGGATATGAGCGTTGTTGAACAGAGCGAAAGGGGGGTTCGGGCTGACTTGGTCTGCTATTATCGGGTGTTGGAAACTGTTAGCTTTTTTGGTCACGCTCGTCATCTCGATCGTCTTCCTCGCCCATCGAGCAATGTTCAAACCGAGCGAAGTAAGCTTCAGATTCTGGCACAATTCCGCTCCTCCTTACTGTACATGAAACGACACGAGCTTACACCTCTGTCATCCGCCCTTCCACCCTGATATTCCCGCCCAACTCCAAAACCCCGCAGCTCCACCTAGTCCGATACCTAACAAAAGGCCTCCTAGCAGTAGCCCTCGTCACCCTAGTCCTCTTCTTCGCATCAGGGATGTACCAAGAACGGATAGCCTACGCGAACAAGTACGTGCCGCATGCGAATAGGGCGTTGAGGGGGATCAATATGCACTTGAATATGAGGAGGGGGTATGGCTATGGGTATGCGGGGCTTGGGAACGGGAAGGGAATCGCGGGGAGGTTGAGGGGGTGGGTGGGGAGAGGGAGGAGGTCGGGGGAGTTGGGGACGGAGGGGGAGAAGGAGAGGTTGGTCGGTGGGAATGGGGTGGGGGTGGGGACGAGAACGAACTCTTCGACAATACCACCATCCACAAACACAACAACCACCATCTCACCAAAACCGCCTTCAACCTCCTCTTCCACATCATCATCCAGCTCGGTCATCCCACCCATCCCCCCGACCCAGAATCCACGAGGAGAACTCATCTTCTCTTCCCGCATCCCACCCCATTTCAAAGAGGGCTACGAACGATACCGAGCAGCGTTCGAGAGGAGACGGGGGGAAAAGATACGGGAAGAGAGGTGGAGGAGGAGTTGGTTCTTTGTCAGGTGGTTCTTGGAGATGCCCGAGGGGCTGGCGAGCGGGAGTGGGAAGTTGGGTGCGGGAACCGTTGCGGGTGTGGTGCAGGGACAAGGGAGGAAGGGAGGGTCGTTGGGCGTACGGATGGATGGAGGAGGACAACAACGTAGTCGGAGTCATTCTCCCGCTATCAATTCCACCGCCTCCACCGTTTCTTCTTCCGCTTCCAACGCCAACTCCACGATGACGACGATGAACAACAAGGAAGGTGTACGACCGGGAGGACCAAAGAGGGTCGGTTCGGAACCTCTTGCCAGTAGGTCTGCGAACGGAGTCAGGACGGAAGTCTCGGACGAGGAAAAGGCTGGGATTCACGACGATGATGAGAAGGCGGCGACGACGGCTAGGATGAACAGGGATCGGTCGGAGAGTTATACGTTTATACTCGGCAAGGGCGAGGCGGACAAGCATACGATGACGTCGGGTCGGGGTGGTGGTGGAGCAGGGATAGGGACGGGGCAGAGGGAGGTGATGGCAAGGTTGGACGAGGAGAAGCAGTAGAAGGGCGTCGTGTTGAGTATAGAATTTGTATCTAAAGGATTAATCGAGGTCATGGTGAATCATTATTGCCTTGACCAGTTGTAAGGGTGGCTTGCTTTTACAGCCGGACGAAGGAGAATTTCAGGATCGACTCGAGGTTCCGTGTCGCGACTTGATGAATAAACATAAAATTGCCTATCACGACCTTGCCGATAACCAGCACCTCTTCAGCCCTAAGCCCTGACCGAACATCTAGTCCCACTTCGTGGTCGTTAGGGTGGCTGAACCCGGCCGCAAGAAGAACCATTTCGAGCCTCACGCCGAGCCTGATCTGGATGTGCAAGAAGTCTCAGCAAAGATCGATGTAGCCGCAGCATATCCCTACAACCTCGAATTCGATTACATGAAGTGCGCTGCCATGATGGGAACTGGTTTCTTGGGTCGAACGGCTTGACTGGGTCATAGGGAGAAATGCAATGGAGGTCTGGAAGATACACAGGCGGGCCTGATGCGTGGCATCCTCAATAACGTATTCGCTATGGGCCTACGAGGAGCGAGGAGCTCGATGGGACGGACAGGTGGCAAGTGGGGAATATTTGCCAAGCCCGGGTCGGGGGGTTTCTCGAGATGAAACGTGCATGGCATGGGGTGTAGGTCATATACGATCGGAGGATTCCGTGAGGGCCACGCGGGGAAGCACCTTTGAGTACTTATTATTAGTGTAATTCCGTCAGACACTTGCTACTACAAAGCTACATCGCCGGATGACCTTCGACATCGGGGGTGCTATAGTAGTAGTATCAGAGATATCTAGACTCTTCTGTACCGAACACACTGTGTAGACTCTAGACTGTGACCCTGCGAGGACATGCTCGGAAGATCGATCGCTAGCAGGACGATCACAAGACAAGCAACCGTCATCATCCCGTGTCCGACTTTCCGCACGTTACCGACGCTGTTGCAACTTCGACCTCGACCATCTCGGTCCTTGCAACGACAGCCACCCGCTCAACGATCCATCATGTCCGCCAGCCTCAATAACGACAAAGAATACCTGGCTATCTCGCAGGACGAGACTGTTTATCAGCCGTTCTTGCTCAGCCCGATCCCGGGAGCGGAAAAGACGCCTGATGGGGAACTGGCGGTCGATAAGGATGACTGGGTACAGGGACTCGAGCTGGATCACGTCAAGGGGATGGTCAAAAGCGTTCCGGAGGGCAGAAGGGTGAAGATCTTGATCTTGTATGGGAGCTTGAGAGAACGGTGAGTTGGAATTCTTATGTCAAGGCGATATCACACCTCGGCACCCGACCTTGCCTACAATCGTACTGATCGACTCGATCCCCCCGTTGTTTACGACTATCTCGTACAGCTCCTTCTCCCGATTGATGGCCTACGAAGCAGCCCGGATCCTACATACCATCGGCTGCCAAGTCAGGATTTACGATCCTCTCGGTTTACCTGTAAAGGACGATACGCAGCACGACCACCCAAAAGTACAGGAACTGAGACAGTTGAGCGAATGGAGCGATGGGCAGTTTTGGTGTTCGCCGGAACAGCATGGGAATGTGACGGCGGTGTTCAAGAATCAGAGTGAGTATCGACGCTTGCTTCCGCTCAGCAGGGGTTGTGAAAGTGGCGCTTGGCTGATTTGATGATCGTTCATGGGCTGTCTTGCTCGTGGTTGATAGTCGACTGGATCCCGCTCTCTGTGGGATCCGTACGACCAACACAGGGCAGGACCGTCGGGCTATGTCAGGCAAGTCGGCTTCATGTTGCTTGCAGGCTCGACTACCTTGTCGACACATCCTTGTGGTAACATTGGCTAATGACCTCGGTCTACGTCCTCGCAGATCAACGGTGGATCGCAGAGTTTCAACACGTTGTCGTTTTTACGGAATCTGGGAAGGTGGATGAGGATGTTTGTCATTCCGAACCAGGTGAGACCCGGACCGTCTTGCCTACATATTTACCTCCCTCTCCCCGAAAATCCTCTGATCGCTAATCATCGAACCTTTGCCAACCTCGCAGTCCTCCCTACCACTAGCTTGGAAATGTTTCACCCCGGCCGGCCGCCTCCTCCCCTCTTCAAACCGGGACCGCCTGGTAGACGTCTGCGAAGAACTCGTCAAGTTTACCGTCCTCCTCCTCCCGCACTTCCAGGTCTTGGGTGATCGGTATAGCGAGCGAGAAGAGAAGCGCGTGAAAGGGAGGTTGTTGACGCAGGCGGAGAAGGAAAAGGAGAAGGATGCGTCGTTGGCAGCGTCCAAAGACAGGGAGAGGTTGAAGGATCTGCACAAGGCGCATGATGGGAGCAAGTGAGAGGACATTGCATTGTGTAGAGGTGCTTAGACGTCGGGGTGGTGTATCGAGTAGATGCCCGCCTGTGAAGCTATTCGGTCGGTTTGGGCTCATTGGGCACAGAACTTGGCGGGAGATCTCAAGGCCCACCCGTAGTGCCCGCGCTGTCTAACAATCAACAAACAGATTCCACAATAAAAGGTTGGGACCGTGCATCTTGAATTGAAGCGCCTGTCGCACCAGAATTCCATGCGGAAAACGAGTTCAATGAAGGTTTCGCGCAGGGAAAGAAAATCCTAAACAGCGGGATCCTCGCCTGTGAACGGGCACGGTGCGCCCTCGCCATCCTTATGCGGGTTGAAATTGGTGCAAGGTAGCTTGTATGAAGTCATTTCAGCTCGAGAGATTATGACGATGTCAGCCGCTGACCGTTCCGCTGCTCTGCCCCGATCGGCGTCCCGACTTGTCAGCTGCGAGTACAGCCTGGACAGCCCAGCTGATCGAACAACGCTTACCTCGCTGGGAGCCCGCTTGTCGACGTAGAGGAAAGCATGGCTGTGTATGATCATGACAGTCGACCTAATGGGTGAGATCTCGGATATTCGGACTTTGCCTTTAAGTCCATGCGGAATGAAACCTGACAAACTTTCTCGCGAGTTCGATCGATCGAAATCATGATTTTAATAAAGCTTGTATCTCGCTCGTCGCTCTACTTCGAGCTCGCAATACAGCTCCGTAACGGACTAGCAGGAAAGGTACAGCTGCCAAGATTGTGGCGAACGCTGCTACTATCGAACCAGCTTGGGGAGGACCTAGCGCTTGGTACTGGAAGAGACACCGTCATGACTATCAGTGGACGCATTTCGCATGATCTCTCACAAAACGCACCAATCGGCGGGCGAATAAAGGGAAGACTGCGCCGAGTACATTGCGGACGAACGATTGCGAGGCGTTGGCGCTGCTCGAAAAATGTTCGTAAGCGTCGGAGAGGTATGAGCTGTCGTAAAGAGGCATCTTATATCAGCACGGAAAATAAGCGACTCTACGTGTACTGAGCTCACTAGACACCGAGGTAGATTGAGAAAGTGCCTGCGTTGACGATCACCAAGGCTATGCCGGGGACGATCCAGTGTATTGATGGTCGAGCGGTCCAGGCGTAGAACCAGAGTCCGGCTGCTAACATCACTCCGCCTACGCACGGATGATGTAGTCGGGCCTAGAACGGGAGAGAAAAGGTGAGATCCACGGTTTGCATTTGAGGTGGAACGTAATCGCTTGCCTCGGGTGCCGCCTTGGCAGGACTTGCACGATGACTCGCTCGAGAGTATATATGATCCTGATGTAGACTCGCAACAGAAGCAAGGCAACCTCCGATTGCCACAGGACTGTCATGGCACGAGTTTGGAGGTCAATCAACCTTCTTCGCTCGCGCTACTTGCTACTCACATGAGGAAGAGGGAACATTCCGAGACGGAAAACCCATAGGAACCGAACACGACAAAAACGCTGCTGGCGAACAGGAAGATGACGCCCCAAGCGAATCCAACCCAGAGTGAGAGGGCTATGACGATGGGTTCGGTGGTAAGGTAGACTGATCAGTCAATTCAAACCGTTGTCCACTTAGCACGCGTCGAGATTCGTATGTACAGATGTATGTACACGAGGCAATTACGCACCGAAAGGTCGGGTGATCGAAACGGAGATCGCATCCAGTAGATGTCGCCATCGTTTCGAGATCGCATGAGATTCGTCGTCAAACTCGACCGGTGGCAAGCTGGGTCTTGTTTCCTTAGCTACGCTCAAGTACCAAGCCAATCCGACGGCTGACGCTATCCCTTGATACTGGTAGACAAGATCGACAGATGGCAGGTTCTTAGCTGGAGCATTCTAAAGTAGGATCCGCTTGACGGCACTCACCCCCCAGACCCATCGGTAATCCGTCTTCTCGGCAATATGGGCGGCTATTGCCGGTCCCACCCCTTGTCCGATGAATATGCTCAAGGTGAAAGCGTTCATCGCTCGTCCTCGAGTCTTCGAGCCGTACATATCTACCAAGGTCCCCGCGATCATGCTGCTAGCCACGCTCCCAAAGACCCCGATGAGGAGTCGGCTGATGACGAACCCCGCGTAGGACCTTGTCAAAGTTTGGGGAATGAAGAGTAGGGTATAGAGAGACATGGAGATTCCGAACGTCTTGACCCGGCCGAGAAGCTCGCTGAGCGGGTTGAGGGCCATAGGCGCGAAGGCGATACCGAGCATGAGACCTGTGTTTGACAGAAGGTATTGAGTACCGGATACACTGAAGTAGGCAGTTCCTGCTTCTTGGGTAGGTCCTATTGAGCTAGCGACAGGATTCATTGTAAGCATTTGTGGGATAGCAGTATCGGACGGACAGCTTACACGGCGTTGATGGCTGGACATTTCCAGTGGAGCATGGTCGTCAGGATCGATGGATACGGATGTTGGTCGGCGCCCGATCTCACCTGAGAGACATGCTATGACTAGCAACGGGGCCGTTTGGTTCAGCTTCGTCTTGAGCGGCCTATGGCTCTCGATATGCCTTCAGTGCTCGGCGTGCTAGTCCTCACAAAGCGCGAGCGCGACTCACCAAGCCTGTGGCCGAACGAAGCCTGTTGCAGGCTGATGATCAACGACATTAGTGACTGATCCATTCTTGCGCGATTAGACGAGTATGCTTACCGTACTCAGCCCAGACCCGTGCTGAGTCGCATAGCTTGGATACGTCGGCGTTTGTAAGCCGTCTTTGACCTCGGTTTCGGCTTCTAGAGGAAGGTCAGAACCCATCCCTACCGCTACTGTGATTCGGTTCTGCGAATCACCATATCCTGCCATTCCTGAGCGTCCTAGGACCCGTTCTCTGTGTGCTCGGGGTCATAGCGTTGTCTTTATGTCTATATCGTTCGATCGAGATCAAGATCGGGTCTCCGAGTCAAAATCGAACCCCCTATCTCTCTATTTTCGGGCTTCGGTCCGGGCGAGACTGCGCCGGCGACAGATTAGCTTCCGAAAGAAAGCGATGCGGCGTTCATCGAATGATTCTGAAACGAGAGCGAGGCAGAGGTAGCGTGGGGTAGACCTCTCGTGGTTGTGATCTCTGAATGTCGCCAATTCGGACTATTGTCACCTCTTGTTCAGTCTTGCATCCATTCGCTGGCCGGGATACTACTTCATGGGGCAGGTGGTCCCAGCCTTTCGGTAGAGTCCGATCTGCTGTTCCAAAAAGCAACAACGATTACCTAGAAAGTTTGTCTCGCACAGCATTGATCAGCGCATATTTATGCGAAAGTGACGGAGCATGATACACCAGAGAATCGATGTCGATGTTTTCGATAGTCTGGTCGCACTCTATGAATGCCATGCTTACGATATTAGGAGGTAGCAGCCGCGGCATCTTCGTCTCGCCCTTGAACGCTGCATCACATTCTGACGCTTTGGCTATTTTCGGGGAGCTGGATACTCCGAAGTGCGGACTGTGTCAGCGGAGGGTACTACCCGAGCATGTCTGTTTCCAACAGGCTGGACGACGATTTCGACAGATCTGGGCCCGGTGAGCGGATAGCAAAAATAGGGTGTTTGCTGAGATTTCAATATGTATATATATACACACAAGTTGCTTTCGACGTAAATACTCGGGCTCTCTCCGTGGCTACGATGGAACTCGCTCAGCTCGGTCCCATCAACGTCAACGTCGACGTCCCGTCCTCGTCCCACATCTCTGAGCCCTCCTCTCCCGCCAACTTTGAAGAGCAGAAAGCAGAACTGCTAGCAAGACTTGAAGTATTCGAGACCAGCTTTCTGTTGCGCAGAAAGACACTGCCAATGTCGAAGATCTGTTCAGACTTTGCGCGCGGGCTCTTGACGCCATCGAGGACGCCCTGAACGGCAAAGGAGTTGTGAGTACAACAATTCAATAGACTTCTATTACTTCATAACTGATCATAGGATCAGACCCAACCGACAGTATGAAAATACCAGCATGCCATCATGACATAACCAAGCTCATATCAATCGTTGATATCGTAACAGGATCACCGTATTGCAGATCAATTCGGGTTGCCCCCCATCGACTTTGCTCTCGACCGACCAGTTCGACCGCCCACCGACAACAACCAAGACCGTCATCTTTGCAGTCCTTTAAGTAAGCGATGTTCGTTTCACCGTTCTCCTCATCGAAAGCGAAATAGGCCCTAGTCTTGGGAACAGCCGAGTAGAGATCGCAGTTGTGAGGGTTACCTCACTTCTCCTGCCAGCTTACGGCTTGACAATCCGCAGAGAAACATCTTTATTCATCCAGCCGCCAGCGATCGTTCGGTGAGATTGACCAGACTGACCTTTGTGGCTGTTACACTGCTCGACGCAGTCAGACAAGCTGGTGGAGTTGTGATTGGTGAGCTATCGATCGATGTCCAGTCAAGTTGGCTTCTTATCGTATCAGGTGATGTGGCATGTGGAGATTACCTTGGAAGCCCCTCTGTGTTGGCCGTTCAAGTCGTAAGAAAAGTCCGAGTCGACGTTGCGGTACCGCGCATGGGTAGTGAATAGGCCTGCAGGGACTCGAATGCTGAAGCGTCCGAACACGGCTGTTTGACACGATTGCTGGGCATCACCACGATGAGGGCTGTACTGGTTAAGACGGTGATAGCTGGGGCCAACATCGGGTTGATAGCCTGCGTCTAGGCCCGAGGTTAGCTTGCTTGTGTGTTTAGGAGTATCTCTCCTATTCTCGTGACGACAAGCATTATTCCGACCGCAACGAGAGTGATTGCTATCGGTTTCGATCTTTCCAGCGCTCTAGCATTACAAATGTTGCTTTCAGCAGGGAAACCGTCAGGCTCCTTTGATAGAGCACCCCACTCGACTGCTTATGATTCTCTTACCGATTTGTGGACCTTGGAGGAGCTGAGAGGATCGTTACGGGGCTTTGACAGGTGACATGATACGGGTACAGCTGGACAGTGTTTGATCTGCAGCTCGATCCCGGGAATTTTTTTTACGCTCAGGGGTCGACCGCACCGATGGCAAAGCGCGACCCGTCTGGGCGCTGGACGTATCGCTCATCAGCTGGATTGGCTTTGGCGAGATGCAACCACGATACCAAGCATGTGAGCGATATTCCTAGAGATCCTGGAAGCCTTCCTAGCTATTCGAACCCGCAAGGTAGGCTGGATGACCAGAATACGAGGACAGGCAGGCGTTGAGCGCAAGGAAGATCCGATACACAGCCTTGCTGCTGATGTGGTCCTGGATGTGAAAAGCGATGAGTGCAAAGGATACCAATAATGACGATGGGCGACGGATGACGACGAGCTGGGTCCCTGTCGATCGTTGTTGATCGATTGCTTGATTACTGAATTACTGATCTGCGCAACGAGGAACGGCCGCGTATCGCGCATATCGAGATGTAAAGCCCTGGAACTTGTAACGACACGGCAGAGCAGGGAGCACGAGAGCGATCCAATTCCTCGAGATCCCTAGATCCACCTATACTGCGACTACGACTTGCGACTTTGACGTCGATGCGGTATCACCCGTACTTTCGTAGATCGTAGTTCTCGTCGTCATCATCCCGTATCTCGCAGTTCAAGGTAGCCAATAATGAAGGTCGACGAAGAGAAATCCCTGGATCGACAGGCCCGGGTGCCGGCTGTGTCGTCCGATTGGGCGACGAGGGCGGAAAAGGGGCGGTTGCAAGAACGGCAAACGAGGTGGATGTGATGAATATATTTCTGACTGTCGCCCGCCGAAGGGAAGAACTGCGAAGGTCCTTGGGATACCCTGGGCGCTGGACGGGCTGTGCGTGTGTGTGTTCGGAAGAAGCGAAACTGTACGAGAGTGGATATGGCCAGCAGCCCAGATCGACGGCGAGCAGGGGAGGAGTGAGACACACGTTTTTGTGGAGCGCGGGCTCGGGCGGCACCAGCAGGAGCGCGGCCAGCGGGGAGTTACCACGCGAGAATGACGACGCCACACTTCTGATTCACGCGAGGGTGACGACGACGATCCCCCCTTCTGCGCTGCAAATGTCATGGGAATGCGAAAGATCGAAAAAAGCTCGAGAAGAGTCAGGGGATATATAGCTACACACACTCAGGTCGACATCGTCTCTTTTGCGTCAAGATCTGCTCCCTTTCAGTCGTAGCACATCCTCCTTTAAAACAGGAAAATCTCTACAATCCGCATCGACTCCATACGCCAAACTCATAATCCATAATCCTCATAATGAAGTTCGCTGCCACCGCCGCCGCCGCCACCGTACTGGCCACCGGAGTCTCTGCCCAGGTCTCTTCGCCTATTCAGCTCTTGCAGTACGCTTCCCGACTGTAAGTGACCCTCGGTCCAGCCATACGTGGCAGATAGACCTTGTGATACTAACTCTCTCACGTTCGATGCGCGTTTATAGGCTTACCGCGGAATGTCGTGAGGCGGTCACTGGGCTCGTTACCGGATCGGAGTTGTCGCAGTGCTTGCAGGTCAACAATCTCTTGCCCAGTAAGCTTCATCCCGCTTCTCGCTCAAATGGTCACATCAGACTGACCACAAGCATTCTCGTGAGCAGTCCTCAACAACGTCAACACCTCGGTCATCCCCAACATCAACGACTACCTCACCGGCCTCTGCTCGGCCGACGCCTGTAACCAGACGACCATCGACAATGCTACCGAGACCGTCACTACCGCCTGTGCGACCGACCTGTCCAGGTTCGGAATCAGCGAGGGTTTGGTAGAGTTTATCATGAACGCCTACCCTACTGCCAGGGAGGTCGCTTGTCTGTCTACCAAGTGAGTGGTCTTGTTGGTGCGGGCGCGAAAAGGGAAAGATCCATGTGCTGATGCATGCATTCCCTCTTGCAGCGACACCTCGCTCCTCATGGCCAACGGAACCTCCATGATGTCCAACGCCTCTTCCTCTATGAACTCTACCTCGAACATGACCACTTTCTGCCCTACCGCCCTCCTCTACAAGGCCCAGGACTACCTCGGCGTCAACCTCACCAACAACTACATCGACTCTCTCATCCTCGGTGCCAACGCTACCGCTTACCAGGAGATCCTCGCTATTCCCCACAACGGATCCGTCATCGCCGACTTTGGATGCAACGACTGTGTCGCCGCCGGGTTGGAGATCGTCATCAGGGATTACCCTCAGTTGGAGAACTTGACCTTCAACTTGAACGTTTCGGACGTCGAGGAGTACACCAACTATAACTTGACCGGGTTGAACCAGACCGAGAGGGACAACACCACTTGGACCGTTGCCAGGCTTTACGAAGGGTTCTGTGATGTCGACGTTCTTGCTAGTGAGTCCCGCTTTTTGAGTATCGTTACACGCGCCCAGCGACTGATGATGTATTGTTTTCTCTACCTCGTAGACTCGTCGCTCCCCGCTTCGATCAACTCGACCGCTTACAACTCGACCGAGGAATCCACCACCTCGTCCATGATGTCTTCGATGATGATGTCTTCCACCTCGGGCTCTACCGCCACCGGAGCTGTCGCTTCGGCCACCTCTGCCGTCCGATCATCAGCTAGCAGCGCCGTTGCTTCGGCCACCTCGCTCCCTGCTCCTGTCGCTTCTGCCACCTCGGCCGTCGCTTCGGTCCTCCCCGTCCCCTCGCAGGTCATCTCGGCTGTCGGTGGAGCCCCTTCGGTCCCTGCCACGCCCACCAAGCGATGGGTCAAGTGGGAGTAGACTTTTCCGTCTACTTTCCCCCCCCTCCTTCCAGCAAAACGATTCTTGTCAGGCTAATTGACGGTTGAGCAAACTCACCAGGACGACCAGGATAGCTCTCGTACTAGGACCTGCTACTGCTTGCTTGCCTCACATATATAATACATCTCATATTTAGATTTCTTTATACCTCGATCTGTTTCTGATATACACGCTACGAGGAAATGTATCCCATTAGTCTATCAAATCAAATGCGAATGCTGCGTGATACAAGTTGACGAGAGGCCTCAGCGAGGACAGGACACAGTCCATATAGCCTAAACCTCGGACCCTTTGACAATCAGCCTTCAATGACGATCGTCGGATTCGTCCGAGATTGCTGCTAAGAAGTCGACCATCTGATGACATGACAGAGTGAGACGATCGAGTCGGGATGGACCAAGCCGATCAGTGAGATTGTATGGAGGTTTTATCATCCAGCCAACTGGCAATTTCGCTGCGAGGCGATAGAAAAGGAAATCCGTTAAACTTACGGTCTGATGCCGTTTCTCCCCCTCCCGTTTGCCCATATCCGTCTATTCTCAGTCGACATGCAACACGATGCCGCCCGACCCATCAGATTCGTCTGGACCACATTTACATCTCATAAAGGTCGCAAGAGCAACCCAGCCAAAACAAACTTACCTTAAGTCGATCTTTAATCAAGAGCAATTTGTCGTAAAAATGCTGAATAGAAGAACCTTTCCGGAGTGTCTCTAGTTCGGCGGCTTCTTCGGCGTTTAGGTCCCGCTCTCGGTCCGGTTTCGATGCAGGGACGTGCAGGGGTCTGTTGACAGCTGATGAGTAGGCCGCTACTCGGAGGATCTACATCAAGAGCAGCGAAGAGACGAAGTCCGGAAAGTAAGGGTAAGCGGTGTGACAATACGATGGCGAACATAAGCTGGCAAAAGTGGACCTACCCCGAAGGCTCCGATAGCATCCAACCTATCCGCATCTTGCACGCAACACAGTACGTCCCATTTTCCCTCTCCCTTCAGTTGCTCTTCTATCCGGTCCCATTCGCCTGATTGACGGAGCTTCTTTTCGGTCGACCAAGAGATGTAAGGGATAAGATGGAGGATGTCATTTGCCTGACTTGTCGTTAGATGTTTTGTCGTCAAGGGAGAGGAGAGAAATGGAGAAAGGGTCTCCGAGAGGGAGGATGCGTTTGTGTATTTGGCTAGAGGGAAAAATGAGCACGAGTTGAGTGTGTGCAAGTCGATAACTCGCACGACGAGAACTCGAGCACAACATACCATCTGATCGTCATACATAAGGTCCGGTGGCTATCACCAGTCAGGCCCTGTCTGAAAGAATCAAAAGTGCCGGAGACTGACCTGCCATGTCGTGAAAGAGAGCCACCAGTTCAACGAGCAGGTCGTCGATCATATGGCCGCTCGCTTGCAGATCCCGGCTTAGACGCAGAGCCGTATTTCGTACCCTGTCCACTGCACAGGTGCAGGATTCACAAGAAAGAAGACGAGATCTAAAGCAAGATCAGCTTTGGATATTGGGCTTAGGTCAACAGCTGACAAGACTTGCCGTGAAACCAATCGTGGCTAGGATCGTAAGCCTGCATATGCTGCTTGACGAGGCTTTCGGCCTGTTTGATCAACGCCGACCGAGTTCGAGCGTCCATGTCGGCTGACATCCTTGAGATTGGGATACGGTTTGGTTTCAGAGGTACTAGCGGGAATTGCGGTAAGCTTGTGGTTTGCGGTCTTTCGCGATGTTGCTCAGCTAATATTGCTGGATCTTGCTGCGGCTTGCAGCGATGTATACGAGTGTTGGGTTGAAGTGGACTGGAACCACGAAAAGTGCTTCCGGTATGAATCACGTAAACAGACTCGTCGGAAGTAAACCTAATCACTAATTTCGTTGCGCTTCGATCGACGATCCTCCCTTGGCTTGGATGGAACGCACAATTATACCGAGATCGAAACGAAATTGGAACGATACATCTCGACTGCCCCGCGTGAACCAGGAGTACGACCACTCGAGATGATAGTGACCTGTCTCGCTTGTCGCCATGCTCGCCTATGGTCTTGTAGCCATCTACTTCCTGATGAACACCACACGTCGCTTTCGTCGAGCTGCAACGATAGGTAGATCCTCTTTAGTAGTTTGAGTTAAGTTAGGGTCTTGGGTTCAACCCCCGGTAGCATAGTTTCTTTATTTCCATTATATAGGCAGCTGCCAAGTGTCCAATGGATCGTTGAAACACATGACCGATGGGCCTTACAGCCCCGGGGCGCGGTGCTTCTACTGGCCTGAATGAGTGTGGAGGGTCCTTGGGAACGAGCTCATTGTCAGGGAGTAAGACGCTGTAGCCCCGGGGTAGCTAAGGGACGAAAGCATCTTTTTGACACTGACTCGCGATACGGCCAGTCTCTCGCTTTCGACTTCCATGCGCGCTCCAGTGTGCCTTGTGATATTGTGCATCGTGCTTACAAATTTGTTCATATCCCAGATCGTGGTCTGCGGCCATATCATACACGACACATATGAAGGCGATCTCGTTCATCGTGTCACGACTTGAGCGGTATACGTATGACCGCCGTGTCAACAGGTCTAGACGATGAATGGAAATGCACAGCCATATCATCATTCCCCATCGACATTCACTCTGAACGTCAGACAGTGGATAGTCTCTCGTCAAGTTTCGAGGCCGAGTTCCTTCGATCACAACACCGTCCTGTGATTATATCTCCAGCTCGCCGGTGGATCGGTCGTGACTAGATCCGCAGCGTGGACTCGTCGTTTACATCATTTGGTGGAGACTGACTGCAATTCTGGATGATAGTAACGTGGAGACAGTCGATTTTGTATGCAATCGGGTTGTTGCTGTAACCGAGTTGTCCATCGGTGGTATTGTCGCAGCGGAGAAGCCCTCACGGTTCCTACCAAACCGAAGCTCTTGACCAAGACTCTCTGGAACATACCCGTTTCAGACGCTCGTGCAACGAGACAGACCTGATATGCGTTACGATGAATACGATGCGATTCTGGCAAGATGGCTTGACACCAAACAATCACGATAACCCCTAAACGTTTCCCATACCCGTCTACTCTGAGCTAGCTCCCAGCTCGTGCAAGTAAGAACCCAAGAGCTTGCTTCCCTGTAAACGTGAGCGGCAGGATCAGTAAGCTGAAATACGCAAAGAGGGGCAGATCGACGGAAGACTTACCCTGATGAAGTTGTCGGTGTCGAGCTTCTCGTTCATTCTGCGCGGAAGGGAAGAGATACGTTAGTATCGTGTATCTCGATGATTCTACACAGCTGACTTACGAGTGAGCACCGTCGTCACCTCGACCCATGGGCAGCAGCAAGACGTTGATCTTGAGCGCATCGGCAAAGGACAAGGTTACGGGGATGGAACCTAAGAGCAGTACGTATAGAGGTCAACGACCGAGTCGTTCGAGCAGTCGCTTGGTCAAGCCACGCTTCTGCAATGTACTGACCTCCTTCACGGGTGTAATCGGGGCTGATCCCGTAAACGTCCTCGGTAGCCTTGTGAGCGGCCCGGTAGTTGTAGTGCTGCAGCATGAATGACGGACTAAGTCAGTACCCCTGGTCGGGCAAAGAATGCCACAAACATCAGACTGACGTTGGGGTCGGCCATCCAGGGTTCACCTCCGTGGACCATCTCGACGGACATCTTGCACTTGGTGTCGATCTTGGCAAACTCTTCCTTGACGTACTTCAGGACGCACTCGGTGACCTTGGCGGTAGTCATGTCAGGTACCAATCGAATCGAGAATTTGCCTGTCGAGAAACAAGGAGAACATATTAGCGAGATGCCGCTTCGCGTAATAATCAAGAGTTGAAGGTTCACCATGCACGCTAGCGGGGATCACGGTCTTGCATCCGGTACCGTCTGATCATGATGTCTATCAGCGGATCGTCTAGATTTTACGCGCTGTTCAGTAACTCACAGAAGGCACCCTCGATACCGTGCAAGGACAACGAAGGGTATCGCATTCGGCCCATGAGCTGCATCGACCCCAGATTGATCAGCCAAGCCCAACATAGAACGGCCTGACGGATCCGTATAGACTCACGGTGTTGACCTTGTCGTCGTGCAGGGTGATGGCAGCGCCGACGGCATCGTCAAAGTCGCTGACCTCGGCGTGGATGGCCTCGTACCTTGCTCGCTCCTCGTCAGTGAGAGGAGCGACCATCTCCTTGATTCCGGGAATCAAGATTTCGCCCTTGGAGGTTACCAGCTTGGACACTGGTCAGCCAGGTTGATGTTAGCTCCACGTAGTCATCACGATGGACTTGTCGTAAGCTTACTCAAGGTGACCAAGTCAGTCATGGGCTCGTGGACGGCAGCACCGAACACTATCAGAAGTGTGATCAGCCAAAAATCAGCTCAATCCTCCGCATCGGCTACAATTGCGACTCACCTCCAGAGTGCAAGTCCTTCGAAGGGCCAGAGACGGAGATTCGGAAGTAGTTGACTCCCCTGATTAGGACATCGAAATCAGCCTCATCGTCTGCTTGATCCCTTGTCCCGTTCACTCACCTCAATCCGTAAGTCAAACAAGGAGTGGTAGTGTTCAACCCTATCACATTCCACACACAACCTGTATCAGCTGGTCGTCACCGTGGAAGAGGAAGAACGTTCGACTCACAATAGTTGTCCGAGATACAGGCACAGTCGACGCCCTTGAAGAACTTGTCCTTTTCCTGCTCGATAAGCTCGTCGAGTCCTTCCGAGCCAGACTCTTCCATCCCCTCGAAACACATCTTGATGTTGACCTATCACAAGATTGCGAATATATTCCCAGCTCAGCGCCCTCATCCCGCATTCGACATTCGGCGGCCACTTACGGGCAACTCCACTCCCAACTCTTTGTGAGCCTGGAAGACGTTCAGCCAACCCAAAATCGGGCCCTTATCATCCGAAGATCCTCGACCGTAAAGCTTGCCGGTACCTTCAGGGTCCTTGGTCAGGGTGAAAGGGTCGTAAAGCCATCCATCGCTCTTCTCGGCGGGTTGGACGTCAAAGTGTCCGTAGATGAGGACGGTTTTCTGTTCGAGTATACGAGTTGTCTTTCCATCAGCTTCTCCTGCTATATCGGGATAGACGGCTTGGAACCGTGATCCCTCTTGACGAGACATAACGTACCTTCTTAGGGTCGTTCCCCAATTGTCCCAAAAGCGCAGGGGGCAAATCGAGCTCCACTCCGTCCAACATCTGTTTACCGAGAGTTCGCTTCTCTACGGTCGCACCGAGGCTCTCGAGTTCGGCTTTAAGCCAGTCGGCCATGGCGAAGACATCCTTGCGTCGGCTGATCGAGAGATTGAGCAAGATAAGCGTTCGTTTAACCAAAATCTCTGCGTCAGGTGTACGTACGCAGGGTCTCCAGAGACACTGTCAGAACATCATACAAGGTCAAGTCGTTATCGAATCAGCGATCAGCAATCCTCCTTTCGATATCGTCATTCTCGTTCGTCCTGCAGCATGACTCACGAGGGGATCGAGACGGCCTTCGCCAATCGGTCGATGAAAGCATCCTGGTGCTCATCGATGTACTTGAGAATCTCTGCGGGAGCGGGCATCTTGTTTTGTCTGAATCTATCTGTCTTGCTATGATAGCTGGGTGCGGAGTTCAAAGGGTATTTTGCAGATGATTGTGAATGGGCTACCCCTATATATACCACGACGGTCAACACAGATTTTGATGACCCGCGTGATCACGATCGGCAACGACCGAAGCGACAAAGAGGTCGGAGATCGTTCGAGAACAACGGAAGGTTCCCAATGCTCGTAAATGCTCCATACACTATTAGCTATTTGAATCGCATAGTGTAGTGTACGAGGTATATTATACAATCGGATAAGTCTCTCTGTGTATAGAGACGATTCGCAGCCATGTCGCGGCTTAGTGGCTGCCAAAATCGATGATCCCAATTTCTATGTCCTGCTTGTCCCCGGTAGGTCTCTCTACTTTTTGTTATCTTTCGCTTCTACATCATCCAATACCAAGAATGAGCATGAGACAGACCTTAGCAACCGCATCTTTATGGTAACGACGATCGAGAAAGGAATACGGACCTCTACGCGTAGCATCCTCCAACAACTGCGTATCTACCGCTCCTGTTGGCATCTGAACGTATCGTACCACGGACCCTCGGATGAAACAGTTCTTGATGGCCATCTGAATTGTAGTGCGAACACAAGCGGGTATTAGCGAAGCTGGAAGCCTCAGACCAATGGAAAAAGAGAGGTGGTACGATAGCGTACCATGTGAGGAAATCGCTCGGGGTCCGAGACCTTGATGTTATCCAGTCGGATGTTCAGGAACCTATGTGAGCAGCAACCAAGTATGCTCTGTGAGATCCCTTGTGGTCTATAGAGCTGGAGCCGTCAAGAAAAGGGATACGACGTACTGATCTACCGACTTCAACGTTCCCATGATACACAGATCGTTCTTCAATTCCACCGTTACTACTTGCTCTGTGAGCGTCTTGAAGACCCTGCGTCATCGTGAAACGTGATATGATGTACGTGTTAGCGATGCCACTCCACTTCAGATGTTATGTGAAGATAGCTTGGAGGCTCACGAGAACATAAGCTGCGTTGAGGAAGGGTTAAGAGGTATTCATGCCACAATCAGTCTCCCCGGCACCATCATCAGTGCGTTTATGAGAAGCTCACCATCTTGAAGAGACCTCGACTTGCAGCTATCACGAGGATCCGAGTAACCTACGGGACTTGGCGGTTGTATCGTCCCATCTATCACCTACTATGTACTAGGGAATTGAGCCGCAAGGTGTATCGACATCGAACCCCGGCTCAGGGGTGACCTCGTGACTGACGCGGACTGATAAACGTCAAGATGTCCGCTACTATAGCCCCGGAGATGATTCATCTCCCACATTCAAAACAACGGACCCTGTACCCTGGCAGGCTAGCAATAGCAGTTAGCAGTTGACAGAAGCTGGATGCTAGAGTTCCTTCCCTGCAACTTCAACATAGACCAATCTCTCGCTCCAGCGTCCGTCCCTCTTCAGCTGGTGACTCGAGGCCTCTTTTATTAACAATCAGGACGAGCGCAGCAGGATGTCACGAACGGTCACAATCTACTGCTTAGATGTTTCGGAAGGGATGACGGAGATGGTCTCGGACCCCAGTACCGGAGAAGAGGTTCAGAAGATAGCACTAGCAAAGGAATACATCCAGAGGAAGATAGCTCCCAAAGTAGGTCGGGATAGGATGTCGATTTCCGAGCAGGTGTACTTGATATCGCTTCACTTGTATTGGCAACTTTAGATTCAGTCGGGACGCAAGACGGAATATGCCGGTGTGATCACCTTTGGCGGAGGTACGCACATCTGCCTGAGGCTCACTTGTCCAAGCATACTTACTTCAAAAAATCGATTCCTCCGTAGCGACGAATAACCCGTACTTCGCCGCCGATACCAATTCTCACCCCGAAGCTGAAGCAACGGATCCGGCCGACTACATCGGCGTAGCATCGGTCATCTATCCTCAGACCGCGGCTCCGGCCATGATCAGCGTCGTCAAGAGTATCAAGACGGGGAAGAACCCAGCGAACCGTCAGTATCGCTTTTCAGACGACCAATGTTACATGTCATTCTGATGGTCATGCTTGTTATTGGCGGAATAGCTCTCGCGGCTCTTGTGCTTGCGCACCAGAACTTCACCGACGATTCGAGCAAGAGCAAAGGGTTCAAGCGGGAGGTTGTCGTACTCACACACGGTATGCACTTTCATATCCCCCGCGTACCAGTACTATGGCTGATCTTTATCGAAATCGTCTAGACAAGGCAAAACTGAAATCGGATAACTGGCAGATGGTCATGAACATGCTTTACGAACAGGAGATCGTCGTAAGATGGATGTGAGTTTGCAGGCCGGGGATATACTGGGCGGAAGACTGAGTGATGGGTCGGTAGCGGAGTTGGGTACGATGCTCGACCGACTGACGAGTTACTAGAAGACAAACCGGCATTCGATCAGCTGGTAAGCGAACATTTTGGGCGCAGTCACCCTGCTCGCCAAACCTGTAACTGAGCAACTACCGATTTGGCAGCCAAAATCCGAGCGCTTTTGGCGCAAGTTCATCCAAAAGATGGCAGAGGTGTGTAAAGACGACGACGATTCGAAACAACCAGCTCTCGGCTCTATCGACCTGGCTTTATCCATCGCTCGGGGACCCTCTATCAATCAACCCGACTCGGTACCTATCAAATCCATATTTCGTATAGGCTCGAAGGAAATCAACCCGGATGAAGGGATCGAGTTTCCGGTTCGTTACAGCAAGGCTACAGCAAAGGCATCGCCTATGAGCTTGAAAAAGGTCATTGCCAGTGAGCTTTTACCGCAGAACCGTCTACATACTGCAGGGGCCAGTCAATCGCAAAGTCAAGCTAGGACTGCACCTCAGACGGCCAGCGCGGGGATTGAAGCGGATATCACGCCGTTCAAACGATATACCGTGCTTGTTCCGAAGACCAAAGACGACGACGATATGGATATTGACGTGACAGCACTGGATGCGTCCAAAATCCTGGGCACGGACGATCAAGAAGCGAAGCCGGAAGTTGAATACGAAGAGCGAGAGGTCGAAGAGGAGAACCTCGTCAAGGCGTACAAGTTCGGGAAGACATGGGTTCCGATGCCCAAGGATATCTTTCCAGAGATGGAAACCGTCGCTGGGATGGATGTGGTCGGCTTCATGAAGGCAGCTGGGGTAAGACGCAAAATGAAGTCGACGGAGCGGAATGATCAGCTTACCCAGTCGTTCGTATCTCGATAGATGCGCCGGTATCAAGAAATGGGCGAGGTCCGTTTCATCTGGGCAGAGCCGGATAATCACAACTCGCAGATCCAGCTGTCAGCTATCGTTCAAGCCATGGTCCAGAAAGACTATGTTGCGGTGGTCCGAACAGTAGACAAAAACAACAGCCCCCCGAAAATTGGCGTTTGCAAACCGGTCATCGATGCGGATCAGCTGCATTACTTGTACTGGGTCCAGGTGAGTCTCGGTTGCTTTGGCTTGATCGAACATTGGCTGACTGCTACGAAGCGTCTAGATGCCTTTTGCGGAAGACGAACGATCGTTCTTCTTCCCATCCCTGAACGACCTCTATAGCAAATCCGGAAAGCAGATAACGGAGCATCCGTTACTGCCCACCGATAACCAGTTGCTGCTCATGGACAAGCTCGTCGAGGGAATGGACCTGGACGTCTACGAGGAGGTTGAGGACGAGTAAGCTGAAGCACCTTCCATTCTCTAAGGTTGGCATAGGTTGACACCCAGTTCTGGATAGAGTGGAGTACCCCTGGTTCGACCCGTATACCTCGTCGAACCCTGCCATTCATCGACTCCAGGAGGCTATCTTCCACCTCGCTACCGTATCAAACCCAGAAGAAAACCCGGTCGGTCCGCCTCATCCTGAGCTGATCAAGTATCTGTACCCACCCATGGAAGTCGTAAAAGAGACGGAAGCGGTCGTCAGGGAACTAAAGCGTGAGCTCAACATCAAGAGGGTCCCGCCGCCGGTCAAGAGGGCCGAACGCAAATCGGGACGAGCCAACGGAACTGCAGACGATTCAGAGTCAGTCGGACGTTTCTTACTGACCTGGGCGACAGTGCACCGTACTTATCGCACATTGTTTGCCTAGAATCGATATCGATGCGCTGTTCAACAATCCTGCTGCAAGCGGATCGCAAGATCCACTGACTAGCGCTTCGAAGTCTGGCGAACACAAACCAAAGACGGGTCGTGTGATCAGCAACGAAGATCCTGTTGGCGACTTTTTGAGACAGGTAGAGCATGGTGGCGACATCACTACGAAAGCCGTGAGATGCTGTCCTTTAGAAGAAGTTGCAGGAGCGGCGTCGGCTGAACGCAGAGCAATCTACCATTGCAGATGCAAGATCTGGCCGAGGTCAGCAAGGAGATCGTCTCCACGTCGTTCTCAAGCAGCAATTTCGGAAAGGCCACCGATTGTTGGCAGACAATGCGGGAACAGGCACTTCTGGTAAATACCTTCAGTCTTGCCAATCTGACAGGCGGCGACTGATCGATATGTTCGGTCATACTGCAGCTGGAGGAAAGCGAGCTGTACAACAGGTGGGTCCAGTCTACATCGCCTGAAGTCATCTTGCCTTGTCCGCTCACATTTGCGTTCATCTCTATGCATCACAGTCTTCGAGAAGAACTCAGAACGTATATCACGGCGGACGACTTTAAGCACAAGAACTTTTGGCAATGTACGTCGGCGTCTCTCGACCTGAAATCATCTCTCTTCATATCTAACGCTATGAAATCTCGCGACGATCACGACAGACTTTGAAAAGGCCGAACCGTCACTCGGCCCGATCTCGGAAGCCGAGGCCGAAGCTGCTCTCAGCTAGAAGAGTAACACGAAACGAATGGCAAGGCCGTGCATTGGCATCACCATCACGAACGCTTTCAGGGTTGCGGAGACGGTGTATATATGTATTGTATATGTATGACGAACGCTCTGGATGGAATAGAGGGCTCTCACGGTGACACCCAAAAATCAATCGATTCAGTGAAAAACGAGGCGAGGCAAGGGGATGGACAACTATAACGAGAATTCGTGCGCAACGAAACCCGTTTTGTTTCACGAGGACGATAATAGAATAGAGGGAGGGTAAGGACTACTTTTGTACCCTCTCCTTGGCTTGTTGCTTGATTCGCCTCTCGTAAGCGACCTTGTCGTTCCTATAAAAAACACACGAACGAAAAGGTCCCATCGGAATCGGATCAGCAACAGGCCATGTACAAAGCGTTGTTTCCTCTTCGAGACGGTCGGTTCCGCCTCGAACTCACTTGAACATGGTGTACGCCTCGACCTGGGCGGGATCGGAAGCGTTCGGATCGTTCAACAGGTCTTGAATCCCCAGAAGCAACTAAACACGTCCATATACAACAAAAGCAATCCAGAGATAGAGTCTAATCAGCTTCCCTTCCCTTTACCCGAGCTTGAAGAGAAAGAAAATTTTGAAGGGAGATATAGAAGGCTGACCTGTTTGATAGTGATAGTAGGTTTCCAAGCCTTCTCTTCATCCAAGATCGAAAGACAGATGGTCCCCGAGGGGTAGACGTTGGGGTGGAAGAGAGGCGGGGTGAATTTGCCTGCGTTACGGTAATGTGCACAATTCCAGGGTGGTCAGTCCGATTGCGAGAGTCGAGCAGGGGAGCGAAGGGGAGGAAAGGGGGAGGCGTTGGGGCGTAACGTACACTTTGGTGGTCGTTGAGGATAGTCTATATCATGCAGCATACAGAGAAATCAGGTTCAGCCTCAGGGTTACTCGGCGAGATAATAGGACAGGTAACGGTGAGATTGGAGGCAGGGGTACAGCACTGACCTTCGGGGAACGTCATTGTCACCTCATACAGCCCTCCTTCCCAGTTGGTCTATGGTCACATTCCGTCCGATCATCCCGAGTATGTAAAAGACAGACAGAGATGGGAAATGCAGAACAAATGACGAGACGGTCAGCTAATCAGTCTGGACTGGCGGCCGGGATGCGAAAGCAATGGAATGGAAATGGCAAGAAAGAGTAAACGGAGAATACGACAGAGCAGAAGGACTCACCCCGACTTTCCCCGGGATACCGACCTCCCAGATCATCAAGTTCTGAGAGCCGTCCGTCTCCTTCTTCGGTCGAGCGAAGAAGCCCTGCAGTACCAAGCCCCGTATAGTGTTCCAGATCAAGCCGGGTCGGGCCGACATCGAGGTGTTACGAGAGGAAAGGCGAGAAGAGGCAAGGTCAGTAAGTCAGCAGCCAAAGGAGAAAAGAGGGACACGGAAACGGTCCAGGACGTACGAACGGGTGGTCTTTCCTCCATTGCTTGCGTTCTTCAGCGAGACGGTTTCGACAGAGGCTGGACTGGTAGAGGTGAGTGATGTGACATCAATATTGCTCAATACCAGCTAATTTTAACCGGTGTGTCCGACGGACTGACCATGTCGTTGCGAGTCGAGTTTTGGTTTGGTCGTTAGGAAGGTGGGAAGATGACCTGAATTAGTCTTGTTTATTTTGACCGATTGTGACTATTTGTCGTATATGCCAGTCGAGCGGGGGGGAGATCTAGATGTAGAAGAGAGTCTAGATGCAGAAGATTGCAGAATGCAAGACAATAAGGAGCGAGGGTAGAAGAATGAATGTGCTGAGGTCGACCAGTCACAAGATGGAGAATGTTAAATGGAATCTCGAGCTGGTTGCCTCTGTTGGTAAAGAGTGACCGGCCCTAGGGTATCCCTCAACCCAACGAATTTGCTTCCGCGCTTCTGACATCGACTGATCAGCTTTCCCAAGATTTCAGAAGGGCGAGCGAGCGAGTTGCAAGAATTGCAGAATCGACCTCCATATACAGATCGTCTCATCACCTGCACCTGCATAGGATCTAGCAGAATCTCATCACTCTGTCAATCACAAGGAGCTAGATCTAACGGGCCCAGGCTATCGCCACATCTCGCCGTCCTGTTCTCGAGAGCCTTTACAGCCTCGCGAGGCTATAGCAGCAAGGCCGTTCCCGATCCCAGCAAGTTCAAATCGAAGTTGCCATTGCGATTGCCGATACCTCCGAGGACGACGCAATTGCAACGCTACGAGAACCTCTTCAAGCGGAATCAAGAGAAAAGACTCGAGAGAGAAAAGTCATTGACCGAGGGAGACAAGGTCGCTTCGAATTTGGTAAAATTGCGAGATCTGGGTGGAATCACGATCACAGGGCTTGTACCTCAAGGCGAAAAAGCAACGACGACAGAGGACGAAGAGACATTGCGTTTGCGGAAATTGAGGTTGAAAGCCTTGGCTAAAAGTCAATCTGGATCTGAGATCATGTCGAGTTCATCATCGACCTCGAGCCCGACCGCGAGCGCCGGTGAGGCGCTGGACAATACCGCTCGACCCTCCACCCTCTACGATCACCTCCGATCATCCCTCACACCCCTAGCTGGCCAAGCTGGCGAACTAGGCGACGCCGAAGACCTTAAACTCCATCGGACGCTGGACCGATCGTTCGCTAAACGACTAGACAAGTCCAGCGAGCGGGTCCTGAACCTCGCTAGGAATTTGATTCAGGCTGTGGACAGTTCGAGGAATGCCGCGAGTGGCAAGAGTTCGACGGGGAGGGTGAAGCAAAAGTTGCAGGAGGAGGACGATGTCGTACACGAATTTACGCCTAATGTGCAGGATACCGTGGATGGGTTGTTGGAAGCTACGGTGGGTCCCCCGCGCATGGGACTTTGATGTCTTTTTACAGGAAGAGGAAAGGAAGGCTGATTCGCTAACTAACCGGTCGCTTGGAATCCGAATCGCTGGATCGTGGATTTTGGTCTGGTAGGATATCAACCTGGATATCGCTACGGGTCGACGGAAAGTTCCTGCTGTGACCGTTCGACCAGGTGCACCGATTACGAGAGAGGTCAGCCCTGAGCTCATAATATGAACTCTCGAGATGAAATAGTTCAGCCTACTGATCACCGCATCTCGTCTACTTGAACATGATAGAAACCCCGAAAAATCGATATCGAAGGCACAAACCAACTTCCCACCCTCGCACCCGAGATTCTTCAAGCCGACATTCCTAAACCACAAGATTCGTTTACACTAAAGCCTGATAACCGATACGATGCACCGGCTTGGCAGCCGACTTTGGAGCATAAACATCATGCGATGGTCCCCCTTGATTACGTGCCTACGCCGGCGAGTTCGAGGGCTGGGACGCCGTTCTTTGGGGAGACGGGCAGTAATGACGGAAACGGGACGGGAACCGGAACGACGTCAAGGGACCCTGTCGTCAAGCCGGATTTCACCAAACATCCTTATTACCACGAGACGAAGCACCTTCCTTACCCCTCCTCGTTGTTCATCAACAAACCCGCCGTACCTGTCCAGCCGTTCGCATCCACGCCGTTTACTTATGTTGATACCGAATCCGCTTATCGGAGCATGGTGGACAAACTACAAGCGAGCGACGAGATCGCCGTCGACCTGGAATACCACGCCACACGGTCTTTCACCGGTTTCTTGTGCCTGATGCAGATCAGCACGAGGGAAGAGGATTTCGTCGTCGATCTCCTCAAACTCAGGGACCTTGTCAGGAAAGACAAGCTTGGCGGAGTCTTGGTCGATCCGGCCATCATCAAGGTCTTCCATGGGGCGGAGAGCGATATCCTTTGGTTGCAGCAAGATTTCGATATCTATGTGGTCGGGATGTTTGATACCTACCATGCGACGAAGGTGCTCTGTAAGCTGAGCTGAGAATCTGGTACCCGCGCTATTGAACTGACTCGAGGTCGGTTTTGTAGGTTTCCCACAACATTCCCTGGCATTCCTTCTCCAGCATTATTGTGATTTCGTCGCGGACAAGCGATATCAGATGGCGGATTGGAGGATCCGGTAAGTGCAGCTCCTTGCAACGTTCTCTGTGCGAGTGATACTGACCCGGCGAACACTCGGTTTGATACGATAGACCTTTACCGCAGGAGATGCTGCATTACGCCCGGTCAGACACGCATTTCTTGCTCAACATTTACGATCAATTACGAAACACCCTCCTCGAGCGCTCAGAGGGCACCCAGGATCAGGTCCGAGACGTCCTCCGACGCTCGGCGGAGACGGCCATGAAGCTGTATCAGAGGACCGTCTACGACGAAGAGCTAGGAGAAGGTTCTGGCGGATGGAAAGGTCTGTTGAGAAGTCGGCTGAGCCATCGAGGGGCTTTGGCGAAGACCGCCGAGTATGGGAAGCCGGGGGATCCGATGACGTGGGGGACGTCCGAGAGGGGGTTCATGGAGGAACGGGTGTTTAGAAAGTTGCACGCCTGGAGGGATGCCAAGGCTCGAGACGAGGACGAAAGTGTACAGTGAGTAAAGATGGCGTGCTTTCTCCACATCGGCGAAGGATGACTGAGAGTTTGAATCGGTCCTGCAGCTACGTCATGCCGAGCATCCTCTTGTGGAACTTGGTCAAAAAGCTGCCGACGACCGAGACAGAGTTCGTGAACACCGTCTACGTAAAGAATCAAATCACAAGAGCGAGCAAGGACGAACTCCTTAGGTTGATCGAAGAGGGACGGAAAGAAGGTTCAAAGAACTATCGCGACTCGCTTCAAGCGCTTTTGGACGCGCGCGAAGTCGACGGGGATGTAGAGATGGCGGATGCGGACCAGGGGAGCGAATCTGATGCTACCGTTGTCGGGGTCTCTAAACCTAAGATCGAGCTCTCCAGGCCGTCATCGACGTTATGGGACTCTGCTACTGGTGAGTGGATGGAACGATGCGTTGGCCTATCACTCGAGATTGTGTGTGCTCAGCTCTGCCGACTTTAGCTTCGAGCACCCCAGCCGACTGGGCAGCACAGGCAGCGAGTCGTGTGCAAGCCGTTCAGAGCGCTCTCTTCGGTCAGGCGTTGGCCAAAGCTGGTCCTAGCGTTAGTCAATGACAGGCATCGATACAGATCAGTAGCTGACACCGGGACTCGGTCTACACAGTCAAAGCCTGACTCGGTCATGCGTAATATCCTCTCTCAGTTCAGTTCGACACCCAAACTCGAGATCGATGATCCGATGGAGGGTCAACAGACACAGGACGCCGAGATGACATCCGCCGACGCTGTTCCAACAGAGCCTGAGCAAGTCCCCTACGTTCCCGCCGCATCACGTACTACCAAGACCAAGGCTGCTAAGAAGGACAAGGACGAGGTGGTCACGGTGAAAAAGGCCAAGAAGCGCAAGGCCGAAGTGATCCCGCCTGCTCCGGAAGCGACGAGCGAAGCCGTAGCCGAGGTGGAACCCTCGCCCGCAAAACGCATCAAGGTCAATGGAGAAAAGGCCAAGGGCAAGAAAAAGGCGGTCAAGGTGGAGGAAATACCCGATTTCGACTATAGCCAAGAGCCGAACCAGTTAGATACCTTTGCACCAGAGAGCACGACTGGCAAGATCAAGAAACAGAAAAAGCCCAAGAAGCGTAAGTATGAAGCGCTGCAGTGTTTTGATTGTCAGTAGCTGACACCATGTCATTCCCACATCGTAGCGATCGTCGACACGTCTGCTTTCCGCAAACCTCCTCAGAATCCCTCCGACCTCAGTGCAGGAAATCGGTCACGAACCTTCAAGAAGTGAGAGGCTGCCGAACCTCTGCCGCAAAATCGCATCGTTACCAGCATTTGTGTAGATATAGTCATGCCGTTGTACGCTACATGTGTAACCATTTCGTTATGTTATTCATCAGGTGTCGTTATGTATCTGGCTGCTGTTCTCTAATGTCGCAACTCATTCTTGTGGTCCATATCCACATCTGGCGGGTCGCTGATCGATGATGGCTGCGTTGCCGTTGACTTGATCGACCTCAGGTCTTGCAGCCTCCGATTGAGATCCGCGCATTTCCTACAATGAACACGGAGGTGATGGAGATCAGCCATCAAGCGGTCCCAACACAGGAAGGAAACAGCATCAACCGCCGAGCTCACCTTTTCATCTCGACCGTCTGTTCTCTTCGGCGTTCGATCTGGGCTTTGAGCATCAACTCCATGGTCAATCGAGCTTGAGCGTCACGAAGACTGTTTGTCACCAGGATCATGGCGAGTCCTAAGGAATGCATGTGCCGGGCGTACTATGTCCGAAGAAAAAGGCTGAGCGTGAGTAGGAACACTTCATACAGTGGTTCACGTGCAGTCAGGATGAGCTATCACACTTACAGGCTCGCCTTCGGACATCCATCTATTGCCGGTATCTCTCCAGAACTCTTCTGTATCTGCGGCGAATTGGTCGGCCGGCCGAAGTGTTTTGGTAAGAGCTTCGATCAGCTTGAGTTTGGTATGTAAAAGCGACCTGAGGAGGAGGTGTAGGTATTGTCGATCCGTCACTATGGTACAACGACATGCAGTATTTTCACGGAAAGGAGTTCAACGGTGCAGTAAGCGGCGAGGATCAACATGATACTCAGAGCACCGAAAGGTTGGAGGAGCTCACGTTCGACGTCCGTGGGTCGGAATGGAGGGAGGTTCATCTGATGTTCGCTTGCAGGTTGAATATCTAGCTAAGAAGCAGACAAGGTAGATGGTCAGAGACGACGGGAAAGAACGCGGAGTGAGACAAAACTCACTGCGTGTGAAGTTCCGAAAGCTTCCCAATAACCACTCTCGATCATCCAGTCCACCCTGGGTGGCTCAAAGAGGACCCGAGTTCGGCTGGAGAGATCGTCCTGGTTCCCTGAAGCGAAAGGATTCCATGGCTGCTCCTCCTCCTCTACGGACTTGCCATCGACGCCCTCAGCCCTCGAAGCGGCTCCACTGCTCTCCCAAATTTGGCCTCGCTCCTGGTCGGCAGCTTGTTTTTGCTGGGCTTTGTGTGCTTTCCAAGCGGCATCCGTGAACGCCTTGTAATAGTATGGAGGTACGGGGTAGGTCCGGTTGACCATGACCTGCGTTTGGGCCTGCCGGGCGGCAGCCGGCTCGGTCTGATCTGGCTGTTCTTCCATGGCATCGATCTCACGATAAAATAGCTGCAAGATAGCTTTGTATCGAGTATTAACCAGTTGGATATCACAAAGCTGTAGCCAGACCCAAGTCCATCCCTTTGACTTTGGGCCGGCCGAACGGATAAGGATTACGTAAGCTCATGGGGTGGCGTTTCACTGCAGCTGGGTGCTATTGCTTTGTCTCTATATCTGAATGGAAAATCGTACATATCGTATGGCTTCATATGTTTGATATTACAGCGCTAGCAACAGTTACAGAACTATCGTACAATGACATGCATACGACTCCTCAAGAGAACAAGATCAAGCAGAAGGTGCGGGCATTACGGCGAGACCAGCGGTTCCACCCGACGATTCATTCCTTTCCATCCAAACCTCGCAACAGCTGTCGCGCTTATCCCCATAGCCCCCTGTGATCGAAGAATCATAAAGGATCAGTATCTCTCGCTCAGGTGCGTCATTCAAGGTCTGTGCTATTCACAAATATCAGAATTCGCGTCGTTGCATGGCATAAAGGGGATCCCAACATCTCCTTGACCATCCCCAACCTTGTCAGGGGCGGCCCAGCCCTCGTAGATCCTACATTCTCCGGTAGGATTGTAGAATTCGAAACCACGGCACTTGGGGACAGCCGAGCCCTTGTTGAGAGCGTCGCACCTGTTGGCGCAATCCAGCATATTCCCGCCTTTAGTAGGCTCACCGATGGTCTGTGAAGCGAAATGCGCCGGTAATAGTGAATGGGTCAAAGGGTGTTCGGTCTCCCAGGATTTAAACCGGAGGTACTTACGGCCGATCCCCAAGGATTGACTGAGGATCCAGAGAAGACCGAATAAACGGTGCCTTGCTTTTTGGTCGAAGATCCAGGGCAAACCTCGATTCTCTTGACTTCGACCGCTAGGGCCGTTCCTGCCATGAGCGCGAGGAGCACGTTGATTTTGAAGAGCATGGTCGTTTTTTGTGTTGTAACTTTGCTTTTCCTCGATTGCAATATGTATCGCATAACTGAGAACAGCAACCGCAACAAACGACTTTGTTCTTGAATCCTGTTATACTTTTCCGACGTGACCACCTGTGACCTTCCCTTTGTGCCATGCCTCCACATCATCCATATTTGATCTTCCTGGTACAGAAGGGGTCATGTTTCTGCCCCTGAACATCTGCCCCTACCCCCTGACGTCAACACGTTTCATATGTCATTCCTTTACGAAACCTCAGGGGGTGTTGCCAGCCATACTTGATGCGGTATATCGGTACACACTTGGCCGGGTTCACATTCTGTTGGAACGCGCTGGCAACAACGCTTGAAACAGGAAGAATCGGTTTGAGAGCCTTTCTATCGGTTTGAGAGCCTTTCTATCTTGTCGCACCCTAGGCTCAGTTCGATACTATTGCGCGTTAGCCTATCTTGTAATAAGCGCTCTGAGATTGTTGCAAGGAAGGCTGTCGGAACGGCTTACTTTGCATCTTAGTGTCCTCTTTATGCCGTTGTCGACCCTCTGATCCACATTTGCACCCACCTTTCACCTCAGTAAAGAGGTTGGTGAGTCTATAGCTGCCTACGGATTGAGTCGGTGACGCTGATTGATATCGGCCCGGTGGGATGTTGGGAAGATATAGCAAGCTGATCCTGCGTTCAACTCGTACGGTTTGCCACACCTTGCGAGCAGGAGTTGGACCGAGAGGAGAAGGTACACGCAGTCGGTCTAAAAATGGTAGCTGATGAAGCGCTTTACAAGTTCAAGAATCAGCAATCATCCCATCCGATATACCACAACAAAAGAGGTACTCGAGCGCTGAACGTAGGCATAGGCTAGCAAAAGAAGTCTGTATTCGCAGCTACATCAGTCACAACGACGACAATTGGCTCTTTACGACTACATTTGGCTCTTTCATATCAATCAAGAACCTCACAAGCTTAATCGAACTCACGGGTACGTTCATGCTCAGACGGAACGGCAAGCCTAGTAATCGCTGACCGCATGTTTCGTCTTCACGCGGATCTCGCTGAGTACACTCACATGGAAATGGCGGCTCCGTCCCCAGTACGACACGGCGTTGCACTTTTCGCACTTAACACGCACAACCTGAGGCAACATCCGTTCAGAATGACGATGAGGGTCGAGTGCCAACTGACCGGTTGTGAAGGTGAAAACTCCGTACAGCATAGTAGCATCTTCCTGTCGAGGGTTTAATCATCCGATAGAATGAGTCCTTGAGATCTTTTCACCGTTTCATGCGCGTTCATGGACCGCGATCCGTGCTCACCCACGGGCCACGAAGCGCCACCACCCACCCTCAAGCAGTCACCGGCGATACACGCAAATGGACATTCACATGTGACTCCCGCTTGTCGCCATCCTCATCATGACGATAAACAAAACAACACACAACAAACGCCCTTTCAAACCCTCCAAACAATCGGATGGTCATCGCCGATAGGTCGCTTGAGGCGTGAGGCGGACGTACAATGCCCGAGGACTATATCCACATGTCGCATCAGCCTTTCGGTGTTGCTCTATCAAGTTACCGCCGGGAGATACTATTCTGCTGCAAGATGAGTTCGTGCGCGATGCGATGCAAACGATTGTTTACAAGACGTCAGAGTGAATCAGGTACACGATTCGATTCGCCCTCGTCGGTCAGATGTTGGGATTGGTCAGGGACGAGGTCCCACCAGGCGATATGAGATCGAGGGGTAGCCCCGTGACCTTGGTGATTGTTGTTGTTGTGGTACACGCCGTTGCTGGTGCATTGCTGTCATGGTATTCGTTGCTGTTTCTGGCCATAAACAAAGCGAAATGTAGACACCGGAACACGGGCAGACGCTCGACAAGCCGCAATAGGAGTTTCGCTTGCAGCACAATGGATCAATGGACCGGCCGTACCAGACAGAGGTATTTGCGCTTTGTTCAGCTGATTAGCGATCGGGTAATCGGCAGTGACCCAGCGGGCAGATCAGAGGTGGATCTCGATCGTTTGTTGTTCTGTAACGATTGGCGTTTGTTTAGCGATGCGGCGATCGCGTGCCTCGCGAATCTGTGGTTGTGGCGGTCTTTTTCGGATCCGCCCGTCCCTGACCACCACCCCTGACCATTCCGCGCATGCCGGACGTGTTTTGTCGACCTCGGGGCTTGGGAAGGGGGAGCGAGGGACGTCCCTGTCGAGGTACCGAAAGGGGCTTCTTCGTCGTCGTGGCGGCTTCGGTCATCATCGACATCAACAACAAATTCCTTACAACGTGCTCGTCTTCGCGCTGATCCGGTTGGGACTGCGTGTGGTGAAACGGGGGAGATGCATGGTACTGTTATGATCCGATCAGCTGAGCACGGGCAGGATCGGACCAGGGAATCACCAAGGATCATACGTATATAACCAGAGGTAGAGAGCAAATATATCCCAGCGAAATTCCCTCGAGCCGGTCTCTTCTCTCATTCATCAAGACGATCCCGCTCCGACACCTCAACACCGGCAGAGCCGACCTCACATCACAAACGCTCATTCGCACATCACACTCTTTTTAATTCTCCGATCAACGTCCCAATCTCGAAATCATGAAGATCGTCGCACTCCTCTCAGCTCTGGCTGCCTACACCGCTTCCGTCGAGGCCTTCTTCATCCTCACTCATCCCATCTTGGAGGTGACCCGGTTGGACCCTATCATCAACCCCGGTGAAGTGTCTTCCCAGTGAGTCTCATCCCGCATCACATCACGCCCGACAATTTTTGATATCAAGCTAGATGACTTATATATGGACATTGGACTTGATACTATAGCATGCACACCATCATCGGAGGATCCAACTTTGACAAGACGGTCGACTACGCTTCCACCCAACAGGGGAAATGCACGACCGCCCCGATCTCGATCGACAAGTCGTCCTATTGGACCCGTGAGTTTCGTTGCTCAACCTGTCAAAACTTCTCTGTGAGGTTACGTGCGGGCGTGGGCTAAAGCGTTTTATAATCATGCAATTACTCTATGGCAGCTCAATTGTACAGCTATTCGGAGGGAAAGTACACTATGATCCCGGCTAGCTACGTCAACACGTATTACTTGCGTAAGTGTGCTATCTCCGTTTTCATCTCCTATCTATGCAATCCCCCGTGAATTCGGTCTGATCGGCTTTATCCTCGATTCGATTCTATATCCCACAGCCCGATCAAAGAAACTCCCCGTCGCCTTCCCCGAAGGTCTTCGGATGGTTTCCGGAGATCCCTACAGGAGGACGTTCGACCCGAAGAACCCGGACCATCAGGCTATTTCTTTCGTCTGTTTGACTGGGCAGAGTCATTCTGGTAAGCCCCGCTCCGTCTTGAGGTTTCCAAGTCTACCGATGAAGAGGTTCGCTCAAACGGATGCTATCACTTGACGCTGGGTTACATCAGGTGACGCGCGGTACAACCAGAGGAACTCGTTCTTCGAGGTTCCCTGTGATGCCATGAGGATGCAAGTCAACTTCAGGCAATGCGGTAACGGACAGCTAGACAGCCCGGATCATAAGTCACACATGGCCTGGGCTTCTGGCGGTCTGGACGGAGGAGACTGCCCCGACACTCACCCTATCGCCTACCCCGAGTTGTTCTACGAGTTCGTCTACCCTGTCGGACAGTTCCCCTTCAACACCACCGCTGGAGCTATCAATTGGGTCTTGGCTAACGGTGATACTACCGGATACGGGTTCCATGGAGACTTTATCTCTGGTTGGCCTCATGACGATGGTAACGGTGTCAATGTCCTCGAGTCTGCTATCCAGACTTGCAACGGTGATACCGGTTTGGGTATCGGAGGAGTCTTGGACGGTATGTCCAGGGGTTGAGAATGAATGAAACCTGGCAACAAGATATTAATTAAACCTGATCCGCATATCACATTATAGACTGCCCGGCCTTCTTGCCGCACATCAACAACGCCGCTGCCCAGGCCTGCATTCCCGAGAACCCCCTCGTCAGCGAGAACATTGGCGACCACGGACCCCTCGACCGTCTTCCCGGCAACAACCCGCTCTGGGTCGGAACCGGTCCCAAGCCCAGCTTCTCCGATTACACCGAGAGTGCCGGGTTCGTTGATGTTCAAGAGACCTTGACTACCGGATGGTCAGACCTCGGCTGTTTCGCCGAACCCAAGGGGAGCCGTGCGCTTACCGCCGCTTCCACGACTTCGGACTCTATGACCAGGAACACCTGTATCGGTGAGTCTCTTATAGGCTTGTTCTCGCTTTGATTACCTTGCTGATAGCATTGCCTCTACATGCAGCCTTCTGTGCTGGCAAGGGCTTGCAATACGCTGCCGTCGAATATGGAAGGGAGTGGTGAGTAGCTTGCGTCCTACTGCTCAGCGACGATCGAGGTACTCACAGCTCTCATCATCCAGTTACTGCGACTCTCAGCTGAGGAATGGCGCCACCTTGAACGCTACTCTCGACTGGTACAAGTGCAACATGAAGTGCTCGGCTAGCGAATACGAGACTTGCGGAGGTTCGGCCACCTACGAGCTCTTCAACAACCCCGACCTCGCGCCCGCTGCTATTTCTACCCAATTGCCTTCCGGTTGGCAAGATGCTGGATGCAGGGCCGAAGGTGCTGGTGGACGAGCGCTTGTTGGATATGCGACCTCTGGGAAGAACATGACCGTCAAGACCTGTGTCGAGACTTGCGCTGGGCGCGGGTACTCTATCGGTAAGTAGTTCGCGCGGTTTGAAGCGCAACGAATGGGCCATTATTGACATAAATGTCGCTTCTCAGCTGGTGTCGAATACGGTCAAGAATGCTACTGCGCCAACTCGTTCAGCAATGGCGGCGGCGCCACCGCTTCTGGATGTACCATGTCGTGCGCCGGTGATGTCACCCGAACTTGCGGAGGTTCGAGCCGACTCAACGTCTACAGCAACAACGCCACCATCTTGGGCGCTCCTGCCGCTGCCAGCAAGAAGAGGTCGGTTGCGCTTCGAGTTTAGATGGAAGGAGGACGGCATATAAGCGGATGAGAACATTTTCGATTTTTTATCATTTTATGCCACTGAGCCTTCTCGATGTAATACGATATCTGTGACGTCAAAAGAATAGGATATGGATTCGCAAGACGTGTCGAGACTCAGTGTGTCAATCGAACCCCTGCAGACTGACGAGCAGCGCCACTGCTTCATCATGGTGGTACATATCTACGTGAAATAGTCCATCACAAGGTAGAAGTTGGACCGGTGTCTTCTATCATTCTTCCACAGAGCCCACCTGGCCGGTCTTGTCCCAGCGCAGATTAGCGGGAAGTTCCCGCAAAAGCTCTCTAAGCTCGTGCGGATGACGCCTCGGACGCTGCCAACCACCCTTTTCCTATCGACGCATGTCCGATAGCTCGTGATGATAGATAGTATACAACGACGGTGACGAAATTATTCTCGCCCGCCGTGTCCCGCCTATTCGTACATGATGTTGTTACACTCTAGTAGATCATACACGCCTGGCCAGTTTGATCAAACACCGAGGCGGTCCAATTTTACAGGACGACTGGGAAAAGCAAACGAGAGATATAATGGAATCGAAGGGGTGATCAAGCGAGGTCCATGGACCCGCCTTCCCGGGCCGCCCGTTGTTTTAGCTTTTCAGCACCCCCAGCCTTCTTGATCCTACGTATCGATATCACGGCGCAAAAAGTCAGCCTTCCCATCTTCTACCGTCTCACTCATAGTAACAGAACCAAAAGGCAATATAACCCATATTCGAAGACTCACATCCTCCCGATTTCCCCGCTCGTCTTCTGCCAGACGTTCAATTTAGGATCCCTCGCCATCGCTGCTCGGTCGTCCCCATACTTGACGACGAGCTGGGTAAGCCATTCTTTTTCCGAGGTCGAGGTGTGGCGTTTAACGGGGGTGGCGGTTGATGAGAGGACTTCCAGGGCTATCATGCCAATGGAAGAGTCCAGAAAGGTCGAGGTGAGCATCCAGGCGAAGTTACGAAAGGAGGCGAAGAAGAGCACAATGCTAACTTTTTACGACCTCGGTCTTGGCAGGAACAGGCGCAACCTCCTTCTCCTCCTCATCACTATCCTCCCCAACCGTCTCTCCCTCTTTCCCAACCTCCTCCTCGTTGTCGTCTTCGGGCAGGATGACATCGACGACGTTCCCCTTGGCATCACGCACGATCCTCCCGTACCCGCTGATCAGGTTCTCTTCGGCCTCTTTGATGGACTGTTTCGAGGTCGAGTTGGAACTTTGGTCCAGGGGGATGGAGGTTAAAAGTCCGAGGGCTTCGTAGCTGAAAAGATAGGGAGATCGTATCATATCAGTAAAGTCCGTCCGGAACAGACGAGACAACTTGAATAGCTGACAATCGGGACCGCGACTAGACGGCCCGGAATCGAATACAGCCAATTTGATACTGACTTTTGCCTGACAGTCTTCTTCTTGTCCCACCCCTGTTGCAAAGCCAAGGGACCTTTCATCGTAGGCGCCTTGTTCATCTTGGTATGCAGTCGACGGAGCCCGTTTGCGTTCGGTTTCCCACCGGACCCGCCGTTCTTGTTGTTCTTGCGTTGACGAGGGTTAGGCATGGTAGCAAGTGTCTAACTTCTAACTGTTCGGTTGAGTTGGCTTGAAATGGTTGGCAGAATTGCTTAGGTGTGTTTGAATGTGATGGTGGAACAGGTGGAGTTGAACTTGAGATTGAACAAGTTCGGCCACTCGCTCAACTTTTCGATCTGCTTCCGATAAACTTCCGATATACCGACTCGAGAGAGGGGGGATCCACGTCATATCAATCTGATTCCAGATATTTGATTGATAACAGCCTCGGTCATCACAGGCCATCACAGGATCAACTGATCGAACGTTTGTGATCACGATCACACCGCCTGAACTTCGTACAAGGGCAATCCACCTTTGACTTTAAGATTGAGACCTTGTTCGCAGAAGCGACATAGATCACATCGTCGTATGCGCGTAAGATGGATCGGACACAGGTTAGACCGATAGACCTCCGCAGTATGGAACGACTCATCGGCATTTCGGTCCCTTTTTGTACCTTGTGAACCCGCTTTCTCCCGGCCGAAAACGTTCTGATACGGTTTCAGGTGAGGAATCTGAAACGGGGTTGGGTTGGAAACTTCTAGGCTTCGAACATTTGCCAAGGTTTCATGAGAGCGGACTCTAGATTGCGAGGAATGATATCGTTTCGGCTCGATGTGTGAGCTTCCATCGCGTGGCCGCAAGGGTGAGGTCAAGGGTTTCGGCTGGGCGGTTCTTTTGTATCTAGGGGTTTGAACTTGCATGAGCCATACAGGGTTGAGGTCATACACATGTTAGCAGCTGAACTCACTCGATTGAAATAAGGAATCGCTAGTCCCCCCGACACAGCCCAGCCTGATCTTCGCGTCTCGGTGTGATGGGAATTGATCGTCACTGTCGGATTGCGCCGAACCCGGGGCTCGGCACGCGGGGGCAGGGCGCAGGGTGACGGTTCAGGGACAGAATGATGGAATTGATGCGATGTGATTGATCTCGATTGATCGATTGATGTCCCATGTCCCTTTGATTCGATTCGCCCTGCGTCTACTGCCTCGAGCGCCTCTTTGAAACTGATTGATCTGATCAGTCTGTCTTGATCATCGAGCTTGATCAGTTTGATCAAAGGGGGTCCAGCGTCCTCGACTGTGATCACAGGGATCATGGGCTCGAGCACCATGTCGACCAACGATCGCGACGATGGTGGTGACGACAAGAAGAACGATCTCACCACTTCCACCACATCAAAGGTAGAGACCACCAACACCGCCAGCAACAATCTCGTCGTCGATGACGACTTGACAACATCAGCTAAAGACAAACTCTGGTCGAACATTGAGAAGAAACACAACAACAACAACATTCCCCCTCATACCGCCTCGTCCTCGTCGTCCACCTCGACATCGACTTCGACCTCCCCAGTCCGATCAACAGAAAGAGGTAGACCTTCATCGACTTCGAGCAAGATGGGTGCCGTCCCCACATCCATACCTCCTGCTAAAGAAGTTCCTGGGATCCCGGAAGAAGACCCCGAGGACGATAACGATCGAGATGAACATGCGACCGGCAGCGTGGCAGGAGATGCGAAGAGTCAAGAAGTCTTCCTCCCACCTGGAAGCGTTGATGGCTCGATAGCGGGTTCGATAGGGTCGACATATAATAATCGAGATGGTGGCAGTAATACCAGTACGATCCGGTCGGCGGGGAAACAAAAGGACCAGCAGTTGCAGCAGATGCACTTGGAGAACAACCTCGGGAACCTAAGCCTCAGGGGAGTGGGGACATCTACACCGAGGACACCATCAGCTCTAGGAGGCGATCGTGATCGTGATCGGGATAGACACCTCGTACCCCCAAGTTCCGCTTCTCGACCGTCATCCAGGAGCCGACAACCCACTTCCCACTACTCGCAACAGCAATCTCAACAAGGTTATGGAAGTCTAGGGAGCAGTAACGGGGGTTATGGTGGCCGACGTACGGGTCCGGGATCTTCATCGGCGGCTCCTTCGAGGTCTGTCTCTCGAGCCCGGGGTTTCACTGCGAGCGAGACGACGAGTTCGAGGGGAGGGGACGATGAGGGTGATACGAGTGCGGATGAAGACGAGAGCGACGGGTTAGGGTTGAGGTTGGGATCGGGCGGAGATGACCTGGATCATCAACAAGGCGGAGGCGGTGGGGGGATGCAGAGGAGCGTCTCCCAGGCCGGACATCGCAGAGGAGTTACTTACCAGCATCAGACTCAGCAACAGCAGCAACAGCAGAGGGAGAAACGGGACAAAGGGGAAGAATTGATCAGGCAGAGACAGATCGAGAGGAGAAAGGCGAAAAGGCTGGCTAGTGCGAGGATGGTCTCGTATTCCCAATCCAATAACGCTCAGGGAGGCGGATATCCCGATGAGGAGATGCAACAGGGGGAAGACGTCTTTGTCCAGCAAGATCAGGGGAGGTATGGGTTAGGAACCGGACACCCTCATCATTCCTACGCTCAGCAACAACAAGCTGGAGGTTATTCAGTCCCTTCGACGCCTATGGCAGCGGGGACCAGATCTTCTGGCCTCAACACACCCGGACCGGAGAGGAACGTCAGCACCTCGGGTCGGAAACGAGGAGGCACAGAGACCCCGGGAGGTTATTTCCCGCCTTTCGGGTCGATCGAGCGGGGCGGGTCTGAATGGGGTGGAGGGACGAGTGCGAGCGGAGGGGATGAGAGTGGAGGGGCCACGCCATTAGCTCTGGGTCATCCGCATCATCAGCAAGGTCAAGGGAGGTCCGGGTCTCAGGCTGGGTATGGGCGACAAGGGTACCAAGACAAGACGAGGAGTGGACGAGGAAGCAAGACGCCCAGATTGGGTCCGAGTACGCCAGGGTTGGCTGCGGGGTTCAGGATGGATTCGCCTTCGCTCGGCCCAAGTACAGGATACGCAGGGGAAGAGCGGGATATAGGCGTGGGCAAGGCGGCGAGCGTGATCGAACAGGTCGTTAGCGAGTTGGGAAGTGGAGAACAGCGGGAGATGGAGATGCGGGAGGATGGTGGAGATGGGGATGACGGTGAGGACGATGATGACGAGGACGATGAAGAGGTTGACGAGGAAGGGGTGACTGTCAGGGATAGACAAGATGTAAGCAGGTTTGCCCAAACAGACGGCGAATGACCCGCTTAATCATCGAGACTTTTGTTCGCAGGCCATCAACATCGAACATCCTTTCGGTCTGCCCATCTGGAAACCGGCGTTGTATAAGAAATCCCGGTCGATCACTCGGAACGCCGAATTCGCACTCCACTCGATCCCCTCGGCTGCAGCAGAGAGACACCTGCTGCCCGGTAATCTGCTCTGGACCGTCATCTTCGGGTGGTGGTTAGCCCTGCTCTGCTTCGGAGTAGCCGGGGTCATCTTCATCGGCGAAGTCATCGGAGGATTGGGTTGGAGGGGGAAACGAGCGGGTGGGTATGCGAGGACGATGGCCGGGTTGGGATGGTACATCGGTTGGCCCTTCGGCAAGTACGTCGAGGGCAAGGGATTCAAGAAGAAGGAAGCTTTCTTGGATGAAGAGGATCAGATCGAGGACACGTTCGACGAGGACGATGGTGGGGTGGATGCAGAGGGCGGGGAAGCCGCCGATCGAGGCGATGACGAGGTAGAACCCAGGCGAGTCTCTAGCGAAGCTGCCAGCTCCAGCTCGGGCAGGACTGTCAAAGGTCCTCGTGCATCGACCGATGGATTCCGGTCGCGAGAGAATTCGGTCACCTCGGTCGATGCTTGGAAACCTTCTCCAGCCGAACCGGCTACGGAGCGGGATCCTTTGGTCCCCAAGACACGGATCGGACGAAAGGGACATATCCAGCAGGTCGATTTCGCCAAGGGAACCAACGGGCAAGCGAGGGACAGCTTGTATGGCGCCATCGGCTTCAACGGGGACGCCAAAGATCGAGGTAAAGATCGGGTGCCAACCAAATTCAACAGCTCTCCACCTCATTCCCGTATGGCCCGCCTCGTGGGAGGCATCTTCTATTGGCCTCTCTTTATCCTTTTCATCGCCCCGGCCTTGATCACCGTCTGCCTCCTCTGCTGGGGCATGGTGATCACGATCCCAATGGCGAGACTGACTTGGGCTCTCCTGAAGCACCTCGCACGGGGCCCGCTGGATGTCAAGTTCCGGAGAGCGCCCAAGGTCGCCGTCCCACTTCCCTCTCCGGGGTCATCCCCGACGCTCGAGAGCGAGGCCAACGATCCCGCTTTCACGTTCAGGCGAGCGAGGCTCAAGGCTGGACAGCTTGCACCTACTCCTGGTCCTGACTCGACGGTTCTGCTCTGCATTTACCGTGCGGTCGGGATGCAGTATTACAAGTATACGGTTGGCGGCGTCAACATCATGTTTGTCAACCTGTTACCGCTCGTCTTCTTCACGATTTTCGACGGCTTGGTCTTGTTGCCCATGGTCGAACACGGTCATACACACAATCCGATCATCGAACTGCTTGCATCGCAAGCCTTCATCTTCATCCTCGGACTGGCCAGTGTCATCCCGCTCTCCTACTTTATCGGTATGGCCGTGGCAAGTATCTCGGCCCAATCGTCGATCGGCATGGGTGCCGTCATCAACGCCACGTTCGGTTCCGTCATCGAGATCGTCCTCTACTCGATCGCTTTGACACAGGGCAAGGGCAAACTCGTCGAGGGATCCATCGTGGGTAGTTTCCTCGCCGCCATCCTTCTGATGCCTGGCGGTAGTATGATATCGGCCGCGTTCAAGAGGAAAGAGCAGAAGTTCAACGCTCGAAGTGCTGGTGTGACCAGTACCATGTTGATCATGGCCGTCATCGGTACCTTGACGCCTACCTTGTTCTATCAGACTTACGGATCAGTGAGTTTGGCGTTTGGTTCCTCGCCTGAACGCCAGCTGATATCAACACGTGCTTGACTCGCAGTTCACGCTGCGATGTGAGGGGTGTCCGGGTGTCCCGGGTGGGAGAATCGTCGGAACAGCTCCACAAGGGTTTACCAACAGCACGATGTCACTCTTCAGCGATCTATCGAAGGATAAGCCAACTGCAGACAACCAGTGGCAGTGCGATCGATGTTACTACGAACACCCAGACCCCGCGACAGATCCATTCTATCAAGACCAGGTCAAGGGACTCATGTACTTTTGCGCAGTGATCCTCGTGGTCGTGAGTTGTCTGGTTCCCTCCCGCCTGATCGCGAAATCATCTGATCAGATGGACAACCGGGCGGTCTATAGTCGTACCTTATCGGTCTCTGGTTCTCACTCCGGACCCACGCATCGCAAATCTGGCAGAACCCCCAGCAACTGATGAAGGTCGACGAAATCCCGGCCGGTACCATGCACCCCGCCGTCCGGGCCTCGATGTACCAGCGTCTTACCCCTCAGGCCCTTATGCAACAGATCTTGCCTACCGCTAGGTCTGCCGATCCGGGTACTCGCGAGACCAGCCAAACGGCAGGTGGTCCGCCTCAATCGCGATCACCAGGATTCCGCAGTTTGCCAGCGACCGCTCGGCCGGGCGAGAACGCCATTCATCCACAAAGAAAGGCCTCGATCATGTCCGAGCACTCTGTCGGGCCTCAGACCGGAACGCCTTCCATGAGACCACAGACGGGCGGGATCAAGGACGGAAGTCTGTCGCCGATGAAGTTGCCTAATAACCTGACTCCGGAAGATTTTACCCGGGCCGTTGCTGCGGCGACCGTCAGCGCGTTGAGGCAACACGCTCATGCGACTCACCGAAAAGTCGGCCAACCGGTACACGGGGAACAGGTCGGTCAGGAAGAGGAAGAAGCGGGTGGGCACGAGGGACCGAGCTGGAGCCGGATGGTTAGCGCCGGTGTCCTGATGGCTTGTACGGTCTTGTACGCTGCGATCGCAGGTGAGCCAAGTCATCCAAATCTGGGCGTTTGACAGAACTTTGCTGAAGAAGGTGATCGTTTTTGCAGAGATTCTGGTCGACGTGGTCGATGTCGTTCTTCAAGGGTCGGGTATCGACGAAAAGTTCCTGGGAATCACCTTGTTCGCACTCGTCCCTAACACGACCGAGTTCATGAACGCCTTCTCCTTCGCTTTGAACGGCAACATCGCGCTCAGGTCAGTTGTTGTTCCCGGATATGCGCAAAACGGATTCAATCGCTGACCCGTCCTTCATTAACTATGTCGTGCAGTATGGAGATCGGTTCCGCATACGCTCTCCAAGTCTGTTTGCTTCAGATCCCAGCCATGGTCGCCTTCTCGGCATTCTATGATCCGGGCCGGCTCGGCGAGATGGTTGATACCTTTACGTGAGTCATCTTCATCTGCCATCCAGTAGGAACAGTCAATTGATCGACCTCGATCTCGCTTCTCACGCAGGTTGATATTCCCTCGTTGGGACGTCATCGCCATCATCTTTTCCATCTTCCTGATGACCTACACTTACATTGAGGCGAGGTCGAATTATCATCGAGGCAGTATTCTGGTCCTTGCGTGAGTCGACAGGCTGCTGTGCCTTGTTGGTCTTGGAAACGAATCTGACCTATGTTTGCTCGACAGCTATCTCGTCCTGACGGCAGGGTTCTACTTTGCACCTGCAACCGACGGGATTACCGAACCAGGCTCCTGAGGTGTCATCCAGTCTGGTTCTTTCATCTTCTTCTCGTCTGCGCCTATAATCATATCAGACTGTATCTTAAATTACATCCAGTATACCTAGAAGGACCGTTTTATCATTCGACATGGATTCGGAATCGATCAGGTCCCTAGACTGAAGACGTTTACGCTTTTCGTACACGTTGTGATTTTTGCCACGCCGGTCAGAATGAGACAGGTCCGACTAGTTGCTTGGATGTCGTGTGTCATAATATCATAATGAGTAGGAAACTGGACCGATTGCTGATAAGCTGATAAGTGTGAGCACTTTGATGACGCGATTCCCCGACGCGACGCGTTTCAAAGGTTGCTCCCCTTCCTCGGTCATCGACAAGCTCAAGCAGCAACCAGCGGTTCAGAAGGTCGAGGCTGTCACTTTCTTTATCGTATATCGATTACTAAAACTATTCGACACAGCTCTCGACATAGCTACAACTTGGTCGCAAAGTTGTAACTCGACGAGATGACGGATAACCTCTTCAGATACGCCAAGGCTGTCAATCCGGACCGGGACCTGCCGTCGGATGTGAAGCTTGTACACAATCAACACACCATGACGATATTCGACTTGTACCCGAAGGGTGAGCACCAACGGTGGCATATCGTTCGTTCGATTGTTACTGACTGTTCTCGCTTGCCACGATATGATTCCAGCAAAATACCACTTCCTCGTCCTCCCACGTCTCCCGCTAGTACTCCCAACCAACACCTCACCCCCAGACAAGATCGACTTCTTCCCTATAGACCTCGTCTCCCTCTCCTCCCTTCTTCGTCTCAACCGACACAAGAAATCTCCAGAAACCGCCTCGCCTCCGATGATGGTACTGGAAAAGCTCAAAGAAGCCGCTGAAGAATGTGTAGCTATGATCAAGGATGAGATGTTGAAGACGGAAGGCTTCATTTGGGATATCTGGGTCGGCTTCCATGCTGTACCTAGTATGAGGTAAGCACGATGATCTTGCTTCTTTCTACCAACACAGTTCTGCTACTCGTGCTACCTGCTAACTTTGAACCACTTCTCACTCTTGCTCGATGACATGATGACAGGCACGTCCACCTACATATAATCTCCTCCGACCTGATAGGCCGCGGCCTGAAAAAGAAGGGCCACTACAATTCTTTCCGCCCCGACCTCGGTTTCTTTCTCCATCTGGATGACGTACTAAGAATGGTCCGGGAGGACAATATCGAGACTGTAAGTCTCATCGTATATCTTGATGAGAAATTGACCTCATGAAGCCAACTGAATTGACCTTCCCGCATCTGGCCGGCTCGAAACAGCTCCCAAAACCTAAAGAAGACTACGAAGCCCTGTCCCGTACAGACCTTGAATGTCACAAGTGCGGCAAGACCTTGAAGAATATCCCGCTCTTGAAGGAACACATGGAAGAAGAATGGGAGATGCTGAAAGCCAACGCCAAGGTATAGGACGACAATCAACTAACACGGGTAGGAACGACGAGACGAGGGGGATAGAAAAGCGGTCCTATTTGAGAACTAGAATGTATTTAAGACGACTACTTTACGAACCTTTTTACGAGATGAACATGACGATTACGACCTTTTAAACGCAGCAAGTTAATTCGTGTGGCGACTGAGAATGATTGCAGAGCTGTTCGTGTCCACGGAACGATGCCGGGCGCATCCAAGCGGTTCATTTGCACTCGACGACGCTGGCAGCAATCAAGGGCCTGAAGTCAAATATAGCATTGCGGTCTTAATCTGTTCGGAAAACCATCGGCTCTCACATCCCAAATCAGGGTCCACCGTGCAGTTCGATTGTTCGTGCCCGGATACAGTTCTGGCTGAACCGCAAGCAACGTATGAGTTGTCAAGACCCTCGCAGGTTGACCGGGCACTCCTTAGCACATCGAGCGAAGCAAACCAACGAGTCTTGCAATCCCAGCGATGAATCACGACCGCAACCCGAACAAGGGTCCAAGACGTAAATCTTTTGTTACCACGTCGATTTTCTCTTTTCATCATTCCCCCCTCTCATACCCTGTGCTGTAAGCTACATCCCCTTCCGTCTTCTCTCTATGCTTCATCCGACCCGTCATCTAACATTTAGTGAGCGGCCTTCTTGCCCTTGGCTATATCCACATCAACGGAAATTGATTCAGCCTGCGTCCCGGTCAAGCACAAAAATGGGAAGAGTGCTTACAGTAAGGGTTCTTGGGCTATTTGAGCGAAAGGCGGATGCGCGGTGATTGCGAAAGAGGTGAAAAGGATAGACGGATAGAGCGGGTTAAGTGCGTCAGTAAATATGTAGTGATTTGGTACGATAGCAGGTCGCGGTAATAGCAGAAAAACAGCGATCGAGGGATTGTACTCACGTCAGCGAGAGCCTCGGGGGCTATTTTCCGTTTAGGTTTGGTTTCGTTTCGTTCCAGTCCGGTGTGGTCATGTTGGCGTTCGTCCAAGTTGCAGAAAGGTGTTTTTGGATCAGGCCAGGAGGGATATGTCATTCCGCATGTCCGTAATTATGAATTCGGGATTGTGGATAAGGTGTTCGACACGGGCATGATCAAATCGCCGTCCAGCAGCACGAGGAGAGTAACAGAGAAAAGGAGGAGAGCAAAAAAAGCTTGTCAGCCTTCCAAACCTCGGAAAAGATAAATACGATAGAAATGCGGTCCAGGGCCCGAAGAAGGAATAGGGGTGAGGCCGGTATTCGGGGGTAGGGTCGAGATGTGTAAGGCGAAGGACGGGGCTGGCTGAGGATATCTGATCGGAGCAGGAGCGATCCGAGCTCGTGCCTAGGCTCGAACCGGCTCAGGTTTGAGGTGAATCATGGATTCGCTTCTGTTTTGGTCGTGGCTCGCCGTACTACTTCGTGTCATGTTGCCGTCGCAACGCAGACACCCGGTTGACTGGTCGCTCCCGAGTCAGAATTGAGTGTTGTTGTCGAGCCAGAGGACCGTCAAGGTCGACGTCGGAAGAAATGGCGAGATATCGATTTCATGCCCAACGTCGATCGATCCGAGTTCCGACTTCATGCCAGGATCCAGTGTTTGCCAGTTCCAGTCATTCCATGCACTCTGATCCTGCACCCTGTCTTTTCTCTACCGATCGCCTCATGAATACCCTTTGTGATCGATGCCAAATCCAGATCATCCTCTCAAGCCCGGTCGCCGTCCCGCTCGACGATACCCAGAACCCAAAACTCGTAACTCCGCTTCAGAAACCCGGCGACGCGAAAGACGTACTGTTGACGGCCATGTCCTGCAACTTGGCGACTCCCAAGTAGGTGATGACGGTAGCGGCGATGAAGGGAGCCAAGGGGCGGGCGAACTGTAAACGGGGGAGAGGGAGAGTATTGTGTGGGTATCAGTCGACTGTTTGCTTGAGACCGGGATCGTGTGGATTTGCGTGAAAGGCGGGCGTACGGGAGTGGGCCAAGCACGGAGTCCGAACATTTTGATGAGGTGCGAGTGGGTTAGATAAGAATGATGTAGAGAGAGGTTGGGGATTGAGCAAGATAGGCAAGTTGGTTGTAACGTTGTAATGAGATCGACCTTGTCTGACCCCATCTGAACGGGATATGGCTAGCTGGCTTCCACCCGCCATAGAAAAGTGATGAAGCCGAACTTATTTCGGAGAAGTGAGAGGATTATCGGATGTGTCGGGTGAAAAAAGTACCAAAATGATTTTCGCGCGAAGTCCCGAGGGTCTGAGGGGGAGTCTGTGCGACGAAATATTTCACCTTGCGATCGAACTTCAACTCGCACCATTCATACCACCTTCGTTACTTCTTCCTTCTTCCACAAAAAAAGCATAGACCAGTGATCCCCAGTCGTGAGGTCAACACATAGATAAAATTACAACTAGCACAACCTCCGAAACCCACCCGAACCGGACTCTTTTTACGATCAAAAATGGCTACCACCCCTAACCCCAAGGCTTTCCCTCTTGCCAACGCCCAGTTGACCAACCAGGTCAGTACTACCGCCCGACTTGCCGTATGAATGGAGATAGGGAAGCTGATGAGGAGATGTTGTTCTCATCGGCGTTCGGGTAGATCTTGGACTTGGTTCAGCAGGCTTCGCACTACCAGCAGCTCAAGAAGGGTGCTAACGAGGCTACCAAGGTCGGTCTTTTCCCGTTCTCATCCTCGACTCCCGACACTCGACTCCCGACACTCGACTCACTCTTTCTGCAATTCCTCACCATAAACACATATATTATAGACTCTCAACCGAGGAATTTGCGAGTTCATCATCATGACCGCCGATACCGAACCCATCGAGATCCTCTTGCACCTCCCGCTCTTGTGCGAGGACAAGAACGTCCCTTACGTCTTCTTGCCGAGCAAGACCGCTCTCGGTCGAGCTTGTGGGGTTAGCAGGGCCGTCATCGCTGCTAGCGTGACGACCAATGAGGCTAGGGAGTTGAACTCTCAGATCCAGGCTGTCAAGGTGAGTCCACATGACTTTCATCAGGGAGGCGTCCTTGTCGATACAAGAGAGAGAGGGAAGCTGATTTCCTGTTGATTCCTGACGTCCTAGCAACAAATCGAGAAGCTCTTGATCTAAGCTTTCATATTTACATTCATTTTACGTTCCTACGAACACGTCTTCGTTGTAATCGGATAACGGGCATGAAGATGTCCATTTTTTTTATGCTAACGCGCTCGTCTAACCCTGTTTCGCCACATCTTGACTGAGAAAAGGACGAGTTGATGTTACTCTGATATCACCTTGAATGGACCGGTGTCGATTCACCAAACAAATTTTCATCGGTCTGAGCGTTTTGCTCTGACTCTGAAATCACTTCTCGTTCCGCATCAGTCTGAGCGTTTTGCTCGGAAGTTGAAACCACTTTTCGAATCCCGGACCTTGATCTCTTTCCCTGATCATGAAGGCTCTTCATGGTCTTCCTGCCAACGTTGTCTCTGTTGTTGACTTTCCCAGAGGTTCAGGGGTCTGGCAGCCATGGTGACAGGGACAAGGGGAAAAATATCTGAGTCTGGGGAGGCAGGATATAATGATCTCTTGACCGCTGAAGTCGGTTACTAAGCGGCTGCCAATGGGGATTGGTATCGGTATGGGTAACATGTGGGGCATACACAGGATGACCTCGAGATGATTGCTTATACAACGAAAATGCGAAAGGGTTCACTTGTAGTGACCAAAAGGTGCATGCAGATGGCGAAACGAAATTAGCTTGGGTAGGTGGCGGTTTTAGAGGAAATACGAGATGGCCTAGAATGTCGAGTAGCAACTCGGATCAGCCCCAAGCTCCCTGCAGCATTCTCGGAACCAGAGTCAATGCCACTTACCTTTTGTGCTTGAGCCTCGGCTTGATTTGGCCCGTCTCGTTCGTTCTCCGGAGCGGCGTCGAATACGTTGAAGAACCGTCTTCCCCCTGGTGATATCTCGAGAATACTTGCAGCATTACCGCATCTGCGATCAATAGCGAAATCATCAGCGCTGAACGACCCGGCTTGTCCCCCAGCTCGTCTTGTGCTGACCTATAACAATAATTCGGTGCACTCCATACCGTACTGAGTCGGTCGTCGTACATGACACAGTAACCCTCCATACACAGCTGGTGCGCTCGTAAGACATGGTTCATCCCGTTGATTTCCAAAAACTTCTTGACGATGGACGACCCGAACGTGTAACCCGCTCCTCGTGGACTGATGGCGAACTCTTCTTTGTCCGGATCTGGATCTGACCAGACGAGATCTGCCATCGGACCTTCGTGTGGGATCTCTGCGGGGCGACAAAGACGGGTGATTCGTCAGCGATCGCGGGTATGCGTTCGGGTGATTGACCCGGACTGACCTCTAAATCGATCGATGACCTTGATCTGATCTATCGAATGGATAGACGGGCTCAACCCTATTATTCCACCACGGCCATCAGCACACGTCTTCGCACGCACGAACCCTATTCGAAATTCGAACAGTCGAGACTCGCCTCCATGTACGCAGAATATCCGATCGTCGATGACCACGCTCAATGTCAAGAAATCAAACATGTCGGTGAAATACTGCCAGACGACCGGTGATCCGTATTTCCGTACACATTCGGTGTAGAATCCGTACGTCTAGCAGTTTTAGATCGTGGTCATTTGCCGAGGAGGCGAATATCAGCTTTCAAGACTCTTGCTAGTGTTCCGACAGGATAGGTTACGGAGAAAAGGATCATTCTCGGGGGACCGCTCGGCTTCTCAGTTCTCCGTTCTTCGTCCGACCGCCCTTTCAGACCTTCTCCACCCGGTTCCAACTAGCCAAAAGCGAGCTGTATACGCTTGATATCGACAAAGAGTTCCGTCCGGACGGCCTTGTAATGGACGCTCGATCATCCCAGCCCGCAGATTGCGGGCCGTATTCTCCACATTTCTATGTTTGACATCCTTGAGCCGAGCGGATCCTCCCTTCCTCTCCGAACCAAATGATGGAGAGGTGTTTGGGATAGGTAGAGAAGATGCAGGAACATATCATGGCTCACCTGCGTGACGGCTCTCGTCTCGTGGTTCCCTCTTATTAGCTGAACTCGTTCTGGGTATCGAAGTTTGAGGCATGTTAATAGGGAGATGGTCTCCACGGAATGTAGGCCTCTGTCGACGTAGTCGCCTGTAGTGGGTCGATGTCATATCGGACGCCGATCAGAGAAAATTGAGGTGAAGATAAAGCCCGGGGATGAATATGAAAGCACAGGAGTTTGAGCTGAAGACCAATTCAGGATGGAGCAAAACGATAGAGACGGAAACACTCACCGAGGAAGAGGTAATTCGTCTCTGGTGCACTTCCTCCTACTCGAAACGCCTCTAGCAGATCATAGAATTGCCTGTCCGAGTAAATATCCCATGCGCAGAATTCTCGATCAGCCCTGCTATGCAATGCCGTCTCTTCCCACTCGCATTTCCACTGCGATATACTCACCCATGTATATCCCCGACGACTGTCACCGGTGACGAGACGTGTATCACGTTACTCTCCCGCATCAACACCTCTTTCGTCTTTTCACATATCTCTCTCAACAAGGCTTCGCTGAGGAGTTGTTTCTTGAAGGCTTGTTCTATACATTGGTCCAGGTTGAAGGGGGCCATCTTGTCGTCTTGTCATGTAACGTGATTGGGTGAAATGGTTCTTTTACGAAAAGGGGGTTGTATGGCGATTTATAGGGATGGAATGTCGAGATGCAAATCGCCAGGTATAGTTATCAACGATCGCAGGCGTCGGGTGGGACTGTCGTTACTGTGAGATCTTTATCGTATGTTGTGGAGGTGTATCGATCTGCCTCGTCTATGTGTCGTAAATCTATCGCTCTGGTGTGGCCTATGGACATCTAATATCTAGGGAGCCATTAAGATATATTCTTGAGGTGTACGGTATAGAGGTTTGATGAATAGTCTGAACGAGATTCCCAGCTGCTCAACACGATTCTTGCGGGACTAAGCGCGTCGAAATCGACCTTGCAAGTCGTTCAAACCCGTCTTTTGTCCAGTCAACATGCGACATGACATCAATAACCTGCCCTATCCAGCTCGGAACATCAGGATGTGACAAGTCTTCCAGTGATTGCACAGCTCTACCTCGTGTGAAATGGGTCCCGCAAAAAAAAACAGAATGAACAGAGGACATGCGTTGTTTCTTGCCTAGGCGAGCTCCGGAACACGGGGATTCGTGATATCATTATCAAAGGGATATATTCTTATGTCCCCTTCTTTTCATGACTATCATGGTCAGAGACCAACAGCACACGGTCATATCTTGCCACGACCGCTGACGGCATCGAGGTTGAACGTTATAAAAGTTACATCTGATGTTCGATCCCCCCTTAGAAGCGCGGAACCGACCTGATGACGACGTGTGACACTGCGTAACACGGGAATCTTTCGAGCGGTATATACGAGGCATAGATACTGAATATATGCCCTATATATACCGGTATAAATTGTTGATGGCACGAATTGGGTATAGATAGTCCATAGACTCGGCGACCTTGCATAGATTCTACATAAACACGGTATAGCTGTCCGGATACGCTTTATACCTGATCTATACCGGCATAGAGCAGCAAACCTGAACAACAACATTCCCTTCGCAGACGTCGGTGAAGTTCGACTTGCCTTGACACCTAAGTCACCCTAGAGCTACGATATGCGATATGCCCTAGTTTTGTATCAAGTAGCAAGTAGCACGTAGCACCTCTCCAACCATTCATCGTTATGCTATCAAGCCGTCACCTTGAGCGAGTCCCCTATAGCGTGGTCCCTCACAACTCGCTACGTCCGACTTATCCTGCTCCGGTTAGCTGCGGTCACTCGGGGGAGCTGAACCATGCCTGGAAACCGAGGTCAACGTGTCTGTTACTGCCCCGAATGCTCGCTGTATCCAAACGGTTATCGTTCGATCGCCCATACCACTTGGTCCAAACACAACCCGATTCCGAATCGGCCATACGCTCGAACCGCCCCAGTCGTTCGGGCTCACAGAGATCGAAACGTTCTCCTGCCTCGAGCTGCATCTCAATCCAACGTTCCCGCGACACCTCCTCCTGCTACTCCTCCCGCCTCGAGCACTCCCGGATCTGAGTCCTACCCTGATGACATCGGAGACCTCGACCAGGACTTCGACAACTATATCGGGGATGGGTTCACGGACAGCGGCGACGATGCGGACTACATGCAACTCGGCGATCAGTTTGAGCAGGCCGAGCTCAACGGCGTAGGCGATAACGGAGATGATCCATACGACTCGGACGATGATTGGGGTGGAGAGGATGGGGAAGAGCAGCCCGACGAGGAGGAGGTCGACGCCTTTCGTCATCACGATCTGGACCCGGTTGAGCGGCATATCTACACTACCATCGCGATGGCCAAGGCAACGGGGATGAGCAAAGTAGCCACCGATACGTTGTTGGAGCAGATGGTGACGGCCTTAGAGATGGAGAGGGGTGAAGTGTGGGAAGACAAGACGTATAACACTCGAACCGCGTTGATCCGTCTAGGCGTACACCCAGACCAGTTCCTACATCGATACATCGTTTGCCCGAACATCGAATGCTGGGAACTCACTCCGTATCAAAATCTCGCCAACCTGCAGTCGGATCGATGCCAGGCAACTGTTCATGGAGAACCCTGCGATACGCCGTTATACCATACGATCAATCACATCCGCACGCCTTACAAAATCATTCCCTACTGCAACCTCTCGACGCAACTGCGAGCGATGTTGCGAGATCCAGTGGTCGCGTACAACATCAACGCCTGGCGACGCAGAGAGAACGATGTGATAGACTTTGGGCCCAGGGGAAGAATAGTGCGAGATCGGTTTGCGGACACTATGCCTGTGACGACACCCAAGGATGGCTACGTCGACGGCTCGGCATGGAGGTCAGCGGTCGGTGGGGATGTGGAACGTGTGGTTTTGCCCAGCGGATCGGTAGTCGACGAGACCCACGGACCTCATACATACCGACACACCGCTCTGCCATTTGGATTACAACTCATAATAAACTGTGATTGGTAAGCCGGCCCTGCGGACTGTGCACGCATCACTGCTTGCTGCTTGCCCGGCAAATCTGACCCTATGGCATCTTGGCTCGTTGCAGGTTCGCGGTCAAAGGTCTCAAGGACTCGTCAGTGGGCGTCATTTACGCTGCTATAGGGAACCTACCTCGAGACATGTGTTTCAAACGCCGCTACACTGCCCTTCTCACGGTCATTCCGGGTCCTCGTGAGCCAGCCGAGGAATGTTTCAACAAGGTTCTAGCCCCGATAGTGGCCGACCTCAAGCGATGCGAGATTGGGTGGGATATGATGCTTAGCGAAAACGGCGGTCCGGCTCAGCTCCATCGGGTCAGCTCAAGGGTTCTACTCAACACGTCTGATCTCCCCGCTACTCGGAAACTTTCTGGATTCGTCGGCCTCGCGAATAAAGCTCATCCCTGTCACCACTGCGCCATCACTCGGGAAGACGTCAATACCGCGAGGGGGTACCAGTGGCGTGACCTGCCCATGCGTGATCCTCAAAAGCTTCTGGATGCGGCTTATCGCCATCGGGATACAAACGATCCTCGAGAAAGAGCGCGCATCGAAGAGCGTTATGGTGTCAGATGGTCGCCAATGCTCGAGTTAATCGGATACCAGCACTCGGCGTCGAATCCAGTAGATCCTCTGCACAACTCCTTCCTCGGGATGGCAAAATCGCTAGTCAACATGCTGCTCGCGAACGAGAGTCTCTTCGTCGGAGCAGTCGGGGAGGAAGAGAGGATCGACCGATTCACTGCAACCTACGAACGAGCCAATGTTCCTGGGCATCTTGGTCGCATAGCAAGGAGGATTACGAGACAATTCACCGCTAACCGGAAGAAGGCTGGTAGCGGACTCAAAGCCGATCAGTGGAAACGGGTGGTCCAGATGCTCCCCATCGCCCTATACGTCGCTTGGCGCGAGGAGGAGTCTGATGACATATCCTTCGAGCCCGTGGAACAGGATCCCGACGATGAACCAGCTCCCCCGGTGGATGATCAAGCATTAGGTCGCAGAGGGCGTCGCAAGGCACCTGCTAAGGCGCCTGCCAAGGAACCGTCTACCGACAGACGTAAATGGTACAGTACCATTCTGTCGTTTTGCTCCGGTATTCGGATCTTGCACGCACACTCGATCACGCAGCAGGACGCGGATGACGGAGTACAATATCTATCAAATGCGGCTCAATCGATCATCCAACTCGACGGTCATCTTACGCCCAATTGGCACATCGCCATGCATTACTCTCAGTTTGTCCGCTTATACGGACCCCTGCATGGCTACGGGACATGGCCGTTCGAGAGAAACAACGGCGTCCTCTCCAGAATCAATCACAATTTGAAGCCACACGATGTCCCTTCGACGGTGTTGAGGTCCTGGGGTCTAGAATGGATGCTAGCCTATGTACTAGCGAACCCTCACCCGGAAGCAAGCGAGTTCGAAATCCAGGCTTTGCAAGGCATGCAAGAGAACAAGCAGGCGATCCGAGGTACCCTCATGTTAGATGAAGCTCGCGGAAACAAGGCCAACCGAACGATTAGGCTACCCGATCGCTATCAGCCTCGCCGGATGGTCGATCTGCGCGTCCACGGAGCGTATCAGCCACTCCTGACCTACCTCACAGCCAATCACCCCGAATGCAACCTCGTCGACATTTCCCGTTTAGCCGATCCCCGGCCTTCCCTGCCAGACGGTGGTCAGTGCTACTCGCTTTATACACATGCCATCTTCAACGGATTCAAGTGAGTTTACACCTGCTACACGATAAATGTGCGGTGGTTGACAGCTGTCATTCTCGCCTCCGTCAGGTTTTGTTCAATGCTATACAGCCGGGGCCGAAAAGATCAATTCGCACTGGTAGCTCTCGGGGAGAATGGGGAACGAGAGCTTTGCAGGATTCATCTGATCCTTGGAGTCGATCTGCGCCTGGCCCACGGTCGGCTACGTACCGACCTAGCCTTTGTGGAGCAGTTCGTCCCAGCTACAGCAGGTGTATACCCATGGGAGCTCAAGTAAGTGCATCAGCGACCTGAATGTTACCGATGTCTGCTGACAAAGCGCGCCCTACAGTGCGATTGACTTAGGCATACGTATTTACAAGAACCAGCGGTTGCGAATGCGATTCGTACCCCTGCAAGCGCTGGCAGCGTCGACGATAGTCAGTCGCCTACAGACTTATACTGACGGCGAATGTCTGGTCTCAATGTCGTGCGACACGGTGAGCGGATTACTGCTTGGGCGCTCTTGAGACTGTGCACTATGCTAAGTCTTATCACTGGCATGCCGCAGGATGGTCAAGAACCTGAGTTCTGGCTAGACGCAGATGACGACGACCATTTGGACGAGGCTCTCGATCAGCACGACGGCGCAGAAGACAACGACGAGTAGCAGGTGCAGCCAGGCGAGATCGGTGGAGGTACGCCGTCCTTGTCGGTCAGGCTGGCCTCGCTGACACCAGAGCAAGTACGGACAGATGTCACGCTAGGATAGTATGTTAGACATGTGACATACTATAGACAAATGAGTGAGTCCGCCTGACAGGGACATCTCGTGCGTAAAACCACTAATGCACGGCCGAGCTTGCTAATTGCCGATTACAGTATCAGATACATGAACACTCGTGACCCAAAAATGAAAATCGCTAGATGGCCAGGCAGGACAGTGTCTCCTGGCTCGTGACAAACTGGCGGGCAAGTCTACTTCCAACCGAGCTGTTCGATGACCTTCGGGTCCAACGACAACATCAAATTCGGGAACTGGGTTTCGTCAAAGTCGTTGAAATTCATAGGGTTCTTGTCGTTCGCGGCTTGATCTTGCATGTTGGTCGTAAATTGGTATGGGTTGTAAGTCGAGCCATCAGTCATGACACCACTGTCGTCGTGGTCGGGTTCATACAAGGTGGGTCCCGGTGGCTGTCGCGAAGTCGAATTGTTTTGGAGCTGACGCTGACGAAAGGTGTTGTAATCGTGTTGCAGACTCGTTCGGAAGGGATCCTGGCTAGGCTGATATGCTGTTTGCGATTGAGTGTAAGTCCCTGTGGGGAACTGTGATTCCTGGAAGCTCTCGCCCTGATTCATCCCGTCCTCCTGCTCGTTGTCCTCCTGTTCCGGCTCCTCGTCTTCATCAAATCCGCCCGGAGGGATGACAAGCCCGGTGTTCTCGGGGGTACGTGACATCTGACTGGAGCTTGCAGCAGTCGTCGTATTGAGTCGTCTCTTTTTGTTCTTGAAAGCGGCCATCTGACTATCACGATCGTCCTCATCCACCGGTTGGAGCGAGGGTGTGTGGCTGACTGATCGACTGCGGTTGCGTCCAGTCTCCATGCCCGAGGAGTCTTGAGATAGACCGCGCTTGGCACCCGCCTTCCGTCCGCCCTTCCCCCTGATCCTCCAAGGATGGTTCTGGACCCATTCGCTATTCTTCACCTCCTCGATGTCGGTCGGCTGGTCGAAGGGCGCGATCTGATCCTTCAACTCGGGATGGGCGATCAACCAGGCTCGACGAAACATCCAGCGCTGGGGAGCTAGATGCAAGAACTCCCAATCCGAAGGGAGGTATGGAACGGCCTCCTCTACCTCTACAGTATCGTCGGGTTCGCTGATAACTGCGCCCCGCGTGTATCCCTTGGTCGTAGGCGTCTTCGCATCCCAGATGGCATCCCAAGCGGCCAGCATGGCGGGACTGTAAACGGTGTCTTTCACCGGCCAGTAGTAAGCCAGTTTGTCGTCTGGCTGCTTCCGGCACATCAGAGGAATTGCTGCGTATTGACTGTCCATCCCGCTCCACTCTGGCCCGCTGTATGTCTCGACGAGTGGCCTCCTCTGCTGGATTCGCTTGCTTATCTGCCGGATGCGAGGGGATACAGCGTGAGCATTATCGTTTGGGATTGGACGACTAAATAGCAGGTGCTCACCCCTTGGGCTTTCGATCGTACGTTCCCCCTCACATCTTCTTCTGCATCCGCCGCCTTCTTGTCGGTGACCTTGACGAAACTCTTCTTCTCTTTGATCCTCGATTTGATGTCGTCGTACCCGGCTTCCCCTGCGGTAAGCAACTCTTTCTCGAGCTCCGCTATCTCCGCCATAACCTTCTCACGCCCGACGGTTCCCCATTCCTTGAGCATCTCGCGATGGAACGCATTCCTCAGCTGCTTGAAGAAATTCGTAATGGCGGCATTGTAAAGGTTGGTCGCTTCCTTATACTGCGGAACCGATTCGAGAGGGATGTCGTTCGGAAGGGCAACAGATGAGCGCTGGTTCCTGGAGTACGCATTCGGAGAAATCGGTTAGTGCTGTGATGTGGCTGAATTGCGTCTCCTTCGCACCGGCTACGACTCACTTCAGGATGTTGACGAGCTTGTTTGTCTCCCGACTATTGTGATCAGCAGTCAGAGCAGCGTCCAAATCCCATCGCATCGCCGGATCCCCCTCGCCCTCAACCTCTCCCAACGTCGGCCAAGCGTCATCTCGTGGGTACTTCAACGCATCGCTCGATCCCGGACGACATCCATACGCCAGCTCGGCCGCCGCTCTGACCATCCTCCCACATGCGACTTTATCCTTTTCTACCTTAGCTGCCTCATCATCCAAAGCCGGCTGTGCGACATTGGTAGGTGCGGTTTCGAAATCAGCCAAACGCTCTTCCAGAACCCTGACTCGACTCTTGAGTTCCTGGACCTTTGCAGGCAACGGTTTCAGCGTGGCGAGCTCTTCGCAGAGCCTGGCCACGGTGGCCGTCATTCCTGCCAGCTGACTCGTGATGAAGGTGAGCTGACGAGCTGTTGATCCTTGGTTCATACTTGTCGTCGGCGATCGGATATTTGGAGAGGGCATGAGTCGATCACGAGACTGGGATTCGGGTCTGGATTTGGATGTCGAGGCAAGTCTTTCGGGTTGTTGCGAGGAGGTATTGAAAGAGGGTTGCCTTCGAACAGCGACCGGGGTTTCATCATCTTCGAAGTCTTGTGGGCGTCCCGCTGTCCGGCGAGGAGGGAGAGGGGTTCCTTGGTGAGTGGATTGGGTAGATTGAAAGGGTGTCTTGTACTGATTGCGTTGAGCCGACGATAACATCTGCTCTTGCCTTTCACGGCTGGGTTGTTTCGGGGTAGCTCCAGGAGCAGGCGAGTTGGTCCTGCTAGGGCCGCCAGGACGGGTGTCGGCGAACCTCGGTAAGCCGCGATGGGCATTGGCACTCATGATTGAGTATGGGTATAATACGCAGTATGACAGGAGTTATGAAACCGATTATCTGAAGGCAAGGCGGTGAGAAAGTAAGCTTATCGGTAGATCGATCGGGGTTTGCGGCCTCATCAAAGGACTTACCTTATACCTGATCGTGCTAGAACGTAGAACCTCAGTTCCTGATACCGATGGGCCCGGCCCCGACGATCCTCGACGAGAACACGACGATCGAGGATCACTCGAACCTAGCTCTAAGTGGACAGATAGCGTCAAAAGGTATCACTCGGGCGTCGTGTAGTCGTGGGAGATCGGAGTCGACTGTGAGTTCGGATATTCCTTTGCGTGTTTACGATCAAAGGTCGAAGGTCGGTCAAGCCCGCACAAAGGCGGACATGTATGCAATCTATGTCCGCAATATCTATTTTTGCCCGATTCGGGCGATTTCCATGATTTGCCTCCGGAGCTGCTTCCGGTGTATATACCGCGTCTGTTCCGTATCTATGCCCCTATATATGCACTATCTATGCCCTGTCTGTACCGTGTTCATGCACTATCTATGGCATGTCGGACCCGATATCTATGCCGTGTCTATGCCGGCATGAATTGCCACGTGAATTTATGCCGGCATAAACCCCTTCCGTATTGGAACTTAGTGCCGCGTCTATGACGTGGCATAGATTCTTCTAGAATCGGTATATATTGGACACAATCGATGCATAAATTCTCAATTTATACCATGTTTATGCCGAACGGAAGAGTGCTATGTTACGCAGTGCGTGTGACGAATACACAGAGAGACTCAAGGTGTAGCCATTATCGACCCATTCACTTACCTATCGTATATCCTCCTATCCATCGATAGCTGCATTCACATAGATAGATAGATCCCAATTCTTAGCACAGGATAGTTCCAGACTCGCAGGTAAAGAGACCCGTCTGATCGTTAGCCTTAGAAAAGCGATCCGCGATCAGCTAACATTACCTGTTCCTCAACTGCAGGACTCTTTCTGCAAGGATGATCCTCTCAACATGGCTAGCAGCCTTAGCCATCATCGCGGCTCCCCTGCAGGTCATGGCAGCCAAGAACCACGACTTTAAACTATGCCAGCAACAATCGTTCTGTCGTCGACTTCGAGGGATCGCCGATCGAGCTTCCAAGGACGAAGGCTTCACCTCGCCTTATTCCCTCTTACCACCGGTCCCTAACAAGGGGGGCAGCGATGGAGCTTCTTGGACATTTCCGATGAAGACTTCCCTCTACAAAGATGTCGACTTTGAACTCCAACTGGATATCTTGGAACAGGGGGATGGGATCGCTCGGATCAGGGTGGACGAAGTGAACTCCAACCTCTCTTGGAAGAGGTATAACGAGACATCTAAATGGGCCCTTTTGGAGGCAGAACCCGCTCGAGCCGACCTGAGCAGCGTCACCGAAAAGACTTCTCAGGGTGGAAAAGTTACTACATTCGTCTACGGCGCTTCCGGAGATCTTTCGTTGGAGATCCGACATGAGCCTCTGCTTATCACCTTCAAACAGGGCGGGGAGACGGTCATGATCATCAATGACCGAAACCTCTTTCACATGGAACATTTCCGTCGTCGCGAGGATTTCTTCTTCGAGGAGAACAACGAGAACGATACTATTGAAAGTGCAGTGGAAGGAGCCGAGGGAGATCAGGTCGTCCTGAGTTCCACTGGAAAGGAGAAGGAAAAGGTGGATACCACATGGTTCGAGGGAGAGCCGGATAAGGATGCTTTTGAGGAAAGGTGGAAGACGTGGGCGGATGCCAAGCCGAAAGGTAAGCCTTGCATTCCTAGTATACAAATCCAATAGAACCAGGTTGATCTGATAATATCGATATTCTGTTCTATCGCGTTGTAGGCCCCGAGGGATTCTCCGTCGACATCACTTTCCCCGGTACCGAGCACATCTACGGTCTCGCCGAACACGCTTCACCCCTCTCGCTCCGCTCGACAGACGGTTCGGCCGAAGGGACCTTCTCCGAGCCTTACCGTCTCTATAACGTCGACATCTTCGAGTACGAAGCCGACTCCCCCATGTCTCTCTATGGCAATATCCCCATGGTCCACGCTCAGACCTCCAAGCACTCTGTCGGAGTACTCAACCTCGTCGGCTCCGAAACGCTCGTCGACGTCAAACACCCCAAGTCTGGCGTTCAGACGCAGTGGATGTCGGAATCGGGGATCATGGACCTGTTCATCCTCCCCGGCCCCAAACCCAAGGATCTTTTCCGGCAATACGCTGGATTGACAGGATACACTCCTATTCCGCCTCTCTGGTCGATCGCTTATCACCAGTGTCGATGGAACTACCTCGACCAGCACGACGTGCTCGATGTGAACAGGAGGTTTGACGAGGAGGATATCCCGTTGGACGTCACTTGGTTGGATATCGAGTACGCGGCCGAGCACAAGTACTTTGATTGGGACAAGAAGCAGTTCCCGGACCCTGTCAAGATGCAAAACGAGGTCGGAGCATTGGGACGTAAGGTGAGCAGGTCTGTGTTCGGAACGTTTCCCCTCAGATTCCGATCGGCTGAACCCTCTGTTCTTGCCCTTATTGTCCTTTCTGTCAAAGATGGTCGCGATCGTCGACCCCCACATCAAGAAATCGGACAACTTCCGAGTCTACAAGGACGCCACTGAAAAGGACATTATCACCAAGCGAAACGACAAGACGAGCAACTTCGAGGGATGGTGTTGGACCGGAAGTAGCGTCTGGGTCGACTTTTTCAACCCAAAAAGTTGGGATTGGTGGACCGAGATGTTTTCGTTCAAGGTTTGGGAGGTGAGTCCAGGATGACTTTCGACCGCGGACGTTGGGTTGGATCGTTGTTTCATGGCTCATCGTACTTTCTTTGCACGGCTAGGACTCGACCAAATTCCTTTACATCTGGAACGACATGAACGAGGTATGTTAGCCGTGGAGGGCATTTCAAGTCCGTCATCCGCTGATCAAGATTTTTGCCTTTTAGCCATCCGTTTTCGACGGACCCGAAATCAGTATGCCTCGAGACAACGTACACTACGGAGGTTGGGAACATCGTGACGTGCACAACATCAACGGCGCCACTTTCGTGAGCGCCAATAGCCCTCAGTACCCAAAGTCATCGCTAAGACTCGTTCGCTCTCGACTTTCTAGCAAAAAGCTACTTTCGACGCCTTGTTGGAGCGAGAGAGCCCCAAGAAGCGACCTTTCGTCTTGTCCCGCAGTTTCTTCCCTGGATCTCAGCGTTATGGCGCTATCTGGTGAGCACTAACTCGTTACGATATTCATCTTCTTTCGTACTGACATTGTCTTGCGCAGGACGGGTGATAACATGGGTACCTGGGGTGGGTCTAGACTCGGGCCGCTCGATTGAGACCGATTCACTGACGCTAGCTCTGGTCGTCTTTCAGAGCACATGGCCGGACAGACCGCGATGCTTTTGTCCCTTAACATTTGTGGCATGACGTTCGCTGGAGGTGAGCTGGCAGCGAGAATCGCCGGATCGTGCATGCTTTAACGCGACCTTGTCTGTGCAGCCGATGTCGGTGGTTTCTTCGGTAATCCAAGCGTCGAGATGCTCATTCGATGGTACCAAGCCGGAGCTTTCATGCCCTTCTTCCGTGCCCACGCTCACATTGACACGAAGCGTCGAGAGCCGTACCTCTTTGATGAACCGTACAAGGGGATCATGAGGGATACCATCCGGCTCAGATATCAGATGTTGCCGGTTTGGTACACCGCTTTCCACGAAGCAAGCTTGTCGGGGGCGCCTACGATGAGGTCAGCGAGCGGACCTTACTGGACGTAGTGGGGAATAATTAACTAAAAGCCCATCTTCTGCAGGCCTCAATACGCAATGTTCCCTGAGGATTCTCTCGGATTCGCAATTGACGACCAGTACTATGTCGGTGACAGCGGGCTATTGGTGAAGCCCGTCACTGCTGCCGGCGTCGAGGACACGGTCGTCTATCTCTCTGACAACCAGGTCAGTTCCGCTTGATAGCTAGACAGTGCGATCAAAACATTTTGCTGAAACGATCACGCCCATTTGCAGCCTTACTACAACTACTTCTCCCACCGCGTCTACCCTGCCTCGAAGCGCTCGAGACACGTCAAGGTTCCTGCTCCACTCGAAACCTTCCCTGTCTTGCTACAGGGGGGCTCCATCCTGCCCATCCGAGCCCGGGCTCGAAAGGCTTCGACCTTGATGTGGCGGGACCCATTCACGCTCATCGTGGCCGTCGGTGCGGATGGCAACGCAAGCGGAAGGCTATATGTCGACGACGGAGATTCTTACGACTATGAGAGCGGCCAATTTGTGTGGCGAGAGTTCAAGCTCGACGGGTCGGGTAAAAGTTCGACCTTGTCCAACCACAATTTGGCGACTGGAGGTCAGGCCGCCGGCGACTTGGTCAAGTTCTCGCCCTCGAGCGGTCCTTGGGCTGAAGGCATCTCGACAGTCCAGGTCGAGCAGATCGTGGTCCTCGGATTGAAGAGCAAACCGACCTCTGTCCAGGCCAGCGGTAGCGATCTCGAATGGTCATGGGTAGCTGGGTCATCCGCATCGACGGGTAGCGAGGGCGATGCCAGCAAATTGACAATCAAGAATCCCAAGCTCAAGATCGTCGATGACTGGAGCATTACGTTGTGACCCGTTCCCGTCTATGCAAAGGATCATTCCATACCTCAGGGAGCTTGGACATCAATAAAAATCACTCGCTTGATGTAAATGATACGCCAAAGACCAAAGTGTAAGATGGAATGATACGCCCGATCAAATGTACCAGTAGCCATCAACAGCTTTACAAACAGAAGTCCGGTACCAGTCATCAGGTGGCAAAAGTATAGGTGAACTCGAAGGGATAAGTTTTGGCTGCCCCGCCGGATCAAGTAACAACCCCACCTGGTCAGATCGCTTGTCATCGGGAGAATCAACTTATTACACTCACCCTCTGGGTTAGGATGATCACCCAACCTGACAATTGACATTTCCCCTTCCTCGGAGGACTGCCATGGAGCAGTTGTTTGGGACCAGACTTTATTATAAAGCGCGCAATTAGGCGCCTTGTGGTAAGGCTTCTGACTGGGATGGCCGTCTTTCCATTGGAACGATTTACAAGCTGGTCGTGATCATGGGGGATATGATAAGAGTTGGAAACGGTCTGATCATAAGGACAAGGAGCAGATCGATGGATAGGCACTGACCGGTATTCTGGACGCACAACGCCATGCAGCTGGAAATGCCAGTGACGTTTGGGGACTCGTGAATTGCCAACTACAGTAAGGTCCGATAAGTGTGAAGAAGGCGTCATCATTGGTAAGCTTGACGGATTATCACACTTGGGCATGAGTATGCCCTGTGAGCAAGGAGTAAGGGAGGACCTACGGGCGCCAGGATTCCGCGAGAGTCTGTCCACGTGCCCCGGGTATTATTTTGAACGGTGAAGACTTGCATATCTCGTTTTTCCAATGACGCCACAGGAGTAGCTGGCGTCCAAGTCAATTCGATTGCGTAGCTCGGCGCTGTTATCGTATACGAGAGAAGAAACCCGGGTCATCAGGCCATGATCGTCACAGCGGAAGGGACATTAGATTCGCTCACATTTTGGGTTTGGGTTAGGGAAATCGCCCAACCTGGCCATCAAGCATTCCCCATCTGGTGCCTCGGGGTCCATTGGTCCAACACTCTGCATATTCAACTCTTTGTAAAGTTTGCATGTGGGTAATTGCGACTCCTGGGTCGCAGACCCGGCAGTGGGATGACCGCCCGTCCACTGCAACATTTCACAGGCTGATTGCGATTATGATAAAGAAGCCAGGTGTGTTATTTGTTAGCATGTTACAGACACCAGCTGTCGCGGACAGAAACTGACCAGTGTTCTGGGCACACTCGAGCAAGCAGGCAGAAAACTCCTTGTAGTCGACAGATTTAAAGCTTTTGTACTGGGAAGTTGATCATGGGAGTTGTGCGGAGAAGCGCATTAGAGTGGATTTTTTGTTGTAAGTTGAGGCTCGTCGTCTAGCAGAAGGACATACTGGTTCAGTGGTGTGCCGACCATATGAATCCTCCACAGCCCACTCCCCCAAAGTATCGGGCTGTACGGTGAAGACCGTCATAAGTCGCTTTTCCAGTGTCGCGATGGGACTAGCATGCGCCATGAGACTGATCAAAGCCACGACGACTGTGAAGCTGAGCATAGGCCGTAACATTGTGCTTAAAATTGTAGATTGCCTGGTTGATGACGTTCTCGAAAGCTTGACGGTTAGGTAAACGAGATGCAGAATGGCTCTGCCTATTCCTAGTTGTTGTTTGATCTGAAGAGAATCACGTACAGGCTACTGGATGCATGATCGATGTCCCAAGCGTCTTATCAGTTCAACAAGCGCGTGGGTATTGGAGAGCTGTGGTTTCAAAATGGACGGGGCGCGGTCGTTCCCTTGAACGTGATCCCTGGGCCCCCTGACTCCACCCAATGAACTGTTTCGGTAATGCATAAACAGGGAGGCAAGGGCAAAGGTTGGAAGTAAGAAAGTTGTAAGCCTGATACGGCTATGCAGGTTTTCAGGGTGTTTCAGCTTTTGCCCCCCCGAGAACAGAGATCTGATAGAGCGCCGACGACGATCACGATGGAACGTGATGGAAAGAACCCGAAAGAAACGATCTGAAACGCGATGACGAATCTCTGTCGTCCAGGGCGGCTGGAACGGGAAATGGCTCGCGCGCGCACGCGTGTCCGCAGGCGGAAGTCACTGAAGTACGTCATTGTTGATCGATGTCGTCATCGACTCGTGGCCGGCGATAGGCCCAGGGCAGGGGTGAGCGAGCGTGATCGATGATGATGATTCCAAAGTGGGAACCTGCCATCCCCCGACCTCTCCGACTAGCCGACTACATATACCATCGACCTGGTCTACCTCAAAAGTTGAACGACATCTACATCATCGCGACCCCCTTTTCCTTCCACAACAAACAAACGCACTATCTGAATCACCCAACAAAAAATCTAATCGTGAGTCCGTGTACGGGGTATGCTTGGAGGTAGTTGGCTGGGCATTATGGCTAACCCGACGACTGCGTATCCGTCTTTTCTTTCCGACTGCCGCCTCACCTTGAACAACACAGTATCTACCTATAAACATGTCTCACAACGAACACGCTGCTGGAGGTCTCGAGGGATTGAACCTCGGTGCACCCGTGAGTGGAACTCCAAACGAGCAAATCGAACGGGATATCGTACTGATTACCTTGCCTTCCCACTCGACGTTCAGATCGGAGGTGGAGTCTCGACCACTCCCGCTCACGGACTCGGTTCTTCCACCACCACCTCGACCTCGACCACCGGTATCAACTCTGGTTTGACCTCGGGATCGCACCACCACACTACCGACCGTGATCACCTCGACCGAACCGGTGACGCCCACCGAACCTCGACCGGTGCCGCCGCTGCCAACGTCACCAAGCCCGGTTACGACCTCGATGCCAAGAACACCACTTCAGGCGAGCGAGGTATTGGAGGTGGACACGGAGGCCCTACGGCCTTCGAGTCGAACCCCGAGCGAGTCGGTACCGACCGAAAGCACGATGGACCTAGGGACCACTCCCTCGGTGGTCTGACCGGAAGCACCGTCGAGGAAGTTCAGAGGCAGGGACCTGGTGTCGTCAGGTCGGGTGACCACGACTTGCACGGAAAGGAGACCCGAGGGAACACCTTTGGCGAGCTCGACAAGACTGGTTCTCACGGACACCACGACCGAGACCACACTCACGACTCCAGGACCGGATCCAACGTTCCCGTTGTCGGATCGCACGGCCGTGACCACGAGTCGAGGACCGGGTCCAACATTCCCGTCGTCGGAACTCACGACAGGACCGGATCCAACGTTCCCGTCGTCGGTGGAGGTGTCCCCCACGGTGAGCACCACTCTCACCACACCGGTGCTGGTGTCGCTGCCGGTGGACTCGCCGCCGGAGCCGGTGCCGCCGCTTTGGGTGCTGGAGGTGTCGGAGGTGCCAAGCCTTCGACCTACGAGGGTGTCGTCGGTGACAGCGTGACCGGACAGCAGCACTTCAAGGGCGGTGCTGCTGGTCTCGCCGGTGTCGGTGCCGGTCACAGGGAACCCGTCGGCGTCGTCCCCGTCGTCCCCGTTGCCGCTACCGGTGTTTCTCCGGCTACCTTGTCGCGAGAGGAGAAGCCTCACCACAAGGAGGAGACTGGCTTGGTCGCCGAGTTGAAGCAGGAGTTGAAGGACCACCAGAAGTGTGAGTCGCCGCGTTGGAATCCTATACTGTCGCTCCATACGATTTCTGACAATGCCTTTCCCGACGGGATGTTCTGTTCTCACAACAGCGGGTGGATACTCGGACGCCTCGAAGCACCCCGAGTCGGATGGTCCTCACGGTCTCGTCTGGCACAACGGCAAGTACGTGCACAAGCGAGAGTTGGACAACCACGGATCGACCGGTGTTCCCCTCAAGTAGACGTACCGTAGAGACTATTCTACTAGTATTACAACTTTAATGAACGTGTAGCTTGTTTGTCTTTCGAGCCTCTTTTCGTGTATCCCTTCTTTGCGGCATTTCGATGCGAGTGAAATAATAATCAATTTCGAATCGGATGAGTGTGGCCTGGCGGTTATCCTCCTATCTTACGCATCGAGAACGTGTGAGGAGTGGTTCAAGCTGACACTGAGCTGTGCGAGCGACAGGAGGCAGGATCAACATAGAGATCCTCGAGATGCAGCGTTCAATTTCGTGTGTATAGGGTGGCAGTTCGATCACGTGAGGGTTTCAATTACGTACATTGATTACGAAAGGCGACGTGTATAGAGGGCACGGGGGGGGCCATGCCCGACCGGATCACTTGGTCGACCACCATACCGAGTACAAGTACAAGTACAAGTGTTCACCGCATTCTTATGGATATCATTGACCTCATCGCCACTACTGCACGACCACAACTACAAGAATACGAAGAGCTGAACAATATACACGACCTCGAAACGTTGTAACAAGAAAAACGAACACAGGGCGTCATGCCAAACAACCAACCCCCACCCCCATCTTCCGATGACTACCCAGCGATGGACATCGGTTCGGAAGATATCGCTCAAATAGACAACGCCAACGACAATAATGTCGATAACGAACACGATGACGACGATGAACTGTTCACTATTCGAAATCGAAATCGAGCTGGAGGATCACGAGGCAGGGCTAATAACCAGGCTGGGGGAGGATCTAGGTCGGGAGTTACGGAGAGTATCGATCTGACGAGGGGGGTGACTTATCAGGGTCCGGCCGAAAGTTCCAGCATGCGCGCATGGGAGGAGAGGCAAAGGGAGAGCATAAGGAGGAGAGAGCACGGGCGGAGGCAGAGAGCTGCCGCCTTACGGCTTTGGGGGGACGAAACTGGACCGATTCAGGCTACAGGTACTGGCCGCGATGGAGAGCGGGACAGGTTCTTGAACGCCAGCACGGACGATGAGGAGCGAGAACTCGATAGACAGCTCAATGCTAGGATCGGGAGCCCGGATGACTCGGAGCGTTCGGCTACGCCTATACCTGATCCTGCACCTGCTGCTGGGCCTAGCCGTAGACGTCAAGCGTTACCCAACCGTGCCGGGAGGAACCGGGCGGGTGCACCTGCAGAAGACAATTTGCAGGCTCTCATCAGCGGGTATAACGCTTCTCGTCAGTTTGAACGGAGGACGGCATCATGACTCCATGCTCAAGATGCTCATACTCACTTCGAATCTTGTCTCTAGGACCTCTGACCTCGACAAGATCCATCGTCCCGGACCCCACGTCCGATCGAGCAGAACCCTCCGCCTCGAGCTCCCGACAGAGACCTTCGAGAGGAAATAGGGTGAATTACGAGGAATCCTCGAACGAAGAAGAGGACCCAGAGTTCATCCCCGGTCCACGGGGAAATGATTTAGGTAGTGGCATCGGTAGACCGGCGGAGGATGGCGTCGATATCAATCAGTTGAGCACGATATCACGCCTACCTCGACGGATCGTAGCTGCTGCCAGACGTGAGCCCGCGGTCGTCAGGAGTGCGGCGAGGGAAGACGCCGAGAGGAGAGCTGCTGAGAGGAGGAGAGCTGAACAAGGGACGGCCACGGCAGAACAGAGGGTGCAGGATTGGAGGAGAGATCTGGACGGGGTAGCTGGACAGGCGAGCAATGGGAACGGTAGAGCAGGCAGTGGTAACCGAGGTCAGTCCTGCCCGTAGAACTTCAAATGAACTCAAAGCGCAAAAGTCTGACTGACCCTCGGTTCGCTCCCGATCTATCGTACCGGTTTGATAGCAGCGGCTGGTGGAGGGTCTGATCGCGAAGGAGTGGCGGAAGCTGCCCCACGAAGCACTCGCTTATCATTGCGGGATCTCGTCGATGCCCATCCTCGTAGAGTCGATCCCCCTTCAGTGCGATTCGCTGTAGACGATGGCGCTCCTCGATCGGCATTACCGGACAGGGCTGACAGGCCCATCGACCTTGCCATTCCTCCGATGGTGGACCCTGAAGACCTCCTTTTGCGGATGGGCAGGCCGGGACCGGGTCCTCGAGCTGCCAGGGCCGGTCATTTCGCCTCTGCGGAAGAGGAACGAGAAGCACAGGAGGCGTTCAGGATCTCGAGGGATCTCGATCGACAAGAAGCTGCAGCGGCAGCGGCGGCTGCGCGACAGGCGGCCGTACCTCCTCGAGGTGGTCTGGGGCCAGGAGGCGCTGAAGCGTACGGGCTCGAGGCGAGGATGGCAGGAGCTGCCCACAGGGCGGGCTGGTTGGGATTACCGTTTGGCGCTGAAGGGATCATGGGGGGCCTGATTGGCGGAGGGTTAGGCCTTGGTATGATGATGCCCGGTATGTTTGGGATGGGATACCGTGGCGGTCAACAAGGACCGAGCATCGAGGACATGTGGAAGGGCGTCAACTACGCCGGGCATCGCGATCAGCCTCGATCCGGTTATGCATTCGACTTTGATCGGGAGAACAACGAGGCTGGAGCCGGACCGTCCGATATTATCCGTCTGGACCATGATGAGGACAGTCCGTGGACTCAGGGTCTCGACCAGGACGCCGAGAGGAAATACCACAAGTCTCACCTCGTATGTGCCGCGTGCAAAGCACCGCTCAGGGTCAGCGAAGGGATGAGGAATGAAGACGACAGAGTGTTTGCACTGAGATGTGGGCATGTGGTGGATTCCAAATGCTTCGAAAAGATCTCGAAACCGCCGATAGACATCATTCCGGACGAAGTGCTTGGAGAAGATCACCCTGGGAAGACGAATGGGCATGACGCAGCGTCGATAACCGGAGAGGGTGAAGAGTCGATCACGGCGACCGGATCGAAACGGAAAAGTAAAGCCGCTGCTTCCTCTGCCGCACCTGCAGCGAAAAAGGCCACCAGAGGACGATCTGCCAAGGCCGCGCCGGAAGAATACACGTGGTCTTGTCCAGTAGGAGATCGGTGTGGCGCAACGTACAAGAGTCTGAAACGGGGCGGGATCTGGATGCCCGATCCGATGGCGGCCACCCAACTGTTTGTTTGAGCGATGATTAGTTGATGTCAGTACGAAACTTTGACGATCTTGTTGATGATATAATGCCAGTCGTGGTCAATCATCCTGGGTAATACATATAGTTGGAGGATGGTCTGAGTTTCTTTTCGATGTTGGTGTTCGACAGCATTGTGATTGAGGTCTTTGGGTATGGTCAACCCGTGTCTGTACTGTCTCGTCGAGCTTGCCGCGCCGCAATTTGACATCAATCAGCCAGTGGCTTGAAGAGTCTTGCGGCTCTGCCATCATAGGGCCTCATAACCGTTGCTTGACATAGCCACCCTTTGCTCAATCCAGAGAACCGGTTTCGGAATGAGCGTCTATTTTTACGTCTTCAGTAATCAAAAGGAATGCGCAGAAACCCCGAACAAAGCAATGATGAAACAAGGGCTACCAGGGAATGCTATTCTCGACCGGAAACCGCCGATGACCCTCAGCCTTATAAGACTTGAACCACACCAGCCAGACTTGAAGGTATATGCTTCTCAGCTGGACTCCTTCAATCGTGTTCTGTATCAAACAAAGCCCGTGCCGAATGGATAATAGGATGAGAGTCATGTTCGCGTTGCTAGCGATTACCGCCTTATCAATGCGGAACGTCCAAGCCATAGGTGGAGAACATTTCTGCGAGGGTTTTGGGCAAGACCGAGAGAAGGTTTTATGGGCTAGCTTGAAGTCCGCTGACGCCGAATGGGAGCTCGATCCGGTAGGTTTCTGCTTTGCGTGTCTCTTGATCGCGCCATGTTGAATCTTGCGAAGTTTCAGATCGGCTCTCTCCATGACGAGAGAAGTGCAGAAGACTGTGCTAGAGCTTGTCACGAGACCTCAAGTATGTGGCCCTTACAGATCTTTCTATATAGGTCCTAACAATGTCCCGCTCCGTTAGCTTGCATTGCCGCCGCATGGACGCCATCAGAGCCTGAGACAGGGGCCTGTAAGCTGTACAACGAATATCCGTCCGAACTCCGAACTCTCCCTATGATCGGAACGGTTGGCGAGGAGCGGATTATACTTCGGGGGGAATGTCACGAGCGTAAAGCCCCAGTTCATCGGAGTCGTAGGTCTTCCGCGATCGTTGCCTGGATTGATACACAAGATGATGACATATGAATACACACAGCACCTTGTTGTCAGATGACACTGTAGCTAGAACGCTCAGTTTGTGGTCGCTCACGTCTATCAAGTACCAGCGGACTTTCAAGCGAGTGGAATGGTGAAACGTATCCCTCGATGCTTCTCTTCCATGTACCATGAGCCGGCGTATCTTGATCATATCCATGTCCGCTTTCTGTTCGACAGGGCGTTGGAAAAAAGTGCTTCGAAGCCTGACGCTGACGACGGTAATTCCACCAAGTCCCGTCTTAGGTCAGACTGGCAAACTTTCGCAAGGATCGCAAGTCACATCGTGTTTCACATGTCACGTACTATCCTAAGGCATACTCGGTTGTTTAGCAAGCATCCTACAAGTAGCTACGATTCCTTTCATCTCCTCCTTGAACCCCCGTGAGCCCCTGAGTTTCAGAAATGATTGTTCGTAAAGAGGGTCGCAAGCTAGCCAGCTATAAAAAGTCCTGCAATCTCTGATCAGGGAAGGTCACATGCCGTGCTATATGATCATAATCAGACCACCCAGAACAAAAACGAACGATCGAACCTGACTGACTGACATCAATAGACACAATCATGAAGCTCATCTCAGTCAACGCCGCTTACCTCTTGGGCGGTATCCTCATGGCAAAGAGTGCAGTCGCGCTGACGGAGCGGCAGTTGGCCGCTACAGCACCCAATTTAAACTACTGTCCGGGTAGCGTCAAACAGAAGAACCCCACTCACAAAGGCGATTTTTTCGCTCTGTGGAACCAGACTGACGCATCCTGGAATGTTCCGGCGGTGAGTTCGCTTACCTACACGAATAGTTCCTTTCAAACCCTGATCCATCACCTATACCTTTACGAAATCAGTTTGCAGCGGTCTCTGCGGACAATATCGCTGACTGCCTGGACATCTGTAACAACCGCGGCGGTGAGCATATCAGGATTTCGCCATGTCCTCGCAAGAAGACCTAGACTTACATACTGCTGAATGTCGGACATATATGCAGGATGCGCCACCGCCGGTTTCCAAGATGAAAAGAAGAATTGCGACCTGTACAATCAGGCGGTCGCCGGGTTTGAACTAAATGCTGAGCGAAAAGCATTCGCGTCCGAAGGCATGTGCAACGAGAATAACGCAGGGATCAAAGAAGCTGCAGCGTCTGGAGGCCAGGGAATGCCCAGCGGCTGTTGCCTTTGGTTCATCCCACAATCTCAGTGAAATTCCTGAACATGAAGCGCTACTCTGTATCAGTTATACCTGAGCCGATCTCGTAGCCACAATATATCGCTAAAATGGTTGAACTGTACTTACCAGCTTGCCGTCTTGGACCAATGTCAAAAGAAAAAGACCCGCGACCTCTGTTGACCTCTTGCGATACTACTTGCGAAAGAAAGCAAAACTTCGGAAGTTGCCAGTTGAATTTTCCCCTTGAGGGATTTCTTGCCAGATCGATCGGAATCTAGGTGTGTTTTGCTCACTCCTGAATGTTTTAGAGTACTATGCAGGGGGTTTTCATAAAGGGGCGGATTGACTGACATGAATAAACCGTTTCAAGACAAAGGGGCCGAGGGGGGGGAGGAGAGGGGGGGACTAACGATACTAGGCTATCATAAATACCCAGCACAAAGCCTCATTGTGATACAGTAGATCTCATCTACAATCACTAGGTCGAGCCACACATCTCACATCGGTACAGTAGCTGACCTAGACCAATGCTTGCACCAACCTTCTTTATCGCTACGATGGCCGCTGGCTGGGCTGCGGCTCGTTCAAGCAGCGACGCTCGACAAGAGCCCTTGTCGGTTGCGTATGCCTCTTGGCGCGATGCAACAGCGGACCCTAATCTTTCCGTAAGCCGTCCATTCCATCTCAGACCTGGAGACTCTGCGGAGATGTTCTCATCATCTCCTTGTGTGCGTTATCTCAACCGCCTGGACTTGCAGCCTTACTACAGTAAGGCAGCCGAGACCGATTTGGTATGCGCCAACTCGTGTCATGCGGATCAGGAAAGATGCAAGAGTTTTCTGTTTCATGATGGCGAATGCCATCACTACAACTACAAGTTCGATGAGATCAAGGGAGAGGGGGATACTGTGGCCATCAAAGGGACCTGCGAAGAGGTTCAAGCTTCAGGGGTAACCAGTGAGTTGGCATAGCGTAAAGGTCGAGATACTATACCGAATGCTTTTGCTAAACGTATGTCTTCGATAGACGAGAGCAAATGGATGTGTTGCGATATCTATTACCCTGAGCCCTCGGATTAATAGCTCAATGACAGGAATGGCGTTCAGGCCATCATTAAGCAATTTGCACTCGTTCGCTGCCTTTGTTCGCCTGTAGCCCGATCCCTTCTTCTTTCCCCTGCTGTAGCAAGTACTTGAGCATACTATATATAGACAGCATTTGATTTCCCATTGTATCGACAATTTTTACTCCTTCAAAAAAGCTACAATGCTCAATCCCGCCCGTAGAACTATACAAGATCCTCGACCGCTGGTAGAACGAGATGATAGCCACGACCCAGAGCCGAGCATGACCTCGCTGGAACGGAAAACCTCGTCCCTGACATGTTGGCCCAAGGTCCCATAAAATACCCGCTCTCGGCGTCATCTGAGCAGATTTGACGGGGGGTGGTGCTTGGTAAGTCAAGCCCTCCCATAAACCATGTTGATCCATGAGTGATTCGAGGCATGGGCGCTTTTGCCGCAGGGTTGCGCCACCGGAATCTTTTTACGTAATTTGCTTCCTGCGATCCCGAGAACGGGATTTTCGAAGATCTCTACTTCATCGACTCGAATGTGCAGACAACTCTTTCCAGGACAACGCTCAACTGCTACAAAGCTTTCCAGATCAAGCCCATCATGTCTTCCACTACGAATAGCCCTACACCTGAGGAGGTCGAGGACGTTCTTTTGTCCTGCCGATACGGCGATCTCGAGGATGTTCAAGCGTTCGTCGAGAAATTCGGAGACGAGCCTCTGAAATCTGCTCGAGACGATCGAGGCAACAATGTCATTCACATGTGTTGCGGAAATGGTCACACCGGTGAGTCTTGTCACTCGTGGAAGAATCAGGAGTCTACCTAAGCTGATCCGCTTCGAATGACAGAGGTGCTACAATACCTGTTGCCCCATGTCCCATCTTCCCTTCTCATGGCCGTCAACGACAACAAGTCTCCTCCCTTGCACTGGGCCATCCTGAACAACCAGGTCGAATGCACCAAGCTCCTGGCTCAACTGCCGGAGGAACAGGGGGGCGGGTTGCCCATGTTGGAGGTGAGCCTGCAGCCGAGGATCAACGACACACGAGCATCTAGCTGATGCGCGGTTCTGATCGTGATGAACAGCAAAAGAACGGTGCTGGTCGGGACGCCTTTGACGAATCGATGTGGGCTGGAGAGGGTCGAGAAGAAGTCTCGGGATGGATCGAGGGTTACCTCGGAAAGCTCACCGGAGATGAGGGATACGAAGAGCCCGAGCAGTCCGCTACCGCTGAAGCCAAGTCCGAGATCAAGGAGGAAGAGGTCGACGGCGACACGGTGGAGAAGCAGGATATGGAGGCGACCATCAGCGTCAAGGATGGAGAGGCCGTTGAAGAGGCTCGTAAGGGAGCCGAGGACCTTCGGATATAATGCTCGTCTCTCTTTTTCGATGTCAACCTGTTTACAATCACGATCTGGGTATCTCCTTGTCTGTACAATAACTTTTTCTTCTAGACAACTATGCAATGATTTACAACCTGGCTGTCATGACGTAGCGTTATGCCGCAGCGCTTCGAATGGGGGGAACAGCCCCTCAACGAGATCTCCCAGTCACCGCCCTCAAGCCCTTTCTCGTGGATTCCCATGCGTTGACAAAGATCCTGCCCCAGCCGTCCCGTACCACCAACAGGCTGAGGAACAACCACATCCAGTCGTCCTGCGAGACCAGCGCGTTCCCTCGCCGTACGGTCGGGTTCATAGCCTCCTTGGAAGTTGACAACTCGAGTTGCCTGTTCAACCCCGACGTAGGCGTCAAGGGTACGTCCCTCCTCCCCCGAGCGTACATGCCCGACCGACCCCTCTCATGCGCTTCCAAACCGCTCATACTGCTGACCCACCGCCGGATGTAGAGTAGACCCCAAAACAGCCGCCCTAGCTCGCCGGTGAAAGAGACGAACCAGTCTCGCAAGCCGACGATCCGGAGGATACCTAGCAGGAACAAAGTCTTGACGAGATCTCGTTTCCGACGTCGACCGTACATGGGAACGATGGTCTGAGCGGGTTGTGATGCGTACATAACCCCCGGATGCGGGCCGCTCGTGCTCGAAGGACCGAGACCTTGTGGGTCGATAGCGACCGTCTCGGGAGGCGCAACAGAGACACAGACGGCCGGGTAGCCGAACATGGGGTTCTTCATCCTGTCGTAAGCAGAGATGGCAAGACCGGTCCTCCTGATTGGTCCTTCTGCTCGTGCAGCTTGAAGCACCGTCTCATCCACGCTCCTCGACCGAACGGCAGGACCGATAGTGAACCGCTTCTTCCTCCGGCCCGTCGTCGACTCGTCATCGCCATCCCCGTTCTCGTCGGCACGAAGCTCTTTCAAAAGGAGCTCCTTGGCCCGGATCTTCTCCGCTGCCACCCTCGTCTCGCTGAGCCGTCTCGAATGATGTTCCTGCAACGAGGCCGAATACGATCGTTCGCTCGCCGAATCGAACGACAGTCTAGGCCATCCGGTCACCCTCATCTGGATCTTGGGCGATTCACCGGTGATGGACCGGGACGAGCTCGGGAACCGATGTAAAGACCCCGAAGCGGAACCCGAGATCATGGTGGTCGTAGTAGTGGTCGATAATGTCTGGTCGGCGATCTTGGTCGAGCTCGAACTGGACGAGAACGAAGGCCGCTTGACCCGATCGGGGGAGAGGTGGAGTTCGAACCCCCTCATCCTATCGACCTGAAGAGCAGCGTCGCTCTCTTCTTCCGAATCGCTCACATCGGACTCCTCGCTCCGCTCGCTCACCGGCGTAGGGGCGATCACCCCCAAGCTCGGTTTCCGACCGACGAGCTTTTCATGCCGTCCTTCTCCGCCTCCTTCTTCTTCCTGTTGTTCGTGAGGGGAATCGTCCTTTCCTCGAGCTGCGCATGTCCCACCCGAACTCGAAGAAGGATCACCAGACGACTCCCTCTCACGAAAAGAATGCTCATGCCCAGTCAACTTGTAAGAATACCTATCGATCGACTCCTCCGGATGCGCTGCCACGTCATACCCGCTCTTCCCGCCCAACCCTTGAGGGATCTTGTCGAGCTGCATGACCTGTTCCAGGTCGCCCTTTTCCAAGAACCTCACCCTGTCGAGTACGGACTTAGGTACGAGGCGTTTGACGACGGTCCATAACGAGGCGTGGGTCCAGGAATGGTTCAAAAGGTAGATGGTGCTGAATAAACCTGGGTAGGTTGTCTGCAGGATGGCCAAGAGATGCGGGACTATGTCGAGGTCCTGGCAGCACAAATTTCCGGATTTTCAGCCCGGTTTCATGGAAGAGGATATCACCAGCGTTCAACGACGACGGACGGACTCACGATATTCTTAAATCCAGCGTTCTTGAAATCCACCATCATCACACACCCCGTCACCCTCTGCTGCTCCCCTTCCTCTCCCCTTCCTCGCCTCACTTCATCCACCTCTTTGAGACATCTCCTCGTAATCTCCGCACACCACCAAGCCCACTGTTTCACCCTATCCTTGCCCTCTTTGGAAGGTTCTTTACGCAACGACCGGAGGCTAAGCACAGCGATCGGTCTATCTAGAGGGTCTGTGTGTGCCGGATAAGGGAGGATGGTGAATAGAGGAGGTTGACCGGAGGGTGGAGGGTAGATCGTACGGGGGATAAGAGGAGTGAGGAGGGAATTGGAGAGGATGATGTCTAGAGAATCCATGACCATCCTGAACGCCTTTTCTTGGTCCCATACGGCTCGCTAACGTCGATCCCCCACAAGTAAGCGTTCGCGCTCAGCTTACGATTGATTCCCCCTCAGGCTTAGAGCATAGCCCGGGCCGAAACTCACCCGTAAACACCTCCACGAGACCTCTATATCGTCCACCCACCCGCTCACCCCTCTTTTCACCTCGTCACTCCACCCATCAACTACCCCCTTTTCGAGCGAAGCGGCGGTACATCGTTTCTGTAACTGTTCGACCTCGTCTCGTCGTTCCCGGAAAGTCCGGTTGGTCTTTATACAGATATTAGCCTGGGCGAGGAGAAGAGGTGGGGTCGTGCTGGATGATGCGACCTGGGTCGGGGTCGGGTAGGTCAAAGGGTTCGAGTTCGGAGGTATCATGGTTGTGCTGTGCACCTGGACGTCGATAGTTGATCTGTGTGATGGTGGTCGATGTTGGTGATAGCAGGCTCGATGACCGCACGCAATCAGGCGGTCATGCCTGCCGCTGTAGCTGATGCGGACTGTCTGTTGACACAAATAATATACCTATACCAGCTATACCATCGTCTCTCAAACCATCGAACTCTCGACATACACCATTCAACATCGAGCTGGTCGAACCGCGTCGTCCCTCTCGCTCTCGGCAATCACGGCCAAGCAAGACATCATCCACACGGAAGCAAATCCACCCTCTCCCCGGTCCCACATCAAAATGTGGTCAACTTTTTTCTCTTTTCATTCATAATTCAAGACCTCGGGATTACAATCCACTCCGATTTCCTTTCCTCTCTCTCTCTTCTTTTCTTTGGTTGGGTTATGAGCAATGCGATGTTTCATTCGATCCAGGACCACGGTGTCCGGGGGGCTCTAGATCGAACCGTCACCAGCTCCCTTGCCCTTCTTGTCCGCCCGGTTCTCCCTAGGTTGGAGCTTGGCAACACCTACAAAGTCAAGTACCAGGGAGGAGTGATGTCAGCGAAAAAGACTCGTTTTCAAAGACCAAGTAAAGGTCCCAAATTGGTGGACGGTGGACTTACCCTTGGCCGGGTTGTTCAAATGAGTATCGGTCCTCTGAGGGGTGTTCGGGTGGTCGTCGGTAGGAGGCTTGGGTACGTTCTTCTGGTCCGGGTGGTCCTTGGGCAAGGGAGAACCAGAGACGGTACCCCCGGAAAGAGGACCGGGACCGTCCGTCGAGGTCGGCTGGCCGAGAGGTTCATCATCCTCAATCTCTACGACGTCGGAAGGAGAGAGATAAAAACCCAAAACCGACGGAGATCAGCGAAACAGAATCTCCCTCGGTACAGAATCGATTCAAATCGAATCGAATCAATCCGAGTTGAAGAAATAGATTTCGGTGTGAATAATCTACTGACCCTCGCCGTAAACGTCGGGATGTTTCCTGAAACAATCCTGCATCGCCTTGAACTTTTCGACGCAATCCACGCCCTTGGGTTCCTGGTCGCTGTGTACGAAACAGGAAAAGGCGGCCTTGAAGTCTTCACCGCAGGGACCTTGGGCCATCCCGCCGAGGCACTGTCGAATCGAGGCGGATTTGGGTTGCGGGTTGTGGGTCGTGGGTTGTAGTCGTGGTCGCGAGGGTAGCGGAAGCAGAGAAAGGAAGGCAAGAGGAGATGTCAGCATTAGCACTTGCGAGGGACATCACCGAAGCTCTCGAGACATTGGCTTGGGGCAAGAAAAATGTCACACTCACGGGACAATCCCAATTAATCTCCCCCGTCTCCTCATTATAAGCGCTCTCCCCCCCAGCCTGCTCCTCCTTTTTAGCCTCCTTGGCTTTATCCTTGACCAACCCGGGAACCTCGGAAGCCTGAGTCCCATCCCCTCGTCGGACGTTGTGCCCCTCGGCGTCCACCTTGGAGGTACCTACGTGGTGCGAGGTGGAAGAGGTCGAGTTGTTGTGGATGGGGGTCTCTGGGGTTGCGCCGTGTTGCGCGGCGACTACAAGGTAAACGGATAGGATGCGGGGGGAAGGTAGGATGGGATGGAATAGAAAAATGGTCCAAGGTCAGCCCGGGAACGATATCGAAACAAAATCAATGAGACACCCAAGCGCAGGGGGCCACGAGCGGAAAGAAAGCATGACCCGTGATAACTCACTCTTATGCCTGTTGACCTTCAAATCCTCGTTATACTGCTGCTTGCCAGAATCAAAGTTGCCCGACCCGGTCACATCGTTGAAGACGCGGTTACGTTCGCTGACGATCGAGCTGTACCCGACGGTCGCTAGACCGGCTGTGGCGGCCAGGGCAGGGAGGGTTCGGGCGAGAGGGCGGAAGGTTCGAGTGAACATGATGAGAGTGGTGTGGTGTGTTTTTGATGCTGTTGATCCGGGAGATGCGATATGGGCGGTTCGTCAGCGTCTAGTTCGGGCTTGAGCGCGAGGATGGCCTTGCTAATATACTGACTGTGAGTGTTCAAGGGTATACTGTGCCTTGATGTATTGTTTACGAGTTACAAGTGTACTTCGAGTTGCGTTGTTCTCCTCAAGGTAGTGAATTAGTAAAAGATTAGATGACCTCTGAACCAATCCTGGACGCTGGAGATCGAGAGCGAGCGCGATGATGTCAAGGGTTGGGTCGATCGAGAAAAGGTGGGCGGCGGGGGGGCGACGCGTATACAACAAAGGAAACGGGGTGCCGTCAGCCACGTCATCATCTCATCGTTCCGTCCGTTTCAGCCCGGGGGCATCGTTGCTCCTACTCAGCACCCAGTCTGATCCGGCGGACAGCACCATATCGTGGCTCGACCTCGTAGTCTACTGAGAGGAACTCGTGGCTGTTGGTCGCTCATCGCTGATCGCTCATAGCCTTGCCTACAGCCATCTGGTCGTCTTGCGAGATGCTCGGGAAGAACGGGCGCGTACGGAAATAGCTGACCCGGACAGAATCGATCTGTGCACCGCGGATATCTGAATATATGGTGGAGGTGATGACGAATTGAGCCTCGACCGGGGCCGGGTATTCATAGCTCGTTGCGTCGTTGCTTGCTGGAAATATATCGACGTCGAGTATAAATTCGACTTAGAACACCCAATTCCAAGACATCCCACCCCGATCTAGCTATATCGCACAGACCGACCCGAACAATCACTGAAACCCCATTTGGAATCTAAATCGACTCAGCATGTCGTCCGGCCACATCATCGTCCACGCGAGCATCGTCGCCAAACCCGAGCATTTGGAAAAGGTCAGGGAAGGCAAGTCTATCCTATCCAGATCTTTCAGAGCTGGATCGTTGTATCGCATCGATCGTTTGAGCTAAGTCTGCCTTGACACACGATCGGCATCCACATCTGCGAATGAATTTGCGTTCACACCCGTAGTCGTCACCAACATCAGGGACTATGCGCGCAAGGAAGAAGAAGGGACCTTGATCTACCGGACCAGCATCTCAAACGAGAACGAGCGCAAGTTCGAGTTCTTCGAAGAGGTTAGTCTCTCTCTCTTTTGCTCTCTCATCTCCTCTCTTTCTCTCTCTCTGCGTCGTTTTCTATCGGTCTGGTCCTGTTTTATTGTGTTTTATGCGGGAGTGTGAGGCGTAGGATTAGTAGAGGATCGGGGGGTTGGCCCTTACCGAGAATATAGTGCAGGACATCAAGCGAGAAAGGGGTGGTAATACGGCCCGAACGTATAACCTCGTGTACCAAGAAAGGCGCTCAGGACTTTCAACGACGAGTCCGACCCGTAAAGACCATGCGCACAATAGCAGGTCCGACCGTACAACCCATATGCATATGCGCCATAACGTCAGCCCGACGCTCTGATGAGGCGATGGCCCAATGACAAGGACTTCCATGGTCGTAATCGAACGCCATGGAGGACCGGCTCTGTCGCTGGAGGATTGACTTTGCGGGCCACGGAGGGAACGGAAAGAGGGTGCGGAGGGAAGTTCGAAACAAAGGATGCCGGATGGTGGTTGGCGGAAGGGTGCGAGGATATCCTCGAGTGAACCTACGGGTCAGACACTACCGCATGGTGATTCGGCCTGAAAGCAACGTTGGCCAGCTTGCTGGAATGATTCCTGCCGACCGAAGGGATCTCTACTTGGGTGTGGACCTGCCTATCGCACGTCTCACTCGAGCGCAATCGCAATCGTGTCCCGACAAAATCGAACTGACGAAAGCTGACGCCTACCTTTCCCCCCATATATGATCTCTCTCTCTCTCTCTCTTTCGTATATCAATGGTAACACGACGAAACAGTACACCAGCAAATCGGCCTTTGACGCCCACGTCGCTGGAGAACCGTTCCAGAACCTTAGCAAGAACGCGAAAGAATGGTTGGAGGGTGCACCGGTCATCTCGTTGTCCACCGAGTTTTAAGACGTCGAACGAACTCGAAAGCTAGGGCAGGGGGATGTAAACGTATAAAAACAACAGAAGCGCACATATGTTCATGTATGGATATATTGACGCGCCGTCTGTAAGCTGTATCGCACACAGGAAGATTGAATTTCCGATGACCGTCGAGGATATGAGGCCTGTTCGGATAGAGAATCCATTGCTAAACCCGGGGCTGCCATAAAAATCCAGATAGGATTCGAACGATAGATAGCGGTACAGTACAAGGCCCATGCGGACATCCTACAGGGCAAGAAATGGTCGCCGGCCCGCTAGTTACCAGACCACAGATCGCTATTACACGTTCCCCTGACCGGGGCAAAGGTCTGAGCTCTGAGAATGCATATCGATTCTCAGGTATTACCCGCGATAAACAAGGATGAAAGCGGTGGATCGACCAATATGATAGGAAGTCGAGCGGGGGACGCACACCCGCCCGGGCAGATTTCGGATCTCGAACGAACGGTTCGTCGTGGTCGACCTTGAAGATCGCGACAGTGTACAGTGTCAAATTATGATCTTGATCTTCATCAGTAAGCGGAGTGAATCGAGCGCAATCTGTCGTACCGGGGCCGACCTCCTTGGTGGGTGTGTACGTGTACGTGTATATAGCGCCAAGAGGGCGATGGGCGATGAGCGACGAAGGTAGAAGATGATCGAGGACGAAGCCCAACCGAAAGTTGGTTGATGAAGACACTTGGCTGTGTAGCACCGGTCGCCAGTCGCCAGTCGCCAGTCGCCGGAGATTTTAATGTGTTCGTCCACGTTCCGCCGATTTGTTTTGATGGACAGTCAGGATCGCGCGTCTTTCATGATCTGCAACGGGAAGCGGAGTAAATCGAGCTCGAGATTTCCGTCTTCCAGCTTCCAGCGGGGTAGCCAGCTGGGGGGAGCGGGAGGTATATATCCTACAGCGCTAGGAGGAATGTCGATCACGGATACCAGGCTGAGAATCGGGTTCCAACGATTGATAATCGTCGACAACCCCTCGGTATCGGATTTCGGATTTCGGGAGTCGCAGCGCGGGTGGTGAGCGAAGGTGGAGGGGAATTATGCCGATCTAGAGTTTGTGAGGGAGGTTATCGAGGGTTATCAGACGGGAGTAGATGGTGGAGGTACGAGTAGGAACAGCGTTCGGAAGGTTTTCGACCTCCCTCTTTCGGATTCCGATCCATGACGTTCGAGGTCGGTGATCGGCTGATAAATCCACCCCAGTTTCGCTGCATCAAGTTCTGATCACCGTTTATCAGCTCTAGGAATCGGGGCTCGGGGCGAGGGGAACGAATGCCTCCGAACCCCTCCCTCGCCGCGACCCACCCCCGATCTCCGAGAGCCCTGGTAGGAATCGATGATAATCACGCGAGTCCGCCTCGGCCGAGTTCAGTTGCCGAGGTAGTCAGGCGGGAAACGCAGGGGAAGCCATGAAAAGCCATTGTATTACGGCACTTTACGTTACCCGGTCAGGCAGACGTGTCTGCGCCGATATCTCTGGTTCGGTGCTGACGATCGAACCGGAAGTAGAAATAGATCCGGGTGCGAGTGGTCCCGAGAAGGGCGATATCCATGAAATCTGAGCGAGATCGAGTCGCCCTAGCCCCTAGCTAGCAATTTTGAGGTGCACATGCCCCTTGGACGATGGACGATCTCGAGTCGATATCAGACATATCGGAGGGGGTCGATGTAGGGCACTACTACCAGGTCACACACTAAAGGGGTCTTAATTGCTTTTCGTGGAGGTCACTACAACTTCGTCCGTCGCCACCACCACCACCACCACCGTCTTTCAAAAGGACGAGAACATATACCATACTTCCCATCAAAACGACCCTTTGGACCTCGAAACGTTATCACGACAGACAACGTCAAAGGCAAACCCGATATCAGCCGTTTCCTAAACGACGACAAAACACATCATCACAACAACTACAACCACATACCACTCAAAGAAGCGTCGTACCGTTTACCACACACGCACACATCCCCTCACACCCGACAATCAACACCTCTTGCGCAAGGATGACCACCATCGTTCAAACGCAACCCAAACCCCACAACCCTCTTCCTCAGGGCCAGCTCCCTTACTCTTCCCAGTTCGAACCTCAAAACCAACAATCTCGTCATCAACGCAACCGCAGCCACGGCTCGGTCAACGCCTTTGACGGGTACACGGCGAGGACGTCGGGGAACACCCAGAGTTCGAGAGGAGTACGCCAGCAGTCTCCGGAGGAACAAGAGTACACGCACGCCATGCAACTGCAGGTCCAGAAACAGATGCAATTGCAGATGCAGATGCAAATGCAGAGCAAGCAACAAGCCGCGATGATGGACGAGAAACATTACCCTTCTTCTTCGCAACATGAGCATCAGTATTCGAACGATGGGATGGAGGAGACCAACGCCGAGTTGGAGATGGAACAGGATTCTCTGGTCGGACCGAGCGTGTGCGTGCATATCGTCATGACGGTCAAGAGCGAGTGGATCCACGAGGTCAAGTTCCGTGAGTCTTGGGTTTTGCTTTCGGTCTCGTACGTAGAGAGTCGATTCAGGGGGCGGGATGGCTGATGAGATTCTGGTTTTGGTGCGCCTGCGTAGTGATCCAGCGGATAAAGAAGTGGGCAGAGGCGCATGAACCTGGGTTGTTGACCTTCCGAGCGACGGTCGCCGTAGACAACCCTTGCGAGATCAGGTTATTCCAAGAGGTAAGCCTTCTCGTCTTCCTTCCACCCACTCTGTCAGTAATAGAAGCTGACCGATAACTCGCCCTCGACCGTAGTACTCCAACCTGGACGCCTACAGGGTACACGAGACCAACCCGTTCATGCAAGAGATGGTCAACGGCCTGGCGGACTACCTGGAGGAGGACATGGAGTTCTTCGAGTCGCAAGAGTTTGCCCTCTGAGCGTCCGAAGCCTCGAAGCCTCGAAGCCCCTCCATAACGAACTCCTCTCCACGCCAGACCTTGACCATCCGATCGACACTTGCCCTCGGAACGCTTTATCTATCGACGCTCTTAACGACCCTTTCTGTGCACCACTCCCGACAACTATCACGACGACCTGTAACTACTGTGTTTTTAACAAATCGAAACATCTCCACTCCGGATCCTCTGCGGATCTCGATGGCGGACTGTCCGGACGGACGGCCGAGGTGGACCTGGACCTGGATGTCCGGGACACCGCGACACCTGTCGAGCCATATTCGAACCCATCGACTTCGATCGGATCGAAGCAAAGTCTCCTTCTTGGAATCCCATCTCTTCCGATCATCCTTCTCGACAACGTCTCTGGCTTTCATCGCCGTCTCTCGCACGACACCCTCGGATGGGACGGTGAACTGGATAGGATGACGACGAGCCCTAGCGACATAGTCGGGACGGGTTTCAGTCTCGTATCATATCACATCCCCATTCACCTTTCACCTCGGTGCACAACCTCGGGACGTTACTGGCGACCCGTCGACGCAGCCCACTGTATTTCTATCAACTCCGACGACTGTCTCTCATCTCGATCTCGTTCTACTTTTCTCTTTTTGGGACTATCTGGGTTTCTCAATCTCTCTCTTCGAGCTCTCTCGAGAGAATAACGACAACTTCTCCTTTACGACGCGACCCTCGCCGACCTTGACCTTGGATTCGATCTCCATCGGGATCTTGGATCTTGTACGCCGCAACGGCTTCCGACTCTCATCACGTCGAACCTATCTGAGAAGGAAGGGGAGATCGGGCTATCCATACACGCATATCATCTCATCAGCTCGATCTCTTCCTCACCTCATCGGACCCAGATTGTGTCCAGGGGACATAACCGGTTTGCCGGTGGATCTACCGGTCACAGGTCGATGGCGGTCGGCCATTTCTCTTCTTTTACTTGGGCTTTTTATCTCTCTCTCTTTTTGGGTTTTATGGGATCTCGATCTACGATCCGATGTCTTCTTGTCCGTATATAGTAAAAGTAGTATTTTCCGATGTCATAACATGTCGTGTCGTATTGATCTCATCGTATGAATGAATGAGCGCCTTTCTGCTTCTCGCTGTCCTGTATTTGCCTTTGGCGCATTCTGTTATTGGTGGATGCTTGACCGGATATCGCCCTGGCCAGACAAAAAGGACAAAAAGAATTATAGCGGCTCTCGGTCTCGATCCGAGGACCGCTGGGTTCCATCAACAAGTAATATGAGCCCAGCGTGCTTCCACTACACCAAGCCGCTTTCGACCTCAACAAATTCGCTGCGTTCAAACTGAATTCATTGCACACCAGATCGCATGTTCGGGCATCATCCTTTGGGTCTCGATCACCCCTACCTTTGGCTTTCTCGGTCAGCTGGACTGAAAGTTCATCGACCTTCCTTTAAGAACCTTGCCACCTATCCTTCCCTTTATGCTCGAGCGTTGGCAACCTCGCTCGAATCTACGCAATCCTCTTCACACATGGTACTTCGCCACCACACACTCTGACGACGCATTCCCCTGCCGTAAAGTATAAAGACCGAAGTCGGCGGAAGCTAGCTTCAGACCACCACCCGCACCATCCACACAGTTGCCTAGACATCCAAACCTTTTCTCGTACTCAATCGGCAGCATACCAAGCATGTCACACCCACGTCTTCTCTCCCAGCCCGCTCATCCTCGACCCAAGAAGCTCGTCATCTGCTGTGACGGAACCTGGCAATCGTCTACCAGCCTAGATCCGGAACATGGGACGCCGTCGAACGTAGCTAGGCTCTCCAGGATCATCGCGAACGCTGGAAATACGGATGGAGTCGATTGGCAGCAGGTCGTCTATTACGATGCGGGAGTGGGGACGGGCGATCTGTCTGGTTTGGAAAAGAAACGTCAAGGTGAGTGATCGCGACAATCGCTTCGCGTGTCCACGTTGGAGTCGTCCTGAAGCAGTCTAGTACTGACTGAGCCCTCCTTTGGCTCTTCCTTTCGCCTTGTAGGCAGCCAAGGACTAGGGACTCTTGGAGAACGTCATCGAAGCCTACAACTTTATCGTAAACAACTATTCCCCTGGTGATCAACTCTTCTTCTTCGGCTTTTCTCGCGGAGCGTTCACAGTCCGTTCTGCAGCGGGATTGGTGACCGAGCTCGGCGTGATCAGGCCGTCTTCGTTTGATCGGTTCTTAGCTCTGTACGCAAAGTACATCGAAGCGGGCGAGTTTGGGGAGATTTTCAGCAAGACGCAGCCCTGGAAGGCCTTCGTCGAGGAGAAGCAAACGAGTGGGAATGGAAGGGGACATGCGGTCGAGCAGGGGAAGGATGTGGTCGTGCAAGTGATCGGAGTGTGGGACACGGTAGGAGCGATGGGGATCCCGGATATAGGACATATCATCAAGATGGACAATTCGTTCTGGAGGAAACAGTACGAGTTCCATGATACCGACCTCAATCCTAGTGAGTCGGACTGCGTAGCGCGTGATAGGTCAGCCGCCGAATCGTGACACGTCGAGCTGACAGTCGACTCTTGTATTTCCCCTCTGTCCAGGCGTTCAGCACGCCTTTCAAGCCTTGGCATTGGACGAACAACGAGCATCCTTCGCCCCCTCCATCTGGCACCTCGCTCCTACGAACCAAACGACCGAACTCGTTCAAGCTTGGTTCCCCGGCGCGCACAGTAACGTGGGAGGAGGTTCGTCCGCGAGGGACGCCGAGGGGAAGTTGGGGACGTACGAGCAGCTGAGCTACATATCTTATGTGTGGATGTTGGATCGGGTCAGGCCGTACTTGGCTTTAGACTCGGACGAGTTGGAGGCACAGAAAGAGGTCATCGGAGGAGTCATCCAGTGTGCTCCGGACGAGCTTGCCGAGAAGGATACCAGGGACCCGGCTACCAAGGGATGGATCGGAGCGGGATTAGAGTTCTTGAAAGGACGGGCTTCGTCGATGAGGGACATGGTCTACGGTTACGCAGGAGGTACGATCGTCGACAGCCATACTTTCGGGTACGACCTGCTCGCCTTTCCTAAACCTCGAGAACCTCTGGATTTGACGGCCCAGGAGAAGGAGAAGGGAGTCCGGACGGGCGAGGTCGTCCATCCTAGCGTTTGGTTTAGGCAGGAATCGCAGCGTCGGGACGGGCAGGTGGAAGAGGAAGATATTTATCAGCCGATCGCGATGAAGAAGTGGACGAGGGAGACTGATGGTGAAACCGGGAAGTCCCGATGGACCAAGAGGGACAATGAAGGGAGGATCGTCAAGTCCATGCCAGAGTTTGAGATCGGGAGGATGCCGGCTCACGATAGCTTGGAGAGGTGGTTGATCGATAGGTCTTGGTGCGATACCGTTCACGAGCGGGTCAAGAACGAGTGGAAGAGTTCGTAAGGGGTTGAGTCGAGGAGGGCAAGGGATCGTAAGCAGGACGTTGGGATACAGTGTTCTAGTGATGTATGCCTCCATTTCGGGTAATGTCCTTGCTTTGTGACTCGGCTGAGAGCATGTCGAGGGCGGGAATTGATTGAGGAAGACGAGGCGAACGGGTACCGATTACGGAGAGTGAGATGAGGCGAGCATGAAGTTAGCAAAAAAAAAAAAAACAGAAACCAACAGACAAATTCTTGGAGCCATGCGCAACATACCTATCCTGCATTTGAGAAACAGTGTGACAAGCCTCTCCATACATCTCTGGAAAGGTTGGACTGTTGCCATCACAAGCACACATGGCATCCATCGGGACCTATGATGTTTTCGACTCCTTACCAAGATCAACATTATACCCGCCAGATTGGGTTTTGATGTCGTTGTCAGCTTTATAAGTTTTCCATCTTGATCATCTAAGAAGGGATACAGTCGGCATCTAGGTATACGGCCTTTTCGCATCTATGATCAAGCCTTGGTCTCGATCTCCTGTTGGTACGTTGGTTGACTGTTGACGTGACGGGAACGATGTCAGTATTGATACAGCCGAAGCACGATAACAATGATGTAGGCTCACTCGGTGTATCCCTCGGGTCCAGGCGAGTAGAAGGTGTCACGGTCCCAGTGTCGGCAGGGGTGTCCGAGCTTGATTCGCTCAGGCAAGTCCGGGTTGGCTGCAAAAGGGGTGCCGAATGAGTTCAACACCTCCCTCTCAGACAAGGAGCATCAGGGGGGCGACTCACCGATAAAGTACCTCCCGAACGCGATCAAGTCTTCTGGGAACTGCTTCGAATGCTCCGCCGCGCTCTTCGGGTCCCACCCTCCAGCGGTCATGAACTTGGTCTTCCCCCCACTCTTCTTCTCTACGATCTCCCTGAACGGCTTGACGCTGTCCTTGTCATCGTCCCCCGATGGATCCGTCTCCGTGTTCCCGGCGATCCGGCTCTCTATGACGTGCACGTAAGCGAGGTCAGGCCAGGTGGACATGAGTTTTTCGGTCCACGGGATAAAGGTCTCGTATGGGTCGGGTTCTCGCATGCCTTGGAAGGTGGAGAAGGGGGAGAGACGGATGGCGAGCTTGTTGGATGGGTAGACAGAGGCGAGGGTTTGCATGACTTTGAAGGGGAATCGCATGCGGTTCTCGACGGAGCCTCCGTATTGGTCGGTTCGCTGGCTGTGATTGGAGAAAGTTGATGTCGTCAGTAAGGAATTGGTAGGTACAGCTGGATGGCTTGACGTACTTGGATACGCTTTGCAAGAATTGGTCGATAAAGTAACCGTTGCTGTAACAGGATCGCGATAGGTCAGTCTCCGCACGAAGATACGCAAATCGGATCAATTAGACTCACGCTCCGTGCAATTCGATACCATCAAATCCAGCCTCCTTGCAGAACTCGGCGGCGTTCTTGAACTCTTTCAAGATAGTCTCCAAGTCCTGCTCGGTGACGACGTGCAACTCGGCCTTGCTATCCTTGTCGGCAGGGATATCGGACACTGCCGAGACGTACGGGACGTTGCCCGGGTCCGCAACTCGTCCGAGGAAGATGAACTGGCAGAAGATGATTCCACCCTTGGCATGAACGCCGTCGTTGATCTCCTTCCACACTTTAGCCTGTTCAGGGGTAAAGATACCAGGAGCGCCCGGGTAGCCACCTCCGGCTTCAGAGACGATGGTGGCTTCCGAGATGATCAGCCCGCCCTTACTCGCTCGTTGAGCGTAGTACTCGGCAGACTTGTCACCGGGAACCCTGGTCACCCCGTCCGCTCGAAGCCGGGTGAGAGGAGCCATGGCGATGCGGTGGGCGAGGTGGTATGGGCCCAGCGAGGTGCCTTGGTATAGGCTAGTCGAGGCGGCGCCGTCCCAGGCGGGGAAAGTCTTGTTCTCCTGTTCAGCAGCTACCATTTTGATGTGGCTGAGGTGGTACTACTAGAGTGTTTGTAAAGATATTGCCACCAAGAGTGACAGAGCGACATGAACCTTTGAGGAACCACTCGACTTTTATATCGGAGCGACCAGGTGGAGGCTGCGATCGATCATCACTGTTCGGAAGCAAAAACGTGATCGGAAGATTACTCATCAGAGGGATCGGAAGCAAATTGCTAATCAAAGGTTGGCGTTTCATCGTCTCGAGTCGCAAAATGTACAAGAGGTCACATGCAGCGCATGTCCTTGTCTACCGCCCGCAGTAGACAATGGCGTCAAGAATCAATTTCCCTCGCATCAAGGTCTGGACCACTTCGTCGGGGAGATCAGGGATAGTAAATCTCGCAGCAGGCCCCGGGCGCATTGGGGGGCGCCTCGACTGCGGAGGATGGAATCCACCTTCAGCGTCTACATTTGTCAATTAGATGAACGTGAACGTCACTCACATCTGACCCCTCGATTGAACTGTTCATCACAGGCTCCAGGATTGGCCACAAACTGCTTGCCTTTCGCAATCCGGGCCGTGGCGTATGGGTAGATGGTGCAAGTTCCGGATTGGAACGTGAAAGAGACGCAATCCGAGCGGTCATGGCAGAGGTTTGCACACTCGATTTCGTTGGCCCTGCCGAAAGATCCAAGCTGTACAGATATTTGGGTTCGAGTTTGAGATCTCGTTTGCCGAAAGAGGTCTTTCATTGATCCTCCACTCACCGGTTGTCCCCCGAAATTACCGGATGCGGCTTCGTATCGGGCGAATTTATGAGCCGTGATCGTCTGGGACGTTCCATCGCAGGGCTGGGCGGTGGCTAGTCCAGCTAGCAAGGAAAGGGCCGCGCAGATATGGAAGAGCATGGTGTATATCAAGTGTATTTATCGAAAGTACTGCAGTGACGACGACAAGAGTTGAAATGGACCCATCCTGAAATGATCTTTTGGCTCGGAATATATACTGTTCACGAGTCGTGCTGAAGATCCTTCCCTTTGTACCTCCACCTAACTGCAAAGGACAGCTCCCACGGACTCAAGGTCCTTCGAGTCGCTAAATCGAGACGTCGCGATATAATTAAACCTCATTTCCCCGCGCACAGAGACGTTTCAGCCGTAATTGAAAGGCATCTACAGTACATGCCATATAAATCCCAGACGTCATCAAAGGCCACCCAAAGGCCTTTCTCAAAGGGAGTCGCACCAACATCCGCGAGGTTATAGAAGCGACTTATCGTCGTGTGAAACGGTGTGGAAAATGAAACGGTGTAGAAAGACCTGAAACCTGCATAAAGATACTGCAGATGTCCCACTTGGGGGGGGGGGGGGAAGGGGTTTCGTTAGTGATCTCGTGAGACGTCCTCCCGCTGATCATCACTCTATCGTTGTGAGTCGCCAGACCTTCATGACTAGGAGGTAAATGAGCTTTGCCCGGTTGCGGTCACTTCATAGTCCAGTAGAGTGTGGTCGGATAGCCCTCTGTCGCTGCTTTCGCGGGGTCGAAGCGCACCGAGATGCCATGCTGAAACAGAATCGCGCGATCTTTCGGAAGATGCAGAGTAATCGGATCGTTGTTGAAAACCATCGCGGTAAAGGTCTACGATACCCAAATATGGCTGCATACTGTCAGTAGTCTGTGACTAAAAGCAGGTCTTTCAGGACACGATCTGTCGTTACACAGGACGATCCTATGGAGGTTGTCCTCCGAGTGCAGCACATCGACCGAGATCTCATATCTTCATACCGCTCATCGCCGTCGTGACTAAATACAGCACAGAAGATAGCAAAGTGTTCATGCGGGGTATCGTTAGTTGTCATGCATGTACCGTATCATCCTTGGCTAGGTTCGACCCTCCTCCTCTTCGTACCGGCAGCGACTGCCCTACCAATCTTCGAGTCCATAAACGTCCAATTAGGATCCCGATCCGTGATGAAAGGGTGTCGCAGCAGTTCCTCAGCGACCGGTCGATCCCTGGGACTGGGTGCAAAGCATTTCTTGTTCAAAAAGTCGTCCGCCACGGGTGAGAGAGTAACGTCGTCAGGTACAGGTGGAGCCGCTCTCGTGTTCGCGAGCTACACATTATTGTATGAATCACAATCAGGATAAGAAGAATCAAGCGCGGGACGTTTCGCCATTCTGAACTCACCTGGAACATGGCGGCCAACGCTTCCATATCTCCCCAAGGCCTACGTCCGGCCCACATCTCCAACACCACACATCCCAGACTCCAGATATCCACCTTGGCAGAGTATCCTTGCCCCTTGACCGAGTGTACGACCTCAGGTGCCATCCAGAAGACGGAACCTTTCAAGTTGGTCGAGATGATCGAGTCGTAGGCGTCATCTAGAGATATGGTGTTAGCGGTACTTTCGTAGGACAAGTATAAAGTCAAATATTGATCTCACTTGTCCTTTTGCTAATTCCGAAATCGGAGATCTTGCACGTCCCGTTATGGTCGACCAAAATGTTGTCCGCCTTCAGGTCCTGTGATGCAGAATAGTTGAGCTCAAGCAAAAATACCAATGAATGTAACGACGAACCCTATGCAGAATGTTCAGGGAGTGCAGGTAGGCAAGCCCGTCCAGAATCTGCATGGTGAAAGACTTGATGACCTGCTCCTCAAACTTTTTGTGCCGTCGATAGACGGACGCAACAGAACCACCAGGCACGTATTCCAAGAAACTAGTAAAGGTCGACCAAAGTGAGCGGGGATGCTGCTTAATTGTCTAGTTAGACCTGCAACTTACATCGAGAGAAATTCTGGTGATTCTTCCCAACCGAGGTAGGCAACGACTTGAGGATGGTCAAGATCTTTGAGCAAGGCAATTTCCGATTTGAGAGCTTCGATCATCCCAGTCTGTCTAGCATCTTCCCGTTCGGTGTCGGTTCGAGGCATCTCGACTTGCTTGACCGCAATCATGTCTCCCGTCGTGGCGTTCAGAGCAAGGTAGACTCGACCATAAGTTCCCTTGCCGATAAGGTCTCCCTTTACCCACGTCATGGTCACTGCAAGAATACAGGTCTCAGCATGTCATGGACGATTGATGACCCGATACTCAACTCACCCGGTCCATCGTCAGACACAGTCTCTTCAATCGGCGCAGGAGGTAGTTTTCCCTGCTCGATACCCGCCGGGGTGACCTCGACCACCTTGTGTCCCCACATGCTAGATGACCTCTTGCGCTCGAGCGACGATCCCTGCTGTTTGACTGCCGGTGCGATCTTGCTGAGGTGTTTTTTCCGGCCTTCCGCCACAAACCGGATGGATTTACGCGCATCCGCCTTGTTGAAGCCCGGTTGGCGATGAGGCTTAGGCACTGGTGTCTGTATCGTCTCTGTCGGTTGTTGGGCTGTCTCGGGCAGACCTTCAAGCGTTGGCGCCTGGACGACTGGCTTGTCGAGATCGATTTTGGGGAAGAATTCTTCCAAACGATCATAGACATCTTCTGCAGGAGGACGGAAGTTCCACTGGTCCTTCGTCTTGGCGAAAGATTTAGCTCGACGGAGGTTGGCCCCACCGCCGTCCTGAGCGTTGTCCGATTCGATTGTGGCAGCAGTCGGCATGTCAGAACTGGAAGTGGAAGTTGGATGACCGGAAGTCGGCGTGATGCCTGGACGCGTAGTTGCTGTATCGACCGTGAGTGCGGGTTTAATGGTCTGATCATTCTTGGCAGGGGGAGCGGTACCATTGTCCTTGCCCATCGGAACGAAGAACAAAGTCTCTTCGGCCTCATCCTCTTCTTCTTCAGGTGGACTGGCAACTGCTCTGCGTGGCAGAAGTGTGCTCTCATTCTGTCCATCGATCATGGCATTGAGCTGTTCAGTCCATTGATTGGCCCTCGCGGTATTGCCAGAGTCGTCTTCCGCATCTTGATCCTGAGACCTATAGGCACCTGGCTGAAGCGTTGCTTCTGATGCCCTCGAGGAGACCTCACTAAGCGTCGAATATGGTTGTACCTGCGCAGCAGATCCTGGAGACAAGTGGGTACCGTCCCCAGTCGGCGGGATCTCGCGATAGGCCGCAATGCCTTGCCCAAAGCTGGCCCTCCGGCTGTGAGACGCGCTCGAGGGGCTGGGCAACTGGGCAGCGCTCTCTGAGCCGCGCCTGTCCATACGTGAAGAAGCTGCAGGATGGGGTTCTGGGAACGCCAAAGCCGGTATCGCATGAGGCTGCAACGCACCGCCATATGTCCGTGCACCCTCTGCCGAACGGACCCGAGCGAGATCGTTCCTGTAGAAGGGATCCGGGTTGATAGGTGGATGAGAAGCGGCGTGGCGACCGAGGCTGCGAGAATCAGTGTAATAGTTGCTTTGATCATAGGACGATTGTGCCGAAGCGCTCCGATTGATATTCGCATACGACCGGTTTGTTCTCAGGGTTTGAGACACCTGCGGCACTGGACCGCTATGAGTATGATACGGTTGCTCTCGTCGATCCCGGTAGGCTGGCTCCACCTGATAACCATATGTCGCTCCAGGCGGGAGCTGCGCTTGCAACCCATCGTAGGCACCAAATGGATCATCCGGATCGGTGGGCGGCGTAGACAAATAGGCGTCTCGAAGTGGTGGTGAGCCATAGTTGGACATCGGGGCGTTTGCCATCTTTGGGTCCTGTAGCGGAACCGGCCTGGCGTGCGAGGTGGACGCCGATCCTGGCCCAAACGGATGATCGTAACGATTCTCCAATGGACTGGCGTTGGTCTGACCGTCGATAGGACCAAGATCTTCGCTAGCAAAGGCCGACATGCCAGCGTTCCACATACCCGCCTTGTTCTCCCACTGCAGACGTCTCGCCTTGCGCTCACGACCGACTTGACGTTCTCTCTCCTTCTCGAGGGCTTCGGCTTCGCGTTTCTGGCGCTCGATACGCTCCCGATCGCTTTCGACGAATCGCCTTTCTCGTTCCTCTGCCCGCCCCGCAGCGATACGGTCCGCCTCAACCTGCCTCTGCCGAGCCTCTTGTTCCCGAGCCTGCATCGCTTCCCAGGCGGCGTGCTCCTTCTGCTGTTCCTGCATGGCGACCCGCATGTCGGCTTCCATCTGGATCCGCTTTTGGCGTTCCCTCTCGTCCTCCTCCTGCTGCATTCGCTGGATCAGAGCCATGTCAGCCTCGGTAGGTTCGCTTGGGGAAGGTTCCCAATCCACGGCGTCGTAGCTTCGATCAAAGGGTGGGACGACCTCTATGTCGGCCTCTGGGCTTTCCATTTGCTGTCGGATCTGGAAGTTCTCGTAAGGGTTTGGCAGGCTCGGACGGTGCTGAGATCCTGCCAGCCGCGGGTCATTCTTATCGCCCGCACCCCATCCTGACATAGGTGCCGTATTGCCACGTCGAGCCATGTTTTGCATCATCTCCGACCTCGAACCCATCGCGGTGGCCACGGAAGTCGACGCAGAGGTGTGCGTATTGGACATCGAGTCCAGTGACGGAGGTGGAGACCCATACATCCTGCTGGAGCCCCCGACCTTGCTCCTCTCATCGGCAGGGCTTTGAGAACCTTTACTCGTGCTTGTACTGGGCATCCTTCTGCTTCCTCGGGACATCAGGCGGTGGTGACGGCTAAGTGTGTGGTTGCCCGTGCCACCACCGCCACCTCCTGCACTGCCGGACGCACTGGCCTCGCTCCTTCCGCCCGGTATCGCATAAGGTTGGGAAGTGTCGACCGGACTGGTCTCATACCCGACTTCCTGCGGATAACCATGCTCGTGTCTTCCATACCTCTCGCTCGTACTGGAAACGCTTCCCGACTTCGAATGTCTACTCCCACCACCACCACCTCCACCACTTGCTCCATTCCCCAACCGAACCCTCTCCGCTCCTGTCCCTGCTCCACTAGCTGAGCTCGCACTGAACGTCTTGCGCGACAGCTCGGCCGGACTGCCTAACGTATAAGCCGGTCCTCCGTGAACAAGGCTATGACCCGTGGGAGGCGGGATAGCCGCACTGGAAGGTGATGGCGCCATGCTCGTCTGCATGACCAGGAACTTGAGGGACCCCTTAGCGTCACCCTGGCTCTTGCATAATTCGAAGAGTTGTGCCCTGCCGACCGAATCGCTTTCGGGCGTCTCGCCGATGTCCGTGCGGTACAGCGTCAAGCTCGGGTAGTCGTCATCCCGGAACCGCAACTATCGGGGTTGACCGATCGAGTTTAGTCAGACACGCTGGCTATGCCGAATTAGAACTGTATTATGTGCTCACCTTTGCGAAAACCCTCTCCATGATCGCCTCTGCACTCGCCATTCCACTGACATCGACCACCGAGAAATTCTCATTATCCACCGTGACAGCCAATCTGATGCTTCCCAACCTCTGCGGACTCTGCCCCGGTCCTGCACTCGGTCCTGCCTGCGTAGACAACCCCGGCACGGCTTGTTGTTTCGGCCGAGGCGGGAGCATGGGCAGACCTTCGTGTCTCCTCCTATGCGTTTGTTCACCGCCTGAAGGCTGTCCGGGTTGGAGTGGAAGCGTCACGCTCGACCCGGCATAGGTCATGCTAGGCGAAGAGGGCGACGAGGTGTTGATAGGTGATCCACCGATACTTCCACCGACCGACTTTTGAGCCAAAGCTTGATACGCCTGCTGTTGCGCTTGTTGTTGCTGATGTTGCTGGTGTGACTGTGACTGTGACTGCGATTGCGATTGTGATTGTTGTTGCTGCTGCTGTTGTTGAGGAGCAGGAACCCCCGAAGGGAAATCCCCTGGTCTCGCCGTGACCCCCGAACTGGGTGGCAAGGGGATCGGATAAGCCGGCGGCGTATGGATCCTAGGTAACGACCTCTCCATAGCCGGGTGTCTGTTCGGTCTCACGTTCGAGGCTGTCATCATCACCGGCCAACCCGAAGGAACGTTCGAGTTGTTCGCATTGTTACCGTTGAACTGATTCGATGGGGATGGACCTTGACCTTGGCCTTGACCTTGGGTTTGACCTTGAGAACCTCCCGAGCCTGGTCGGGTGACAGGAGGTACAGGTGGATACGCAGATGACGATCCAGGAGGAGGAGGTGGGGATGCATTAGTCCGGTATTGCATCCCACTCCCAGTAGGATCCTCCATCGACGTCCTCGGTCGATCCGTACCCCCACTCATCGGGTACGAACCACTTGAAGACCCATCCCCAGTTCGTTGCTGCGATTGCGAGCCCTGCATCCCACCTAATCCCGGCGTAGGCGGTTGAGCGGTGATCACCACACCTTGCCCTTGCCCCTGCCCTGCCTGTTGTTGCTGTGGCTGCTGTTGCTGTTGCGGCAACATCTTGCTCGGAACCTGTTGTTGGCTCTGACAATGATGCGCTTGTGCCGTCCTCCTCTCCTCGTCCGAGGAATCCTCTTCACTATCCGGATTAGCCACGATCAGGTTGAGGTTCGGCGGGGGTCTTCGGGATCGTAACGAATTCATCGTCCGGGGTCCTTGAGGACCTTGCGAGGTCACCGGGGATCTTCGGTTCGACATCCTACAACTGCAGTACTGGCTCGAATCGATTTCGCTCCCTTTGCTCTGGTAAGTTCAGCTAGGTCGAGGTCGAATGAATGGGAAGGAGTAAGGGGGTCGACTCGAGATTTAGGGGGTCGACCGGGGTAAAAGAGAGATCGTCCTGTGTCCACGAGATCCAACTCCGGGGTAACCCTCGACGATCAAGGAGGTTCTAGCCAAGTCTCCAGATTCTCCTGGCGGCTAACTTGACCCCCAATATTCCACGTGGATACGAGGAGCCTCTTCAAAGGGATCCTTGAGTTGCTGGGATCACGAGCCCCCGACAATATCGCTGCGAACTACCAGATAGCGTCGCAGCTCCTGACCGACGATGCGCAGACAGTCCCTTTCTTCCGGAAGTCCAGTCTCCCTTTCGAATCCTGGCCTGGCTCGAGTGTTTGAGCAAGGATCACTAGAGTGATTAAGAGTCCATCTGGACGTCGAACCCCTGGATGAACACGAGACTAGTTCTCGCTTTCGGAGGACCGGCGTTGTGTGCCCGTGCCAGAACACGCGAGGACGTTTGACAGGTATTTCGGTGACGTCGAAGATACCACTAGCTCTAGCTCAACTGGACTATGTTTGAGACTATGAAGAGTGTGACCTCGAGGAGCTGATGATCTCAGCAGCAGTGTCCAGTGTCTCGAGGTCATGTCACCCATGTTCGGTCGATGTGCACAGGAGGCAGGAGGTCGTCCCCTGATCCCCCCCGGCCGGCCCTGCCGAGCCCGATGCCGGCATCCCCCCCCCCCATCAGCTTCGGAAGCGAAACCTTACCCTCACCCTCCGTCGGAGATACTTTTTGGGTCGATTCGTCGTTTCACTCGGTGCGATCAGGTTTGACATGCTCGCCACGAGACGACAGCCGACTCGCACAATTGAGGCCCGAGACTGTTCAACATGCGTTTTCAAATTCCTGTGCGGCTGAAAATATCGAGTCCAATGAGTCCTCATCCCAAACACGCCGTACTGACCTGGCGCGTCAAGTGGACGTGAAACACCATCTCAACAGGCTCGATCCGGTTGTTCCGGGAGCGTAGTCGACTCCTCTTCCTCGGCTTGTAGCCACTATAAGCGGCGCCATGCGCCACTCCTAGAACCTCGAAAAGGGCAACAAGAGCACCTGCAGCTGGTAACATACATTACCCCGCCTCAAGAACCTTTCTGACATTCTTGAGAGAGGCCTACTGTAGGAAGACTGATCCCAAATCTTGTCGTCGCCAAACGCGCCGTCCGAATATTACAAAAAAGCAAGCTCAAAAAATAAAAGGCGGAGATATAGATATCCCTGGACGATATTAATCTGGAGATGCTGTTCGAGCAAGATATCCCGACCTAATGTGGACTTGGCATGTACAATAATACCTCGCACCACGCCCCAGAAGTGGATGTTCCCGAATACATGAAACCGGTTGAGTAGAGCACGCTCTTCCAACACCCGAAAATTGTCAAGTTTCAAAGCAATTGGAGGGGTCGACCTGCTCGTCATGGGATCCTTATAGTCGCTACTGTATAGCCCTGTAGGAAGCGTCATGTTTGTACAGCCTGGAAGATGTCGTCGGCATCAGCCTCGCTGACTTGTTCCCTGCGCGTCGTCCAAAATCATGCAATTCAACAAAATAATCAGGACTCAGGGGAACGAGCTGGAAGGATTCCGCGGTTCGATAAGGCTACGGGTAGGTCGAGCATCTATCTCGGAGGAGACCTCCTGAGCCAGTCCTGACTACCTTATTGTAGCTCCTGGAAGGGAGTGCGCTACAAGACATGCGCGTTATGATGATGATATTGTCGTTACAAAAGAAAGAAAGAAACACAAACTCCGAAAGATGACTAAACACGTCCACCCCCCACCAATCCCAGGAAAGTCGTTGGGCAAAAAGCTCGACCGCTACATCGACCCATCAAGGCCTGGCTCGAACCTGCTTGATAGGTCCCCCCATCGATCTACACCCTGGATATACATCTACCGCTTAGAATCCGACTCGGTAAGTGATATACCTACCAGCCCGACAACGTAAACCAAACGTAATCAGCATCTTCACAAACATCGAACAACGACACCCCCGGATCCCCGAAACCCGCGAAGCAAAAAAAAAACCCAGGAGACAAGAAGGCCACGTCCGCTCACCTTCCCGCCGTCTCACTCTCCCTATCGATCTTCATCACCTGCCCACGAAGAAGCCCGTAATACCGCGCGACGGGGTCCGAGAGTTGAATTCGAGGGAGTTGGGTATCTTTCAGACGGCTACGCGTGGAGTAAAGTCGGGCAAGAGTGAGATGAGATGAGATGTCTTGTCAGTACATGAGCCGGAGCATAACGAGACAACCGGAGATAAGAGAATCTCGATCAGAACAGAGGTGGAGGTGAAGGTGAAGGGGAAGGTATAGAGGACCCGGACGACGAGACGGAACAAGAACTCACTATCGATTCAAGAGATCCTTCTTATCCTTGTCGCTCATGATAGTGTGTTTCGGCACCAAGAAGTGTTTGGTGATATTCACTACCAGATCAGCTTCGGCGTATTCCTCGATCTTGTAGTCTCCCTGGAGTTCTTGGATGGTCTAATGACACAAACACAAACACAAGGCAGGAGCACGGTTAGAGCAGAGTTCGATGGTGCAAGGGCAGTGATCGCAGTAACACAGTGAGATGGTGAAAGGGACAGAAAGGCGCAGGGACGCACCTTTTTGGCAGAAGGAGTGAGCTTCTTTCGGTACAACATGATCCCCCGTTCACACTGCTTCTCCTCCATGACATTCACGAACCTGCGTCGACGATCCGAGCAGACCGAACTGGTAAGCAGGGAAAGACTCAAAGCCGACAAGTTCGAATCGTGATGCGGGGGGAAAGGTAGACTGACGATCGGATATCCTTCTTGGCCACGTTCTCGACGTCGGTAAAGTTGACGTAGATCGTCTGCGTGGGTGTCAATTTCGTCGTATACCAGTTCGACATGGCATTTCGGCTGTTCCCACGCGGCGTAATAATATCAAGGGCGAGGTAAGGAAGCAAGATAGAAGGAAAGAGAAAGCGATTAGCTGGGAGTAATCGAGAGATGTAAGAGTAGAAATAGAGGTAGCTCACTCGGGCATCCCACTGGCAGCGTACGTCTCCCGGAAATCGGGGTACGAGATCGTCTTGCTCTCCTCTCCTACATTGTAGCCCTATCATCTTCACCACATATTAGCCTCACTACAACAAGATGTGCAGATCTTTGGGCGAGGAAGACCTGTTCGTCGGACTCACCCGATCTTCGAGCATCTCGTGTACCGTCCTAAAGACCTTCCAGGCCGTCACTACTTCTCTTGATTCAGAGGCGTCCATCGTTTACTAGCTTGTAGTGTGACCTATGTCGAGGTGAGCGTAGTTGAGCGGTCGTTAGGCTTGATCGCATGATCGAAAAGCTTAACTTTGAATAGATCGAGATGGCCATAATTCTATCCAAGGTTGCTCACTGAACGGGGGAAACTAGCGAGAACTCGTTATCAATTATCAATAAACCCTGACAAGAATTGACGTGTCAATCGCTTTCCCTCTCTAATTATTCGAATTGTCAACAAATCGAGGTCGAGCTTCAGAGATCGATCGAGCGTACAGAGTCGACCACAACCATCTCTTGCATGTTGGACTCACTCATTTCCTCTCCTTGACATAGAAGTATTCTTGCACAGCGACCCATAACAAATCTCTCCACAGCTGGATGATCCCAACAGGCTGGCGAGCCTCGTGGTCCATCCTAGGTCCGCGTCGCTACCCAGCTACTACTATACTCACGTCTACCACCACCAGCACCAGCACCAGCACCAGCACCATTCTCGCCATGTCGTTCTCTACCGCAAGGATCGTACAAGAGATCCGGGACAAGTACAGGTCTGACGAGCTCGAAGCGAAAAGACAGCAGGAAAAGCAAGAAAAGATTTCACAGAAGAAGAAAGCCGCAGCTGCTACCACAGCCACGGTTGCAGCGGGGAAGAAGAAGAAACTTGCAGGCAAGGTTAGGAAACCCAAAGACGTTGCCGGGTCGAGCGATCGTGACAGCGTAGTACCTGATTCCGAACCCGAACGTCTCGCCGAAGAACAAGAAGCCCAGCAAAAAGAGCGCAAGAAGGTGGTAGGAAAAGGGCTCCCTAAACCAAAGAACGTAGAGTATGATTCTCTACTTACGGCCTCGTATACCTACGCTTCGAGGGATTCTTCGGTACAGGAGGTTGAGATCGGGACTCCGGAATACGAGATCACCTCTTTGCCACACGGAAAGAACCGGCCTGTGAGAGTTGTCGATGCGGATGACGATTCTGATGCTGATATGGAGCACGTCGGCGACGGCGATATCGAGTTTTTGGGTGCCAACAAGATGAACCTCGACCAGTACCGGTATCACAAACCCGGTAAGGCGTCTGCGGTCACGGTCGCGGCGAGAGCTATCACTTCCAGGTCGGGCTTGGCGGAACAATCCAAGGGCTCCAAGTCGGGGATGCCCGCTCCGGGGAGTATGGACAAGTTCCTGAACGGTATCCATCAGCCGCAACCCGAGGCTTCTACCTCTACATCCAGATCTGGGTCTACCGAACAGGCAGAAGGAGCTGGAAAAAAAATGGGGAACGGGAAAAAGACGATGTCACGAGCGAATAGCAAAGCCAAAGCGATTCCTAAACCCAAGGTACCTAAGAAGGAGAAGGTCGAACTACCAGAGTATCCCGTTTCCGAGGTCTTGATGAAAGAGCTGGATGGGTGTGTCGTTTGCGGGAAGCCGTGGCCGCCGAGACAGATGTTGAAGACGAAATGGGTGGGTTCGCTCTGAAAGCCTCCTTCGTAGGCGGGTTATCGAGGCTGACCCGAAATCCTGACTGGAACACACAGAGACACATGGTGGAATGTACAGAATCGCCTGATACACCCGGCTCGGACCCTCTCCCTCTACCTCGAATCGAATCCCTGATCAACTCCGCCCTGTCCAAGATCTCCCGCCACCTCGACAACCCCGTCCCTTCCACTCAAGCCACCTTGCTGGAGACGCTGGCTCATGGACAAGTAGTCAAGCGGTACGACCACAATGGACACTTGGTCGTGCCCCTCCCGGAGAAGAAGAGGGTCAAGAGAAAGGCGTTGGCGGGGTTGCCAAAGGATGTCAGGGTGATCCCCGCTCATATACAGGGAGAGAACGGGAGGACATTGGAGTTAGAGATAGAGAGGGAGTATGCGGCGATGTTCGGTAGTCAGGAAGGTTCACAGGGGGACAAGGAGAACGTCGATATTGAAACGCTGGAAGGCGAAGCGCTGGAGGAAACACGTGAGGGTTCGGTTGACATGGATGTGGACATGGACGCAGAGAGGATGAGTAGCCCGGGAGCTCCACCGACTCAGGGTTTTGCCGAATCGGTGCTCGCTAGGCACGTCGGCGGGCGCGGGAAATCGCTCTGGGAGGCTGGGAACGCAAAGACTCAACCCTTTCGAGGGACGGGAGACGGTCGATCTGGCGGATCGTCTTTCGGGGGAACAAAACGACAGTCAGAAACAATACACGGCGACAACGAGGAGGAGGACGAGCTCGAATCGGATACGGAAGAAGTCGCTCGGGGGCAAAAGAGAAGAAAGCTCGATGATGGGTATGAAGCTGGGCGAGATGGGTCGGAGAGGGTTGGAGGGTTTCGAAGCGCTCTCCTTGCGGGGCGGGGCGGGGGAGGAAGAGGACTCTGGGACGCGTCGGCCGGAGCTTGATAGGTTCTCTTCGCCTAGCGAGACGGGCGTCATCGAGATTGATGATACGACGGTGCTGGACGAGGCGTCGGAGAGGGCTTCGTCGGATGACTTTGAGGTCATCGAGGTCAAGAAGGGTGTGTCAGGAGGAGGAGCTGAAAGGGTAATATCAGGGAGAGTGCTCGGGGTTGCCGAAAGTACGTGGCAGCGACATGACAGCGCGAGGAGCGTATCCTCTTCGGGAAGAAAGCGAAAGAGGTCCCCCAACAATACTCTGGACATCAGTAACCAGGATTCAGTCAGGTCGAAAGATTCTGGTACCGGCGTTTCCGAACGATTTCGGGCGTTCAACGTGAAGAGATCGGTCTCGCCACTGGGACGGGAAGAGTTCGATGCCGGTATTGACGTGATCGATCTGGAAGACGATTACTGGGGCGATGGAGCGCAATTGCATTGGTCGCCGTCGCCGAGTCGGGATGCCGAGGCGGCCGGATTGCCTGAAAGCACGCCGGGTTCGCCGAACCTAGCTCCCAACATGGAGGAGCTAGATTACGAGCCGGAAGATGTAGAAGGGGGAGAGGGCGTCCTCACTTTTGAACCCGGCAGCTTCGCCGCTGATAGCTCGGCAGAAGAGTTTGAGTTCGAAGAGTCTGAAGAAGAGGTAGAAAAGCCCGAAGAGCCTGTGGTCTCAGTCGCACCCGCTGTAGCCGAGACATCGGCTGATCAGAGAGCGAGGGGTATGCCGGATTACGAAAAGATGGATCTCGATGACCTGCAGGTTAGTTTCTAATTCGTCCGCCAAGTCTCAATCTCCTGCTGATGGTGTTCTTATGTATTCGGTAGAAAGCGGTTGCGAAATACGGTTTCCGTAAGAGCAAGATCAAGGCTACCATGATACGTCAACTCGAACAATGCTGGGTCGCCCTCAATCCCCCAAAAGCCCCTGCTAAACCGAGAAAAACACCCGCTAAGGCCAAGAAAACCACTGCAACGACCGTGAAGCGAAAAACTGTCAAGGCGAGGGCGATATCTCCGGCCGATAGTGCAACCTCGGAAGAAGTGCCTCTGGCCGATCAAGACGGGGTTAAGAAAACGAAGAAGAAGAAAGAAAAGGTGGTCAAACCGCCTCCAATGACGGTAGAACAGCTTTATCAAGTGTTCCAAAGCATGCTCATCGGCGACAACGAAGTCTATTCGAGGCTGCTTCGCTATGAAGTGAGTTTGCAAAGAGGATATCCGCCGAAGAAATTCAACTGATAAGATCCTCATAGCCATTGCCTTTTGACGAGCTGATTGGCATGGGTACCGAGAAGGGCATCACGAAAGTTGGTTGGAAGAAGGACTTGAGAAAATACCTCGACGAACAAGTGAGTCGAGCTAGCTTTGGCGATTTTGCGATTGCATACTGACGTAATGATTGTCCCTAGTCGATCGCATTCTATACTGACGACCCCACCGGGCCAAGAGCCCGTCGATGAAACCGAGCCACTCTGCTTCTGGATACAAGATACGCAAATGACGACTACTTTGATGAGAAAACGAACGACCTGTAAATGTCCGTGGGAAAAATGTCCTTGTACCCCCTACACCCAACAAACATGCACATCTAGCCTCTTCGTACGGGACTTTCGAAAGCTGACAGCTTGTCAAGACTGCCACTGGACACCATCCGTTGCATCCTCTTCTGGTGCCACGAAGGCCCTACGCTGGTCCGATTCAGGACTGGGTCGACAGGGGAAGCCGAGGGAGATCCTGAGCGGGGTCTGGGGGTTTCCAGAGCAGAACTGGAGCCAGACCGGGGTCTCGTCACGATAAAGCCAGAGTTGACGACTCTAGTCTCGCTACCGCTTAGCGAAGGTCGAGACGAGTGGGTCGATACCGGAGAGGTACCGTGCAGCGGACTCTGAGGTGGGTTGAGCTTGTGGTGCTGTTGCTGGAATTGGTCCAGCGCCGAAGCGGAGGACGATCTCCCCTTGAGACGCCTAGCAGCTAGTCGTTCGGCGTGCGAAGAGGTGACGGCTGATTGACTAGGCCGACGACTCGCGGTAAAGTAATCGGTAGCCGGTTGATTCATGGATGAACGCAAGGAGGCTTGCTCTTGGGCCGCTTGTTCCGCGGCGATGGTCAACGAGTACGTCCTAGCTCGACCTGCTTGAGGGCGAGGGAGATGGAACCCATACATCGTCGTCGGGAGCGGAGCGGCCGGTGGTGCCGGAGCGGGAGGAGGGAGGGTACCAGGATCTACCATGGTCGCGGTGGACGAGATAGAGCTGTTATGCACAGAGCCGTGCTGCGACTTCACCCTCGGCGGGATCGGCGTCCCGATTTTGATGACCTCGGGCGTGACAGGTCGAGAATTCACAGGCGTAATGCTGCCCCGGAGAGAAGAAGATGCACTAGCATTCCCGCCTTCCAACCTGGCAAGGGTAGCGAAATCCCAGCTAGCAGCCGACGTGCTGGACATGCTGTCCCTCCAAGCCTTCTTTCCCTCGAATGCCAACTTTTGAGCCGGGGTCAACCGTTCTGGGGACTCGACGGCCAGTTTTTCCACCTTGGCGACCTGTTCGGCCTTTTCTTTTTCGATGTGGCCATCTTGGATTTGAGCTTCCTTTCACGCTGATAGTGGACTGCGACCAGGTAGATGGGCACGCATAGCAAGATCGAACCGACTGCGACGAAAACGCCTGAAAGTTGCAGGGTTAGTGGTACTCGCTTGGACCGGTTGAGTTGCACAGACATACCGACGGTGATGCCGAGGCATTTCTTGTCGGACCAATCTCTCGAACAGATCCCGGAACGATCCATCACCTTGGGTCCGACGTGAGGCTCTGCACTGAGATCATGGACACAGGGTCAGCCAACGAATCCGGTGCCGATATTTTCGCCTGTTCAGTGCTCACGCTTGTACCAGACCCAGCATGGCCAAGGTAAATAGCACGGAAGAGAACATCGAGAAATTCTGCTTCGCCCTCAGGAAATCGATTGTCCAGACGACCGTTCCTTGACAAAGGGATGTTGCGAGTAGCGAGCGTGATTTGGAGCCTCTAGCTGTCTATATAACAAGCCCAGCCTGGATCGGGCCGTCGTGTCCGCTCAGCGTTGCTGACGTGCCCCTTGCGAACAAAGGAAGGGAAAAGGGTAGGTCCCTTCGAGGGATGAGAGCCGGAAAGAATGTGGAATCGAGTTATACCAAATCCAGATCGAGAGTTGGTTTAGGCACCCGTCTAGCCACGACGTTCGATGTTAGCTCTTATATAGCCTCGACTCGTGAAGGAAAACTCGATCCAAAGGCCGCGATCCACCGAAGTCCACCCTGATGCACACCGCACCACACGTGTCAAGCCGTGTCATCTCGCTATCCTTAACCCTCGCTTCCATCGGCACCTTTCGATGATGATGATGATGGGATCATGAAACGTGAAACGTCTGTCCTTTCGCCTTATCTGGCCGTCCCGTCGCGCGTCGTCCGTCGTAGCTGCCTTGTCGTAAGGGGAAAGGATGAAACGCGTGATGATCGATGAAACTCGTACAATACGCGCGCGGGAACGAATCGGAGATTCGATGCAAAATAGGCCAGCCCGACGATACGGAATGATAAAGTTGGCGGATCAATCAGGGAGCTTGGCTCTGACCTGCGGACTTCGAATCTAGGTCTAGCGTTCTCATCCGACAAACGAGCTTGATAGCTTCATATGCGACCGTTGAAGACTCCCGCGCAACCGAGGGAAGCGGTCGTCTCCCGTTCGAAGCAGGATGACGGACCTGGATGCGAAAACCGGATTCCCTCCAGGCGTAATCTAACCAGTAGACCTCTTGCTGTCCCGGAAGAGGGCTGCAGCCACAGCGAATCTTCTGAATACTCGCCACCGAACCGTCTCGTTCGATAGGAATTGTACCAGTATACGAGTACAGCCCGGCAAGGTCAAATACAGGGGAAACCTCGTGAATCGTGAACAAGCTAACAAGCGTCTGTGATTCTTAGCCCAAGCGCCTCAGGGAAGCAAAACCGATGCGGGCTAGACCGTGCCATCAATAGGTAGCGGCAGAGCACTTCCTGCCTAGCGATCCTGTTCTTCCCACGACGCTTGTTTAATGCCTCAAACTGAGGTTACGTGGGTGCCGGCTACTGCGGATCGCGATCGAGCCAAGAAGTTTTCGATGACGTTCAGCACGCCAGACGCGCTTGAGTTTGCTATGGTTAATATTACGGAGGTCAAGCATACTGTCAATGGCTAATCGAGGACTGGCAAGAGGAACGTATGGACGCAGTATCAAGTTGGCCTATAAACAGGTTTGCGGGGTTGTACTCGCGCAAAGCGAGGAACTTATCCCCGTTCCATTCGAAGATCCTTTCAGCAAGATTCAGTCACTTGTCTACATGAGTGAGCGAGTAAGCGCCAGGTTACCAAATGGAGAACCTCACATATAAGACTAGGGACAAACCTTGAAGGCTCACTTCACACTTTCCTACTTGAAAGATGGCTCCGATCGCCAGCGAGCTCGTTTACGCCTACTCTCGAGCACTTCACGGAGGTTCCTCGGTACTCTTGTTTCTGTAAGTCAATGAACCGTAATTGATCCTAGGCTATGATAAAAGTGTTTAGGATGAGATACTCACTGACGACGAGGCTGTCCAGGCAATCAGAATGGACATGGACGGCTATCTCCCAGATGCCGATGAAAGTCGGGTCAACTCTGCTCAAGATCCCACGTATACCCCTCCGGTTGAAAGGCCTAGGGACAAAATAGTTCGAGAAACGGTCAAGTTGCTTCAAGATGAAGAATTGAAACTGCTTAATGGCGAACAGCGCAGGCTCCTCAAGGTGCGCAAATTGAGTTACCCATGCATAGCGAAAGTCCCTTCGGGTACAGACCCGAAGGAACGCGCAACTCGGGTAGCTGGCGTCTTGAAAGCCGTTCTAATGACCCGGAAATATGACCCAGATGGTCCCAAGGGTAGGTACTGATCCATGAGATAGGTTCAACCTCACTCACAGCCAATGTCACAGGTCCGCAAGCCGTCACTCCCGAGGAAATGCTGGCTGAGGTCAAAGACTCGGAGGACTTTCGATCACGGCTAGATATTAGCATCTACAACTCGGGATCTGGAGTGAGTGACAATAATTTCGAGTTGGAAAATACAGGTTCCTGTCAGTAGTAATACCAGGTTCGATTCGATCTAGCTTGCGGGGGAAGCCAAGACTACTCAAGGCACGAAGCGATCCACCTGCGGCGATGTGAGGAGCCAAAGTTCTTTGCTTTCTATCGGATCTAGCGGCGTAGATACTGTTTCTGACCGTGTCTCAATTTACAGGAGGATGAACTTGATCTTACCGGGCAACTATCAAGTCTCAGCATGCGAACTTCGATGGAAGATGGGCAAGGCGGCGCGTCCCCGAAAAAATCGAGGAAATGAACGCTGCCAGATTTGCCAGAGGATGTCTTCTCATCAGGAGATCTAAACCGATCTGTACAAGGACATTGCGAATGCCAGAATGAAATGTGAAACGATTCGAAAAACCGATTACCAATTTCTCGAACGTTGATGTTACAAAGGGTGCAGAGATCGTCCTTCACTCTGGAGGATATGCACAAAGGGAATTATACTCATCGAATTTCCCATAGTTGCAGCATTAAATGTCCGCCGCTAGATCTCTTCGCATATTTTGCTATCGGGAATGCAAGAGGGTCTCTTGCGATACAAGACTCATAGTACCACGATATCGCTGTCGAAACGTTTAGAATCAACATGGACGACTACCTTATGGGCGACGATCTTACGGATTTCTCGGCCATGGAAAAACCCAAGACTCTCAAGACTCTCACGTACGCTGAATAGGAGGCGAAGATTGATGCCAAAGCGCTTGAGAAGACGATCGAATGGCTGCAGATCAGAATGCCATCGCACGATCGACAGCAGATCATGCTGAAATGTATAGCGGTCGTCCCTATGGACAATGGCTGGCGCGACCGCCTTCTCCAAGTCTTGCAACACGTCGTATTTCTTCGCAGCCGTAATGGGTATGATGCTCACGGTGAGTGACGTCTGAGTGGAAGATGGTGCTACCTGGCTGACTTTGGATCATTCAGGCCCGAAACCCGTCACTCCGGACGAGATGCGGGCAGCGATGAGAGAGTCAGGATTGCTACCTGAAAACAGAAATGGGCCGGGAATGGAGACCGAGGCAGACTCCCGAGATTTCACCTTCAGCTCGGTATCTGGAGTGAGCAATATTTTCCTCTTTCATCCTATCGAGCGCAACTTGCGATGACTCATATGGGGGCTTTCACTGTGGTAGCCGCAAGAGGGAAGCAATGCAACCCGGCGGTCGTACAACAGCGACGACGTGAGGATAACCAAGCAATCGCTCAGATATCCTGATTGATTCTCATCTCATGTTCGTGTGCACACTATTCGCAGGAAACCCATGACACCGGAGGATGGTCCTCGGCATCTAGCGGGCGGACTTTGTCATCAAGTGGGACAAGCTTCAAGACGTCGAGGAAGCGGAAGAGATAATCCTCTTACCTCTACTTTGTTCATGTCTCCTACTAGTTCCCATCCTGACCCTAAGTGTCGTACCTCATCATCTTCTTTGTGCACTACGAAACGTTTCCGAGCTTTGTCGCGACATTCAGCATTCAGGTGTTTCACCTTGGAAACTGCTCGAAGTTGCTAGCAAACGCGCGATCTCACGAGAAATCACGTGATCAATCGAGTTGGAACGAGCATCCAGCTCCTTGCATCTCCCGTCATCAGCGATATCCTGGTAGTGTGACATGGGGATGTATAGACAAGGGTATCGAGTTGGGTTGCATAGCATCAGATATCTAGTTTGCCACCTCTTGCAGCGTCGTAAAGTACCTAGTTCATACCAGAAACAATCATGGGTCAAGACTACTACAAGCTACTCGGAATCGACAAGTCAGCTTCTCAGGATGAGATCAAAAAGGCATATCGTAAAGCCGTAAGCCAGTGACCATATTTCGACTGACTCCGTTCCTATGCGCAATGAGCTGATTCTGATTCTGATTCGAATGTAGGCTCTGAAATGGCACCCGGATCGAAACAAGGATAACATCGCGACCGCCGAAAAGAAGTTCAAGGAGGTCAGCGAAGCCTTCGAGGTCCTTTCCGACGACGTAAGTCGATGGTTTACCGCAAAGTTCAAGCTGCACGATTCTACGATTCTTAGCTCATCCCACTTTGTCTTATATTCCTACAGAACAAACGAACCGTCTACGATCAATACGGTGAAGAAGGCCTCAAGGCCAACGGAGGTGCCGGACCTGGTGCCAACCCCTTCGGCGCGGGAACGGGAGGTGGAGCATTCCCAGGTGCTTCGTTCGGGTTCGGAGGTGGTGGTGGAGGGTTCCAGGCGAGTGACCCCAACGATATCTTCTCGTGAGTCTCCGTTGCTTGTTTTCAGCGATGTTCTGGTGAGTTTATGCTGATGATCTTCTTGCTATGCTACCGCTCACAGGCATATCTTTGGAGGAGGTATGGGAGGTGGTATGGGCGGGATGGGAGGAGGAGCAGACATGTTCGGCGGAGGCAGCCCATTCGGCGGTGCCAGCGGCGGATTCGGTGGCATGCCCGGTGGACCCGGAGGTCGAAGACGAGGTCCTCAACGTCAAGAATCCTCAGCACCCCTCGAACCTGTCGCCGAGATCACCCGTCCGCTCGCGCTCACCCTGGAAGAGATCTACAAGGGCGGTACGAAACGTCTCAAGATCACCAGGAAATTGCGTAACGGGTCCGAAGAGGGCAAGGTCCTCGAGATCGCCTACAAGGCCGGGTGGAAGAAGGGAACCAAGGTCAAGTTCCAGGGCGCTGGGCACGAGGACGAACACGGACGAGGACAGACGATCGTCTTTGTGGTGGAAGAAAAGCCGCATGGGAGGTTTACGAGGGAAGACGATGATCTGGTCGTCAAATTGAACATCAACCTGCTGGATGCTTTGGTTGGGAACAACGAGGGGACGAGGGAGGTCGAACATCTGGATGGGCGCAAGATCAAGGTTGCCCTGCCGAAGGGGGTGAGTCGCAAATGAGATATCTGATTACTGAGAGCGAACAACCTGCTGACCATGTTTCACTCTTATCAACAGATTATCACCCCGAACCAGGAGACCCGAGTGGCAGGCGAGGGATTCCCCATCACCCGAAAAGACTCGGTCAAAAAGGTCGGCGACCTCGTCGTCAAGTGGATTGTACACTTCCCCCGTACTTTGTCAGACAGTCAGAAGGACGGTTTGAAGAAGATTTTGGGTTGAATACAGAGTGGAGGTCACGGTGGTCACGTAGCGGTTGACGGATATTAGTGGTTTTTATTCTGCTAAAGCAGAACGGTCATCAATGGAATTTGTCATGTTTATATGTAGCAACGATCGAGTTTATTAGACGATATTACAAGAATCTACAACGCTACGTGTCTGTTCTTCCTGGTTCAGGCATCGTGAGCCTCATGCCAACGAACGCAATAGCACCGGCATTTGATAGCCGGCTGCTTCCTCCCCCTTGATGAACGGGCGAGTGACGATCGAGGTCTTGCGGATGACGCTTTCGGTGGGGACCGCTTCAGCAAACGCAAAGTTACGGATCAACATGAAGAGGAGCGCCTTGACTTCGATAAGGGAGAAGCGGAAGCCACTGGAACGAGGGGAAGTGAGGAGGTCAGCTTGGACGCAATCGTGTTCCAATCGCAAAATAACTCACATGCAAGCTCGTGGTCCACCTAGAAATGATGTAACCGGTTCGTTCCCAGATCAGCAACATTCATTTCGGCTTGGTAAATGCAATATGTCTTGAACTTACCGATGAACGTCATTTGACTGCCCCATACACCGGGGATTGATTCCGAGGCTGGGTTTTGGTCCTTGTTCATCCATCTTTCAGGCCTGGGTAAAAAGCCAGGAACATCAGCCCAGGTCGGGAATGCACCTCCTGAGCAGAGCTCACTTGAACTCGGCTGCATCGGGACCCCAGATTTCCTTCGAGGTGTTAACGTTTAGCACGGCTAAGAATCGTGATGTCCAGGTGAGCTTAGCGCTCCGGACCCATGATCAGCAGTCTAGAGTCAGACTGACCGAGCATGCATGGCGTGTTCTTGGGTACGACAATACTCTCAATCATCTTGCCGTCCCGACCCTTCATAGGGTGTCCCAAAGGTACGACTGTATCCGAGATCGCATCCCGTCGAGTCTGAGGGACCGGCGAGTAGATCCGCAAGACCTCGTGTACAAATGCGTCCAGGTAAGGCAGGCCGTCGAGGTCGTTCCTGCAAACATCCCGCTTGGTCAGCTGTTCTGTATAACAAATTGAGGCAGTTCGGACGAAGTACTTACATGGAAGGTTGTTCCTCAGGTACAGCCTCACACTCCTCGCGGAGCTTGTCTTGAACGTCATGTCGACAGGCCAACACCCAAGAAGCCCAGGTCAAAGCCGTACTCGAGGTCTCGGCCCCAGCCAGCACGAAAGTCTGGATCGTAGCGATGACTGCGATGGCATTTCGAAATGAGCTTGACGATGCTTACAGGTAGCAAGTCAGAGCTCACCTTCGGCATCGGACATCCGTTGACTCTCCTTGAGATCGGGGTCCATGTTCGCTCGTACTGCGAGGAGAAAGAGGTGAGCACGATAGTAAAAACAGACAAGAAGTAGGCAGGTAGAACTCACCGACCATGGACAACAAATCCTTGCCCTTGCCCTTTTCGATACTAGCCTCCCCAGCCCTGACGGCAGCCTTCTTTTCCTCTACCAAGGCCTGATCGTTTCGGTATCGAAATCGTCAGCGGCCGCCAATAGCGAGGATCATTTAGGCTTACCTTGCCGATCCGGTGGGTCGTCTCGAGGCTGGCTTTCTGGGTAGCGATCCGTTTAGAAGGCTAGGAGAACGGGCAGAGACGTTAATCTATATGTGAGCCAGAGAGCGATTTCTTCAGAATGATTTGGCTGGCTTACGAGGTACTGCCCACCAGGCAAGATTTCTTGCAAGATATGTAGCGGCGAGGGGTTCTACAGATTTTATCCAAATAGTTCATCAGCTCTCATTCTGCAAACCACACAGACTAGAAACTTCGATGACCCAACCTGAACGTACCTGACCAGCGGACAACATCAACTCCAGAGCCAACGCCAACTCGTTCTCAGGATCGTGTAGCGAATCGAATTCGTACCCAAATCCAGCGAGGCCGATTACATCTAAGGTGGTCTTTCCTAATAGGCGTGAGATCTCGATCCGTCGTCCCTGACGCTTGTCCGAAGTGGTGGCATCGGGGAGGGAGGTGGAGAGTTTTTCTTGGAGGACGTCGCGGAGCTGGAAACGAAGAGAATGGAGGAGAGTGGGAGCGAGAACGAGTTAGATGGCAGAAGGAGAAAGAAGACGTGGAGATTGGAGACTTGCCTGGTAAGCCTTGTCGTAAAAGATGGGGAGATGATGATCCCTGATCAACTGGGGCCCAAACGCACTGTCGACAAAGTATATCATTGGTACGCTATCGGATACCTAGAAATAGGGGTAAGACTGGGCTTACGGGTTCATGACCTTTCTCTGCCTTCGATGATCCGCACCCTCGACGTTCAATAGACCTTCACCCAAGATCCGACGGAGGAATCGGCGTGTCATATCGTCTTTCTGGAAGATCTCGGTGTGGTTGAGAATGTACTGGATGGCTACGGGGTCGGCTACCATGATACGAGGAGCCTGTTGAGCAAGCGGAACGTGGGAGGGGTAATATTTAGCAGGGATATGCAAGAGTCGTGATGGTAGCTTGACTCACACCAAAGATGCCATCATAACCTACAGATCGGTCGATAAGACCATTAGTGAAGCAGCAGAAACCGTTGCTTGACAATGGTCGACTCACGGAAGACGGTCCCAAACTGTTCGATCCATTTCGCAACAGCCTCCCCTGGCAGACCCTTGATGATAGGTCTCAAATGCCCTACCCAGGGGTTCCAATCGTCCGTCCTCCGAGGTCCGGCTAGATTCTTAATAGGGGACGTATAAGGCTGGATGATATACCTGTTGAGCACGATGAAGGCTCCGTAGGCGAGTACGAGCAGGGCGATGTGTCGCGGTGGAATGATGGTAAAGATCGAGGAGATCGAGGCCGAGACCGAGCTGAAGGGTTCGGTGGGTGCCATCTTTGGTGGCGAGGAGCTCCTGCTAGATCTTCAATAATTTAGTAACTAATGTGTTCCAAGTACGGCTACTGTCTGCTATGACCTTCAAATGTATACATGTAGATACGTAGTAGACGTAGGGAACGAATAAAGGTGTTCCCTTTGGTGATTATAGCGGCGAGCTCGATTGTGGTCGTCGATGCCGTAATTCCGTGCGGGGTACGGGCATCCCCTGACCGAAGTAACCGACCGGCACCCCAAACCTTACTCAGGATCAGAGAGTCATGACACTTGAGGAAGCGCAGATCTATATCGTCCAGGCGTATTTGAGAACAAGCTGGCTGACTACATCGAACGCTGAGATTGATTTTGATCACAAGAGAAAAGTGACGGAGTATACAGGCCAATCAGGGGCGGGGCGACTTGTCTGAGTTGGCGTTTCAGGTTGACGCGGAAGATGTCGAGGTTGAAGGCGCGGTATCGGGTCTGTAAGCGTCCCAAATATAAACAATCGTCTTAGTTCAGCGAAATACCTGATTGCCCTATTTTTCTGATCTACTCACCTGTTGTAGCGCTACCCTGCTCATCCCGTCCTCTGCTCGATGATCCTCTTCACCCGAACCGGCTCCCTGACAAACAACCTCTCTTCACTCAACATCTCCTTGCTCTTGCTCAAAGCCCTCTCCATCGTCCTAGGCGAGATAGAATCGACCGGCGTCTTGCTCCACAAAAGTGTACTGGGGATCCCATCTGCCGGCGTCCGACTCCTCTGCCTGTCCGAAGCTTGGGATCTGCTCCGAAAAGGCAGGGGTTGCATGGAAGGCCGGATGAGGCGGAGGTCTCCACCATCAATACGTCTAATCTTTTCCATCAGCGGGCTGGCGTTACCGGAACGGCGGGCTCGCATCAGAGCAAGGGATGAAGCTGGTCGAACGGCATCAAACGAGGTCGGGGGTAGGTGAGCTCGACTGAGGGCGATCGAGGAGACAGGTCGAGCGATAGGGGTAGCGAGAGGCGTGGTGATGAACCCTTCGTGGCCCGGTAAAGTGGGCACAGAAGGACATTTGGCGACGACCTTGATAGACTTCAAAAGGTTGACCAACATGTCATCCAATGACTCCCTTGCGCTCTCATAGTCCATGCATTCGTCTGCCTTCTCCCGGAGGTCCAGGTTCTCGAAGTGCCAGATAATATCCATCGTCCCCTGGACGACAGCGGCGATCCCATCTTTGACCTCGGCGATCTCTTTCTGTGAGACCGCATCGGCCTCCCAGATCCAGCGGACGAGGTCCATGATCGAGTTCAGGGTGATCCTGAGCTTTTGCATGTACACTCGGTTGAGATGGGAGAGGTGCGGAGGGAGCATCTTCAATTGAGAAGCTTTCCCCGCTAGCTGTTTCAGAGTTGTTTCCAACCGCGATCGGGTAGCTTGACTGAGCTTGGTCTCGTACTGGGATTCCGCTTTGACGATCAGTCGCTCCAAAGTATTGTGTAGGCGCTCGGTAGCGTTAAGAGCATCTTCCTGCATGTGCAATTGCGGCGCTGGACATAAAGGCAGGAGACCCAACCATAGTCGAGGTCGGTCGGCAAGCAATTCCGATCGTCTTTCGAGGTAGGTAGATAACCTGTTCAAGGACGATACAAGGTGGGATGAAGTCAAGTCTCCATCTACAACACGTATCGAAATGCGATCAGTTGAGGAATTCTACCCGACGCACAAACAGGACCGAGACTCACTGGATTGAAGGATTGTAAATTGCAAGCGCAAGGCGCTCAGTTGCTCTTCCACTTGTTTGGCTTCCTTGTGCGGGGATTCAAGCGCAGCATCATCCGCCCACTTGGACATCGCTTCAATATCTTCGGCAAACAAGTGCGCCAAAGAGAACCAAGACAAGGTAGTACCCCTCGGACTGGATTGGGCAGTCAGAGTCTGTTCGCTATCCGTAGGCGATTGCGTATCGGCGAGTTGCTCGTGTTCAGCCAGAGGGGAGGAGATGTCGAGAATCGTAGTGTCCCCTGTTTGTGGTTCTTCCTTTGCCGAGGCGGACAGGTCCAGGGTATCATCCATCATCCCGAGAAGGTTCTCGACCTCAACCTCGTCCGTCTCCCCGCCTACAGGTTCCCGCAAGACGTTCCTCATCTCATCCATCTGATCCCGCATCTTTCGATACGCGTCAGAGAGGCAGGAATAGCAAAACCACCCGGCTTCCTCCCCCTCTCGACGGGACTCCAACGAGATGTGTTCGGGCTCGTCGATGTTGATACTGGTGGACATGTCGAAGTGATGCGTACAGCCGACACAGATGAAGATGTCGTTGATGACGGATTCGGTCTCGACGTCAGAGGTCTCGTTGAGGTTATGGTCGTAATCGAGGGTATGATCGTCGTAGGCGAAAGGGTCCGGGCTGATGGAGACTAGTTGTGGGTTTGCGTTTAGGTAGACAGGTAAGGGAGAGATAGGTTGCATCGAAGAAACATGTGTCGCGGTCGCCTTGAGCGGAGAAGGGGAGGAAGGAGCTTGGCCAGCGAGCGGATGACGAAGTCGTCCTGCCGAGTAGGCGATCTGGACTACCATAAGGTCCCCGGTCGTTCGGTTCTTCTGCTTGGCCCAGTGCCTTAGGACGTGCCAAGAATCGGCGTCGATAGATACCTCAGTTCTACGCTCATCTTCTGGAATCTTGTTGGGCAAATGGAGGATCGAAGGTGGCATGGCGCGGACAGGTGCCGAAGCGGCGATTATGATCGAAGTGTTGATACCGGCTAGCCGTCGTTTGTCTAGATGACCCTGCTCGACTAGTATCTTCATCGTGGCCTTTGATATACCACGCAATATGCAGACAAGTCAGCAGACAGTTTTTGGCTTCGAGATATGGACGAGACTCACGTCAAAGGACCTCGTCAGTTTGCCAACGACCATTTTGTCCTCGATCTCGAACCTGCACGGAATGTCGTCATCGCATGTCCGTGTAGCGCTGTCGACGATCTATTTCATAGTGAGAATGTACATCATCAGCTTTGTTCTTGTTAAGGACGTAAAGAAGGACTCACCCTGCCGGTAGCGTCAAAGCTTTTCAACTGGGCCGGCGCCGAATTCGCTCGAGTTGTCTGAGAGGTAACGCGGACGGTCTGCTTCTTGGAAGCGGGGGTAGGGGATTCCATGGTATGAGTCAGATTATAGGAGGTATCGCCGGGTGTGATGAGAACAGGAGGTATATGAGGTAGGTGAATACAGCAAAATGTTCGTCTGGACCGGAATGAAGTAGATGAAGTTGCAAAGCAGGGCTGATGGCACGCCTCGCCGTGTTAAGGTTTCAAGCGCAACATTCCAGCTCGGTCACCACCACCACAAAGTAAACAAACAAACATGGTCCTATTTTGCACTGCAAAGATGACTAGTTACATAATTGCATCCTTTCGTCGTGATATTTCGTTAGTAGACATGGGAGGGGCAAGAAGGTGTCATCAATAGGTGCAATTTGGCAGGCAAGCAAGTAGAATTATATGGGCTGTCCTAGAGAGACCATCTTGACCGGTTGTCGGTTGATGCTGCTCGTCCGCTGTCCAATGATAGGTGGGGGTCCAACGAGGACCGGACGGGACGATGATGATCCCGGTCGGCGTGATTTTCGTTTAGGTTCGGGTGGGTTTGGTTCGCCTTCGTTTGTAGTAGGTAAGCTATACACATCAAGCAAAAGGTTGACTGTCAGCAAGGCTATAAAACATTCCATTTTGTCACTGAAGCTCACATAGATGTCCTGCTTTGCGGACTAGAATCGATCGATACCGACTGCCCAGACTGACTCGACGTCATCGAGACGGTCCGCATCTTGGGCGCACTCGACGCAGCCGAATCCTTCCGAGCTTCTGCAGCGCTTTTTTGCTGTCGGATCCGGTAGAGCCAAGCCGTGTCCTTGGCAACATCAACCAGGAGCGGCCGCGTGACATGCAGAACGGCCTCGCTATCGGTATGGGACGGCATCAAGGCGGCTCGACGGGTCTGGAGCGCAATCTGAAGATTGGGGTGGGAATCGTCCTCGTTGGTGTATAAAGGGGAGTCGCAACTCTGTCGAGACGGAGCGTTTGGTCAGCTGTGCTGCAGCATAACATGCACAAGACTCGGTGATACTTACAGCACAGACAGCAAGGTAATCCATCATCGCTGCCACATTATCCTATTTGACAAGGGGACATCAGCACACCTCATAGCCTTGAATAGCATCGCTGGACTCACCCTATGGAAATCGCCTGAGAAATGAGCATCCAGTGGCGATCGGTCACCTTCCTTTGGCTCGATTAGGAAACCCAGGTTGATGAGCGATTTCGCGATGGCCTTCAACTTTTGCTCGACCTCTTCTCTAGGGTGGACTATAAGGGCGGTAAGATAAATCAGATCCGTACCACGGACTGCAACCTGATATGGGCTTTTGGCTCACAGTCGACGATGCCAAAAGTCTCTGGCCACATGATGCACGGTCCGATCAGACGCAACTGTAATTTGGAGGTCGGATCAAACTCATGTCGCCATGCTCTCACGAATCAGCCACGTACAAAGATGAAAGCCGAAACCGAGTGCAACTGAAGCGGTCTTTGTAAGAAAGTCAACAAAGTTAGCGGAACGTCCCAGAACAAGTGACGGGGAGGCGACGTACTTATTATTCGGATGATGCCGAGCGACTGCCTTGAGCAGGTAAGAGAACACCCAGCGCAGATTGCTATGCGGTGTTCCAAGGATCAGAGCGACGTCTTAGTAGCGAGAAAATGGAATGAGAAGGAGGCTTACGGAGGGAACTCGTGACGAGACACTGTGTGGAAGCAAGGAGATCAGCTACCGACCACACGACCCCGGGTAACTGTGAACTTACTATATATCTTGTCCCAGATCCTGCTCACAGCCACCAATACATCTGAAGCACCGCTAATTGGGCCCGATTCTAGAGACGTATCGCTACACAAATTGCGCATTTCATCTCCGATCGTGTCCCGAACGTAATCGACGGCCTGTATCCGCATGATGTACTCCAGACAACGAGTAAGAGGGGTATTTGATCGGAACAAGGTGGCGGATGCTACAGAAAGAACCGTTTAGAATATCTTTTGCACAAGCGGAAGCTGCTTTTACTTACGAGTTTGCACTTCCTCGTCGATCAGAGCGCAGATGAGAGGTTCAAGCAGACCCTTTGAGAGTGCTATACGGCATAGTGCAGGAGCACCACCTTCGGCAGAGGCATTTTCGGCCACCTTGTAGATCCGTTTGGCGTCGCCCGATTGTATCGCCTGGCTGACCGGTGATCAGCTTTGCCAAACTCAGCTCATGATTCGCTATGCTTACTTCAGTTATAACGTCGTACGCCGCCAGACCCTTGATGTTAAGCTGATCCGACTTGATGGTCAACCGGACTTGCCCTAGTACATCGGACGTGAGGAACGCTAGCAGGGGAAGCTTCTTCTCGTACGTCTGATCCGCATCAAGGTCCCGTGCGTCGACACGGACGTAGCCGAGACAAACGGTCTCGGGGTCCTGATTCGAGAAGCGTGTCCGGCGATAGAGTCGCAAAGCTGTTTCAATGAGACGTAAGCGCCGGGATTACCCAAGAATCTTCTCACCAAGACTTACTGCACTTGTGCCATTCGTCGATGTCTTCGAGCTTGACCACCTCGGTCCAGGTCGTGGTATCCACTCGTCTCTTCGGCGTCCTCGCCATGGTCTGCCCATCCACTGATCTGCATTCTCGGCTCATCAGCACGATGGCTTCTAGCGAACGAGCCCACGTCTGCACTCACATGCTCCAGTACAACGTGTCCTCCTGTTTCTGCCGAACCTCCTCCTCGTCGATAAGCCCCTTGAGCGATTGTCCGAATCCGCTCGAGATGCTCCTCAACATGCCTCGTTTGGGGGGCACTGGCCGACTGACTAGCCCAATCGATTCGGCAGCCCATGACGGTGAGACAAGATTGAGGTCCTTGACGTCCTGGATCTTGATCTCGAGTGACCGCCAGATCCTGGCCCATTCGGCTTTACTGCCGGTTCCGTTCACAGAGAAAGCCGAATAGAGCGAAGGCGATGGTCTGGCATCGTTCCGGGTCAAGTTGGTCGACATGTCGTTGCCAGAGACGAGCGTGATGTATTCGTTACTGGTAAAGCTCTTAAGCAAAGCATACCACATATACATCTCGGACCGGATGGCAAACGTAAGCAAGAGGTCGTTCGGCGCCTCGCCCTCGTCTGCCACCCGGTCCTCAATGAGCTCGAGCCCGTCTGAATCTCGGTCGGGAAACTGCAACACACGGTTCGCCCGAGGCGTCATTGATTCCCGTTTCTTTGCCTTACTTGTTATCGTTGAGTTTGGAGTCGTCACGGGACCGCCATTCTCAACCGACGGAATATCCTCATCCAGGTCCAAGTTTGTCCAATGAAAATTGGTCGATATCGGAGAGGACGCCGCTGCCGGTAAGACAGGTACATCCGAAGCCGATCTCCAACTATCGTCAGACTCGGTCGTCGTGTTCGTCCTCAACGAAGAATTGCTCGCTTTCGATCGGGTCGTGCGAAACCTTCCTGCTGCCGGGGTATCGGTCCCGTACCACATGACCGGCGACCGGGGTGATGAGCGATCGGAACCAGCTCGTCTACCCAGGGCTTCTTGTTCCTGGACGCGTCGAGCTTGAGCCAGATCGCGGATCGTCTCGCTCGAAGGCAAACCGAAGGCCGGAGATGTAGGCGAGTTCAAGCTCACGCCGTCATGCCGGCTGGGCAGACCGGAGTTTTTGCTGAAGCCTTGATCTGCAGAGTCGGAAGACCAGGGGCTCATCATCGGCGTGACCCAATTCTCCGAGGCCGAACCGTCAGTGAAAGCCGGCGACGTGGAACCCCGCGGACCCAGATCCAGTGCTACCGGTCGTGCTTTCCTGCTGCTCGAACCGCTCGTCTCCCCATCCCGTGACCCGCTGGCTAATCGATCGGCACTATCCCATCCTACTGGACTCTGCCCGAGCGGCGGTCCACCGAGGATACTGGTCGGACAAGGTTTGAGCAGATTCGTAAGCCGGATCACCTTGTCCGTGCGGGAGGGAAAAAGTGACTTGTGCGGGAGCGAAACATCGGTCGATCGTAGGACGGTCGGGTCGAAGGAGAAGAGTGGACGAGGATCTGACAGTGACATCTGTAGGTGCGATCGCGGGATTTTGCCTTGTCAGCCTTTCGTCTTTGCCCCGGGAACTTCTTAATTTCGCCCAAAAACTTACATCGAAGACCTCAATCTTGACGCCCGATCCCGACCCTGACGACGGCCCACCCGTCCCAGCAGAGGCAGCTGACGACCTCCTCTGCGCCCCGGCCAAGCCGCTATTAGGCCCTATGCCCATGTTCCCACGCAAGACCATCTTGATCCTGGTCCATTCCCGCTCCGACGCTGTCGAGCTCGAGGTTTTGCTTCCTGGTCCTGCGGGAAAAGAAGACTTGGAGGACTTGGATTTGGACTTGATCTTGTGCTCCTGTTTGCCGATATTTGACTGTATCTGCCCTGATGGTAGACCTTGCCCCAAACCCGAGCCATTACCAGAATAACTCGACTTCTTAGGCGGTCCACCAACATCTCCAGGGAATCCGTCTGAGGCGGAAGAGACCAGAGTGGAAAGCGAGGAGAATGTCGAGCTCTGCGGGATGGACTCGGCCGTGCTGGAAAGAGAGAAGGAGGATGAAGAGGACGAGGTCCGGTTGCGGGAGGTGAATCGGCGAAAGATGTTGCTGTGCTCTGAAATCGCCGAGGATACGCATCGGGAAGAGGATGAGGGATAGGACGCAGGTGGTTGTCAGCAGACAGGGAAGAAGGGAATGAGAAGCAAGGCAAAGCATCATTGTCAACATATGCGATTCCTCGGCCGCGAACTGAAACATCATACAAGCAGATCGCAAATTCCAACTCACCTCTCCGTTTAGATTCTCCCACCCCTACTCCATTACTCAAAGTCCCGAACGTATCCACCCGTTCTTCATCCACCTTCTCCCCCACACCCAAACCCAGGCCCAGTCCGTGTCCATGCGCATGTGCTGCATATCCTGTATATCCCGCCTCCCCAGCAGTTCCGGTATTTGACCCAACATCTTGGTTTGTCCCAGTCGAGCTGCTGTTGTTGGCTTTGGTGCTAGTGTGGGAGGAAGAACGGTGTTTCAAAGGAGGCATCGATAGTTTCGTCCGGAGCGATTTGGAGGGCTGCGTATTGTCGACCGGATCGAGCGAAGTCGACATCATCGTGAACAAGAACGGCAATAACACCATCAACAACAAGATCCATCAATATTGTCAGCGTTCATATCACGAAAAGGCCATGATGGTCGAAAGGACAAGAGGAAAGACGACTCACCTCCGGTTTAGGAACCCCGATCGGCTTGCTTCCGGACGTACTGGTCAGCCTCCAGCATTCGACCTCGAACACCTGGTCGACCATGGTTGGTAGGCCAAGAATTGGCTGACTAGATCTTATCCCAATTTGCTAATGATCGGGTTGGGGCGAGCTGATGATGACGATAGAGGTCGATGGATTCGAGGATACGTGTGATCGATGAGAAGGAGGGGTGTTGTTGTATTTGTTACGTGAGCGAGGTCCGAGAGGTGGGTCGCGCAGGGTAGGGCTTCGGAGAATTCACAAGTTATGCCAGTTACAATCGGGACTCGGGACTGCCGATGACAGAATGATCGCACAAGCGAGTTGACCTTGCATCAAACGAGAGGTACAGATGATCTGAAGGCTGCATGATGTCTCAACCTGTAGCCCGACGTCCAGTCGGATATCGGGCTCGTATGGTCGTCGACCTGGGCGTTCTCACCGCTCCGGCGTGAACTTGAGCATGTGAGAGTCATTAGAACGCCAAGGGCCGGACGCAGCTACTAACGCAGACAACGTCCTCGTTAGATCGCACAGGCACGGCATCTAAGTCGCCCAGCATACGCAGGTACACAAGAGGCGCAGTAGGAATCAAAGAGCCAGCGTGTCAGATGTCGAACTCTCGTACATCCAGAGCACCAGAGCCAGAGCATCTTTCAAAATCAAGATACAAGATGCAATGGTTAGGACGCCGACCTTGTGTGAGATCGAACGACCTCGGCGTCGGCTCCCATTTTTGCTTCCGAGCGCGGGAGGGATGCTCTCGGATGTTCTTTTTTACGAGTTAAGGTTGGCACCGGGTCGGTCTCTTCCTCCTGCTCCTGTCCCCGTTTCGAAATAGTCGTTGCGCTCTCGGGCTGGCTGAAACGGCTTTAGCATATTTGGATATCTCTGTGACCTTGTCATTGCGCCGGTGGGATATCGATGATGACCGGCTGACAAGCCATATAAGACCTGCACAGATCCGCGCTTGCGGTCGATCGATAGACATGACCTGGCCGACCTGAAACCAGCTACAGAAGCAAAGCCAAACACATAGCATCTTTTGGGCAAATGGCGTTCTTTCAAGAACCTTCGTAACAGACAGATTGAAAGAGGAGCTCACAGCCGGGAAGAATATGCTGCTGACAGAGCCTGGAAATAGCGATGCTGAGACCGGATTTGACCTGCTCACTCAGCCCTTTGCTGTCGAGATGCAGAAAGCCAGCAGCCGTTTGGCCATGCGGCCGAACTACAGCGAGTATTCACCTGTGTATACTATATGCCGACCACTCCAAGTTCCGAAATCGAGTCAATAACCCTGGGCTTTGCAACGGCCACGCCGGTCTGTTGGGAGGAGATTGCCCCCGATCTCAACTCTTCTTCGTCAACTTGCTTTAAGATCGGATGTCCATGCCAAAAGTTTGAGGAGCATGAAGATATCCAATATCAACAGGTGTTGAGGGAATCTGTCAATCTCGACATAGTCATGGGAAGGGTTTAACTCCCGTCGCATTCCCTTCACACCGTCAACTTTGTTACCAGATGGGGGATGCACTCAACAAACTTGGCCCTGCAAGTGGCGGAGCCGTGCTCTAACATTTTCTCCAGCGCGGTATTGTGTTTAGCCGCATAGTCCGGCCGGTTGACAAAAAGGCGCTCAAGTCGATGAGCATAACTGGCAGCAAGTATAATGTTTCAGTCAACATTACGTGTATCACAGCCTGACACTGCTACTTTGGGCATCAATTTGACAGACCTAGCACACCGTGTGGCTCAGGCGCAAAATACCGGAACGATCGGAGCCTTGTTTACGAAGGCGGGGATTCGAATGAAGATTCCAAGCCACTGGGAATGAGTAACGCACTGAGGATACCAACAGGTCATCTGGTGGCATAAAATATGACTCTTTTCAAGTCGTGGTATCGCTGGCGATGTGCGCCGGGGCCGCGAGGGTTTAGCCATATGCCGCTTGTCGCGTGATCGGCGCGATTAAATGGTGTACTTTTCATACGCGATCATCCGCATCTATACCCATAATTGTCTACAGCGACGTCTTAGTACATATATCCTTAACTTATAAAGTACATTCGAACGCCGCCTGTTTTCACTTATTCAAGTAGGATTTCTCCCAATTGCCCCCGTCGGGATGGAAATTGTCCCAATCAATTGCAGTCCAAGCAGAATTCCTCGCCAGCTCAAAGCTCTTCCAGCTGGCATAGTCGGATGGCGAGACACCGGAAGAGGGTCGCGCCTAGGGATCAGGAAGTGTCAATACATTGACGCTGATTTGCGGAATCGCCGTCGTGAAAGAAGAGAAAGTTTTGTTGACGTACATTGCGGAATTCCCCAGCAGTTTCGTCACCATCGTCGATCCAGCTTGTCTCCCTATCTTGTGTCTTGGTGTACGACGATTCGCCAATGTTCTCGTGACGCAGGGCTCGAATGCCTTGCGAATTAGGCCTTGAATCAGCTGTGTTATCGCTAGCACCGTCGTCATGGTCGCATCCTATGTCGTGATCATCATCATCATCATCACCGAGCCAACTTTTGTCTGCCCGGTATGGTTGCCAAGACCACTGTTTCATCGCGGCCCATGTTTCGATTGCTCCCAGCATATGGGCCACTGTAAGGTATCTTGCCGAAACTGTATGGAGATGTCAGAACGCACTATCTGGCTACCGAGAAAAGTCGTAGGAAGTCATACCATCCATCTCGGCGTTCGAACCCGATGCAGAGTCCTGTATCCACTGCAAGATGTTGGCGATCCTCCGCCACCGAGATTTCATGACTGAGATAGCGGCGGTAACTTGTGATCAGCTTCTATGAGCGAAATATGAAACAGGCGTACGACGCACTGTCATCTTGCGTTCCGCACTCTTCAGCCAACAACTTTTCGCATTCGGGATCGTCTCGCTGCCAAAAGATACGTATATTTTCTTCGAGCGTCGTCCTTGCTTCCAGGTCATGGAACGGTATGCAAGGGAGCTTAACGGATAACCAGCCCTTTAACCGGGTCAGTATATCCAACAGAGAGTTCTCCGCATCCCATGGGCTTCGACCGTCCTCCTTCATGATCGTTGCAAATGATCGATCCCAATCCTCTAGGTCTTCTGGCGTCAAGTAAGCAGACATCAAGAACAAATGATCAAGAGATTGGAACCTGGGACTGCTTGAAGTTTACGACGGTATTTGACGACAGCAATTCAAGGGCAAATGCTTGTACAAAATCTGCTATATGTCTACCGTTCGCTTAGCAGAACGGGATTGCGTAGCTAATATATTCGCCCGAAACAATGGTAGTCCGTCTCCGACAAAGGATTCGCGTGGAATGGTAGGAAAACCACGGCTCGTTCGTCTAAATCCGTAGTCTGAAGGGCACATTAACGGCGATTCGGTAGAATCATTTCCCGTAATTGCTATATACGTCACTCCGCTCAATCGGTACATACCGTTTCACTCGATACCGCGTCGCTGGAGAAACTGCTGACTCGATCACATGAGGTCTTGGGGTCGTGGGAAACACAAGGCGGTGGCGGTAGCGTCAATAAACAGTGACATACCGAATCCACCTCCTTTGTGCATCCTCATCTTGCAGACTGGTGGGAGACTGTATGACTCGAAATGAACAGGCTTGGCATTGCGGCTGCGTAGCCGATCATTCCTTGTCACCGTCTCGAATAAAGCCTCGCATGAGGTGCGAAGTGCGCAGGGATTTGCACCCAGTCAAGAGATGCCAGCTTATGTTAGACGCTATACGCCATGGTCTTTTTAACAAGGTTTCACTCTACATCGCATTTCTATGTAACCAGTCAGAAGGGCGGGTTAAGACAGAAGATTCGGGTCAAACAAGGCTAATCCTGCTGACGCTCAGAGCCGGCGTGAGCCAGTGATGAGGCAAATAGCGAATACAATTGGTCGGCCAAACTTTTCCCTTGATTTTCTGTCAGTTCATATGCCACATCGGTCTATACATGTCTGTTTGGTACAAGGTCAAGGGACGTTCATATGTCTACAGACTCCTGGCGGACTACTCGGATTCGTGGTCACTTCCCTTGTCCGTGTCAGGCTCCTGACCCTTCAGACATAATTTAGTTAAGCCTGTTATCGCTTTGAAGGTAATGGATGTGTCCACGATTGACCGCGAGAAACGACATACCGTCTTGTAAGTTGTGCTGATCTCAGATCTTTCGTCCTACGATAGAACGATAGTCGATACCATAATTTCGGTTGGAAAATTAGACACTTGCATCGACTCACCTCGGAAAACTTGGCCTGGGATACAGAGTTGGTCGCCTTAGTAGACCCGGAGTTGACGGATTGATCGCATTGTGAAGCCAATTGCGAGGAGGAGGGTTTTAGTGCTTTCAACGCCTTCTGGATGTCCTCTTCATTGAGATACTTCGTCCCATCTGAGTAAGGGTCATCAGCAGCGTCTCGTCATATGATTGGGTGAATAAGTGTCGAGACAAGCTTACCTCGTCGCAGGTTATCTTTAACGTAAGAGACGATTTTGAGTACGGATACAGAGTCATCGTTCCGGTATTCTTCTTCCACTTCGATGAGGCGGTTTAGAATGTGCCGATCGACCGGCACCGTAAACCCCGCGCCTGCGGTCGCTTTTTCCCACATTCTTTGCTGTTTGGCATCGGTGTCGATTGGGGGTTCTCGCACATAGCGCGGATACGCAAACGTCATTTGATGGGTCGGTGTACTGGTATGTATGATCATAGGATGGGTGATCAGCAGACTTGATGCGACCAGAATGACGAGACGGCTCTGGGCTTATAACCTACCAGGTAAATATGGGAAAGAATTTGTGCGTCGGATGTCGAGTAGCACTTCGGTTACCGTCCTGTCGCAACAAGGTTCTCTCTGCGATGGTCCTAAGTATATGTTGGAGTCATGCCGTTCGAACAGCGATTGCAAACTCCACCGTAACCATTAAAGGAACGTCATTTGACTCGGAAGCAGATCACTGCGTTTCAAGGGGTTCTCGTCAGGGTCAGGGAACAAACTTGTAACGCATCGAGAATATTCTGCAGAACCTCTGTGATCTTACAGAAGGATAGAAGGACTGATAGGAATCATACATCATGCAGACGTATCGTTCGTCTTCGGCGAATCAATCCACTTCTCTACCGACTGTATGCGCTGCTACACGCTGTCCCCCTCCATTGCAGCGTTTCTACTCTCGCGCGCGCAGGTTTCCCGCGCTCGACAAAGGGTAGGCTGCCATCGCAGAGTTGACTTCCCGCTGGGTCAGCGGGGATGCTGAAGAGCAACTGGCATGTCAGGACTCAGAAGAGACTTTGCAGATCGGTGAATGACGACTTACCTCCAACAGGTCTGAGGTGTATCGAGGTGTATCGACATGCCGTATGGACCCTGGTGTACCAAACGCTTTGCCCTCTCTCCGGTTGCAAGCCTCGAAATCCGACCAAAAGCTCTGGTGTAAGGCGTAGTAGAGGATACATGGGACAGATGACATCCTCGACTTCTGCCATGATATAATACCAATGTCTCTCGCTCACGTGGCCTCCGAAGTAGTTTGGTTTATACGGAGGTGGCGCCCAACCTCTTCTTATTTTGGCTTTGACATCCGGTAAGGGACATGGGCCGTTGTGGGGCCGGATTCTGTATCGTCGCGCGGATTTGATGGGACTCATCGTGGTGACTACAGCTTAAAATGGGATCTACTGTTACAAGTGAGGGTGGATCTGGAACGCCCTTCACCGGTATATCAATCGATAGGCTGTACAATAATCACAAAGGGGACCGGACAAGACTTCCCAGGTCCTTTCATCCATCAAGGGGAGCGGGGCCGCGTTCCTCCTTTGTTCTATCTGATGCACTGAGCCGACGGCATGACATGCAATCAGGGAACTGCTCAATTCTGAAGCGGTCATGCAAACGATCTAGGATCAGCAGGGTGATCATGACAATGACAAGAGATCTTGCGTGAGTCGATCCTGCTAGAGGACGTAGATTTGCGTCGTTGGTAATCGTCTGATTTGGTCGTACAGGATGCTACGACATGGTCAAATGCTTTTGCGCCGTTTTGTAGGTTCATCGGTTCGTAGGTCCCGTTATTTCGGTAGGTCCGGTAGGGTCGTCCGCATGAACCCGTGAGATCAGATATGCTTGATCCCATTCTTGTCTGCGACACATTCTTGTCTGTGATGGATTGTCTTGGCACAACAAGGGCTATCAACAACCAATCACGCATGGTTGTGCAGTTCTGTGCAGCTGATCATTGTCACGTGACGCGATTTTCGCCCCTAGCGTACACCTAGATGTAAAGACCTCTAGTATCTTCATTTTTACCTCTTCATGTTGTAAACCTGTTTGCTCAGCAAATCTTAGTACTTTGCTAGCAACAGGTGAGTACTGTAGTTCATGTTTATAAGAACAGCAAATCTTAGTACTTTGCTAGCAACAGATTTCATGGTAGCGGCTCCCACATCGATCTACGAATCAATCGAACATCGATACGCGAACTCGAACCCGTTGCTATAGCTGTCGACAACTCGAAATCGACAGAAAGTACACAGTGCTCCTAGATCTAGTTGAGCTAGATCAAGTTATACACCACTACACCCGCTGAAACGACATCACCGAGTCGAAAGATGGAGGAACTCAACAAGTCGGGCGTCTCGGGCGTCCCGACCCTACTCGGAACCTCCAACTTTGACGACTGGCGGTACAAGATGAAAGCATACCTTGTTTTCAAGGATCTATGGTCGGTTACGGGAGCTACTGGACCGCTCTACGATACCGAACCCATTCTTCCACCGGGAAACGAAGACCAGAAGCTCCTTGATCGATACAAGGCCTGGCACGCGAAGAACCTCAAAGCGTCTGCGGCTATCGACATGTCTATGGGACCGGAGACTCGAGCTCTGATCTCCGGGGTCGATAACGCAAAAGAGAAATGGGACCTTCTTCACTCTACTTTCCAGCTAATGGGTCTGTGTTACGGGCGTCCTCGAAAATCGTCTAAGGGGTTGCTTCCGCGTATTTACTTCCGTCGCGACTACGTGGCGAGTCACAGGTTTCTAGATGCAAGCGAAGTCGGATCACGTGACTACGGTGTCTCACGGTCTTTCTCGAGTTCGTGTGAAGTCGCGACACTGTACTAACGATAGTGAGTTCGTCGGTGATAGTGTAACCTCTCCTAGTACGTCTCCGTAGTATAACTAAGGTATAGGCGTATGTCGAATGTAATAACTGCGCTTGAATCGTATAGAAGTACAACAGACTCGCACGACTTCTCTACGATTCGCGCTCCGTTATATGCTAACTACGTACTCGCGTTACTCGCACCGAATCCGCTATTGTTTACCGAGTTCGCCCGACTTCGTGCTTGTCTTCTTTGTTCGAGAACAAAAGGCTGTCGTCCGTCGGTCGCTCTTTCAGGCGAACAATAGACGGTCGAACACACGAAGTCGCGGCTTTCTTTTGTTGACTTCGTGCGGATCCGCTGGGTGTCGCCCGATCCGGGCCGATGACCTAGATGCGCGTCGATCCCATGCTGCCGTTCGGTCACGCCCTGTGACATCATCCCCCCCTCTATGTTGGACGTCGCCCCGACGTCCCGGTGGCCCTTGTTTCGAGGGTGATTGTCGGTTAGGATGTCCGAGGTGTCCGCACTCGACCGGCTCCGGGGTTTGTCGTACGAATCCTCCCCTGTACGATATGCCTTGTCGTCAAGTCGTCCGTACCTTCCTTTGATGGGTTCTGGAAATGGCGTAGACTTCGTGCGTAACCGAGTCCATCCTGAAACGTACGACCGATGTCTCACTCGGTCGTCCAGATATCCCGCTCCTGTTCCCGCGTGAGGGTCCTTTGGCGCTAAACGAGCGGAACCAAAGTCGCGTAACCGATATCCTCTTGAAACGCGCGACCAATGTCTCACTCGCGTCTCTCCTCGTCCTGCCGTCGTCGTCCGCGCGCTAAAGGCCGTACTCGCGCGGATCCAAACGAGATTGTTTCGGTCGAGACGGTTGGGTATTGCTGACGAAGGGTATATACTTGCAACGTCTTCGACCGAATTCCCCCCTTTCTTTCTCGTTCTCGCCTTTTCTTCAACTCCTCTCTTCAAATCGAACCTACTCGCTCGTTCTCGCACGTAACCGCACTACTCCAGCCGACTCCTACCATGTCCTCGCCTGCTCCCAACACTCCTGCCGAAACCCAGGTTCCGGCCACCACCCCGGTCGTCGAGACCCCCGCTTCGGTCGTTGAGGCCACCCCCGCCGCCACCGTCCCCGCCGCCAACCTCGTCGGCGAAAACTCTGGTCCTGCGGGACCGTCTCTTCCTTCGGGCGTCGACGCCCGAAACGGTACGTGTTCTGACGAAGTCTACCGAGTTCGTGTGCTCACCCTCCGTTTCGTATCAGAACGACAGCTCTCCCAGGGCTTCGCCCGCCTCGGGTGGGGAAACAGCGCCGAGGAGGCGATCGAGTGTGAGTCGCGCGATCTCTCTTGACTTCGTGAGAAATCTGACGTATTCGTACGGATTCAGTCGACGACGAAACCGGGGAGTTCGTCAACGCTCCTGAGGTGCTTCCGCCGCCTCTTAAGGTCAAGTCTAAGTCCTTCATTCCGAGGGTGAAGGAGGAGATCATCGAGGAGGAGGGAGGCGCTCCCGCGGCCTCGGGTAAGTTCTTTCCTCGCACACTGAATACGCACGGGTTCTCACGACTTCGTATCGCTCCCACAGGATCCGGAAAGTCCACCAGGCCGGACCTCGACCTCGGTGGCGGCTTTGGCGGGCGATCCGGTGAGTTGCGAGCTATGCGTTTCGCCCGGATCCGCGCGACTGCTGACAGATTCGTGCGCCTTTTCCCGCTCAGACCGCCAACGTTCGTTGTCCTTCGAGAGGGACAGCAAGGAGGTCTTCTCCTTCGACGACCGCCTCACTCCCTTCGGGACGGCCGCTCCTGGCCCTCGATCCCGCGCCGCCGGTCCGGCCCGGCCTCCCGCCAACTGTGAGTATTCTTTCTTTTTCGTTCGTACATGTACCTTTCGTTCAGACTTCGTGCGACTTCGTGTTTTTAGTCGGTGTTCCAGAAGCGGAACACTTCCGTCTTCAGCGCCAGTTCGGTGACGACTCCGTCCGCTCCGCCGCCGAAGAGGGTCGATCTGGCCCCGCCGCCGAGAACCTGGCCGCCGGGGAAACATGAGGCGGGCAAGTCGACGGGTTCTTGGGGAGCTTCCTCCCGGGTACGTATTTCTCTGCTCGTATTCGCTCATATTCGTGCTAACCGGTCCGACTCCGCAGGCGAACCTCGATGGGATGGGGACGATCGGGTCACGACATGGGACCAGATCCGACACATCGCGGGTCGACCTGGCTGGCCAGCGTGGACCAAGCCCAAGGACGACACGTCCGACGTGAAGAGGTTCGAGCACCGGGCCCGACAGGTTAGCCTAACTTTTGCCCACCTCCGCGCGAATCCTACTGACTTCGTCCGAATTCTCTCGACAGTGGAACCGATTCCGCATGGCCGACTACTGGTCCGAGAGGCCGGGCGACACCGTCCGAAACGACCCGACTTGCGCCGGATGCCATCGGAAGCGTGATGACGTGCCCTGGGCTCGGGAGTGCCGTTCGGTCGTGAAGCGCGACGGGACGAAGCAGGGTTGCGTCTGTTGCAACGCATTCGGCTCGACGTGTGAGTACGCCGGCAAGGACTCGCGCGACAACGTGGCCGACGACGACGACGCCGACGACGCTCGACCTCGAGAGGAGACTCCGCTCGAGTCCGTCCGAGGTCGTCAGGCTTCGATCGATCGCGACGCCGCCGCCGCCGCCGCCGCCTTCAACGCCGCCCATCGTCCTCGCGCTGGACACACTCGCGGTGCTCCTCTTCGAGGAACCCAAGCTCGGGAAGCTCTGGTTAGTACTCTTCTCTCGATTCTTCTCGTCTTCGTCGGACTTCGCTAACATCCGTACGTGTTCGTCCATAGATCTTCCAGACCGGCGTCGTCAAAGGCGCCTTGGACGAGGACCGGGTCCTCGGTCGAACGGCTCTTCAGTCGTTGTACGAGGTGATGTGCCGCCTCGTCGAAGGTCTTGCGCCGCCGCCGTCGCCTTCCGCTCGGAACCGGGCGGGATCGAAGCGAGACCGCGATCCGTCGCCGAGTTCGGGCAGGAACAAGCGTCGTCGTGGTAACCCTTGAGACGCGGGTTCGGGGCCTCTTTTTTTTTCTTTCCTTTCTTTTTGTATTTTTATACTTTTTATGCGAGATATACCTTGTGATTCTTTCGACCTTGTTTCGTCGCTGTTCGTAGTTCAAATGAATGTGAGTTGAGTCCAGCTCGTGTCCGATCGTCCGTAGTCACGCGCGTTCGCCCGCAAACGCGCGTACTCGGACTTAAGGCTTCGGCTTCGTGGGATTTTGCGCGTGGAACTCCTCGACCAAATCAGCGGCGAAGACGTCTTCGGCATTCTCCCACGTAGTCGCCTCCGGACCCGCGTACCCTTCCCACTCGATGCGATACTGAACCTTGCCCGCTCGTTTCCTACTATCTAGGATTGACTTGACCTCGAAAACGTCCTCGGTCTCGGGTTCAGGACCCGGATCCTGACGCCTCGCCGCGACTCCGCCTGTGCGATGCGGTTCCAAACGATCTAGGTGGAATACGTCGTGTATCTTCAGCGAAGCCGGTAACCTCACCCGCCAGGCGTGTGAGGAGATCTCTTCGATGATTTCGTAAGGCCCGAACCGTTTGTGGTCCATTTTCTTGCTTGGTCGCTTGGTGTTGATATCTCGTGCGGATACGTAAACCATCTCCCCCACTTTGGGCGAAAAGGTCCCACTTCGCCCGGCTTTGTAGTAAATCGCAGCCCTTTCCGCGGCCTCTTCTAAACACGTCCGCATGTCCTCCCAAATCTCCTTCATTTCGTCAGCCGCCAACCGTCCGGACCCGGTTTCGCCAACCTCGTCGGTGAAGTCGAAGCGAGGGTGATACCCGAACGTGGCAAAAAATGGAGTTATTTTTGTCGAGGCGTGCGTCGTGTTGTTCAACACGAATTCTGCCAAAGGCAACCATTTTACCCAGTCGTTCTGCCGAACATTCACGTATTCGCGCAAATACGCTTCCAAGGACTGGTTGACTCGTTCGGTCGCTCCGTCGGTCTGAGGATGGTAAGCTGTCGATAACCTACTTTTGATTCCGCACGCCTTCGTAAACTCCTTCCAGAATTCGGACGTGAACTTGCTGCCGCGGTCGGACAAGATCGCGTCGGGCAAGCCATACTGCGAGAATACATGAGTCAGAAACGTGGTCGCCAAGTCCTTGGCCGTCATTTTCGTCGTGACCGCCAAGAATCGCACGCGTTTCGTGAACCGATCCGTGATGACCAGGATTGAATTCTTGTTCTCCGACATCGGTAACTCCTCGATGTAATCCATTGACAATTCGACGTTTGGCTTGTCCGAAACCGGCAGAGACTTCAGCATTCCGTACGGTTTGTGCCGCGTGGTCTTGTTTCGCTGGCAACTCTGGCACGAACCCACAAAGTCGATCACGAAGTCGTCCAACCCTGGCCAGTTGTAATCTCGCCTGACCAATTCGATCGTCTTGTCTCGTCCTTGGTGCCCCGCTAACGGCTGGTCATGACGTGACTGCAAAACTCGAACACGCAGGTCTTCGTGATCAGGCACGTAACACCGCCCCCGATATCGCAACTCTCCTCTCTTCGTGAATGACCACGGCGACTCCGTGTATGGCCGCCCCGAAACCGTGATGTTCGTCCACGGAACGTTCCCCTCGGCGGTTTCTGCCTTTACCCCTTCTTTGATATCGTCCCGCAAGGTACGGTTTCGGGGACCCTGCACTCGTGCCGACCGACTCTGTTCGACCCACAGCGACTTCGGGAGTAGGACGTCGAAATTCCCTTCGTTGTGTGTCCGCGAGTGGATTCCGCCCTTTCCCGGGTGGTAGTCCGGCCTTCGTGTCAATGCGTCCGGTTTCCCTCCCTTAACGCCCGG